GTATACATTAACATGCAAACTTCACTAAGTCTGGATTAACAGAGATGGGCAACCGCTATATAAGGACATAACTACGGTTACAGAGGTCAGAAAAACTGCCAGAAAAAACCCTCAGGGAAAAACATGACAGGAAATCTGGGTAGGAACTATATTCAAACTTGGTTGTGCTGGCAGTCCATCCTTACGAGGCTCGTTGTTAAAGAAAATATGTTAAACTAAATAAATTTGTCATCAGTCATAGGTGAATGGTTGGTTCTGGAGGCCTAGATGGACATCACGTGCTATACTTTCCCTTATATACCACCGTACTATTACCCATGATGCCGGCCCAGGCCCAGGCCTGTTGGAACTGTGCCGATAAAATATCTATTTGCCTTATTCGCAGACTCATCTGTTAGAAATACCATATTTTGTCTCCACTACACAACAAATAACACAGTAGTAAGGCTAAATAAGCTTATTTAGGGAAGCTCAAGCGAGAACCAACCTGAGGCATATATAGACTGATAAAGAATTGGGTAAGACGCACGAGGCTAGTGATATAATACTCACCAAAAACACGAAAACGCCTTCAGAGCCCAAGAAACGCGATACTTCGAGTCATTGTTCAAAATTATCGTCTACGTATGTGTCTTTTGGTTTGTACCGATCAAAAACTATGTCGTTGGAAAATTTGTCGTTTACTCCATTACTTGCTACTCTAATGGCTCTCAGATCTTAGAGAATGCAAACCCAATTTGGACGGTTCAACTCACTTTGCAGGTTCCAGTGAAAGCCCCCTAATTGTAGAGTAACTAATGGGCTTATCAGGGGGCAACAGGTTTGCAAGAGCCCTTCCTTTAGAAATAGGCTTGAAATAAAATCTTTGGAATCAGGGTGTATCTTAAACATAACTAAACACCTCTTAAGCAACTCAACGGGGCATACAGAACTAGACAACTATAACATAACGACTTCGTCGCCTTTACGGAGCTGGACATTCTTTCTTTTCAAAACCTTAATAATCGTGAAGCCTTTTTTAAGGGAAATAACACTTCTTAATCTAGACACATCGTTAAACCATAACAGTCCCATCAGTCCCATTTGCTTTGGAAGAGAGCACAGTCGTCTTCGGTCGATCTTTCAGTCCCTCAAGCAAGTTGTCAAGCGGTCCGTCCCGGAATGCCCTAAATCCCGAATGAAAAATATCTAAACGAGAGATAAAATAAGGCAAAGTGAGGAGTACAATCCAACAAGAAATAACTAAAGAAAAAGTCAAATAAAACTAGAATAACCGGGAATAATCAAACTCCAACAGAGAATACATAGATAACTGGAATCTGCAAAGTGGACCACAAATGGGTCCCTTTAATTTCAAACAATGCTGAATAAATTCGTGACACAAACTCGTGTCATAACGCAATACGCAATATTGACGAGCAATTCTATGATTTAATTCACTTCAAGCCTGAGTAAGTGCCAAACAACCCATAAGCTAAGTACAGAGGACTTAGAGCAATTACGCTGGGATTGACTGAAACAAAATCACATTTGCACCCAGAAGAGAAAACTTCCGCGGTGAATACAAAAGCCCGCCGGGCTAATTACAACGATCACAGTCTTCACTGAACTTCGTACAGAAGCCTACGCCTACAAATGGGTCCCTTTAATTTCAAACAATGCTGAATAAATTCGTGACACAAACTCGTGTCATAACGCAATACGCAATATTGACGAGCAATTCTATGATTTAAGTCACTTCAAGCCTGAGTAAGTGCCAAACAACCCATAAGCTAAGTACAGAGGACTTAGAGCAATTACGCTGGGATTGACTGAAACAAAATCAAATTTTCACCCAGAAGAGAAAACTTCCGCGGTGAATACAAAAGCCTGCCGGGCTAATTACAACGATCACAGTCTTTACTGAACTTCGTACAGAAGCCTACGCCTACAAATGGGTCCCTTTAATTTCAAACAATGTTGAATAAATTCTTGACACAAACTCGTGTCATAACGCAATACGCAATATTGACGAGCAATTCTATGATTTGAGTCACTTCAGGCCTGAGTAAATGCCAAACAATCACAAGCTAAGTACAAAGGACTTAGAGCAATTACGCTGGGATTGACTGAAACAAAATCACATTTGCACCCAGAAGAGAAAACTTCCGCGGTGAATACAAAAAGCCCGCCGGGCTAATTACAACGATCACAGTCTATACTGAACTTCGTACAGAAGCCTACGCAAACACAGGGAGATCTGGGGCGGCGAAATCAATTCGAAGGGCTATAGCATCAAAGTCCAGGGATCTGGAACCGAAAAGCGAGTTTCGGGCTTTCCCTCTGATAAAGAGACCTGGGAACTTGGGTAAAAAACACCCTGTCAATTACGAAACAGTTCCGTTGCACACCGTCTCTACAAAATAAAGTCCATAAGCAAGAGGACTTCCACAAGGGGAGGATAACCGCTCCTCTCGCCTTACACAATTCCATGTGCTTTACCACTCTAATTAATAGGCACACTGGAGGATAAATCCAATCGTTATCGTGCCCCCAATCTTGGGAGAAGGCATCTACTACTACACAGCCGGTCTGAAAAAATCTCAGAGTTAAATCTTGGTACCTTAGCGTTATAGTGACAAGCAAATCTGTCAACGGTGTGGAACCCCCAAAATAGGTTAATTCTTTGAAAGATAGCTTCGTTAATGGTATAGTCATCATAATCGGTTAAATTGCTTATTGCATCGGCCTTAGCGTTAAGCTCCCAAGGGATCCACTTAACCTCAAGTGATATGTGAAACTCAAGACATATTTGGATAACTAGGAGGGCCAATTGGTGCATGTCAGCTACCCTACTACTGTTTTGAAGAATAGATTCGACGTTCTGGTTATCGGAATACCAAATAACCTTAACACCAGAAAAATGACTCGCGAAAGCTTCCAAGGCGAGGCAAACAGCTATGAGTTCTCTCCATGTAGAACTTTAGGCACGCACTACAGGAGACCAGTTCTGATAAAATACTAAATTTGATTCTTTTACGAAAGCACCACAAGCCGAATTGGGGGCATCTGAAAAGGTGACCCTGACCGGAAGGGACTGGACCGACGAACAAACCTTGCTATTGAAGAATACCAAGTTGTTCTTCTAGAAAACTGATTTCTGAAAGAGGGTCGTCTGAGAGAAAAACTTCGCTTTCCCAAGAGCGCGCCGAATTCACGACCAAGAAAAGAAATCTAGTCATAATACGGGCGAAGGAACCCACACAGGGAGAGAGGGAAACTATTTGACCTGTTACAATGGCGACTCCCATCACGTGCACTTTCAAGGAGGTTGACAAGACAGTAGCTCAACAAGGCCAGCGTTTAACTTTTCAATACGTTCGTCGGTTGCTTGTATAGTCCCATCAATAGTGTCGAGAATCACACCCAACCAGGTGCTAACTAGGAGAGGCTCCCAAAGGGACTTTTCCTCATTAGGAACAAATCCAGACTTGAGCAAATCTGAATGGACGACTAAACTGTTAACTTTAGCAGAAACAAAATCTGTTCCCCCTCCTAAACCATCGTCGAGGAAATGAGCTATCGGGATGCCCTGGCTCCTCCACGATTTCTGTAATGGCTTAAAAATCGATGTGAAAACATACGGGGCTGAAGAAAACCCGAAAGGAAGCACAGAGGCTCTATGAGCTCTGAAAATTTTCAGAACTGAAAATATCTTGAAAACCCCGTTCCCAAAATCCCAAGCAAAAACGAGAAATTTTCTGTGGTCTGGGAAAATTTCAATGTGGTGATAACCAGACTGAAGGTCAAATTTAAACAAGTAATAATAACGATCAAAACAACTGCGTAACGACACCCAGATCTTCACATTTGAACTTCTGTTCGTATATTAACTGGTAGACATGTCGAAGATTCAAAACGAACCTTTGCTTTCCCGAACTACGGGTAGAAACTGAAAGTGGGTTAATGATATCGGGCTTACAAGCAAGTTATGCAATTAGGTCCAAGCGAAGTAAATCGCTGACAGCTTGCGAAACAAAAATCACTATTCTCACGAGCAGAAGTATTGTTTCTCTTAACAAAAGGTGTGGGAAGTTGGAGGAAGGTAATTTTGTAACCCTGCATAATAACATTTAGGACAAATTGCGAAACTTCCAAAGTACGTCAAAAATCAAGAAATTTTCTAAGCCCTCCACGCACAGAAGAATAGGTCAAATCAACTGCAAGAGAGCCTGAATCCGAAGGAATCTAACAAGAAAGAATCAGCACAAGCGGCAACGCTAGGATCCGAGTCAATGGCACTGCCTAATTCCGATTGCGAAGGCAAACTACTAGCTTCGATATTAACAAAGGAAAGAACTACACCTGAGTTGCAGCGCTCCTCTAGTCACTTTGTTTTTCTTAAGAGACTCATTGAATTTGAGGCGCTTGGTCTCCTTCATCTGACTTTCCGCCGATTCTTCGTTCGACCGTTTGATCTGAGAAACGGTCTGCTCCAAGAGGCCAATAAATTTGTCATCAGCCATAGGTGAACGGTTGGTTCTGAGGCCTAGATGGACATCACGTGCTATACTTTCCCTTATATACCACTGCATCATTACCCATGATGCTCGGGCCTAAGGCCCAGGCCTTGTCGTATCTCGTGCCGACAAAATATCTATTTCTGCCTTATTCGCAGACTCATTCGTTAGAAATACCATTTTTCTGAGGATTTCAGATGTTTTGATTGACTTGTTCATAAGAGAGCTGAGAAGAAGTGATGCTATTGAGAAAAAAAAAACCTCTGATGGATTCCCAAGAGATAAATATAAACACAATTGGCATGTTATGAAGAATTTATCAATTAAAGTATGGGAATCACTTTTAATTTTAAAATCAACAAAGAGAGCAAAAAGCTGGAATATAGAGATCTTACTGGACCAGAAAAATTGAAACTCTTTCGGAATCTAAACATTCCGACCTATGCTTGTCCCTCATTGCAGTCAAAACAAAGACATACAAGTGATCTGGGCTAAATTTATGGACATAATTGGTGATTTGAAGCTAGATTTTACATCTGAAGAGGGTATTCTTGAATTGCAAAGAAATTGCACTTTCACTTTCTCAAAAGTTTACCAAGCAAAAGATGTCACTCCCTACATGCATGCACTATGTTATCATGTTCCTGAGTTCCTGTCACTTTATCAGAACATAGCATATTACACACAGCAAGGCTTGGAAAAATACAATAATAGAGCTTCTAAAGATTTCTTCAGATCCACAAATCACAAAGGGGTTGATGCCCTCAAACTACTGTTTCTGAAGAAAAACAGGATTCAGTTCCTGGAGGCAGCAGGGTATGAAAGGGTTAAGAACACCTACAAATGCAATAACTGTTCAAACAAAGGCCACAACATCAAGAAATGCACATTGTAATAACACAGTCCGTATCATAGTCAGTCGAATGGAAAGGCTGAGAGCGCCGTTAAGCAAGCGAAGAAAATTCTGTTAAAGTGCGGCAAGACTGGTTCAGACGCGTTTCTCGCTTTACTAGACCATAGAAACACACCGCCTGCGAGTATGCAAATCAGCCCAGCACAGCGGCTATTTAGCAGAAGGACAAGAAGTCTCCTCCCGATGACTGCTGCATTATTAAAGCCATCTGTTTCAGACGAGAACGTGACATATACCAAGCTTCATCGCCGCCAGCAGCAACAAGCCAAGTACTATAACAGAGGCGCACGAGACCTCCAGCCCTTAGAGCCCGGAGATACTGTGCGAGTTGAGCCCTGGCGCGCGGGAAGAAAAGAGTGGCAAAAGGGTGTCGTAAAGAGTCGCATTGACAAAAGATCTTACGAGGTTGAGTTGCCTCAAGGACTCCTTCGACGAAATCGTGTTGCGCTACGCAAGTCTAATGAAGCGCCTATCAAAGTTGAAGATGACGACGTCATAGAGGCGCGCAAGCAGTCATCCACAGAGACACGCGAAGATACACGCGAACTGGCACCTCCAGATACACGCGTGGAAACATTCGACCAGCCGCGCGATCCGTTGTCTTCGGTGCCAGATGCACCTAAGTCGCCCAGTCCTTTACAGGCACCTAGAAGGTCCACGCGCGTCCGTCAGCCGCCCAAGCGTCTACAGGACTATGTGCTTACTTAAGCCCAGGAACTCTTTCCAAGGAACTGAATTTCATTAATATGTGCTTAGTCGTTTGTTTGTTTTTGTTTTTTTTCCGTTAAGTTGTTTTCTTATTTCTCGATAAAAGGGAGGGTGTTATAATATTGTAATTTTCACGCCCTGTGTTGAATTTCATTTGCACGTGCTGCTAGACTCATTATATATTCAGTTTCGTTTGTACCTTCGAGGCACTTGATAGAGATTAAGAATAAGAATAAGATACTTTATTAACCACCATTGCAGCCATAGGCTGAATTACGGGATATTTACAAATACTGATGATAACAAAAGAGAGAATAAGAAAAATTATCTACATCTTATAGACATGGCTAAAAATAAAACTGTTCTTCAAACGCTCGGTTTTACATAGGGAGAGAGTGAAATCACTTTTGCGTCTCAGTGCATATTTACAACTCTTCCTTTGGGGGAGGAGGCTATGGAGATTGTGGGTGGGGTTACAGACGATCTCGTCAAACAGATCGATTGAAATCTTTTCTCTCCTCTCATGAAGTTTCGGTAGGCCAACTGTTTCTAGTGCTACACTATATGAAAGGTCAGGATAGATGATTCTGAATGCCCTTCTTTGGATCCGTTCCAAATCTTCACTGATGTAGTTTGGTAGAGAACGATGGAATACAGGACTTGCGTATTCCAGGACGGGCCTAATACATGTCACATAGAATTGCACCAGTTCACTTGGTGCCACTCCAGATCTCTTGAGTTGACGTAAAAAGTAGAGACGAGAGGAACATTTTCTAATTAGTTCAGAGGTGTGCATGTTCCACTTTAAATCATGGCTAATGGTCACGCCTAGCAATTTGGTACTGGTGACTAATTCAAGGGGTTTGCCATTTAGAACTAGGGGTTCGAAATCGTGGTTGCTGTTGGAAAAACCAATTCGAAGTTCTTTGCACTTGGCCTCATTCAGTTGGAACCCATCGAGACTCGCTTGTCTCGAAAGGTCATCCACAGCTTCTTGGAGTTTGCTCTTATTACCCTTTGTAACTATTTCGGAACAAGATGTATCATCCACGTATTTCCACATGTCAACTGGTGTGTCCAAGTCATTAATCATGACATGAAATAACCAGGGGCCCAGTTTTGTTCCCTGGGGGACACCGGATGGCACAGAGCGCCATTCAGAGTGACAATCCTGAGCAAGTTTAACTCTTTGTTTCCGGTCCATCAAGAAGTCAACAATCCAACCTTTGACTTGACTCGGAATATCATATGTTGTAAGTTTTTGAACAAGAACACTGTGATCGATAAGGTCAAAGGCCTTACGGAAATCGAGTAGGACTACTCTTGCCGTGGCACCATTTCCGTCGGTGTTAACAAGCCAATTATGCGTCATATTGACCAAGGCATGTGTAGTAGACGATTTGGGAATAGCTCCAAATTGTCGAGGGTCGATTCTTTGTAACACAGCAGGTTTAACGTATTTCTCAACAGTGTGATCTTCAGCGAGCTTAGACAGGATAAGCGTGAGGGAAATCGGACGGAGGTGCTTGTTAATGTCATTAATAGGCCTTTGTTTTGGCACCGGGACAACGTCAGCCTCTTTCCAAGAAGGCGGAAGGCGGGATTCGTGGAACGAGGAGTTGAGGATCGCAGAGACTGGACCCGCCAAGAGATCAGCGTTTTCCTTTAATAACCATGCCGGGATACCGTCTGGCCCATGTGCTTTCGAGGGGTTGAGCGCAGATAGTTTCATAGAAGTTGAAAACTCCGATATCATATTTACGGCATGACCTTCGTTGTTGGCTTGTGGTGGGTCAAAAGGATTGTGGGTAAGAGGCTCAAAAATCTGCATTGGGGTCAGAAACGCTGAATTGATGTAATTTGCCAGAACACCTGGTGAAAAACCTAGGTGTTGCAGTAATTTGCTGGTGTTGGCCCGCGTTTCTGAGGCAGGTGACATGCCGCTGAGCTTTTTCACCTCTTTCCACCACACGGATGGCTTACACTCCCTCAAATGGCTAACCTTTGCTTCGTAGTACTTTGCCCGGCAGATCTTACGCTCACGATTCACGCAATTTCTGAGCATTCGAAAGGTATCCATATTTCCTTTTGCAAGGGCACATTGGCGTCGTTTGATCAGGTTCTTGAGTTTGCCATTCAACCACGGAGGCTCGCCTCGATGAGTAGATTTGGATCGCGGGGGAGAAATAAAGTCTAGGCCCGTCTTAACGATATTTTCAAATAGTGACACTTTCTCCGCGCAGGTCTCCACCGTGTCAAGGAGGCGTGGTATGTCAACAATTTCGAGGTAAATTTGTATTGCGTGTCTTTTACTAGGTCTCAAATCCCTCGAGATAATTGTTTCCTTTGATTGCGATGGTTTTGCTCGAAGCTTGGGCTGGATCTCCACTGAACTGTGATCCGAAAGGCCAACTTTAGGTCGCTCGATGGCTTTATCATAGAACTCCTTCATGTTGGTTAGAATACGATCCAAAAAACTTTTCCCTCTGGTCGGAAAGTGAACAATTTTTTTCAGATTGAAATTAGATTTAAGAGTCGTTTCGTTTAGGTGGTTTAAATCGCCGACAAGAAGGATTCCACTGTTTGGATGTTGAGACTCAATTGATGTAAGGCAATTTAATAAATAATCTTGCATTTTTGAGTCAGGAGCTGACGGTGGATGGTATATAATTCCAGATATAATACTAGAAAAGCCTCTAGGGAGTCGAGTTGGTCGCAGCTTTGCCCACAGGACTTCAAAATCAAAGACCGGATTCTCGTCGACCTCGGAAAAATCGAGAACAGAAAAAGGGATGGATTCCTTAATGTACATACACACTCCGCCGTGAGTGGCCTCCTTTCTGTCCCGTCTGATGATATTATAACCATTAATTGCTATTACGGAGTCCAGGATATGTTGTCGCAGCCAAGACTCCGTAGACTCCGTCCTAACCCTAAGGCCGTAATTAGCATTTTGAACAACGTGGCTTACTTCATCAATTTTTGGTGCGAGCGACATCACGTTTGATAGAAATAGCGATGGTATAAAGTTTCTTGCTTGCGGTTCTGGTACACTTGTGAATTAGAGTTTGGTGGTGATGGAGATACAATTCGACGGGTCGTGGCCACGTGAGTTAGTTTTCGCTTTGCTGTGGTCCTTTGGTCTCGGGTTGACTTGTGTGATCTTGTAAGTACGATTCGCTTCTTTGGTTTTTGTCGATCTCCCAGCTCTCTTTCCACGATAACGTGACCACAAATTCTTAGCTAAATTGTTTAGCAGAGGTCTTGTGCAAGGCTGAGCCATTTGACAGAGTTTTAAACTACTAAAAAGATGAAAATATAAGGAGCGCTTCAAAGTGCAGCCATACGTGGCGCATACACAAACTCTGCAAAGTAAAAAAAGACAAGGAAGGAAAGGGGACCACTATATGGAGAATTGACCAAATGTCTGTTCAGTAACCGCTTGAACGTGTGGATCGCTGTGTTATTACAAATATCGGCCCTGAATCAAACATTAAGGTCAGGAGAATAAAGGAGCTGATGGTCGCCGAATAATTTTTTGGCGACCATACCGCTGACAAGGAGCCAAAATAACCCTGAGCTCAAGATTGGATTGGACAAGTTCGTAAGTAGTTAACTGAGCAGCCTCTCCTTATGCAAATTAGTTTACCTCCCCTAAAAGCTTCTTGGGGATGTTTTCAGATTTTGGTAGCGAGCGAGCTGGTGTGAAAACAGGTTTTCGCCTTCACAAATAACGGACGGACGGGGAACAACTCGATAACCTTCTTTTGGTAAAGGCTTTCCTTAGGGGAGGCACTCGCTGGCTGCGGGAGGGTCGGGATCTATTACGGCTGTTGACTATCCTTGAGACAATGACTAAAAACATCAAAGTTGGCTCCAACGTAGATTTATTCTATACGCACCACAAAGCTGACTGGTTTCCTTTTTCACTATTTTACTGTCCCATGATACTCCCGAAGAAAGCTCTATTTAAGCCTAAGGTACAAAAGATCAGGTAATGCTATGAATTATCTAAAGGATCACGTAATCTAATACAACGATTGGTTAATTACGAATTCCCCCTTTTACAAGATTAATCCCTTTCAAATAGCTCAGGTGGATAACAACTACACGAAGGATCATGACTGGAGACGGTTACAGTTTAACACTAGTTACAGACATGATCTAATACCAACTGTTTAAGACTGACTGTATTAAGACCAGTATCATCTATGCATGCTGAACTTAGTAAAATCTCGCAGTTTCTACGTTGGATTTTATATATTTTTTTAAGCGCTAGCATACAAACTTGATAACTAAAAATCCTATCGTTACACAAGCAAGCGAGGAATTTCGTTTTTTTAAATAAAACCTGATTTTCAGATGTTTTCCACATTATGAAATCCAATAAACTGGTTATGAGAATAATCAAACTAAACGAGTGGAAGTTGTCTTGATGTAATACTAAATTTTTGCAACTAATCTTCGCCAAACCCTCTCCACACAGGTATTCGTCTTTGCTGTTGATTGTTTTTTCATCAATGGGTTGCTAACTGTTAATGTCGTTAAATAGTTGGTTTATTCTGTTTCTGCCATAAGGGAGCTCCATTCAAATCGCCTGTTTCCTCCTCATTGTTTCTCTCTTTAGCACGTCTGGTCTTCTCAGCAATTGAACTCTGATCAAAGTTACAACCGGAATTTTGTTGCTGAATATTCTGCCTTCGCGACTCTCGCGCAATGCTACACAAGTTACCAACATCTCGCTCGTGTTCACCTGGTAAAGTGGAAAAAAAAAGAAAAAAGGAATTAAGCCAGCGAAAATCAGAAATTCTTTACTTGACACACACACGCAATTCTACTTAAAAGTTAATCAACTTCATGCGCCGTCAAAACTGTTTACCTTAAAAAAATCACTTCTTACCGAACCAAAGAAAAAAAGAAAACTTTGGGGTTGTCTTTGAAAGCCACATTTAGTGACAGACCTTTTCACCAATTAATCAAGTTACTTGTAAACCTTCATATCAGCAGCATGAGGCGTCCTCTTATTTGCTCCCTCTTTGCCTCAATCAACAGAAAAAACTATTGTAGTAGTATTGTCGCCGATGTTTGTTACCTGGAAAAAATTCTTCTTTTCTGCTACTTCCTCCTCTCTCCTGCTCATTGACTTTGGGCTTTGATTCGAGCCTAATAAGGTCTTCACCAACAAGATCCGTGCTAATTTTCGTCAAAGATTCTTCTTCCGCTTCGTTTTTTCCTTCATATTTCGCGACACCCTCAGGGCCACAACACTCCTCTGATGTGGGGTTTTCATCTAAATCTGTTAAAAATTTGAAACAGAAGAGATGTTGAAATTTTTTGGTGAGAATTGTGTTCATGAAGAATATTTTCAAAGTTCTTGAAAGATAAGTCATTCATGTGTGTTTCAATGAAGCCCTTCGAATCAACTCTTCGATTTTACAAGCAAATTTATACAAAATTTAATTTTTTTTCAACAAAGTTTCAATTTGTAATTACCAAAATATACGTGAGGAAATTTGGGGTCGAAAAAATGTACAGTGACAAATTTAAACGTATAGGATTGCAACCTATTAAATAGCACTGACTCCTTGTCATGTTTCCTTTGCTTTGGTTGGTTGATTGTTATTACTGAGGGTTTGATTTTAAGACACTTACTTGAAACGTTCTCTAAAATACCAAAAATATTTCTTCTTGGGCACCACTAACAACTTAAGCACATGCTTCGACGCGTGGTAATTTTGCACTTTCTCAGTTTAATAACACTTCACTTGCAAGTCTTTGCGTTACTTGTAAGTTAAAATGTGATTCATCTCATTTTAATGTGATCCATTAGTAATATTGTAGAATTTTCACATAGAGTACAATTCATAGTGGTGTTAAATCCATGCAGAGTACAATTCGGTCCGTAATTAAACGAGTGACAGACGAAATCGGACTCCTTAGGAGCGGGAGTTTCATTTACTTTCGTATCACAAGTGTGATTAGACTGACTCGATCAACAAAAAGTTCAATTAATCTTTAACACTGTGACAAATGCTTGAAGACAAAATACTCATCACTTAAAGGTGTGGATAAATAATGACGCAATTCCCTTTTTAACTATAGAAAATGAATCCAATAGTCTACATAACAGCGCACTCAACAGAGTTCACTGTCCGATTTCTGTAAGAACACAACGTGTACATTTTTTTATTGGTGCCTCTCAAAATAAACAACCACCTACGAATTTTGTTAAAATTTTGTTAAAATTTTGTTAAATCATGATAAAACATTCTGAAATTTAAGTAGATGTAAGTATTCAGGATGACAAAAATAGGGTACCTTCACTCGAAGCCGTTGAAGAATTGTCTTCAGAAAAAGAGCTTTCGGAACCAGAAGATTTACTAGACAATGACTCCTCATCACCCATATATCCAGTGCAGGAAGGTCCTGAGGAAAAAATAAAACATTCTGAAATTTAAGTAGATGTAAGTATTCAGGATGACAAAAATAGGGTACCTTCACTCGAAGCCGTTGAAGAATTGTCTTCAGAAAAAGAGCTTTCGGAACCAGAAGATTTACTAGACAATGACTCCTCATCACCCATATATCCAGTGCAGGAAGGTCCTGAGGAAACACGTACCGAACCTTTATCGCCTAAAAAAGATTAGCAAGATGCAGTCGAAACCTTGTGATTCACATTGCAAATGACTTCATCGTGAGACAGACGATAAGAAATTATTACAAGGGTATTCACCCTTGCAATGATTTTACAGAAGAATGTTTGGAGAGGAAGTAAGAGAGAGTTTGGTACCAAAAAAACAAAAAAACAAAAAAAAAACAGCAGCCTCTGTCTTTTGTCCCTAAGATGGCCGCTACAAGGGCGTAAGACGATTTTTTTAAACTCGTCGTGTTTTGAAAAAAAATTTAAAAAAAACTTTCAAGCTTAACAGTATGATCGCGAACTAGAAGTGTTTCAAAATAGTTACAAGAACGTACCTGCCAAAGGTTCCGATAAATCTTGTCCTTCACTTCTCTTCGTTTTATCAACCATAAAATCAGCCCAAAGGTAGAAAAACTCACTTTGTAATTTTGGATCTTTAACCAGTCGTAACAGTGTTTTTTGACCTTGATCGTAATAGTCGAAATCAGTCTTTCCAAGAATTCCTCCAGTCGAAGAATACACTGTAACAGTTACTTTGCCAGGCTTATCAGATGCTGAGGCACAAAATTGAAAACATACAGTAAAATGCAAACGTACGCGAAAAAAGGAAGTATAAATTTTTTTTTAGTATTTAAGTCATAAAAGACTTACCCGGAATTCGACCTTTCAAATTAAAATCATTAATTCTTTCCAAGTCAGCATCAGCCTTCTCTCCAAATTCTGCCCTGGCAGACTTTACTTCTGGTGGAAGAGCCTGCCCAAAAACTAGGACAAATGGCGATCCACCCTGAAAGAAATGCATGCCACCGGTTAAATTTATCTTAGATAGCCAAGTTTAAAAAGGAGGATACACCTCAGATGGTTTCTAGAACATACTTTTATTTTTAGTGGCAACCCTATGAATGCAAACTCACAAACTTGAAAGACAATTAAATGTTCGGAAAAGTATATATTCAATTCAAGTTCAAGCGCAAACAGGAGGTACACAACTATGAAAAACAAAATCATTCACCTCAATAGGCTCTTCACTTGGGCGGATTTCCAAAATATCTAAAACCATATAAAAGTTAATTGGTTAAGTCGGTGTTAGCAGGATATTTCAAAAACTAACTCAAGTTTTACAGACACTCCTCTTCAGCCCTTTTTATAGAAGAATGAACCTCAAAGGCCTACTCAGGTTTTACAGACACTGCAAAGAACAGTTGATATGGCTTTGTAAACTTATAAAGCAGAACCTCATCCTAGGGACAACCTCAGGACTAGTAAGAGCCCCGTAGATAGAGGTACTCCATCAGTGAAGGAACAGCTTCAGTGGAACCTTTATTCAGGGGACAAATAAAAACCACAAAAAGTGTCCCCAAAAGAAGGGCCTTTCTTTAATGAAGGTAACAGATACAGGGGAACCTCTACTCAGGGGACAAGCTAAAAACCAGAGAAAATTTTCCCTGAATAGAAGTGTTCCTTCAGTGATGGTAACAGAAAAAAAAGATTAAAGAAAAGTTTTTTAATTACGTCTGGATCCAAGGCTTGCTTCACCTGCTGACTCTTTCCCTGCAACTTGGGAAGGGTCAGTTTTCTCAACATTAGGCTCTTCCAGATCAGGAGATTTGAAGTTCTCTGTTTCCTGATGGCCCCCTTCTAAATCATTTCTGTCACCTTCTACCTCTGTCCAAGACAACTGTTGAGATATTTCCGTGATGTCCAAAGTTGTTACGGCCTTAGAACTTCCTAAAGTCGATGCCTCTGAAGTAACTATGTTCTGTGGTTGCTGAGAAGATGCACTTGAAATATGTAACCTCTGAAGCTGATGGGGAAATGTTGAAGCTTGTGGCACTGATTGCAACCCTGGACTGTTAGAGGCAGGAAAAAGTGGCATCTCTAAGCATTGTTGAGCAGGTACTGTGTTTAAGGCATTATTTCCACCTGTAGGTGCTGGAGCAACAGGAATCCCTTTAGTGGTAGGAAACAAAAAAAACAGGATTCCTCCTTCATACAAGAAGAACAACTTAATAAACTATAAATAACATTTTCTCTTTCTCTAATCAAGATTACAAACAAAGTATATAAAAAAGTTACTTTGTTGCACAGTGCATCATTGACAACATAAGTAAATTTCTTTTACATTCAGCTTCTAATTAAGAAAAAAATGTTTGTCAATGGATTGCATATCTAATAGTCAAGAATAGAGGTTAGGTATGTATAGTAGACTGGTTTGTAAAGCTACACAAAATCAGCAGTCTTGAAGCCATTTGCAACAATGCCACTCCCCTTTGACAGTACAATCTAAGAAAATTTGCTGCCACCCATCACTGTACAGACCAAAATTATTCATAAATGCAAACAGGAAACATTGTTTTGTTGACACCTACCCATTTGAGGAGGCTGTTGTAATGGACTATGCTTGAATAATATTGTATTACTTGGCACCCCAAGTTCTTGCTGCACATTCATGAGTGGTCTTTCATTTGATAACTCAACATCACTTTTCTCAGCACTTTTTTCAGCCCACCCTGACACCAAATTCAAATCACTTGAAATGTTTTCGGAAAGACCATCATGTGAAGCAATTACAACAGGAAGCTTTTCAGGGCTTGGTTGAGCAGGACCATTCATCGATGATAGCGACATTTTCACTGGGCTCTCGCTGCTTTTCAACTCTCGATATGTTGCAATCTGGTCAAATGAACGTTTCCTTCCTAACTGCTCTCTAATAACATATATGTATCCTGAATCATCCACCACCTCTGATTCTTCAAATTCCTGTTCCCAACAGAAATAATACATGTGTCTTAGCATAACATCCATTACTAGTGACAGCCAAAATATTTGTGATTAATCCCTCCTTTAATTTCCCTAAAAGAACCATTCCAACACACTTTGAGTCATGCCTTAAGACAGGACTGACACACTTCTGACTTCAGTAGTGTGAGGAGATTATCCCAACACCCTAGACATAATGCAACTCAGCAACAGATTAACCCAAAAATTTAAATTTTTGGGCTTCCCTGACAAGTTGCTTGTATGTATTCACACCCCTTGTGGGGGTGGAAGGAACAGGGAAGTGAGACGGTGTAGCTTTGAGTGCACTTTCCTTTCCATTTCTGGGGCCCAAGATCATTTCATAGACACAGTGTCATGGGTAGAATTTTATGTTGGTACTGGTCCTTGCTCAGAGGTTTTTTTCTCAAGGTTGTCTGCTTTTCCTCCCTACACAAAACTAACAGTTCAAATTCTAATAAGACCTAAAAACAATTGATTGGGAGCTAATTTGTGGAATCTCCACCACCTACAATCCTACTCACTTCTGCTCTCGTGGCTGCACCAGCTGTAGCCATATCTATGTTCTGAAGAACTTTTACTGAAAAAAAAGAACAAGTAATTTGAGATAAGACCGTAACATTGCATTAGCCAACTTCAATGCACTCAAATTTCACAGGTGAGTAATTGCATTGTATCACATACCACATCTTGGAGTTGTTGTTGCTTCAGTGTCATAACTAAAGAATGATGAGTTGTCAAGGTCTTGTGCAATGCCAGTATAGCGCCTGTGCAACACTTTCCTTTGTATTTCACTCACTTGTTCTTCATAACCGACATCACCTCTCCTCAACATTGGTTCTGAATCAGCCGTTGTTATATCCATTCCTTCCTCATTTGGAACTACAAAAACAAACAAACAAACAAACAAACAAAACAAAACAAAATTACTTTGACTTGACTTAAAAAGTTTACAAACCATCAAATAAGCCATCTAGGAATTTACGATCATCAACCATGAACTTGTTAGTGACACCTAAATTGAGGTTAAAATTTTATGGTGATCATGCTTTTTTCAGTCTGCATCCCTAAACTTTGGAATAATCTTCCAGAGCATATAAATGTAGTTTAAATCTTACATCTTTTAAGAGCAACCTTAAAACTTATCTTTTTAAGTGCTATTTTAATTTAAAGTTTTGCTCCAGTATTTTTCGAATTTATTTACTAAGTTACTGCTTAAAAAATTTTATTGTAAGGCACCTTAGAGCTCTAGAATAGGGCACTATAGAAACTTTTGTATTATTATTATAATTATTATTATGATAAATATATAAAGCATACAAAATAAAAAAATACACAGCCAAAGACTTCACATGGCTACTGATATAGCACAATTTTTAAAGCATTGAAAATAATTAGAGGTTGTATGAGACTAGAAGGTAGTGTTACAGAATATTTGTCTCACATGCAAAACAGAAAACTTGCTACTCCCCACATATTTATAAGAACACTCTTCCACAAGAGAAAGTTAACAAATAATAGCATTAACAATAATAATAACAATGATAACAATGGTAATATAAAGAGGCTAGCTTGAAAGCCTGATGGTTCCCCAATCCTCTGGTCTCCAACAATGATTACCTGTGCTTCATATAATTTTGCCTCTTAATTTTCAATAAATGTCTTATTTCATTCCAATTCCTTTTTTGAGACTTTTTTTTCCCTATACAAAAAGGCATTTCACACTTTAGGACATTCCGTCATTCTATGTTATAAGATATTCCATCATTTTGCTGATCCACTGTTCCTCCATTCTATGATTATGTTGAATAACTCATGGTATTGTATTTTGTGGCTGGCTTGCTTGCAAATTTAGTGACTCTTTTCAGCATAAGTTGCTGATTCAAATAGTGAAATTCTCTCTTTTCAAAGAAAAAAACTTCCTCAAAGCTACCATGATGTGCAGATTACATATATTGAGATATTTCTGCAAGGAAAGTTTTGCTTTAAAACATGTGTAGGTGGATACCACTGTGAAATTATTTTGAGAAGTTTATTATATTTGAAGTGCCACAGCAAGAACTAAATAGATCATATCTTCAGATCTGCATAATTTGCTGATTTAAACAGTAAAATGCTCTCTCTTCATAGCAAAAAAATTCCTTTAAGTTTCATTACCCCCTGATCACATCTATTAAGATATTTCTGCAAGGAAAACTTTTGTTTTTAATTCCATGTTATTCTGAAATGATTGCAAGATGTTTACTGTCTTCTTCTGTCTTCAATAGTGTCATGGCATGAGTAGATCGGAATTCTATTGTTACACTCACTCACTCACTCATCTTGATGACACATGCGGCTTTGCCTTCTATTAGAGGCAGTAGTCACAAAAATTCAAATGATTTGAAACCAAACCTACACTTGAAATATTGTGAAGGCCAGCTCTTATTCGATTTTAGAAGAAATACTCTATCCAGTTGTATTGTCTAAACAGATGCAAATCTAGGAATCTGCCCAAGAATCCATGTTTGAGGTAAAAAAGACCAGTCATGAAATCAATAAGGAAGAAAAAAGACAAATTGTCTCAAAGAAATTCAGTTTAACTGGACCTGGTTGAGATCATGTCATGATCAGAATCACAATAGAGTAACAAACTGGCTACCAAAACACTTGGTCATAACTTGTTCACTTCCAGCTAATGGCAAATAGTGAGCAACATACATCCTAATGTTTCCTTATTCAACAATTGGAAAGGAATCAGAGGAAATTACACTATTTTATTTTTTCCCCATGAAACCTTTGATTAGCATATTTTAACCTGCGATACCAAAGCACAGAAACTCCCATGAGCAAACGAGTCACTCACTCATTAAGATGTTGACACTATTGTAAGTAGTTGTAACAAACTTGCCTGAGCCTTAAAAGCCACACATAAAAATTACCCAGGCTAGTTACAGTCTGACTGATTAAATTCAATTATCTAATGTAAACATTGGCTGCTGGAACAATCAGTGACACTTTAGCAGACAAAAATAATCTTGTACTTTCCTTACGAAAGGAGACTTGTTGAAGTCATTCCACATATCCTTAATTTCAATCAGTCAAGAAAACTTGTGGTGCATAAAAATGTATTGCGAGGTATATGGTTTTGAGGCACAAAAGTTTAGAAGTTTGTTGTCAGATACAAGGGAAAACCTTGTAAACAAAGATCATTGCATTAAAATGCAAATATTTATTGAGCAACTGCAAGGCAAAACATAACATAGGAAAGGAAAATAGTAGAATCTGCTTGAGCAGGCAAAGAAAGATTTGGATTGCAGAATTTAGATAAACCAAGATATTACTTTGTACTGATTTTCTAGACTGTCTGAGGTATGCATTCATTATTCTGCAGAGTTTAAAGGAGTTGGATCATAGATCACCATCATTCTGGATTTCTCTTCGACTTTCTGGAAGCTTTCAAGCAATGTCTCAAAATGAGACAGAAAAACCCTGCGACTTTTTGGCGTTCTTCCAGTCAATTAAATCTTTACAACGTAAGTTTTAATAAAAATAATTGATCTTGTCCCATCAAATAACACATTTCCGAGTAAAAAAATATTTCTAGTTAACGAGAACATACGGACCGAGTATTTCTACATTGTTTTTCGAGTCATATAGATGACCATAAACCAAAGGTCCTGTCAAAAGACTTATTCAGAAGAAGAGCTACAGGTTCCTTATTAAGAACACTCTTCCACCATCTCCTAAAGAGTATAGCGAAGACTCAACTGTCTTTTGCTTTTGTTCCCTCACGTATGTGTGCCACAAAAACGGATAAAAAAAGCACTGGGTTTGTACGATAAGGGCAACCTCGCGAGCTACATTAAGATTACAAATTGCTAGTTGAAAAACATTTTTCATTCCTAGATTTCTACCACAAGTTGGGGCATAGTACTGTTGTTCTTTGACTACATTACAACTCGAATTAGATCTTCAGAAAATTACTCACCATCTCCAACTTCAGCTCCACGTTTAGACATATCAGGTCAATATTTAACTTAGAACAAATTTTTTTCACCAAAAGCGACAGATCACCAACGACCAACTTACTGTAATGACTTCAAATTGAAGTACAAATCTACATGCAGCGTGCAGAAAATTTTTTGAGAATCAGGAGCTTAGAAACCAGGCTCAACTCAGTAGCCAAGCCTTCTGAATTTGTGCCCAAGCCTTTCTTGCTTGCGTGACCTTTTTTGTCACACTAGAGAATACAAGGAACTTCGGCGAGTAGTAAACACAAGTTCAAATTTTTAAAGCAGCAAAGAGAAAAACGTTTTGAGACTGAAAGGTAAGTAAGTAAGTATTTTAGTATTTTACAACCTAAATTTAGTGTTTCCTTTTGTAATTTTACAACGTACAGTAAATTGTCAAATCAATAACTCGAAAAGCTTTCAGCTAAAATTTAACTCTTTATTAATAACTTTATACTTTCTTGATCTGATATCTCAATTAGCGATAATACCAGAAATCATTTGCTTTTGTGGTATATACTATATGTATACCTAACTTGTTGAGGTATGTTGTCATGAAATAATGCACTTAGCAACAATTAATCTGATTACACAAAACTGAGTCAATGTTTAAATTGTTCCCTGGACTGCCTGGACTGCCTGGACATCTGAGGCAACTGATAATGCATTTTGGGAGTGGTAGGAATGCTTACTTCATAGTGGCTATGGCTGTACCTGTTCTTGAATTTGCCCTGTTGTTTTTAATAGATTTTCCATGCATTGTCTGTTATTTTTTTCAGGAAATTTTAGTCTGCAAGAAGAAAATTCTTTTACCGAAGAATCCTTTGCCTGTAACGTGTACAAATGTCGCTTACTACTACAGAATATGGGGCTTTTTTATGATTAGGTAACAAACAAAAAAAAATGCTTTCTTGGCTCATTTGCATCAAGCCACCTAATATAATTCACAAAGATTATTTGACATTGGATTCTCATACAAATACTGCAAGGTCATGCCTGCCCACCAACCCATCAAGGTGGTGTTGAAAACTGCAGTAAGGTCTATTGAATATAGTTAGAGTACTGAATTTCACTTTGACTTGTAATTACAGAATATGGGGCATTTTTATGATTAGGTACAAAACAAAAAAAAAAAAAAAAGCTTTCTTGGCTCATTTGGATCAAGCCACCTAATATAGTGCAATCAGTGTCTTGTTTTCTGTATCACGAGTCATTGCTCAGTTGGAATTGATATTTAAATCTTAATTATAATCATTTAAATCCAACTGAATGTATTTCTTTCATTACTTTTCCACTGACTGCCAAACCAGCAAGCCTTGAGGCATTAAACTGTGAGGACTTTAAAAAAGGCCCTATATTGTTTACATGTAGCTGCTTTGGGGGAGGGGAGTGGTAAAGTTTCAAATTTGGTGAAGAGTATGTAACACAATAATAATAATGATAATAATGTTAATAATAATAACAATTCATTTTTTCCATCCTTTGTTGCAAACGTATCTGACCCAGAGTCATTATTGGAACATACCAGAATAGCCTTTTTATTAATGCAAGGCCTCAGTGGTGCAGAGATATGATATGAAAATAATTTTCTCTTGTGAGAGGCATCAGTCAATTTAGGAATTACCAAGTGTAAAATTTCAAGTCAATATGGTCCAGAAACTACTCATTTTTGTAGAGGGTGGAGCTGGGAGGGGTGGAGGGGTCGAAATTATTAGTTTTGCGTACCGTTTTCACTCTTTGCACCCTGAGCACTCATACACGCACACTTCAGATGGATGCTCAACACAACAGCGTCAAAAAATAATCAAGCAAATAACTAAGACGTGCAAAGCTTCCACGGTTAATATAAATTTACCGCTATAAACAGTGAAAAGGATTACAGATTTTACTCCTAGCTTCTTTAAAGGTACAACTTCCTATGACGTTCTAACAAGATTATCAAGTTGTCAAATACGTATTTTCATATGACTGATACCAATTGCTTTGTTAAGTCGAAATAAGCTTAATGTCAAGAATAAATAAGCGGATTGCTACACTTTCGACGAATTTTGTGGTCCGTTAAAAAAAGTACTTGGTTCAATTACGTAGTTCACCGAAAGGTTAATTTTGTTTGCCTGCTAGGATTTCTTTTAACATTGAATACATTTTCAAGACCTGTGTTCGACGAGGTGCACTTGTTGCGATTGTTCTGCAATCTAGCGAGTCCTTCGGAAAAACGTCACCGAGAGCAGAGCGAAGACACTATTCAGAAGCAAGTATTTCCTAGGTTTGAAATTCCCTTTCGGTTCCATTTGACCGTGAGTAGTGTTTAGAATTCACAAAGAAAGCGTATTTTAGCCAAAGGCAGAAGATTCGTATTTGAACGGACCGCAGAGAGATAAGGTAATATTCTGTCCCGCGAAAATGACAAAAAAATAGGGTTAATTGATAACTTCCCATTTGTTTTTTCTCGCGCAAGAAACAAAGATGTTCCCTTCCCTGTTCCCATCCAATCGCACTTCAACCAGTCGGAGGAGGTGAGTGTAGAATTGTTAACAAATCATCAGAAGGCTTGGTTATCTAATTGAGCCTGGTGTCTAAGCTCCTTCAGAAAGTGATCCCAAAAAAATTTCTGCATGCGGCGTCCAGTTGACTCCTGCGCATGTTTACAACAGAGCACAAGGCTCTCTACTCCAGCGGATGAAGCGAAGAACGTTATTACTTTGGTGTACGTGAACTTAAAAATCATCCTAACTAACTAAAAGTGGAATTATAAAACCTGAAGGAAATATGGAATTTTTTTCTAGTGTGCCATCCAGTGCTTCTGGAAGTTTGGAGGTGAAAAATGAAAGAATAATTGATGGCCCTCTACGCAGCTTTTACGCTGTTTTCAGGTTCCCGCGTGGAATTAAATCGATTGCAAAGTAGTCAGTTTTATTGGTAAAGATGAACTTTGAGCGAGTTGTGAGTTCTTCTCGTAGCAAATTGGACTCAGAGAAAAATGAGAATGAGGAAATGGGGCAACGGCAAACAACAGAAGTGATCGGTTCAGATTTCAGAGACAGCCTCCTGCTTTTACTCCTGATGCAACAGCTGACGATTGTATGGGAGATTGTACTTGTGCCGGGATGTCTACTAAACAAGTGGAAGGGGACAGGGGGGCGGGAGTCCGAGAGTACAGGGGGGCGGGAGTCCGAGAGTACAGGGGGCGGGAGAGGGCGGGGAGCGGGAGAACAGGGGACGGGAAGCGGGAGCAGAAGTAAAGAAGGCGATACAAAGTTTCTTGTTTATTACTGGGTATCATTCAGTCAAAAACACTTACCTAGCAAAGTTTTGAAATTTCTATTTAACATCCACCAATGCTTAAAAGAAAATTTTGAAAGCAAGAAAACGTAAATTTGTACCTGGGCTGGAAAAACAGCATTACTTCCGGTGAATTTGGAAATCCCTTCAATTCGTTTACGACATACAACAAATTTACAGAAAACTTGACGTACTACGAAGTCATATAGTCTTGTCTGCCCCAATTTACACTCGATTATTAAACGGGCGCTTTAAACTCTCTGAAGAAACATTCTGCAAGATGCTTTCAGACTGCCGAGGCGAATGTGATTTGAAACAAATGAAATTGAAGAAAATCAATTTAAGAAGTTATCTTGACTCGGCGGAAGAAGAATCTCTAATCAAAATTTGGGGTTGGAAGAGTTCAGTGTGGTCTTCCCGGCGCAGGAGGTTAGAAGACTTCTTCTAATCTTAAAACTTTCCGCAGAGGTTTAAAGAAGATTTCAACCTATCGAAAAAATCTGATAATCAGCCGAACAAGAATGTTCAATCAAGCTTCATTTGCACTTAAGCTGCACGCTCAAAATGCAAAGGGTTAAAAAATCGATATGCAGTGATTTAAATCATCCCTAGGAGTCAGCTTTTTTATTCGCTCACGACTAGCTAAGACTAGTTACTTACGTCGAAAAGGGAAAGCAAGCACGGATACAGGATAAGCAAACTTTAACGTTGCATACTTTATCTAATTAGTTATTTATTATTATTATTTATTTAATTCTCCCCATGGGACTTTCAACGTTACGTCTGGCTCTTGATCTTTTTATTTGATTATGAAATGGCACTCCTGAATGCATGGAAAATCTTATATTAAATTGCAATAACTATTACATTACACAGTGGATCGAGACTTTCGCCTCTATAACGAGATGTCTGAAGCGATGGTCAAACTGTGATAACCAGGTCAGTGAAACTTAGCGTAATTAAGAAAACTGACCTGCAATAACTTTCATCGGGAACCGATGATCCCCCCGCCAGAAGAAGGCCAGAAAATGAACAACAATGTTAAGTTTTGGCACAGTTTGCAAGTTAAACCCGGGCTTCTAATCCTCTTGATTAACCTGAAGACGGAAGCAACACAGTGAAGGGTGGGAGTCGGGAGGCAAAGGGGAACAAAGGTACGGAAAGCGGAAGACTCTGACCTCCCTGTCTCCCCCCACAAACAAAGAAAAACAGCAATGTTTTAAAACTCTTTATGTCTCTTTTTAAAACAAAAACGCCCATATTGTCGCCTGTAACGAAGAAGATACCTTAGACAACTTTTCTGAACCTTTTCGTGATCTGCTTAAGAATAAAATCATTCCAATCAAGTTTCTTTTCATGCAGCTTTAATATTTTCCTGTTTGACAAATTATCTTTCGACCCTTTGAAATGTACTTTCTTATTATTTTAAGTGAGAGTAAAATTGTTTAACGACTAACGTATTATTTACTTGTTCTAAAATAACGTTAGGAAGCAAAAATAGAAATTCTTACTTTATGTGTTATTTTGAAACATTTTAAGACTTGACTGGAAAAGACATGCATAATATATAGATTTAACTAAGCCTAAAAACGGAACTCGCATTTATTTTTCCCGCACGTCTTAAGGGCACAACGCCTTGCCCCAGCTAGGACTAGCACCCGGGTCGTCCGCCTCGGAGCCGAGTGCACTGACCACTGGACTACTGGAAAAAGCCGTGGCGTTGGCGTGCCCGCGGTACAGTTGACCACACATATTAAAAGTAGCACCTTGTACGGTCGTACGGTCTTACGGTCGTACGGTCGTACATCCAAATTTTTTCGGCTTGATAGGTTACTACTATTTTGTATAATCATGGGGCTACGCTCTGCGAGCTCCGCTATGAATCAAATATTCACATCCCTCATAAAGATCAAGAGAAACAGTGAAGCAATGATATAATTTGAACCTTGAAAGCATCAGAAGCTTTCAGTCTTCTTTCTTTTGTATGAGTCAGTTTGCTGAAAACAAATAAACCAACAAAACAAAATATGGAAAGTTCAATTTTTGCAAATTTTAGGCATGTGATATTTCAAGGTTTAAATGATATCATTGCTTCACCAAAAAGAGAGGCAAAGTAAAAATGGTATTTATTTTCAGTCTGTAACAGCTTTTGGCTTGAATTCTTATTTTTTAAAAATTGCTTGTAGTAACTAAAATGATACCCCACCTTATGATTGGAGTGTTCAGTACCAAGGATGATAGTCATGAGTTTTTGGACAAGCTTCAGCTCTCAGTATTGAGTATTCATCACGTAACCATGTAGATCACACACACACTGAAGGTACTTGGCTTCTATCGTCTTGTACAGAAATTCACTCACAGTGGCCATGAAATCAAGAAAGTCTGGAGATTAACCTAACATTTTTTTTCAGTTCCAGGTTTCCGTACACATAGGCTTTTGCACTGTTCCTCAATCTCCTCTAGAAACTGATATTTGCCACATGCTTCGACTCAATAAGTAGGGAGCAACATGATAGTTTTTTGCTTTTTGCAGTGGTAAATATTTTCATTTTGAATGAATTAAACTCTGTTTAATGTTTCTGATCATAGTAAATTAGAGTAAAAAATGTATTGACATGAATTTTTTTTTATGACACACCTGTGTATTGTACTGATGTGATAAAAAAAAAAGTGCTCATCGCAAACCAGCTGTAAATGTAGCAAGATATAACACCTTCATACTTTCTTAAGGACTTCAGGATTTCTATGGCCAGCCCTCTCAAGTATTTCAACCCCTGTTGATTGCTTGGTTAAATTAGAGTCAAAGTATAGGATGTGGAAAAGGAGGATTTAATGTGTCGCAAGATTCACGGATAAATATGAAAGGGTTACCCCTACTTGCGGTTTAGTGGTTTACTTGCGGTAAAGCAGATAGCGAAACTGGATAGCGACAGACCTCATTTCTCTTTTTTTTACCAACCCAACCCTTTTCTTCGCGATTTCCTTTACATATTTAGGCCTCTCGATTTCTTCTTTGATACTGACTACAAGATTGTGGCAAGCATGTCCCACATAGTTTTTGTTCTGTGCTATTCTGACGTTGAATTCTTTTACACTAAAACATTTCTGTACGCTTGCATGACCTCTACAATGCCTTCTTTTCTGCTTTTCACTTAAAACAAATTAATGTAATGATTCATTTCTACTTCTACGTCTTTGAAACAACCTCAGCAATCCATTCTTCCATGAAAATCAGTTTCATGCCATTACAGCACGCAGTGGCTTTGGTTGGATGTTTTCCACGCATCAACAGGCAGTTTACAATTGAAAACTTTCAGGTGAAAAAAAAATAAACAATAGTAAAAACAATTTATATCTATCATTGTTAGCGCTCTATTTCCGGCCCATGTAAATCATACTTACTGTGTGGAGCCTATTGTTTTCCTATCAACCAATCAAAAAGATTGAATTAATCCGTTCTCCCAGTTGTCATTTTTTGGGTAAGTACATCATGTAAAGGGAATTATTATCACCAATATACACTATGTCCTATATCTTATATGTAATAATTCCCCATACATGACGTACCGAGCCAAAATGACCCCAGGCTCGAGATTGGCGACGAGCCGGAGAAGAAAATTGAAATATGAGTGGTCAGCGGTGAAATAGCCTAAATTGGTAAGTAAGTCATGCATAGGGAATTATTATTCCCAATACATATTATGTCCTATACTTTACATTGATATAAATATCCCATACTTTACACATAGTAATTCCCCATACATGACGTCCCCAGGCTTTAATTGCTCGCATAGAAACAAATCATTTGTATGATGAAATTAGAAGATCCTCGCAGCTAAGAACACTACTGAAACTAGTAGTTGTAAGTAGGACCTGAAAAAAATTTCAGGCCCGTACGGGATTTGAACCCATGACCTCTGCGATACCGGTGCAGCGCTCTACCAATTGAGCTAACAAGTTGTAGTTGCAGTGAGCCATCGTGGTAAAAATCCCGAAATGTTACCAATATACTTCGCTAAGTAAAAAGTTAAGAAAATTTTTCAAAAGCACTCACTGATTTTTTTCCCTACTTCCTTCGCTCTAACTTTTGTGTTTTCCTTGCCCTCTCTAGGCATGATTTTCGAAACTCTTCCACTCCCTAAAGTGATTAACAAGTAACAAGTTCGCAATCTCGACCATGCCCCTGACAAGGAGCCAAAATGACCCTAAGCTCGAGATTGGATCAGACAAGTTCGTAGCAAGCTAACATGGTAGCCTCCCCTTATGCAAATTGGTTTACCTCCTTTAGAAACGTCTCGGGAATATTTTCAGATTATGGTAGCGGGCGAGCAAGGAATTTTTTTTCTCTACATAAAACCTGATTTTAGGATACCTTTCACAACGAGTTATCTGGTGTCACAGAAATGTTTTCCACTCTATAAAATCCGCAGTGTTGCTAAATGTAATTTAGGCAAAGTTAAATCGCAAGCCAATGCGGTCAGCGGCCTCCTCCTCGAGCGTGCGTGATCTGTGGGGTGACCGCAGGGGCCTTTTGCTTATCTTGTGATCTTTGCGGATCTGTTGCTTGAGCGAATCTTTGCGGATTCTGGCTCCCAGCCCGTCCTTCCCCTTCTATGCATTGGTAAGTATGGGGTCATATGAGTATTTTCTACTAAATTCTTTCAAGCGTGACGGTGTCGGTTAGCGGCTGCATGCAGGGGTGGTTGCTGCTCGCAGGGTTGCCATGGATTCCTCCTTGCTATGCCTGAGGCGTTCAGGCTCCCGTCCAACCTTTAAGGCACCAGTTCCCAAGCTCATCTATTGGTGATGAGTTTAATTATTCAATAAACAGGTTTTGAGAATACTCAAACTAATCGAGTAGAAATTGCCTTTATCTAACAGTAAATTCTTGTAACTAAGCAGCTACAGGGGAGAATTTACTATCGGATCTTGGGTTTTCAAGGGTTAAGTTCTGCAAAGATTACGTCTAATCTTAAATGAAGTTTACAAAAAAGAAAATTATACAGAAAAGTAGCTAAATTTTAATGTCAATTTTACATTTGTATACTTGATATAAATATATTTATTCACAAATGCTCAATGTCTTTTAACAGTTTCTGAATCACGTTAAGTTGTCACACGCTAATATGAACGGTCTATATGTACAAATGTGTAAACATTGGAGACTAAACAGGAACAGCATACTTGTAATATGAATATTTATTTACAAACGCTCAATATTTTTAACAGTTTCTGAATCACCTTAAGTTGCTTCCCGCCAATATGAACAGTCTACATATACAAACGTGTAAATATTGGAGACTACTCAGGAGAAGTAGTTCTTGCTTCCATACATTAAGTGTAACATCTGTATAATGTTTCATTCGGTTTGATGGCGCTCAATTAAATCTTCTCCGAACTCAGTGTTGGTGGAGAGCATCAATCCTCTGAAAAACAAAAGCGTACTCTTTAGAATCATAATTCCTGTTATCCTCATGTCTTTGCATTTAACTTGGTATTTCTTAAATGGAAAAAATAATTTTAAAAAATTATAAACCACGGCTGTAAAGGAGCAACACTCATATAAAGTGCGCGAGATGTCATAGGGAAAATTTATTGGTTTAAGTGGTAATTTCACCAGCCTTTTCGCGGCCATTTCGTAGTTTCGCTACGCTAAAGCTCTCAGAAAGCACTTGTTCGGAATCCGGAGTCCAAACATACTCCTCTACAATCTTCTCAAGCATCAGAGCTCCCAAGTTACCAAATTTGAAATACCAAGTTCGTCCCCTCGAAAATTATACGTAAGTATTAACGAGGTACTACATTTTGACTTCAAACTAAGTAATTAAGTAAGTAAGTAAGTGAGTACGCGATCTAACCGTGCAAGAATTGCCATCAATTGTGCTAATATTGGATATGAACGCCGCATTGAAACAATATTTCAGCCACACACGACGAAATCACAAACCACATAGGACAAAGACACCTATCGAAATAAAAATAATCACAATTTGAGTCAAGGATGCCTTTTTATGTAGCCCCCAATTGTTTTCAGAGATTTCCAGTGAGGCTTCATTGCGGCCAGGCTGTTAAGCAATATTCCAATGACAGCGTCTTAGGTTGAATATTTTTAAAGAATATTTGAATACGATTTTTCGAACGGTTATATAAATCATTCAATGGCGGAGATAAAAATAACGTTATTTCTGGAGCAAACGTCTTCCTTGTTTGAGCCATATGGTTATTATAAATTGTGGACGTCGTAAATCCTCGCATAAATGCGACCAAATATCAATGAAAGTAATAATCGGTTGGGTTGAGTGTTACAATATAGGTACAAAGCTATAATAGCTACCAATACTTACACTGAAGACTCGTATTGCTTTAATCCTCCTCGGAAAGAACTGGTACCGAACTTGTCAGCGCAGGAAGCCTTGTTCCTAATTTTTGTCCTCTTTTACGTTCACTCTTGAAAGTGGGAATGAGTGGTTACAACATTCTCAAAGTATTTGTTCTGAAACTTCACTTTTCGCGACATAAAATTTCATCAATGGATTGCTAACTGTTAATTTCGTTAAACTGTTGTTCCATTCTACCTCTGCTATAGGGGAGCTCCATTCAAATCGCCTGTTTCCTCCTCATCGCTTCTTTCTTTAGCACGTCTGGTCTTCTCGGCTATTGAATTCTGATCGAAGTTCAAATTAAAAACGGGATTTCGTTGCTGAATATTCTGCCTTCGCGACTCTCGTGCAACTTCTCGCTTATGTTCACCTGGTAAAGTTAAAAAAAGAAAAAAATAATAATTAAACAAGTGAACATCAGATAATCTTCCCTTGACACAAACACGTTATTCTACTCAAAAGTTAATCGACTTCATGCACTCGACGCCGTCAAAGCTGTTTACGTTAAAAAATCACTTCTTACCAAACCAAAAATTTGTATGCTGCATATTTTCAAAAACGAAGAAAGAGAATAAGAAAATTTTAGGGATGTCTCTGAAAGCCATATTGAGTGACAGGCCTTTTCACCAATTAATCAAGTTACTTGTAATACTCCATATCCGAAGCATGAGGCGTCCTCTTGTTCGCTCCCTCTTTGCCTGAACCAGTAGAAAACTACTGTTGTAGTATTCTCGCCAATCTTTGTTACCTGACGAAAAATCTTCTTCGCTGCTACTTCCTCCTCTCTCCTGATCATTGACTTTGGGCTTTGGTTTGAGCCGACTAAGGTCTTGACTTACAAATTCCATGCAGGCTTTCATCAAAGATACCTCTTCTGCTTCGTTTTTTCTTCCGTATTTCGCGACAGTCACAGGGCCACAACACTCCTCTGATGTGGGGCTTTGATCTAAATCAGTTATAAAGTTGAAAACAGTAGAGATGCTGAAATATTTTGGTGAGAATTGTGTTCGTGAAGAATATTTTCAACGTTCTAGAAAAGATAAGTCTTCAGTGTGTGTTTCATTAAATCTTTCACATCAAATCTTCAATAGTAACTTGGACATTTCATACGTAAATAAATACACAATTTACTTTTTTTCAACAAAGTTTTACCTCGTAATTACTGAAATTCATGTGAGAAATTTGGGGTCGAAAAAATTTACAGTGACAAATTCAAACGCATAGGATTGCAACCTATTAAATAGCATTGACTCCTTGTCATATTTTCCTTGCTTTGGTTGATTGTTGTAATCACTTTGGTTTTGATTTTACGACACTAAATTGAAAAGTGCTCTAAACTACCACAAATATTACTATTTGGGCGACAAATATTACTATTTGGGCATCACTAACAACTGGACCGCATACTTTCCGCTTCTACTGCACGCCTTATACATACCGATTTTGTTTTCATTTGGAAGTTATACTGACATATCATTTTCTATTTTCAAATTCAACTTATATTTACATAACGTGTAATTTTCTTTTTTTTCTTCACACGACCCTAAAATTTCATAGCTTAAAATGTTATCGATTATATATAAAGGTCATGCATCTACCTATCTGTAGAACATTCTGAAATTTATTTACGTGTAAGTAATCAGGATGAAAAATATAGGGTACCTTCACTCGAAGTCGTTGAAGACTTGTCTTCAGAATGAGGGGTTTTGGAACTAGAAGATTTACAAGACGATGACTCTTCATCACCTTCATATTCAGTTTCTTTTATCTCATCAGTGTGATCTGTTTGTACATAATGTGATAATTTAATTAACACAAATCATCATATAACTTTACTTAAGTTTCGGCTTATTCAGCATCTCAGTGCTGATTGGCACATTGCAAATTTATATAAAAGTAAACAAATAGAATATGAGGTACTAGATCAAACGTGTACACTTGCCTATTGGTGCCTCTCAAAACAACCAACTACTCGTGAATTTTATTATAATTTTGTTAAATTATGATAAAAAATTCTGAAATTTATTTACATGTAAGTATTCAGGATGACAAAAATAAGGTACCTTCACTCGAAGTCGTTGAAGAATTGTCTTCAGAATAAGAGGATTCGGAACTAGAAGATTTACTAGACAATGACTCCTCATCACCCAAATATCCAGTTTCTTTGATTTCATTAGCGTGATCTGTTTGGACATAATGTGATTATTTAATTAACACAAATCATCGCATAACTTTACTTAAGTTTCGGCGTATTTGGCATCTCAGTGCTGATTGGTACATTGCAAATTTAAACAAAAGCAGAGCAATAGAAAATTTAGTACCAAACGTGTACACTTTCCTATTGGTGCCTCTCAAAATAAACAACCACTCGTGAATTTTAGTAAAATTTTGTTAAATTAGGATAGAACATTCTGAAATTTACTCACATGTAAGCAAACAGGATGATAAAAATCGGTTACCTTCACTTGAAGTCGTTGAAGAACTGTCTTCAGAATGAAAGGTTTCGGAGCAAGAAGATTCACTAGACGATGACTCTTCATCACTTAAATATCCAGTTTCTTTGATTTCATCAGTGTGATCTGTTTGGACATAATGCGGTTATTAAATAACACAAATCATTATATAACTTTACTGGCGTTTCGGGGTATTAAGCATCTCAGTGCTGATTGACACATTGCAAATTTAAAGAAAAGTAGAGCAATATAATATTAAGTATCAAAATTCTAACTGTTGAAAGGCAAACGAGTTAGTTGTTAAGGCAATGTAACAGCGGTAGGCTCAATATCTAGCGGATCCATAGGGTCTCATAATCGAATCGAGTCGAAGCTAAATAGAGAACTACCACGTAGTAAATCCGGTTAAGTGGCAAAGTAGGAGATTTTAACCAGGAAATTCTGAATCTCGCCGGCATTCACGAATGCCACGCCTATGTACTGGAGAGTGTTTACTTACTAAGTCGTCTTTGCGCTTCCTCAGCACCTATTGCAAGCCAACCGACTGTTGGGGGGAATTCTTGATCGTCCCAATTCTCGTCAGAGAATCTACGCATTAATTTAAAAGCTAGAAAGACTGCCTTTCCTGCAGGAGGGGAGTTGAAGAACAATTCAAACAGTTGTTGGCCAGTATAGTTTGCTGCTATACGAACCAGTACGCGTAACACTTGGTTTGGTGGTGAGAATCCTAGAAAAAGTGATAAAGAGTTTGATAATGTTTACCAAAAAAAACAAAAAAAAAATTTGCAATGTTCAAAACATTTTAGAACTGAGGCTTTGATAAGAATTGGTTTGAATTCAGGAGTAACATTTGATCTTTTAGTCTTATCGTCAGGATGAGAGTAGTCCTGAAAAGAACTGTAGTCGGTTACAGTGACTTGCGTTTCAACAACCTCAGCGAAAGGTTATATCAGGGTCAATTGAGAAGTTTTTCAGGGTCAGTCGGGTCCAGAGTTCTTGAAAACCAAACAGTCAGTTTTACAATGATGTTATCTGCTGGTGACTAAATTAAATATGAAAGTAGCTAAGTAATGGGCTTCATTTTACAAGGGTAACGCCTAGCAGTAACTACAATTAATGACAAACCTGTAGCCGCCTTTTATGGTACAACAAGCCTTTGTTATATATGAGAAAAAATGCTCCAAATTTAAAAAAATGAGGGTCACCTCGACAACCGATCCTAAAATAACTGCCATCTTTCTACAAAGGACTCTATCTTCTGCCCCTTAGATGGCCGTTACGAGGAGGTCAGACTGCTTTTTACACTCGTCATGTTCAGGAAAAGAAAAAAAAACCTTAGAACTCAAGAGTGTACTCGCGATCTCAAGGTGTTCAAAATAGTTGCAAGAACGTACCTGCCGAAGGCTGCGGTAAATCTTGTCCTTCACTTCTCTTCGCTTTATCAACCATAAAATCAGCCCAATGGCAGAAAAACTCACTTTGTAATTTTGGATCTTTAACCAGTCGTAACAGTGTTTCCTTATCTTGATCGTAATAGTCGAAATCAGTCTTTCCAAGAATTCCTCCAGTCGAAGAATACACTGTAACAGTTACTTTGCCAGGCTTATCAGATGCTGAGGTACAAAATTGCAAAAAAAAAAAAAACAGTTTACAAAAAATAACGTTAAATGCAGGAAACGTACTCGAAAAAAGGAAGTATAAAACATTTTTCTAGTGTTTAGGCCATAAAAAACTTACCCGGAATTTTACCGCTCAAATTAAAAGCATTAGTTCTTTTCAAGTTAGCAACAGTCTTCTTTCCAAAATCTGCCCTGGCAGAATTTACTTCCGGTGGAAGACCCTGCGCAAAAACTAGGATAAATGGCGATCCACCCTAAAAGAAACGCATACTATCGGTTAAATTTATCTTAGATAGCTAAGTTTTAGAGGAGGAGTACGCCCCAAATGGTTTCTGGCACATACTTTTACTTTCAGTGGCAACCCTCTCGACGCAAGCACACAAAATCGAAAGATAATTACATGTTCGGAGAAGTATAAATTCAAGTCAAGTTCAAGCGCCAAAAGGTAGTATACTACTGTACAAAATATATATATATTTACCTCAATGGGCCCTCTATTAGGAAAGATTTCCAAAATATCTAAAAGGAAATAAAAGTTACTTGATTAAGTCAGTGTTAACAGGGTATTTCAAAGGCTAACTCAAGTTTACAGACACTCCTAATCGTTGTTAAAATGGGTTTGCAAACTAATACAGTACAACCTTCACCTAGGAGACAATCTCTGGACAAGAAAGTGCCCCTTGGAATAGAGGTGCTCCCTCAGTGAAGGAACAGCTTCAGTGGAACCTTTATTTAGGGGACTTATAAAAACCTTGAAAAGTGTCTTTAAAAGGAGGGCCTTTCTTTAATGAAGATAAACTATTCAGTGAAACCTCCATTCAGGGGACAAGCTGAAGACCAGAGAAAATTTTCCCTGAATAGAAGTGTTCCTTCAGTGATGGTAACAGATACAAAGATGAAAGAAAAGTTTACTAGTCTGGATCCAAGGCTGCTTCCCTTAAAGAACGTGTTACTTAGAGAGAATTTTCCCAAATGAAATATTTGAACTATTAGAATATTTGCGAAAGTGAAATAATCTCGAACGTCAGCTCAGGTAAGACATCCATGTATGTACCTTCGGACTTTCCAGATGAATCCTTTAACGACAGTGGCTGTAAAATAACAATATGTAATGAACTGTAAATGGTTAAAATTTCAATTATGGTTAGAACTAAGGACAGATGGTAAAATGTAAAATGCAAATCAGAAGACAAGAAATTGTTTTGTTTTATGTAATGATGTAGAGGGATAATTAACTGTTGTTAGGAAAAAAACGCATCATAAAAAATAGGGAAATTCTTTACTTCACTGAGACCTTGTTCTGGGAGAGAAGAAACAAAGAAAAAACTAAAGAAAATCGAGTTCTAAGCAGAGAGAGGATTAAAAGAGAGCTTAAAAAACCGATTCAAAGAAACTTGTATAATAAACTTCATACAAGAGAAATCAGGCTAAAAGGTTTTTTATGTAGTGGACGTCTGCTGAAACATCAGGAAAAACGGTCAATGAGAGCGGGTTTGGAAAAAATCGTTTTTGCACGAGGTAGTAAGTAACCCATGATTAGCTACCTTCCTTATACTATCATAAATATTAGCAAAAACAAACCTTTACACCTAAGGCGACATTCGAAAGCATATCGAGTCCGTTCTGACAAAGAAACAAAGAAACAAACAGAACAAAGATAAAATTCCTGACATCCTGATGAATTCTGACAGTCAAGAGCAAGATCCAAGATAAATCCAAAACTTACTTCAACGCTTTTCGATTGAGGGTCTTAAAACCAAAACAAAGTTATCACAACGGCCAATCAGATGGAAGGAAAATAAAGAGCCAATGAGAACTCAAATTAGATACAATCAAACTGCCTAAGGCGCGGGAGAACGCGGGCGACCAAGTCGTGGTTGGTTTTACTTTTGCGTCTGATTAGTTGAGAGAGTGGCGCGAGTTTTTTGGGCCAATCACAGAGCGAAGTAAAGCAAAACTTAACTAATCTCGGATTACTTAGGACACTCAATTGAAAATTGGCCTTTTATAACGTCCACACTAAACCATTGAAACCACTAATTAGTAGGTGAGGCACATACACGAGAGAGGAATCACTTTGGATTGTCACGATTGTTGCATTCAAACTCCGCCAGTTAAAAGTACATACGAAATCATGACGTTATCGCGTTTTGAGAATCCAAGTAGTTTAACTTTAATTGGTAGTTTCGGAGCATTTTTTGTTTTTTCAAATTTACAACTCGGTAGGAACCCTTTGCAAACGAGTAAGCAAAGCCAGGAAAGCATGATTCACAACCGCATAGCCAATTTTTGAGAAAGAAAATTTCAAAGGTCCACGAAACCCTCTGTTCCAAATTACCAAAAGCGTAAACCTTTTTCTAGGGAGTGAGTTTTAGTTGTAGTAAAACACTTTCCAAACGAGGTTTAAGTAAAACAGGGGTGATTCACAACTGCATACCCACCAAAAGTCCAGTAGGTTCTTACTAATGATATTTTTAACCATTCTTTATCGTAAGTGTTTCACTTTTTTAATGACATATACCTCTTTTGCAGGCATTGGTTTAGAGAACAAGTTATGATGTCAAGGATATTACTGTCCTTCGACGTACCTGAATCCCCTCCTCCATAACAATGTAAAGAGCTGAATTTCCCTTTAGGATTCTTCTTATTGTTTTTCCATCCCATACACGAGGATCCCCATGAAATTGAAGAGTACTATCCGTGTTACTGATTGATGCGCAAGAAAACCTGCCCAATAGAAAAAAAAGCATTATTTCTCAAAGGGAATTTTAGTGGTAGGGAATTTATTCTTTTTCTTTCTTTGCCTCCTGGGTCATAACCCTGGAACTGGCCATTAAAAAATAAAAACTTGAATTGCAAATGAACAAAATCTTGAGATTCCTTTGGAAAAAACTGGAACAATCTGTTGTGGAGTCAGTTTTACAATTACCTCTGACCTCAATGAATAAAATTTTATTTAACTAAAATTCCTACTTTAAATTTCCTTTACCTTACACTTAAGTCAAAGGCGGGAAATGTTTCTTGAATTTTTTTCCTCACTGCATCTTCTGACATGCTTTTGGAGAATTGGACCTGTTTTTTATACTGTCCAGTCTTTCTCATTCTTGCCATCTCAATAGTGGTTGGCATAAGTATATTACCATCCCTTTGTGCTAAGTCCTCATTCTTCAACAACATCACATTTTTAGCATAAGTGTCCCCTCTCGTGGCTGCACCAGCTGGAGCTATATGTATGTCCTGAAGAATGTTTTCTGAAAAACAAATAATGTGTAATTAGAGATAATACCATTACATAGCATTACCCAACTTCAATGCACTCAAATTTTACGAGTGAGTAACATCCTTGTATTAACAACTTGCCAGCAACTTCACTCTAAATACCTCTTGATAGTGACTTAATTGCCTTTTCATACAAGAATGAATTTCAAAGGCTGACTCAAGTTTTACAGACACTACAAATCACAATTGATATGGGTTAACAAACTTAAGATTAAAGTGAAAAATTAATCCCGGGGATAACCCAAGGACTAGAAAAAGAGTTCCTTAGAGAGAAGTGCTCCTTCAGCAAAGGAACAGATTCAGTGGAACCTTAATTTAGGGGACAAATAAAAACCACAAAAAGTGTCCCCAAAAGGTGGGCTTTACTTCAATGAAGGTAACAGATAGAAAGGACTTCCATTCAAGGAATAAGCTGAAGACCTGAGAAACTTTTCCCTGAATAGCGGTGTTCCTTCAGCGATGGTAACAGATACAAAGATGAAAGAGAAGTCTATTTCATTACATCTGGATCCAAGGTGGCTTCCCTTGATGAAGGTTTTACTTAAATAGAGGTTTCCCCACATAAAAGCTTTGAATGATTAGAATACTTTTAAATTAAGAAAGTGAAATAATCTTGCAGGACAGCTCAGGTACAACATACATGCATGTACCTTCTGACTTTTCAAATGTTCCAAATCCTAAATCTTCTGATAGCAGTGGCTGCAGAATAAAAATATGTAATGAATTGAATATGGTTAAAATTTCTATTTTTAGCTTAGATCTAGAGAGAGATTTTGAAATTGTAAGATGCAATTTAGAAAGCAACTGTTTTCTAGTATCATAATGATGATGAAGCAATAATTTACTGGAGATTGGAAAAGGGCTGATAAGTAATACCATTACCTGTTGTTTCAGCACTTGTTCAATAAAATAGAGGGAGGGGACTGAGATTTTTTTTTTAAGGAGTGTTGAACACCAATTTTAAATTTTGGCTAGGTGTAGGGGTACTTCATCAAATGGGGTGCTCACTTAAGGGGAGGTGCTAACTTATGGATTTTATGATTTAATTATCAGATTTAAATTTCCCATACTAGACATTTCTTAATCTATAGATTTATACCTCAAGATCAAACATTTGAAGAGTGGAAAGTCCACTACTTTCTTGGTCTCTAGCCAGAGCAATTGCTTCTGCTGACTCTTTCTCTGGAACTTGAGAGGAGTCAGTTTTCTCAACATTAGGCTCTTCCTGATTAGGAGATTTGAAGTTTTCTGTTTCCTGCTGACCCCCTTCTACATCAGTTCTGTCACCTTCTGCCCCTGTCAAAGACAACTGCTGAGATATTTCAGTGGTGTCAACAGTTGTTAGGGCCTCGGAACTTCCTAAAAGCGATGCCTCTGAAGTAACCATGTTCTGTGGTTGCTGAGAAGATGCACTCGAAATATGTAAGCTCTGTAGCTGAGGGGTAAGTGTTGAAGCTTGTAGTGCTGTTTGCAACTCTGGATTGTTAGAGGTAGGCATCTCCATGCTTTGTTGAGCAGGTACTGTGTTTAAGGCATTATTTCCAGCTGTTGGTGCTGGAGCAACAGGAATCCCTCCAGCAGTAGGAAACACAATAAACGGGATTCCTCCTGAATACAAGAAGAATAACTTAACCTAAAACAGGGTTTTCTCTTTCTTAAATCAAGATTACAAAAGGAGTATATAAAAAAGATGCTTTCCTTAGACTGTGCACCATTGACAACATAGTTAAATTTCTTATACATTAATCTTCTAATTAGGAATTCTTTATTAATGAATTGCAATGTTCAACAGTAGAGGTAAGGTGTGTATAGTAGACTGGTTTGTAAAGCTACACAAAATCAGCAGTCTTGAAGCCATTTGTAACAATGCCACTCCCCTTTGACAGAAGAATCTAAGACAATTTGCCACCACCTATAATTGTACTGACCAAAATTATTCATAAATGCAAACTGGAAACATTGTTTTGTTGACACCTTACCCATTGGAAGAGACTGCTGTAATGGATTATGCAGGAATAATATTGTATTACTTGGTGCCACAAGTTCTTGCTGCACATTCATGAGTGGTCTTTCATTTGATAACTCAACATCACTTTTCTCAGCACGCCCTGATACCAAATTTGAATGACTTGAAATGTTTTCAAGTGGATCATCATGTGTAGAAATTACAACAGGAAACTTTTCAGGGCCTGGTTGAGCAGGACCATCTATTGATGATAGTGACATTTTCACTGGGCTCTCACTGCTTGTCAACTCTCCACATGTTGTAATCTGGTCAAATGAACGTTTCGTTCCTAACTGCTCTCTAATGGAAGATTCATATCCCGAATCCTCTGATTCTCCAAAATTCCCATCCTAAAGGAAATAATACATGTGTCTTGCTATGACATCCAAAATTGGTGACGGCCAAGATATTTGTAATTAATCCCTCCTTTAATTTCCCTAAGAGAACCATTCCATGACCAACACACTTGTCTCTAGTCAAGACTGACACACTACTGACTTAAGTAGTGTGAGGGGATTATCCCAACACCCAGGATGTGATGCTACTCAGCCACACATTACCCTCAAAATTTATTTTTTGGGCTTTCCTGACAAGTTGCTAGTACACATTTATATCCCTTGTATGGGTGGAAGGAACAGGGAAGTGGGATGTGCACATCTCCAATTACTGGGGTCCAAGTTCATCTCATAGAACCAGTGTTATGTATGGGTAGAATTTTATGTTGGTACTAGTCCTTGCTCCAAGGTTTTTATCTGGGTTTTCTGCTTTTCCTCCCAACACAAAAACTAACACGTAACAATAAGGCCTAAAAAAAATGGATTAGGAGCAAATTTGTGGAATCGCCACCATCTAAAATCCTACTCACTTTCTCGTGTTGCTCATGTTGTATCTTTTCTATATCATGACCTATACCCCAGTCACACCAAAGCTTAAACAAGTTTTAAAGGTGTTTTGTTAAACAAAGTTTAAACTTTTTTTCTTCAGAGAAGCTGCCTAAACCAATGTTTTTGATCTTCAAATGTAGCAAAATGAAAATACATGCCAGTGAAAGTTAGGGCTCAAACCAGGATGTTTCCATTTGCAGTCCAGTGTGCTCAAACATAAGACCATCACATGGGGCCCAGTATGGCAGCCTTTTCCTTATCACTCCCACGATTTAAATATCAATTTTCAGCACTGTTTCCCATACATTTCTTATAAGTCTACCCCTAAAAATTTGGCGTCAAATCAAGTAATATCCTGTAGTCAATATTGTTCACTCTTCTCAACAATTTCATGCTTGAAATGTACAGATACTACTGTAGAAGAAGAAATTCCTTTGAGGTCACTCTTGGAAACAAAAGGGTTCAGGGATCCACGCTGCCACCTTAAAATCAAAACACAATCATCGGTAAACTTCTACTGATGCCCCTGCTCCCATACCTCTTCTACAAAGACATAAAGAGCTGAGTTTCCTTTAATCACTTTCTTGATGAAGCGTCCATCCCAAATGCGACGTTCACCATGAAATTCCAATCTTGTTCGATAGTTAACCACTGAAGCACAGTAAAACCTGGGAGAATAGGAATTAGTATTAACACATAGAACTTTGACAAAGTATTTGGACATATTGACAGACTGACTAGATGACCAACTGACTGATTTATTTCTTTTTTCTAGCAGCAATGTCTTGGCTTAAGTTGCATCAGGCTTACTCTGAAGATAATTAAAGGTCTTACATGCATATAGTACCTAGTGTAAGCAATTTTCCAATAACTAAACAAATTACACAAAAAAATTTTTTACCTTCTGTCTCTCAAAATTGGAAAGTTTTCCATTAATATGGATTTTACATCGGTTTCGGTCATGTTTGAAGAAAAGTGTATGTTTGTTTTGAATTGCCCTTTATCTGGTTTTTTGAGTATAGCCATTTCAATGGTGTTTGGCATAAACACCATACCATCCCTAACTCCAACATTTCCCCTCGTTAGAACCACAACGCTTTTTCTTGTAGTTGCATCAGGGTCTTTCCTCATCCGTTTTGCCAAGAGAGGTTCAATAGTAACATTCTCCGTATGATTCTCAACAGAATTTGCAGCCATTGTTAGTAGAAATATGTTCTGTTCAGAGATACAAGGAGAGAACCACAGTCAGTGTCCCCTTGGAAATCGTGTGACCTTTAAAACCCAAGATCCAATTGGTAATTTTCTCCTCCTACTGACTTAAATTCCTTTGTAAACCTCGTGTGTACCATTAATTTCAATCACTTCCTTGACTCCAAAGATCTGATTAGTAATTCTTTAACCCTTTAGCTCCCAAAATCTCAGTAGTAATTCTCCTTACTATCTGCCATACAGTTCTTGTGATGTTAGTTTTGAGAATTTGGACAGGATCAACTAATAATCCTCTAACTGATATTTTCCTTTATTCCCATCACTTGTCTGCTTGACAATGTATTGATATTGTAAGGAGAAATTCTGTCTTAGTCACTTATGGGAGTTAAAGGGTTAACCTTAAAACTTATAACTTGGGTAACAGTACTTGTTGTTAAATCAGGGAACACATTCAGTTGACTATTAAGTCTACTCTTGTCCTCTATTTGCTTGGTAATGTCATGGTATTACACAGGGAAGTCACAAATTAACCTAAAGGCCTTGAGCCTGTTTGTCAAAAATACTAGTGACTTAACAAGCCCGCTGCTATATTTAAAAACCAGAATCAAAAGAATAGAGAAGCCGGGCTTGGCAACATAACCAGTCAATTTTGGTTCTTTAGGTAATAGGCTATTTGACTTATTTTCAAAAAAATTTGAATAAAGACAAAGTTATTTTACAGGCCTATTAAGTTTTAGAGAGCTTCAAGAGAAGGGACTCCTAGTAAATTCCAGTGACTTTGCTGCAAGAGATACATTATACTTTATAAATTAACTTCTACTTTATAAATTACCATAACATACAATTACTTTACTTCAAGAGTTAGTTTTAACTTAGCATAATGCCTACTGTAGTTTACTGCGCTCCGCATTCTGACGAAGCACACAGCTTCAATCAATCAAAGTAAATGTTGAAACAACCCTTATGATGCATAGATATTAACTCTGAAGCGCTTCATGATTTGACATAAAAAAAATCTTCCATGGAAGAGGTGAAAAAATTTGTGTTCCTGAGTTTAAATGTGTCTCATGTCTCATTACAAACTTATGTTCCTGCATGCACATAAGATGCCTTTATGCCTTTTGCTTACACCATCTTGTGTAAAATTTTGGGAGTCTTCTTTGCTGACTACCATAAACCCCAGTACATAACAATGTGCAAAATTTTTCCACTTTGCAATCCCAATCTTCTCTGACGGTTTGCCCCTTGAGCACTCTCTAATCTTCTCTTTGGTCCACAACCCTAAGAAATGCTATTCTACAGACCTGGTTTGTACATTTTGTTAAATTTTCTCTTGGAAAATTTATTTCTTTTCTTCCTTTTTGTTTTTTTGATAACTTATCATTTAAATATCTATTATAGAGTTTTTTTTTCAAAAAGGGATCAGGGCATAGCTTCCCTTTCAGGTTCCCTCTTAACTTCTTGAACACATACCTACATACATACATATAAACATTATTTAGTCTCCAATTTACAGAGTAGCACCCAAACGCTGATACCTTCACGCCAACTACATCAATAACTAATTAATGAGACAAGTTAATTCTATATAACAAGCAAAATAATTAACTACCTAAACAACCTTCTTAATCAACTCAGTGTACTTAATACTGCAATACAAGATTAAAATTCCACTATTTTGTTCCCGTTAAAATTATAGCGATGTAGCCAGAGTTAAAATCCATGAGAGTAAATGGAAGAATACATTTCTTTAAAAGGCCCAGTTTGTCTGAATCTTGTTTACTAAATAAATGCCATACAATAGAGTAGAAAAGTGTCTACAGTGTCCTGTAGAGACATAACATGGTTGCAGTAGGCATGAGTTTGCCAGATATTGTCATAATGATGAAGTGACTGTTTACTTTTTTCCACAGAAAGGATGTATGCCGCTTTAAAGTAAGATCATTATCAATTGTAACGCCAAACAGATCCATCGAGTAATTTACTGAGAACTTAAACTGATGGTTAGTGTTTCCTAATGTCATCCCTTAGAGTTTGCCAGAGGCAATCCTTTCCAATTTTTGTCATCCTTGGATTTTTCTTGTTAATTATTATCCCCTCGTTATTCATTTTTCTATACAAGTTTTACACCTTTTGGTGTCTTTGTTTCATCATTTCTTCTAGTACAAGGAAGCAAAGATGAAATAACACAACTTAACTCCCCAAAGGAATATCCAGTCACTAAATCTCTTATGTTTCCAACATATATGAAACTAATATCATGAAGAGGGTCATTCAGAGTTAACAACTGAGTTAAAAACGTAAATATTGGCCACCGTAAAGAGTTTAAAAGCTGACGTTTCGAGCGTTTGGCCTTCGTAAGAACAATGTGAAGCAGTCATGAAGAAACAGATGTGCCTAAACAGTGACCGACCATAAGAAATATCATATTCGAAAACACCCTTTCTAGCCAATATCACAAGCATTAAAATTTTAAGTCAATACAATTATACTGCGTTGTTTTTCCTACATAGAATGACTTCATACAATGGTAAGTTCCCTTTTGATGGAGAGACAGCACAATCATCGTAAGGAAATACATGTAATTAAAAGCCGATGCAAATTTACATGTGGTCAAGCCAACTTGTCAGAGCACGTTTTTTCCATGAGGCAAATAGTCTTGGAGGTGAAACGGCTTGCCGGAGCCTTTTTGCCAAAGTCCAATCTCGTGACTGGCAGAGCGCCATACTTTAAAGACGGCCATGATGTAAAGCTCGGTGGAGCGAAAGTGTCAATCAATATGTTACTCGCAAAAGGCCACGAAACTGCCGAACAGCTTTTTCAGAAAACAGTGCAAGTCGCGGGCGATCGAAACCGAATCTTAAGTTCGAATTCTGACCAGTGGTAAAGACCTAAATTAAAAGAGCGACGAAACACCCTTCGAACATTTCGAAAATTAGTCTCAGCACAAGGCAAAGGTGGTGGTGACTAGGAAATGACGAATAATTTAATTTTATCACAATATGAATTCAACAAAACCTTGCTACACATTAAGGGTATTTACTTGCGTCTATCGTTCGTCAGAAACAAAGCTTAAATGAGCCATATGTATGAAATTACTACTTTTTAAGACAAAAATTACTAGGAGTTCAATACTGGCTTCGCGAGGTTTATGCAAGGCGAAATCGAAAGGGGAAGTCTTCTCAAAGGCACGAAGGTGGACAGCGAGCTCGAGGGAGACCGTTTGATTGTACGTGCGTTCGTAAAGACGACGTTTTAGAAAGATTTATAGCCATGTAGTTTGACAAAAACGCTCATAACTAAAATACCAATAGATCTTAAGATTAGATTAGTATTCAAGGCGGTAATTCCAACGATGGAGTTTGCGCGGCCGAGAAAACCAACATGTCAACAAGTTATAAAAAGGGACAAGCCTATTGTTATTGACTTACGGTTAAAACAGAGACACCCTACCGTATTTTGATTAAAAAAAAGGTTTTTGATCAAAATGTATGTCTTTTAACTAATTTGAATCAATATCTCGTCAATAAGGGTGCAAAAATTTGTGTATTTCTTACCTTCTGCCGTGGCGACGACGTTTCACTTTGTGAAGTCATGTGACCGTTTCAAAGGCGCCGCTAAGGTTGCTGGGCCACGATTTCAAAATTTTTCGAGTTTTTTCTTTTTCATGTTTGTTTTGTTTTGTTTTTTTTAAGTTTTGGATTTTATGTTTTTTTTCCATTTTCCTTTTTTAATAAAAAAATTGTACAAATCAAAACAAAAAACAGTAACAGAAAAATATCTAAATATTGCTTTCTCCTCATTTCTCTTCATGCTGCTTCTTGCAGCAGCCAAAACAAACAAACTTCGTCACCCAGGTAAGTACTTTTCTGGAACGGCTTTTCTGCGAGAAAGAAAAAATTAATATCCCTGACAATGTAAACAGTAAGAAAAATCGAGACTAGGCCTGTATGATTCGTCGCGCTTACATACAATTTATAGCGCCGCTGACAATATACCTAGGGCGCAGTTTCCCACGCCATGTGTGTAGTTTGAGTGTTACTTACATGATTTTTTGCCGTTTTTTTACCGAGTTAGTTTTAGCGAAGGATCTTAGGCTGTGTAAGAAGCAATAAATTCGAATTGTCGCCGAATAGACCCTCATTTTTTATTCGTTTTTATTATCCGGTACAAGAATACAAGGAATCAGACGCATAGAAGTTGTTGTGTCTTATTTACTCTGCCAAGCGTAGCTGGCCCCTACAAGGCCCTTATAGGTTGTGCTAGCATAATTTTTGGCATAATTTGGAACATCGAGCAAAATTTTTCTCTTTTTATACAGGTAGCACTGCGAGTATGATCAGTATATTTTAGTTTTCTTTGACGTTCCGTTCTCTAGGATTGTATGCTTTTAAAATTCGGTCCTTTGTTCAGTCTTCGAGGACCGTTTGTTGTCTTGAGGACTGGGCACACCGGAAATAAAGATTGCATCGGTACCAGTTCCCGCTTTCAAATTCGACAAAATGGCGTCGAAGAGAAACGTTATGCTTACATGAAGGATTTTGACACATTAAGTCATCGCTTCTAGTCTCGGATTAATGAGAAAGTGTCTAAATTTTCAACAAAGAGCGTAATGAACAAGAAAATGAAAGCGACCTTCGTAAGAATGAACACTACTTAAGCAGTAGGGAAAATAAAATGAGGCGAGCGCGGAGAGTAAGAAACGTGAAATGTGAAGCGTGAAAAAGCGTCATTTCTTTTTTCTTTACCGCCCCTCATCTAGCGCGAGTCTTGCTTCTCGCTCTTGTCTCGCGCTTGCCTCAGCTACTACGGCTAGCCCACCTAAAAAACGCAAAACATGACAACCATTTCGCTGATTAACAAGAACGTAAATTTTACATCCTATCATTCTTACTTTTTTCTTGCTGCATTTAGCGCCTTCCGTGATTCCACTACCGCTTTCCTCTTCGTCTTCCGCATCATTAGTCGAAACATCAACTTGCGGCATGGAGAAGGAGGAAGACGAGGCAGAAGTTTCTGGTGCGGTAGTGATGGAGTTTACACATTGTACTCTTAAGGTGGGTGGCGGCTGATATGACATGTCTTCGTGTCGTTCCGAAGAAGGAAGCTGGAGCTTGAGTGGTGAAGGGGGAATGGCTGACACTCCGGTGTTTTCCGTTTCGAGGTTGGTTTCCGCCTGATATTTAGAAGAGATGGCCTCAGGGGGGTTTACCGATAACACACTGGGAGGCGGTGGAAGGCACAAAGGCTGGATGACGTCCTGAATCTTCCGGGTAGTATAGGATGGTTGGAAAGGGATGAAGGTTCCTTGACCTGCCTTCCAGGAAGAGGCATCCAAGACGATGTTCCGCAGTGATGACGAGAAAAGAGGAAAGAGCTGAAGAACTGAGATAAGAGGGTTTTCCCCTCGAAGCTCCAGGTGGGATCTCTCGATCGCTGGGACAGGGACCACCGACACACTGACGACAATTCCTCCCCTTGATACAGCAGCCATTTGCATCCCCGCATGCGTAGTAATGTTCAAACCACTCAGTGGGCTGTCCTCGGCGGAGGAAACCCTCTCAACCTAGTTTTTGACCGAGACAATGTAAGGTCTTATAAGATTATTTGTCCTAAATGTCGTAGAAGTAATTCTGTTGCTCAGCTATCTTGTTAAGTGTTTTATATTTCAAAGGTTTTCATAATATTATATTATCTAGTCACAGTAAATGGTTTGAACCCGTGGGTAACATGTAATAGTGTAGTTTGATCTTCCGGGTGAGTGTAGTCCTGAGAAGGACTATTGTCGGCAGTGGAGAATGACGTTTCGACAACCTAAGCGGAAGTCATCATAAGAGTCAAGAACATTCGACTGACAACAAACTATTCTCTTGACTCTGATGATGACTTCCGCTCAGGTTGTCGAAACGTCAGTCACCACTATCGACAACAGTCCTTCTCAGGACTACACTCATCCGGACGATCAAACTACACTATTACACATTAACTACAGTTGTCTATTGTTTAAACCTAATTTGTGATGAGCGTAAGTCGGTTTAGGATTACAAGGAGCTTTTTAATTCAACTTTTAAGTTTCTTCAGAAACTTTCCCTCTTTATTCATTGGGGTTGGGTTGACGGTAGACCTCCTAAGGGACCCAGATTCCTATTCTTTATTCGCCTAATACCTTGTACTAAACTAAACACTTAAATAAATAAGCCTTCATCACCAAAGGGCTATTTTGTTCATCCCCAAGCTTCCTGTTCATGCTCTTCAATCGCTTATATATCTCTCTCGCATTGCAATTGGCTACTAAGCATTTAAAACTCACACTCGCAGCGGAACGTTCGTCATTTAAATCTTCGCATTCTTTGTTCTTCTTGGCCAATTTCTCTCTAACTTCTTTTATCTCTGCGTCTTTTTTCTCCAGCTCTCGTTTTAATAGCTTGACATACGTTTGCCATTTTGAAATCTTTTCCCTCAATCCAGCATTTACAGCTCTTTGCATGGCATTATCTTGTTTTAGCCAGGAATTCTCCCCTAATATGCCGTCCAATTGTTGTTTTGTAAACTTGACCTCGTGAGGATTCTGGGAAGAATGCATTCTCTGAAACAAGAATATAACGAAAGTCATTTATCATCGAAAAAAAATTGTTCGATAGACAGGCTGGAGCCCAAACTCCGTCAGTGAAGGTATAATAAATGTATCAGTTCACAACATCTGACTGTAGACTCAGACTCCAGAATGAAAATTCTGCGAACAAAAGGCAAGCTAGGGGCGTAGTGAGTCTATATGCCCATACGCCCGCGCCTACAATTTCTTCTCCACTCGCTTGACTTTTAGAAAAAAATGGTACTCTCTTGGAAACAGGCCTAAAACAAGTCGAAAAGCTGGCTACACACCTTTGCAAACGAAAACTAGGAGTTAACAAACGGCTCAAAATCTAAACTCAACTCTGAATGTGTGTTCCTATCAACCTCAGTGTATTATTAGAGAACTTAAGCAGCCGTGATTTTGAGACTCGAACGGCAACCGGAAGAAGAATAAAATTAATTCTGGCGCACTTTGACAACAACGTATCGGCAATGAGGTCGTCGTTTTTGCATTTTAAGCCAAACTTTGCTGATAAAAAAGGTGTAGTGAGCATCAGGAATGAGAACTTTTAACTTCCGGCTGCCGTGCGCATCCCAAAAACGTATGTGCTTAAGCTCCCTAATGTCAAGTTCAAGGTCTGGAAACATGATTAGCCTTCTCAAAAGATCTGAAAATTTAGAGAATGTTTCAGTTTTGAAATACATATATTCTTACGCGCAAACCGCCCAAATTTCCCGCGAGTTTCCTTACCTTGCAGGTAAACATCGATTTCTAACTGACGAACTGATTTGCAAAATTATATTTAACAACCGATCTTCGTCTAGCAAAGTCAAATGACTTAACAATTCCGCTGTGATGTCATTTACTCGAAAATGCACGCGCACACGTCCTTTCCTTGTGTTCAAACGCGAAACAGGAGAACTGGATCGAGCGCATGAAGTCGAGGCTTACTGGTCAGCGTACCGGGAAAATTCGAAGCTCAAAACAACAACAAAGACAACACACGAAAACGGACAAAAAAGACCGCGAAAAACTGAAAAAAATTCTTTTTTCGTCTTAGCTTGAGTTCTTCTGCAGGGTACTTAGAATTTTTCCCTATGTCCCATATGCTCGTGAGTCGTGACAAGACGGGAAAAGACACTTTTCTTTATTCCATTTCCTGGGTTAAAATTCATCATTAAGCTTTTTATGCTCTTATCAACGAAAAGAGCGTTTTGCAGATCGCTAATTTCGCAAGTGTAGCAAATTCGAGACTTCGCAATTTCGCATCTTTATTCTGTTTTCGGCGGTATGATAGACAAGGTCGGATAGTTAAACGAAGTCCTTCCTAGGCCGCGGTTTTAGATCATGCATCGGTACGGCTCGCGTTCTCGTTGTAAGTAGATTGTTTGAAGAAAAAAAGTTTTTTCGTCGTTAGCGGCAATGAACCTTCTCGCCTCTCTACACCCCGAAAAATATTTTAGATAAAGCTCTTAGCAAAATTTAAAATGGTTTGTAACGCGAATAAGCCAGCCAGCAGCGAAACCATCGTTCCGAAACGTACTCGCGAAAAGTTTGAACGCTTCTACAGTTTTCGATTCCAATTCTCGCTCACAACAAGCGTTTCGGATGTTTCCTTACCTTTTTTGACTCACTTCCGTGAAAAGCCTTGAAATACACTGATTTGTTGAGTAACTGCTCGATATCCCTCTCAAACTAATTTACAAAAAGCTCGATCTGCAAAAACAACTGTTTTCGCGTCGGGCAGAGTTTACTCTATTTGACGTCAAATTTCGCTTGTGATGTCATTTATTTAGAATGCGCGCGTAAATCAATCGTCAATCCTGGGAACGAGGTTGCCTCGTCCTCAGGAGAGGTGACTTTCTGAACGATCAAACAATTAATCGAGGATATACTTTCCACCTTTTTCTACAAAGGTAATTTCACACTGTCCTTATTTTCAATAAAACTAAACCAGACCTGATTTCCTCTTAATGCAAAACAGGAACAATTCAAAAATCGGAAAGGGCCATTGCTCTAAAAGGAAAGCCACATTTGCACACCATACAACACCTGTAATCTGTGCCAATCAAAAAATAATCAACAAAGATTCTCGCAAAATACAAGTTTTATTAATAGACGCACAACCTTTCAACCTTTCTACTCATTGCGCATGCTCCCATGTTTATCGCAGATGCAAGGGAGCATTGGAACTTAATTTCTCTATAAAAATATACATGTAATGTATTCCTACAATTTTTGATTGTAAAAACATCTAGATAACGAACTATTTTAACAAGAACTTGGTTTTTATTAGGATTGAAGAACGCCAAGCTATTTATAGCTATCTGCAATCTTCCGTGGGTCTGTCTGATCGCTCTCTTTACCTCTGAGGAAGAAAGAAAAAAAATCCATTAAAATCAATCATTATCAGTTTTTAATAACGAAAGAGTGTAAGATGTCAGCCGTCTTATCTTCCCGGTCGGATTTTACTACATTTTCCCATAATCTTACGGTCATCTATCTCAAGCAGGTGTTTCAATAGTTGCCGGTTACAGACAGTTTTGGGCATGTACACTTTCGGCATGTGCGCGACTGAGCTACAATCTACTAGAGTTCATTTCCATGGGAGCTTGCCCCCAGACCCCCTCGGAGAAAGGTGACTTGTGGCCTCTTTTCCGGGCGCAGTCACCAATCATACTGTCGGTTTGAAACCGCTTATGGAAAACGTTATTGAAATTCCTGTATCAGTTCACTCTTGCTTACCGAGGGCACAACATACAAAACTGAGTTAAATCTTATTCTTTGTCGCAGCGTCCTTGCTGTCCATTTTGTTCCTTTGAAAAATTCCAAGTTTCCTGACGAGTCGGCGGCTGCCAGACGAATTCTGAAAAGAATTGAAGAATGAATGAATTATATCTAGGTCAAGAGTAATTTAATTTGCTACTCAGAGCGCCGAAATATTAAAGCTGACCAGACAAAAAAGAGCTTTTTTCTAAGAGAGTGAACAATTCCACTTTAAAACTATAGACCTTAAAAGTGAGTTTAAAAAAAAAGAAAAGAAATGCGCACAGAAGTTTTCCTAATAGAGTATCCAAAGAAGTGCAAAAGCTTTTTTTTTCTAGATCCTGATCATTATGCCCTGAAATTGGCTAAAAAAAGACCCCCCATCAACTGTTGGCCTGATCACAACGACGCTTTCCCGCCATTGATGCTGTTATGCAATTCTGGCCTACTTTCTACACTCTCAATCGTAAATTGTCCCAAAATACGGTGAAAAAATTCACTACGCCGTTAATTCATACCTTTTCTTCCCTAGATTGTGCAAAACCGTTCGCACTTCCTTCATAACTTCATCCGGTGGCATATCATTTTCCAACTGGATGGAACCCCTGTGAACAGCGGCACTCTGGGACGGTAAACGCGTTGAACTGGTTGGAAGTAGAACCAGTTTTCTCGTGAATTTTTTAGCGTTGTTGCTTTGATATGAAGAGTGCATCTTCTTCTTTAAAGACGCCGACATCAATGTGCCTTGTAGTGAGGTCAGTGATGAATCGTTTGAGAAGCCATTCTCTACTGATTCTGAGCTCAAATCTCCAAGCGCAATGTTCGACAACAACAACAGGGAATTTGTCTTGGTGCTTGACATACCTGTATCTAAAATAATAATTATAATAATAATGAATGTTGTTTCTTTTTCAAAAGAATTCAAATTTCTAGTGCTCATTCTAATGCTAATCAAAATTATTTACACAAATTTGGATAGTTTAAAAATAAAACCGAGATTTTTCCGCTCGGATTTCAGGCCCGTCGCTAAGCGCTCGAGCCTTAAATCCGAGCGGAAAAAACGAGGTTCCATAACTTACATTACGAACCGAGAAAAGAAGGTTAGTAAGATATATATTTAATCTCTGGGTTCAAATAGAGGGGAGAGATTACAAATTTACACAAACTTTTGTACTTTGTGTCAGTGAAATACGGCTCATTTATTTGACCAATAAGAGCGCGGGTACTAACAGAGATATCATAAAGGCAATAATTGACATGGCATTGAAAATCTTCCCATACAAGAAAGTCCTGTATATCAAACAAATTGGAACAAACTGTATGTCACTTTTAAAACCACTCATTTTTATATATTTTTCTGATATAACACCTCTTCTTTGTCTTCCATCTCCAAACGCTATGATATCTAATTGTTAAAAAATTCACTTCACAGAAAAGTGCCAATTTGCCTCACCCATCGCTCCTGATAGAAAGCTGTTTCCACTCATTGGTTTCTTGGACGTCAGCTTTGTTTTACCTCGATTTTTAGGAACAGTTTTCAGTACCTTTGCATTTTTCTTTTTCTTCAGTTCTGAGGAAATCAATTACCCCATCAAAAAAAGAAATGTAAAGGGTATGGATTCATAAATATGTTTTACAAGAAGGGAAACACAATTGCACTGACAGCCTGAACTGTATCAGGTCATTATTCTAACCCTTAACATTCTAACATCAGTATGCATTTTCTCCATACTGTCTTCTAGACATTTCCTATGGGGCTGAAAAGGAGAATTTGTTTAACAATCAAGAAATTTTTGACCTTGTAATCATTTCCTTTATTTTCATGACCTTAATATTTGATGCAAGGGTAATCCTCTTAGGATAAATTGGATGACTAGTATCATTCTCAGGGGTTGAAGGGTTGATGATAAGGAAAGAGCTGTTAATATCACTTGCCCTGTAAATTTGTGGACCTCACCTGGTTTTACAACAGGTTTTGGATGTTTTTTCTCCACAACCTGGCTAACTTGGAGAGCCACCTTTGCATTTCTCCTTTCTTCTTCTTCAATTACCCTACAAAAAATAATAAATAGACTAAATTAAGTGACTTTATTAATAAGTTAAACTTTAAAAAAAAATTGGAAATGTGAAACTCTCTGAGACATGATATCCAACATTCTGGAATATGTTTGAGTAACAATTTTAAGCAAGAAATTGTTTTGGAATCAGTTAAAAATACCTATTTTCTGTGTTTAATTATAACTCACAAATTAACTGGCAAAAAATGGTCTTACAGCTGCCTGCTAATTATTATGGGCAATGGCCTTCAAATAAAGACCCTGCAAATTGGCAACCAAACATTTTCATGCATGTCTATTTGCAGGCTGAGTTTTTACAAGTAAGCCAAGATGTTCAGTATATAATAAATTTTTTACATCAGCAAAACACTGATCATTACCTTTTTGATATGTTTTCAAGGTAAGAAAACAGTTGTTGCTGTAAATTTGATTGGTTTCCTGTTTCTTCAAGCTCATCCTTTTTACTGAATGAATTCATTACTGCTTTACCAGCCTTAGTTCTAAAAAGATCCTCAACAAATCCACCAGCCTCATGCTTAGCTGCTACATACAGCATCATTTTCAAAATGCTGTTAAGTGCCAGACTAGATTCAGAAGTATGCAGAGATGTTACATCTGGGGAAATAAACAGAGTCGATTGTTTGCATTTTGGATTTTTTTCTACACCATCTTCAAGTTGTCTCTGTTAGAGATAAATTCAGAAACACACACACGCACAAAAAATACAAAACAAAATTAAACAAAACTAAACCAAACCAAAACAAAAAAGAACAAAGCAAAAGATTTAACCCTTTAACTCCCAGGATCTCTTCCATAATTATCCTGCTGTACAATTTCTATGATGTTAGTTCTGAGAATTTGGAATTGAGATTGATCAATAACCCACTAATTTATATTTTTCTCTATTCTCATCACCTGTCTGCTTGATTTTGTATTGATATTGTAAGGAGAAATATCACCTTGATCACCTATGAGATAAAGTAGATCTTTACCTTGATTTGCCTCACTTTCATTGGCCATAGCTTGATCTTCCTTTGCTCCAAAATCAGAAAGTCCCATAATTAACTTTCCTCCATAGTTTTTACTGCAGACAATCTTCTGAAAACCTGTCGAGATCTCCTCCTTGTACAAAAATTTTGTGCTTCCCAGAACCTTGCCATCAGTTGTTTCCAGTTGAGCAACAACTATACCTGGTTTATCACTTTCTAAAAAGCAAAATTTACAACAACAAAAAATATTACAGTCTAGTATTCTCTTATAGCTCTAAAACACCTTTACATTTAGGAGTTGATTCAGGAACAATGGCTGCTTGGCAATTATCTGCAAATTGAAACCTTGAGGGTTACCTCACAGTAACTACATCTGTTTGGTAAAAATAATCTACTCTGAAAAAATTAGTTGAAAGAGTTTGATATCATCTCTATCAACAGAGTTAAAACCATTCTACCACATCTCAATAGCATCAGACCCAACAAAACAGTTAAGGAAAGCCTAATTATTCATACTATAGCTTGCACTTTAGTAACAGCAATTTGTCTGCTTTACATGAACAAATCAAAAGTTTTGGAAGACCCATTTTTGAACTCTAGCTGGATCATTCAACTGTGACTAAAGGTAAGACAATTTTAATTACTGGTAATTGTCAGTGTCTTAAACCGAGGAATATGTGGAATGTTGGTGCCAGTGACTTGCCAAGAGAACCTGATAATTGCACAAAGGGTAACTGGCAATATACTAGCATACCCTTGAGGAAGGGGGGAGAAACCCAACAAGTCTTTAAAGGAGATTTCATGCTCTAACAACAGGGATAAGCCAGCTAAGTGATGCAGTCTAAATAAGTTTTTTTTAAACAATATTTGCTTCGATTCAACATCTTTGGTTTTTACTTACTTGGTGTTGAATCTCCCCTTATAACCTGCTCTTTCCATAGGGTCACTGGAACAACATATTCAGTTCCAAAGCGAACACACAACAGGGAACTTGAAATATCGCATATATCTGGAGATAATGGCTTATTCAGGAGCAGAACAAACCTATCACCACCCTGAGAACATTAAAATTGGGTGAGAAAAATCCCACTTAAAATTCCTGAGTAAATAGAAATGAAGTGTAACAAACAAAGATATACCCCACATTAGCACCAGCTTAGAAACACATCCCAACATCAATATGCATATTCTCTATACTGTTTTCAATACATTTCCTTAGGTGCAGACAAGGAGATTTTTTATGACAATCTCAAGCTTCTTGAGTTGGTGATCATTTCCTTTATTCTCATGACCCTAACATTTAATTCAGCTGTGATGCTGTAAGGAGAAATTAGATCATAGTCACACCTTTGAGTCACAGGGCTAATCCACAATTAATTAAGAATTGCTATTGAAATATTGTGATAAAACGTATCTGTGCACAACAGCAAAGAATCTCTTTTGCATTATTTTTTTAAATCCTAAACCTGTCTGTATTTTGATTCAGGTATTACCTTTTTTGTATGATTTTGAGTATAAAAGTCATTATTTTTGATTATTTGTCTTTGATTATAATTGTAAAGTAGATTGAGATTTGACCAGATATAAACTTGAATGACAACATGTTGAGGAACTAATCAACTGTTCTGATACCTGGCATGGTGAAGATCCTGGAATTATTTCCTTCACCAACTCATCAGACCCTGGAAGAAAAGATTTGAAAAAATTTACATAGTAAACATAGAATTCATCACAAGAAATTCAGAGTCATACGAGAGATCTCAGTACATCGCGTTCATATTCTCGCACTATGCTCTTTGCATTTCCTATCTTACTGACAATCAGGAGCTTCTTAAATTGGTGTCATTTCCTGTATTCTCTTCACCTCAACATTTGATTCAAGTGTGATACTGAGTAAGGCGAAATTTGACGCTATTCACTCCCGAAGTAGAGGTGTCATTAAGGTCACAAGTGTAATCCCTAGGGGAAAGACCCCTTCCCCGGAAGTAATGTGCCTTACATAATGAGACAAAAATCACCGAAAAAACGACAATAAAAACGAGAGGATTTATTTTACAATACAGCAAATATTTTCACAACACACAACACCGCCATATACCTGTTTTGTAGCTGGCTTCACTGGCTGAACCAAAGTCTTCTTCAGATTGAATGCTCTTTAAATAATCGTCAAGTAGCGAGTTGAAATCTATCACCTACGAGACACAAAAAAGTATTATTTTACGACACATTTTGGGTAAAGATTCCATTTTTTTTAAATCTGTGCGCAAAAACAGCATATTTTCATTTTAGAATCTAGCGACTAATCCTGCTGAAAAGAAGAAGAAACTTTACGTAAACAAAACGTTAAAAATTAACTTTGTGAGTGATATGTCATACGTCACGAGTTATGAATGTAAAGAAACACACAAAGTGGGTTGAATGAAACGATACAATTATGCATCCAAAGAAGAAAAAAAAGCAGGGTAAAGAGACGTGCTATACATGGATGAAAACAATCATGAACTTGGAGAGGAAACTGAGTTCTATTCCGCAATTCGAGTGAAGAAAAACTCTACAAATGAATATGAAAGGGTACCTCAAGGATCTTCCTTCCTTTCCAAGGCGCATTACCCGAAGAATCCTCTTGTTTTCGCTTACGAGAAAAAGTTAGCTCGTTTGATGCTTTTGGTGTCCTGTCTTCATAATCAAAGATGGTAGGAATGGCATCGTGCTTCAAAGTGGCCTTTTTTGGTCTTGGAAGACCCAGAGAATCGAAAAGTTTGAAGTTATGTACGAAACAGTGTGATTCGAAATGCGCAGAACACAACCTCGAGTACTTGTTCGGTTCCCAGTTGACGCGACGAACTTTCTCTATCCATATCTGACGGTATTTTTCATCAGAGGGAAACTGGAAAAAGCTCAACGACTTCATCTTTTTGCCATCGTTGTTGCAGTTGAAAGCAGTGCAGTATACCATGGTTGATTGAGAGCTAAAAATTGAAAATCTTCCCGGCGCAAAATTGACGCAGAGCAAACTAAACCACGAGATGGCACCTGTGACGTCATGGTTCCCCTGTGCATCCAGTAAAAAGTAAAAGCTTTGTTCATTGGACAGGAATAACCAATCAAATCACGCGATGCATTTGAGTGGGGCTTTTGCGCGGTTTATTTGAGAAGAAAGCGAGCACTGTTGTCTTCATTGGCCAAGGGTCATAACATAACAACATGAATTATATCCAGTGATCGAGAGCGAATACGAGGTCTCTTTGGTGGAGGTATTGCAGTGAATGTTATTAATATATTCAGGATTTAAACAAGTTGCTTGATTCCCCCTTTTCACCGTTAAATCTTGGAGTCAATCAGTAATACGTATGTTGTTCGTTTTGTATAGGTGTTGATTGTAAACGTTGTGGATTTCGGCCTATGACCGTGATCCACTGTTCATTAGATCGGGTCTGAAAATCATTGCCTTCCGTAAACCTGGAAGAGAAAAACAGTTCAGTTCACCCCCGCGATCACAAGCTGCATGTTTGCATGCAGCTCATGATCGCGGAGGAAAAAATGGCTACCATTTGTAAAGTGCATAAGCTTTTGTCTCAACTTCAATTATCCTGATATGCTGCGATCCCTATTTCATGAGAATTCTGAAATGATCTTTAAAATATACATTGAATCGTAGGTAAAATTGATGCAAATATCATGGCTTCCTTGAGATCTCCTACGTCTATAATTTATCTGCGATTATGTCTGTTGCAGATATTGCAAGGAAACTTCTGTAAATGAAATATACAAAAGATCTTCCAAAAACTCGTCAAACTTATAATATGTAGTTAAAAAAAGTAATAAGTTAAGATTCCACACGGTTAGGCTGGATATATTGTTAATATTTTCGCCTCTTTAGGGAGAGTTGTAATAATAATTCATTTCGGCTAATTTTTTTAGGCATGAATTGTATGCACAGGCAAACAGTGGACCAGCTATTATCATTTTTTCCTTCTAAGAGAGATAAATACGATAAAGAACAAGATTATCTAAGGTACAGAATGGACAAATGATAGGGATGTGATATGATGTTGTACTCTTCATTCCTCTTTTTTGTACATTTTGAAAGGACAGTTATTTTTCAGGAGTAATCAAAAAGTGAAGTTGTTAACTGAGATTTCTTATATGGCTTTTAAGAATGCAGAGAAATGGTGTTACACTTCAGCCCCTGAATTTCCCAGCAACTCAGTCGATACTGTGGTAAGCACATATGTGTATGGATTAGAACACTTTCTAATTACTTGTTGTACAACCAAAATCAAATAGATCACTATGGCCTTCCTATCAGAGTGAGAGAAAGTATCAACAGAAGCTGATAAAAACTTAAAGTAAACATGAGCAAGCTACAGTATATTTGAAGCTTGGAAAATTATTTGTGACCAAGTTGTGATCAGTTTTAGTTTTGTATCTGATTGGTGAAAAGGGAATAGCAAGTTTCCTAGACAAATTAGTTAATCACAGAGCAAAGAAAAACAAAACAAATGCAAAATAGTACATACCTTTTGACACTTGGTCGACAATCGATCTATGAGAGATAACTATTGCTGTCTGGTAGTGCTTCCTGGTCAAATTCCTTGCCTTCCACCAAGTTCTAGAATATATAACCCTAGCTAAATTGCATTCATGAAGGGTTTTCTTTTTCACCTATAGGAACAGAACTGCTCAAGGAGACACTGAAATTCTCCATGTCACAACTAAAAGGTAACAAATTTGGGTATTAAGAACCTGGTAACCCTTGACCTCTGGGGATTCATAGCAAAGTGAAAAATCCCATCCAATCCTGAATTTTTTTTTTAAGCTTCTTTTCCTGTAATTTCTTCAACTGTAATAAACTTATCAGGATCACTTTGCTATTTTCCAGTGCCCACCCGTCAAAATGATATTGTAATTAATTTCCTATTTATAAAGAGAGTAAAGTTTCTCCTCTAGGAAGACAAAAAGTTCCTCAGGAACCCAACCCTGACAGTTCAGACTCTTGTAAACAATACATTTGTGCTTCACCTATAGTTTCAATGTGTTACCACATTTTTAAATATTTTTGGGACACATGTTGATCTCATTTTTAGGAATGTGAGGCTGTACATCAATGAGAAAACTCTGCATTTGGCTCGCAGACATGCTAATCAGACAAAATCTTCCAATGAATGTTTCCTTGTTGGAAGCATCTCTGTTGACTCAAGTAAGTAAAGAGTAAAAATCACACAATGTCTTTGTTTTAATTATGTCCTGAGGATCACTCTACAGAACACTGTCAGTATCTGAGCAACTGAGTACCTACCCCTCCCCTGACCCATCTTCAGCCCTAACTCATCATCAGTTGACTTTTATTGCATTAGGGGAGGGGAAGGTGTGTAGTTGCTTGGATACTGACACTGATCCCACTCTACAACTCAACCCCTAACAAAAAAAGCATTAAACAAACATGAAAAGACTTAGTGAAGTGGAGCTAGTGAAGATGTGGGGTACTTCTAATAATTTAATCTATTACAACTCCTTGAAACATTTCAGAAGAGGACAGTATTGATGTAACAGTGGACAGATTTGATCCAGGCAGAGAAGTTGTGGTCAAACAGGGTATGGTTGTCACTTGATCTTTCTTTATTATTATTAGTATTTTTACGTCAAGTTGCTTTGATCTTGAATGTAAAACATTACATGTACCTGTTGATTTTAGTCATAACAACCTCAATGCAAGCCACCAATTTCATTTTTATTTTATTTATGGTTTCAGGTACTGGAAAAGTCAAAAGGAAAGTTCCCACTACAGTTGTTCCTGGAGACCAAATCGTGCCTATAACTGTGAGTTGTTACATTCAAAAATTACCAACTGCTTTTCCCCACAACATTGTTTATTTCCAGTAAAGAAATTTGCCCCCTATCTTCTTACTGATCTACATCGACAGTGTTGAAAGTAAACTGTTAAATATAGCTGATAGCACAAAATAAGTTGTTCCTAACAAGGTTGATAGCACTCTAACAAATTTTGTGTGATAATCAGAAGGTTAGCAGTTAAAGATACATGTGTGTAAGTATGACATTCTATTTTTCTGCTTTATTTTCAAGTTAATCCAAGGTCTGAGTGGTGCTGAGAACTCTGTAACACACACAGTTGAAGAATTTCAGAGAGCATTTCAGGTACACAATCCATGAACACAGTCTAGATAATTAACAATGATTCATGTTAGTACATGTATTATTGCTTACTAGTTAGTGGTTTTGAATTTAAATATTCATGAATAATGTTGAAACCATTCTCTTTGAATTGTTTTGGTTACTGGTATCGAGATAAGGTGCCAGTTCCCAGCATAATTTAACAGTTTCATTTTATTCAGTCAGCAAAGACTTCAAATCTCTCCTTTGAAAAGTGATACTCCAAACTGAAAAGCATCTTTTGTACTCCTTGGAATTGAATTTACTTTATCAGGTTCATCACTTCCTAGGTAACACTGACAAAAAAGTGTTCTTGCTTTAATCACCTAGCATGAGGTGATTATAACAAGATATGACTAAATACTCAACCAATCAGAGTGTGTGCATCTTTGTAATCACCTGAGCAATTATACTAAAAGTATATATCTACATATTACTATCATATTAAAAACTGCAATACAATCATTACCTTCAATAAATAAACTAAAAAATTATGACATATTTCAAAGTTTGGTCTAAATTGGATTGGTTATGATTATGCAGGGGTTATAACCACTCTTGATTAAAGTAAACAGTAAAAACTTCTTGTTGGCGGCTTTGAAGTCTAGTGTTATAAATTTCTGAGAGAGTGGGTGCCAGTTTTGTTTGAGTTATAAGGCAAATTTTGCCAGTTGCTTATTGACAAAACCAACTGATGGTAAAAATTTTTATCATCAATTAGGTCCAGTTTAGTAGGATTAGCAGCCAAGAAACTGTGAATCTGTCGCACCTTGTGAGCTTGAAGGTCTGCTGTCACTCACATGGGGATACTGATGAGATCATATTCAATGTTAACTGTAAGTGTAACAATGACACTAACAGCTTTGGGCAAAATTAAATCATTTCTAGTAATTTTTTTAAAAATTAAGCTGTGAATGTATAATTTTTGTTCTGATTTTCTAGAGATATTATATTTATCCTCTCTAACAGCTTGTTAACCCCATGATTAACTTGAAATGTCTCCCTATAATATCCATAAATTATTCAGCAAACAGGTGATGAGAATATTCAAACTTATCAGGTAGAAGCTGCTCTCTTGATCTAGTACCAAGTTCTCATAACTACTTTACAAGGAAGTGTCTCACAGCTAGAGGGGAGAATTAACAATCAGATCTTGGGAGTTAAAGGGTTGATCAGTTATAAAATTTTGGTATCCTATTAAGATATCACCCCTTGGCTGCAAATTGAATTTTTATTCCTATCATATTTTCACTGATCAAGGTAGTGACATTGTGAGGAGAGGGTACAGGCCAGTCAGTTTTAGGAGTTGAGTGGTTGAAGGATCCTTCAGAGATCTAAAAAAGAAATTAGAGATTGTCATACATTTGAAAGCATGTACACAGACCTTTGGTGCTCTTCTGAATTTCTCTGCAGGAATTCTCTAATTAATATCTCATAGTGTCCAATCCAAACCACAAAAATTCATTTTCTTTCAATCAAATTTTGTAAAGATTATGGCTGAGACTTCACAAAGGTTTTGAGAATCCTACTGATCCTTTTAAGGTTTTTTGTCATGTGAGCACATTTACTGTCAATGAAACAGTTTCCAGCATTTGTTAAATTTCTGTGCTAAAATGAGATAGCTGTGTATGTGCCCAGTGCTGCTTTCACCTCACAGTAAATTAACTTCCAGAATTTACTCTTCAACTTAAGGTGGTGTTATCACCATGGGAACAAGACTGTGTGCCACGCCTGTAGCAGCTGTACCCATCATTCCAACAGCGCTGGCCAGAAATTTGTCAGGTCCACTAAGACTTAGTGAGGTTCAAGGCATACCAAAATATGGGTGAGTAAACTATGTGGGTAAGTGAAAGACATTCATGACAATTATTTTATAATTTAATCCTCTTTCAGTTACAGAATATTATTATTGGTGGCTCTTTATTTACTCTTTGCAATTTGTGTCTTAATTGAAATGCCTTCTTATTTATGCAATACGTTTCTTGTTACTTCAGATATTTGACTATGGATCACACAAGGAAATTACTATTGCTGCTCGAATCAGATCCAAAGGCAGTTTCTTTACCACTTCTTGGAATGTATGTTGATTATTTGATAATAAATATTCTCATCTTTTAAAAACAAGATGTGTATACTTTTCAATAAAATACCATTTCGTGCTCCACATCTAGTCACTGTCAGTTCAATGCATACATGAGTGTAGTTGGATCTATGAATTTTTTGAAAATTTTATGCTTTTTCTACTTGATAATTTGACTAGGTCTGTTGAATAATTTGTTTTAGTTGGGTCAGTGGAATTTACAACATTCATCATCCTTTTATATGGGCCTGCTGTCTGCGGTTTCTCCACTCAGCAGCTCTTCAGCAAAGGTAGGTCTAAAGTAACAAGAACTTTCATAAACCATTTGACCCCCTTAACCCTTTCACTCTCAAGATCAAATTAGTAATTCTCCTTACTATCTGCCATACAATTCTTATGATGTTAGTTCAGAGAATTTGGTATTGGATCAACTAATAATCTCATGATTGATATTCTTCTCTATTCTCATCACCTACCTGCTTGATATTGTATTGATATTGTAAGGAGAAATTCTGTCTTGGTCACCTGTGGGAGTGAAAGGGTTAAGTGAAATTGTCCAATTTCTCCTTACAATATCACCAATATGAATGATGTTAAATTGCTGCAGAATTAACCAGCCTCTAATGAGTAAGCAAACACCTCAGCCTTTTAACTCCCAGATCAAATTCGTAATTCTCCTTACTGTCAACTTTACAGTTCTTATAATGTCAGTTCAGAGAATTTAGTGTTAGAATATCAACCAATTGTCCCCAAATTTATATTTTTCTTTATTCTCATCACTTATCTGATTGATTTTGTATTGACATTGTAAGGAGAAATTCTGTCTTGGTCACCCGTGGGAGTTTAAGGGTTAACAGTTGGTGTTATAAGAAAGAGAATCTCCAAGCCCTTACCTTCAAGGTAATAAGTCTCTTGGTTTCTTGTTCTTCAGGGTGTTTGCTCCTCCAAACTCCTTTCTACTTCTGTTATATTCCCCTGTGAAGAGTACACCAGAATTCTGGGAATGCCGACAAGATCAGGTAAAAATAGGCTTAATACTAGTAACAGAGTACCCTTGAGTCATCAACTTACTGGAATTTAGAGCTACCTATTGTGTTAAACTTCAGTCTGTATTTCTGGCTTTGTACTTGGCAGCACATCCACTGCTCTGTTTTCCTGAATATCTTTTAAACCTCATTTGTGTCTCAACACCTTTTCCATTCCTTGAGAAGTTTGTAAACACACAAATTCCTCCAATGCTCATAAAAGACAACAGCTGATGAGGTATACAGAATAAATCTGTCAGTTAATTTTGTACACAAAATTAAATTTTATTGCTTTAGACAGAGAGAAATGATAACTTATTTTCTTTGTATTTCTGCTTCTGATATACAGGGGAGACCTGAAGTGAAAATGTTTGAGTACCATAGTTGTTACGAAAACTTGCACTTGGAAACAGTGAGTACAAATATAGAGGATTGTTACAGATTTTCGTAACCTTTAGCATACATAAAAGAAAAGTTATGGAGTGATAGGAGACTTTTAAAGTATTTTCTAGTAGTATACTTTGAATTTAAGTGGAAAGTAAAACAAACACCTTGTAACTTCTTTCAGCCACTTGGTTCCAGTTCTACTGAGCCATTGTGCTTTGAGCTGTTTCCAGCTCCTGAGGGAATGGGAAGAAGTCATTTTGAGCAAGCCATGCAGAACTGGGAGAAAGAACAAAGAACAACAAGGTAACTTGAGATGGTTGAAACAATGTAATCACAGCATACTGTTGGAGTTAATTTAAATTTGCTCCATCAGGTAAGATGCATTCTTCAGCAGTGGTTTAGCACTGCAAAGACTAATTAAATATGGCTAACTCTTGACTAGTAATAGATGACACTAATCAATGTCTTTTTTATTATTATTTGATCATGTGATTTACCAGGTTAGGTGAAGATGAAGATCTTTCTCCCAGGAACCAACCACTCCCTCTAATGAGAGAAGGACCTGAGGAAGAGGAATTCACTCCAGTTCCCAGGCCCTCTCCTTCTCCTCATCCTCAAAACTTCCAGGTGAGACATTTGATACAAACTACAAACAGTCATTCAGGGTCAAAAAGAATCATCATGAGTTTTAATTGCAAGTGTAGAACCTATAATGTCTAAACACTAGCATTGATTGTAGCAGTGTTATAGTAACTTAACAGAAACAGCTTTGAAGCTCATGTCTTTTTAATCTTTCATCACAGCTTGTAGCCAAGACATCTCTATCTCTCAGCTTTGATGTGGAAGCAACAGCTGACACCTCAGAACAGGGCTTTGCTAATCAGAAAATCCTACCCAATCCAAAACAATGTGTGCAGGGTTCAAAATTGCAGAGCCCGCAAGACCAAGAAAATGATCATACAAAAAGTATCAGTTCTGTAGGTTTAGTAAAAGGGAAAAAATTGGCGGCAAAGAACAGCAGAGAAGTTAATTCGCCATCAAGAGAACCATTGAGGCCAATCTTAGCTCCAAATCATACTCACTCAAGGGTTATGATGACAAAACAAACTCATCCATCATTACCTCAGAAAAGACATTTATCACAAGGCTTGGTTCAATCAGTTTCCACTCAGAGAGTAACTAGTGCATTACATCATAAAAATCAGAGACCTCAGCATGCTCTTGCAGAAGTCACCTCTGCTAAGTCTAAAAGAGATGGAAAACAGGTATTCTTGGAGCAAGTGGATGTTGTTCATGGAACTGAAGTGGGGAAAGATAATCATCAACAGAACACAAATCCAGTCATGGTAGCCAAACCTCAAGGCTCAAAAAGTGCAGATCATGAAAAATTGCACAGTTTTACAGGACAGGGTGAGGTTTCCTCAAAGCACAAAGTTGAAGGAAACAAAGGGAAACCGTTTGATCAGAGACAGTCTATTAGATCAGCAGATAACAGGAACAATCCAAAATTAGTAAACCAAATTCAAAAGTCTTGTTTGGAGACAGTTTTTGAAGGAGAAACCCCAGATGGGACTTTAAATCAAAGTAAAGATGAAAGACAACCAGAACTTCAAATTATTGAGGAAAACTTCCCCACAAATAATAAATTGTGTAGGGAAGAAAATGCCGGTGTCATCTTGGATCAAGATGAAGAAACAGTGCAAGGAAATGTTCAAGAACTAAGAAGTAGTACAGAAAAAGGATTTTATGTTCATTCTCCAGACAGCAGAGAACACATTTTTGAAGAGTTTACTTCAGGTTCTGTGGTGAGTGAGAATGTGCCACTGCAATCTCAGGAGAAAGAAAGGCTGACACCAAAAGCTAATGAAGAGGATAATGACATCCAAAAGCATCAACAGTTATTTCAGGAAGATGCAAAGGTTGCAGGAAATATTACTGCAATGACAAGAAAGGAGAGTTCCACATCAGTGGAAGGGTCAACCCTTCCTGATCCTTACCAGCTTCTTATGAGACAAGAAGCTCAGCTAAGAGAACTTCAAGAACAGGTACATAACTGATATTGCTGTGTGTGACCAAGACGGAATTTCTTGTTACACTGTCAATACAATATCAAGGACACAAGTGATGAAAATAAAGAAAAATATCAACAGGGTGATAATTTGTTGATCCAATACCAAATTCTTTGCAATGACATCATACAAATAGTATGGCAGACAGTAAGGAGAATCACTGATGGGATCCTAGGAGTGAAACGCTTAAATAAGTTATAATTTATGGAAGCCAAATCATTTTTACATTGTTTAGTGTAAATCACCTAGAAAACCTGCTAGATTGAAACCCTACACACCCTAACAGTGATAGGGATCTAATTTCTCCGCAGAAGTATAACCTCTTGAATCAAGCATTGAGGTCATTCAAATCAAAGAAATGATTGCAAATTTAAGAAGCTCTGTATTTTAACTCTTGATTGTTGAACAAATTCTCCTTGTAAGAATCATAGGAAATGTGTGGAAAAAAATTGGGAGAATTTGCAAACTTATATTAGGATGTAAAGGGTTAACACCAATTTTTTTTTTATTTTCCTCAGATCAAACTACTTCTACAGCAGCAAAATGCTCAGCTTCTTCCCACTCCCAATGCACTCTTAACTCCTCCCAGATCTCCTCACTTGGAAAGTTGCCATGGCAATGACAGGTCACCTAATTCCTCCCCCATCTCTATGGTTACAGCATGTACCAACACAGGAGCTAGTCTGCTATTTGGAACACCTTTAAAGTTTATTGGCAAAAGATCAGCTGCTACATCACCAATTAAGGAAAAGGACTTGAATCTGAGTAGAAGGTCTGTTCAGAAAGTTGAGCTCATTCAAATTATTTTCTTTTCTCTGTCTATAATCCATCTTCAATATGCACAGATATTTGTCTGTGGACATAATCTGTACTGAGACGTGAACAGGTTTTCTGAGAATTACATGATTCCTTTATGTCCCTCCTTTGTCTAACACCACATAACACTTTTAGACAAGTGGATCTTGCTATGGCATTTTTTAAGAAATGCTTTGGACAAAGTTTAAATTCTGTATAGTATATTATACTATGTTTACTTGTTTACATTTCAATTCCAGAACTTTGTCATCATCAAGTCAAATTGCAAGTGAAATGAGCTCACAGACAGATCAGGTTAACTCTAAGCAGTCACACCAGTCTAACTTACCTGCCAATCCTGATGAATTAGCCAATCAGGTGATAGAGATTGATGACCCTAGTCAAACATTAGCCTCTTCTCTTCAAGCTGTGGATATCCCAAGCTTTGTTGATAGTCCCTCAGGTTTGACTAGCCCCAGTTCTAATGATAGGGCTGAAGGAGGAGGCATGGAAACAAATTTCACTAGCCCTGTGTTAGGTGAGTATAAGCTTCAAAGGGAAAAAATTATCAGCTTCTCTATTTGAAATCTGCTTGAAGCAAAAAGCCTGTTTGAACTGATACCATCATTCTCAGGTAGATGCACTGTCACTGTTCTGTGCATGCTGCACTTTGCAGTGTGAGAGGTAGATGCCTTGTCAATGCACTGTACTCTTGATCAAGTTGTACTCTTGATCAAGTTGTACTCTTGATCAAGTTGTACTCTTGATCAAGTTGTACTCTTGATCAAGTTGTACTCTTGATCAAGTTGTACTCTTGATCAAGTTGTACTCTTGATCAAGTTGTACTCTTGATCAAGTTGTACTCTTGATCAAGTTGTACTCTTGATCAAGTTGTACTCTTGATCAAGTTGTACTCTTGATCAGGTTAGAGAGGAGACTTGTGAGATGGACACCTAATTGAAAAATATGTAAAACTACTTGGTTCATGAGATGGTGCTTGTCCTTCCATGCTAAATCACAACTTTTTCAACTTATAACTGTTTCAATGACAACCCCACCCCACCCCCACCCAAAAAAGTCAATAAATACGAATATAATAATTCATTAATTTTAAATAAATTGAATATTATCAAAGTGATCTGCTTTTTTTTTTCCACCACAACTGTAGGTGAAAGTGCAAGTATTCTAATAGAACAGAGACAGAAAGAATATAAATCACGATCAAAAGATCAGGAACTAGTTGGGGGAAATGATGACAAAAATGGCGAATCCAATCATGATGGCCTGTTACAAATAAACGAACGCCAGTTCTATGACAACTTATTGGTATGTGCCTATTGCAACTATGTATTGATATGTAGGTGATCAAGATGTGTAAACACATCCAGTGGGAATTCATGGATTGAATGTCCTACTTTCTGCCTCAATCAAGTATCCAAATCTTTGCACCACATTTAGGACCAAGTCAAGAACATTCTTGACCATCAAGTTCAAGAACACCACACATCAGAAGACTCTCCTAAGAAATCTGTTCTCAAAGAACCAACCACACCCTATTATGCCACCCGAGAGGAAGTTGTTATGGCAACAATGGGGGAGTTGAAAAAGTTAAAGGCCTCACCTCCTGGAGCTAAAGATGAACTTACCGAGTGAGAATCTTCTCTCAATATGTTGCAGTGTAATGTGTGACATGTAAATAGGTTAAACTATTATTATTTTAAGGAGTTACCTGCTTAGCTGCCCCAAAAAACTCATCAACAATTCAGTTCCTTCTCCTGGATGGGATGCTATTCTATCATTGGTAACATCATAGCATTTCTTCAGTTTTCCCTAACAAATTGATAGTTCCCATTTTAAGTTCCAGGTGAAGAGAGAGAATGTTTGTCTCCATTCCAACCAATCTTTTGCAATCCTCTTGGTTGAGTCAAACACAACCGGAGTTGCAGGCCTGTGCTCTCCTAGCACCTGGTGACCCCTGACACCTTACTTTTTTTACATTTTTGTTTTGTTTTTTTCATAAAAAGCATATGCTGGGCACCCTGGATTTCACAATTTCAGAGCACTGAGCTCCCTTCGATTTTGTATGAGAGCTCAGCCTTGTGCTGTTTCAGTTTGTCCTAAGCTTTCCCTCAGCAAGTTTTGTCAGCTGCCCCTCTTTCAACCATGATGATGGAAGCCACCACAATAAAGACCATGTCATCACAATCTCCTTTTTTCAGTCATCATAAATGAACATCGGAAAACAATGAAAACTTCATAAAATGGCTATAAGAAGCTTGGAGGGTAGAGAAGAGTGGGGGCAAGGGGGGGAGTACAATGGGGGGAGTACAATGGGGGGAGCACAATGGGGAGTAGCCGTAAACAGATGAGTTCTCCATCCTATGGGTGTCGTCACTTTGTACAAAGTAAATTTCCTAAGGGTGATCACTTAGCAAAAGAGAAAAGATAATTCTACACCTAATCAGCAGAATTCTCTGACTTAATTTTGATAGCCTGAAATGTATTTTTATTCAGAGGTGGATAATATTTTCCTGTCACTTTACACAACTATTCTGCTTCTTCAGTTCTTCTTAAGAACCTTGCTTCCTGCAGTTGTAGTACATTTAGGTTTTTGAGTGTACAAAGCAACATAGTAGAAGGATAATGGTTAGTCCTCTTTTGTATCATCAGGAACCATGTAAGCTCTCTCCCCAAACAATGGCCATTCCATAAATCAGCATCACTGAGTAACATACCAGATCAACCAAACATTAGCTACTTTTCACTGTCAGTCGACGACACTCTCGATGAAGTTTTTAGTGAAGCAGACTTCAAATACCTCACTGACGATCAAAAGCATGAGCTTCGACAAATCAACAGTTGTGGAAAAAGCCACAGCCGCCACAGAGCTTTTACTTTTGACAATGATATTTCTCGATCTCCCATGGACTATACATGGAATAACTTATCCATGGCTACCCAGCAATACCTAGGAAAGTACTGCCTAGCTCCACAACATCCTACAATTTCTGAAGGTCAACATGGACCAACTATGGCCACGAAATCAAAAAGAACCTCTGCTTGTGATTCTGAACTATTCAACTCTGAAACATTCCGAGGTTGTGAAGCACCACCTCCTACTCCAGAGCCTGCCCCCAAAGATGAAAATACTTCAAATATTTTAGACATAACCAGGCTGAAAAAGCTTCCTAAGTTAATTTGATGTGTGAGATACTGACAGAAGTAGTTCTGAATCTTAAAACAGAGGCCATTGACCGGGATTGACCTAAAGTTATGGGTGGAGAGGATTGCAGTGAGTGGAGTTTAGAGGTCAGGATTAGTTTGTGAAATTATTAATTTAGCTGGTTAGGGAAATTTTGCCTTTTCAGGGTAATGTAGGGGAATTTCAAAATCCTATGACTGTGGCAACCATAACTAGGATATCCCCTTCCACACTGAAAGGAGTTGGAATGTGAACACATGGTTTTTCTCTGGAATGTTACACATCTAGTAGAATCTAGAGATTTGTGAAACACTTATGATTCTCCAATTGCCATCAAGACTTCCTTTGTGACTGTGAACTTACCATCTTAAAGTATAAGTGGAGATGATTTATATTTAATCTAAGGCCATGAAATTACAAATTAGAGGTAAAAAAATTGGCATGTCAGAGGCCAAAAGAGATCACCAAAAGCTTGGTTTGAATATAACAAATAAAACAAAACTGTAACCAAGGACAGCACCCTGAAATTATTTATTCCTCATTTAATCATCCTACCTGTAAAATTTCACAAAGACCTGCTAAAGGCATTTGAAAAGAATATTGTATTGACAGTACTGCTTTTTAAGCTTCAAAAAGTAAACTTAATCCTAGTCAAATATTTGCCCCCACAGGGTTTTTGGCCCCAGAGGGCCAAAAACCCGAGGAGGCACCTTAGGACTCCCCATGTAATATAGAGGAAGACTGGAGAAGAGAGAATGTGGGTATTTTCGGTAGATCATAACCAGAAAAAATCTCGATTTGATCGCTTGCATGGCCGCAAGGTATCAACGTTTTTCCCGCAAATGGTCATGGGCTGCCAGTAAAAAGACACGCGCACGAGGACTTTTAGGATCGGCGTCTTTGACACGAGATTTTTCCTAGTATAGAGGAAGACTGAAGAGAGAATGTAGGCCCTCTTAAGGTATAATTTTGTGTCTAATAACTATATAATAATAAATTGTTCTTCAATGCTGTCTATAAATTGTTCTCCAATGCCACCTATAACATTCCAATGTTAAAACTCAACCAAGTCCCTACATTCTGCTTCTTCTTGATCGTGAAGAACAAACAAATCCTAAGTTAAACCACACAGCAAAAAAAAAAAAAAAAACCCCAAGCACTTCCCAATACTACATTTTGTACACTTGTAGTATTTTGAGTACTTGTAGTATTCGCAATTCCGTAACAGCATAACAGAAAAATTACACAACTGTAAACAACAAGCCCAACTCAAAAAAAAAAAAAAAGAAAATGGTACTGTAGGGCGGGGGCAGCTCTAGTGAGAACTATAACTAGTATTAGGTTGTCATTGAGAGTCTCTTCAAAAGAGTTAGGAGTTAATATTTTTCTAACTTGGCTAAAAATTAGCCACAGTATCTGAAAGCTTCTGTGCCAGCTCTCTGACTCCATTGTGTGATGTTGTTAATACTCTTCGAACAATATCCCGGATTCCAACATCTATAAGCAGAGGGGCATAACGTTGCACTGCAAAAAAAGATAAGTTTTGTGGTGAGTCGCTTGTCTGTTAATTTAGCTCCTGATCATCACATTACCATGAGTAAGTAATCTTAATAATGGGACTACAACACAGCTTACAAATCTTGAAAAATTTTGCTATTGTGGGGAGAAACTGCAGGTCAAAGGGTTAAACTTTTCCATGTTCATATGAGAAAGGTGCGCAAGTTTGAGTCCCAAATTCAATAAATAGAGACAGTTGTCTACCATAAACAAGACCAGCTCCTAAATCTTGAGTGTACATCAGGCTAGAATTTTAAGATGATCATTGCTAAATTTGCTTGCTATGTACTACAAGAGCAATCGAGCAAACTTCAAGATACCCTGCCTTCCCTGCACAGAAAGGAATGCACGGGGGTTGGAATTTATGTCAGCAACATCAATGGGGTCAAATAGAGGTTTCTATCTAAGCTCAGCCTTACAAAAATCAAATGCATCATCCTGTCTGAGTTTTTAATTAGCCAAGGCACTGTTCAAACATTTGAGATCAAGAGGTGCTTACTGTCACTGGTGCAGACATTTATGATTCCCCACAAAGCCCACATCTGCACAGCAGGCATAGCACACTGGAGGAGAGGGACAAAAGATCTGAATGACCTAACAGAAAAAAGGGAAAAGGGTTACAATTTTAACATTATTGTATACAAACTTCAACAGTGTTCGAACTAGTGCTTCACAGGAGACTGTAAGAATCAATTTTTGATCTGCTATAAGATACATAAAAAATTATGCATGTCTAATTGGCTGAAAACAGGTGCATTTTTCATGTCATGAGTGCAAATTAAAAATAGCATGTGCACTGTCAAATTTTCACCCAACTGGACCTTCTGTGATGCTTTTTTTTTTCTCGTAAATTATTAATAGGTAACAACAAGATTTCTCATGCAGTTTAGTTTAAATAAGCACTTGAAATTTTTTTGAAGACTACAAACTGCACTTGCCCTATGGCTTGTACAATTTTTTTTGTCTTTGTTCTATTCATGAAAAGATAAAAAAAATAACCAGTACTTGATAAAGATAACTTTGCAAAAAGATATACAAACTTATAAGTAACAAACTGGTCTGCAGGAAATTCCCATCGGTTCACAGCTTGTTCCTGATAAAGAGAAAATGCAACATTTCTCCTTACAATATTACCTCCCAATCACATTAAGGTCATGAGAATAAAGGAACTGGTCACCAATTAAAGAGGCTCTTGATTGTTAAACAAGTTCTCCTTCCAGCATCTTGGGAAATTTATGGAGAACAGTATGGAGAATATGCATAATGATGTTAGGGTGTTGAGGGTTAATAGAGGTGAGGGGTGGGGGCAAATTTTTAAACCTGAGATATTTGAGTGCAAAAAATTTACACCTGGAGTCTTGTTTTTAGATCATGTCCCCACCTGCATCTCCCTAATTTCACTTGCTCCATTCTAGTTCCTGCTCAAGAAGTGAAGTCACTTAAATGGACTCACAATTTTGAAACTGTTTATATAACAACAAAATGTACAAAATTTCCTCTCTAAAAATGACATCCAGATTTACTTGTACATGGGACTGAAGTTATAATTTTCTGACTTTCAAAGTAACTGTCATTATAAAATTTGCTTAACTTTGCCTTATATTTAGAAAAAAACCCATAAAAAAATGTCAACCCAAAGATGAATTTGTTACAGAAGGGTATTCAAAGCCTATTATTATTTGCCCTGATGTAAAACTGCTAATATCTACCAGCCTACGAAGTAAATACTGTTTGCTGTGCAAAAGTAGCTCTCTATCATCAGACCACTCCAGTATAACATTGGACAAAATTCCACCACAAAAATAGGACAACTGGAGAAGCCCATCGTCCAGGAAAGACCTAGACATGACAAGAATTAAGCTTCACTTTAGAATATGGTTTATAGGACTGATTGTTTTTCATTAACTAATAATAATCATTAGTTTTTGGATTAATAACAAATGCATTTTCATTTGTTTCCTCAAAGAACAATTTTGATTAAATGCTCTTGACTAATACCTTTCCCCTAGTTAAAACATTTCTTGATTAAAAATTTTAACATAGCAGCACTACTATAACAGCCTTGTGCTCTTTAAAACATTCAGCTTAATTTTTAATTAGCTTCATGTGCCTTTCAGTCTCACTTGTTGAATTTGATCTTGTTGCAAAGCTTTGAAAAATCACCTGATATGTAGATTCAGAGCTGCTTCAATTTGTTGCAAACAAACTCAATATTCCTATTACTTATTTTCAAACACCATTTGACAAAAAAAAAAATTACCCTAAAAGATTCATGAATTCATCTGTGATGAGTAAATGCCTCAGACTTGGAATCTCAGCTATAATGTTCTAAAAGACAAAATAATGAGGATCAAAATTAATTTAATTGCTTTGGGCTATTCACTAATTCCTTTTTATAATCATTAAGACATCTTCTGCAATCTGGGAAAAAAAAAACCTCAAAGGCACACGTGATTCTCAATCTTTAAGTGAGGCCTCATAATTGTTGTGAAAAATTGTGGCACTACTCTAAGTTGCAACCCCTTTGGAAGCCATGGGAAGTGCCAAAAGTTTTTGGCAAAGGGTCAAAGGTAGTCAAATTGGCAGCCTGGGTTCAGTGGTCATGCAGAAAGTTGTGAGGTTTTCATTTGTTATTGCTTAGGTTCCTAAGTTAAAGTGAGATTAACTAAAGCATGAAATGTTATGAGATGCTCTGTTATTTCCTTTTCTTTCCTGGTGCATGATATTGAGCTTCCCATTTCTATTTTTTTCTAACTGTCCATCACAGATGACTTAAATCTTATCTCTGGAAACTGTATATACATGACTTTAGAATCAGTGTTGAACTTGGAGCATGAGTGTTTAGCCTTGTAGTAGACCTGTGCTTAATAGACTTTTCTTTTTGGCTCACCAGTGTTATAAGAAGCCTCCTTTTGATAATGAAATTTTTCTCTTGGCTTCCTTCTCTGAACACCTAGAGTTGATTTTATAATGCATCAGATGAAACATAAAAATGTTGACTGTAACTGCACCATTAAGAACTAAGACCATATATTTGGCAACACTATACATATGGTTAGCACTTGAGCAGGTGTTTGGTGGCGTCAACAAATTCTGGATTGGACCAGATTGGATCACGGACATAAACTTCCTGTGGGGCTTAAGCTCCATCCCGTTATGTAGACTTTATTTTAGCTTGTCATGCAACATTTTAAATTCCAATTATCACATTTTAAGGTTTTTTTAGTCTCATATTTTAAGTATTATTATTTCATAAATGATTTGAATTTTTTACTTTTTAAAACTTTTCTTTCAACCCGTGATGCAATCCATGACCTGATCTGTGATCCATGATCCGGTCCATGATCCCATCCCTTTGTTGATGGTGGGTGTGTGAGAGTGAGAGCTGTGAAAACCTCAAACATACTTAATAACAATTGAACTTGGTTGCACTGATCCTATTTGATACTGTGTGGTCGACAATGTTGAGCTATTTCTATCACTATCCAATAGCGCTTTACAATGACTGAAATAAAACATACAATGCTTGAAACTCCCAACTACCAGGAGGCAGACCAGTTGGCTCCTTACACAGCACAGCTGAGGAGTTCAACTTGGGGTGGCTGAGAACAAATCCAACAAATGGCAGGGAAGAGGACTTGAACCCAGGACTACTAGATTACAAGCACCCTAACCACTCAGCCACACTACCTCCTAGTGGTTAATGTTTGAGTTTATTTGCCATTTTCCAGAAAAGAATGTTCTTGTATACCTTAAGGCCTTGCACCATCAATTTTAAACCTCCTTTCTCAACAAACAGAGAACAAGTGCTCGGTTTCTCATCTGTGAATGTCATACAGAAAGAAATTTTTTTTTATCTGGACAGCTCATGGAAATAGCCTTACTCCTGGTTTGCTGAGCTCAGCAAGGGTCATTGTATTGTATTCTAGGGTAAGACACTTAACCCTCACATCATAATGCCTTATGAAAACTTTCAGAAAAAGTTGACAAAATGGGGAGGGCAGGGTTAGTGGGCAACTTGCAATTAACTAAAATCCTATCTACTTGAACAACTAGTCTCCTAATCACTCCTTGGGCTGGAAACTGAGTTTAGCTCAAGTGAAGGGGATAAGTTTCTAAAGAACTTGTGGTAATATACTATTCCAACAGGGTTGATGATGTGAATTGGCCACCATAGAGCATTGGCCATTTTGTCATAGCAAATGACAAAAGACTTTGCTAAATTACCCTGAGTTTAGCTCAACCAGCTACGTGCATCATTCAAAGACCTGAACCAAATGTACCATTCCTGTTACACCACATTGAAAAGTCATTTAAATCCAAACTTTTATTTACATCAATCTCTTTTCAAAGTACAATTTTGTAAACTTATTAATAAACATTGCATACCAGTTAAGTTCACTATAACAATAAGTGCTTCACACAATATGAAATCCTCCTAGAAAAAAAAGGGACTAAATCAAACAATCTAAAATATCATTAATTATAATTTTTGATGATGAAAATATTGCAAACAGTTTCTTAAAAGGACATGGTTATCAAAATCTTGGGTAAAATTATTATCACAAGCCAACTGAGACAAAGAAAATGAGAAAATATGACTTGTTAAGAGTGGACACAAGTAGGTAGAAATTTATTATTATAATGAAAGCAGCTAATTTGAATAGATAGTCAGAGGAACCTTTAAAAAATGTTTAACTTTATTAGTCTTGGCTTTCCCATGTTTTCTATTTCTAGAAAATGTGCTGGCTTTGTATTTCTTTATTTTAATGATCATATCTCTTATACTGAAAAATAATTCTGCTCAAAGGTAACTCAAAAATATCATATAAAGCATAATGGCAATGACCCAGCACACAAGGCCTAACCTAACCTTTCTTTAATCTGCTCACTCCATTAAAAATTTAGTATAAAATCATTTGTTGATTCTATCTGATCCATACCTGACTTGCACTGATCTTTTCTTGAATAACATTAATCATGGTCTGCATTTTTAAAATGAATTGATTAGTAAAGACATAGTTCATATATTGAAAGACATATTTAATCGACCACAACTTGAGATATTTAAATACCTGATCATCATGCCAAAAAATGCTGCTTTGATTAATAACAATTGCTAATTAAATGAATTTAGAGTTGATTTTTATTGATTAATGTGTTACATCTCTTACCATAATGTTTTTCTCTGAGCCAAGAGCAAGTGCTTCTCTCTCAGTCAACTGCACAATTGTGGAATTAGAAAAGCTTTAATTAGTAACCCAGATAATTACTTCAAATTACAGCAGGGAACCACTCAAGTGAATAGTTTTAGTAATTAAAATAATTGTCCAGACATGCATATCTTTGCAGACTGAAAGATATGATTGTTAATTCTCCCCTTTGGCTGCTACACATTTCCTTGTAAATTAGATGCAGGAATTTGGTGTTAGATCAATATAAATAACTTCTACCAGATAAGTTTGAATACTCTCGTCATCTGTTTGCTGGGTAATGTATGGATATTATAGGAAGAAGTTATATGATGATCACTTCTGAGAATGAAAGAGTTAACTGATTGAGTAAACAAGGAAACTTAACAATAAAAAGAAAGAACTTAGAGAGAGAGAGAGAGAAAAGAGAGAGTGGGGGAGGGAAGAGGAAGTGTATATTCATGCAGAAGAAGCACTTATTATTCAAAATGTCTGCAGGTACTAATTCAAGGGGAAATGATAGGTACCGTGATACCTTAAGACACAATATTGCACATAGCTGTGTAGCCAGCTGAGAAATATCCTGGTTACCATGGAAATTGCACAGGGCATCCATAGTCAAGCATGATGCTTCAAAGTAGTTGAATGTCTGCAAAGTAAATATCAAGTTATTGGTTTCCAACTCTATTTGGCAACATACATCTCATGACAGTTACTGCCCTAAATTTTCAGCCCATATCGTAGAGCCAATATTCCTTCAACGCACTGGAGATAATTTACAATATTTGAATCATTTCTACTTACTGCTTTTCTGACAACTTGTTTTGACCCCAAAATTGACATACAATTCTGCAAAAGCTATGGAAAGAAAGAAAAAGGGGCAGTGCTCATGACAAACACTGAGTGATTGAGTTAGATTAGGCAGACCTGGAAAATATTGGCATGAGGCTGTGTAACAATTTCCTGTCTGTTCCTTGTGCTCAGTCATTAAATACATTAATTCTTCTCTGACCATTTTCTGATGTTTCATTGTTCTTGTTATTTTGTCATAATTAAGATCAAGCAGAATCAAAACGTAATAGAGAGTTTTTGATGATAGATTACTTAACTGTTTGTCTTGATTCATTTGTTATAAATAAAATGAATTCTTACCAGATGCTTTTCTTACCGAATAATTTTCTGGAAAGGTTCTCATTGCTGATAGAACCAAAGATGCAACTTTACTGAAAAATCAAACAGAAAATAACTAAAAATAATCATGTTGACTCATTCTGTCATCAGAGTAAGCAAGTTAAGGGCATAACTTGCACAATTGCATGTTAACTTTAAAAAGATTCTGACTAGTTATTCACTTTTAAGAAATCAAGTAATTAATTTAAAGTGAAAATTACTTCCTCTCTACCTTAATTGATAAGTCAGTGGTTTAACAAATATGTGGAAGGGAGGAGGGCATGGAGGGAGACATGGAGGTTTTGCACTCCCCACCCCACCTTAACTTCCACATTTTGAGTAGGTAACCATTTCACATACTGTTTTTCTTGTGTTGTGTTAACAGGTGCCTAAAGGAGGGCTGTGGCTTGATTGCCATGGTGACCACCTGGTTGCTCAGAATATTAGCTACTGCTATCTTCTGTTACACAACAATACCAGCCCTCGAATACTGTTTTGGAAGTGTTTTAACCACATTTAATCACATATCCAGTAAACAGAGAAAAATACATGGGCATGCGTAAATATGGAATTTCTCTTCAAGTGTTTGACTCGATAGCTCAGTATATTGGTTTCCTTTCCCTTCTAAGCAAGTTTGAACCCTACAGTCTTTCAGCGAAATAGATTTTTTTGTGTTTTAGCCGCCATAATTCAAGAAAGCCCCAAAAACCAACCTGTATTGGGAATCATTAAGCCTTTAATTTGCTGTTCATTTATCAACCTGACCTAGTGGCACCAAAGGCAAGTGACATGTTAGCAACTGATTGGCTATATCAACACACATGAAAAAATACAATATTTTTTCATGAGTGTTGTTACGGCTTTTCTTAGAGCCGGAAATCCCTGTATAACACTGCAGTTTATGTGATAATAAGTTTTATTACCTCAAGAAATGAGGATGCACTTGTGGGTCTGCCTCTCCTCCTCTTTCTCTGATAATGTTACCTACACAAGTTCTGAATTCAAAAGAACATTCATTCTAAAATCAAAAATTTGATTTGAAGATAATCAAAATTTTTAGAAAATTTTTTATTTTAATAAACGAAATTGTTTCACTTTGAATGATTATTGTAACTACTTGAGAATCTTTGTGAATATTTAACTTACGTAGCAGCCACTTGAACATTGAAATCACCTGGATGTTTTTCTAGTGGAGTAAGGACAAGCTGTGCAAATGCGATTAAAAAGAATTAAACTAATTTTAAATCCTAAGACTTTCAAAGCAATATCATGTAGGTAAGAGTTCCCCTTTGACAAAGAAAAATTTAAGAGACAACATTCTCAAATGAATTTTTTTCACATCTGCAGGGTTAATTTTCATGAGAAAATGCAGTAGTAGCTATATATAGGAAATGAAAACAAAATTCCTCAGGCCTTTGAACTGTAGTTGGAGAATTCTGCACTGCAAGTAGCTAATTTTGCAATTTCTAAACTAAATGAAAAACCTGCTTGCAGTTGTTAAGTCTGTGAGGTTAAATTTCTACATTGCTGCAATCATAAATCAGAATTACAGCAGTTCAAAATAAGTATAGGTTGAAAATTTTTTCTGTATATGATGATTACTCTTGGAGCTCAAAGGACCCTAAAGAACCTTAAGTTAATTAAATAAGCCATTTCATTGTGTACCTCTAGAACTTGTGGTTTTCTTGTTGTCCAATCATTGCTGATGCGAAACAATCCACGCAGAGCTTCTCTCATGTAATCAGCTCTGTCTGGGTACATTTGTAATGAAGAAAGGATCTGTTTCTCAGTAGCTTCACCTGTAATCTGATGAAAGATAAGCCACATTTAACTCGAATGTTGACTTTTATGATGTAAGTAGTATAAGGAAAAGCTTATAAAGAGCAGTTGATGGATGAAAAGATTTCAGAAAATTACACTAAGTATTATGCAGCCAAGTCACATATCCTTTATGTTAGCTGCAAAATAAATTCTTACTGCACATGAGTGTAATGTGACTAAAAAAAACTCTGGTACAACACTTATCAAAAGAACCTGATGATTGTTGGGGGTAATCTTGTGACTGACTGGAATCCTGTCCAAGGAGGGAGTACAGTAACCCTCTAAGTTGCTTCATGTGAAGTAAACCAGGATGAGCTGCAGCAAGATGGGCCACTAGGTTTGAGTATAGACTTCACATCAAGTCCCTCAACAATATGGAATTCTAAAGGTATTTCATGAAAATTGGAAACATCTCCAACAAACTTTGAAGATTTTCACCATTCTGGTTGAAAACAAGAACAGTTTTTCACTGTTTCATATCATTAGTTTATTATATTATTGTGATAATTCTACCTTAATAAGAGGAGAAATTCTTTCCAGTTGTTCTTGTAAATTCTGTGACATCAAACAAAGGCCTAGGAACTCAAGTTTAGGATGAGAACGAAGAAATGACTGCAAAGCACCTGCTGTTACTGTGAAAACACCTGAAACATCCAGAGAGACCAGGTTTGGCATCATACATTGGTCTGTAAGCATTTCGTCATATTTTATAGACTCCATCATCCCATCGTGGTGCAAATCATTATCAGAACTTCTTGAAATATCAAGCTTCTGTAATAATGTAAAGTCCTTGAACTCAGCAGGGTTTGTCCATGATATTGGTGTGTTAAAAGCGATTAATGTTTTTAGTTGACCTCTTAGTTTCCCGAATGAAGAGACATGTCTTATTGCAGTGTTAGAGATATTAATGTGTTGCAAACAATCCATATTCTGTGCAGCAACCGACATCAAGTGGTCATTTATAGGAGTGCAATGGCTCACATCCAAATGTGTCAAACAGTTCAGTGGCTTCATGGCAGCAAAGTCCAAGACAAATGATGTGCAGCTCAAATTTAACTCCCTTACTGTCGATGACATTCCATTCAGCAGTTGAAAAAACAAAAAAGAGGAGAACGTTTTTGTTCCAGATAAGTCTAGTTTTTCAACTTTGTGTTTTCCAGCAAGTAGTTTCAGCACTGGAAAACTCAGCTGACATTTCCTGAGATTGAAATGTTTCATTCTACATCTGTGCGGATCAACAAATAAAGATGCAGTCCTATCTGTCAGGTTTCTATCACGTGAGAGACATCTCATAATATTGTCTGCCAGGTGTTCGTGGAGAAATAACGGAGCAATGAAACTAAGTTTTTGACAAGAAACCTCGCCGTACTGGACACCTTGAACATCCTTGTGGCATAAATCTTCAATATTAGCACTGATAAAGCTCAGGCATATTTCTTCGAGAGAAGCTGGTGAAACGGTGCTCATGTTGAGACGCTCTTTTACAATGCAAGGAACTTAGAAGAAAATATAGTTGCACTAAAACACATGCAGTAAAAGCACTTTAAGTTCCTTCACTTCTTTGACGCTCCTTCCTTGCGCCTTGATCTTCAATCATGCAGCTCCGTCGAGAGGAAAGATGCAAGTACACAGAAAATCGGAACAACAGTGTAACAACTTTACCAAACCATTTAGTTAAAAAGTCTGCTAGTTATGACTACTTCCGCATTACGTTTGTTTTGAACTTGGTCACCGCTCGTTTAATCTCCGAAGCAATCCGAGCATGTCCGAGTATATATCGACTTCATTTCGAGTTTCCGAACAGTTAACCAAGGTTTCAGAACAGTTTTCTTTGGTAGGCATCGAGCTTTTATCAAAACTTAACTGTATATTGCGTTTAGTCTTAGATCTGCAAAGATGTCCTTAAAGAAAGGAAGATGGAAGGACTCAGCTCAACAGGCAAGGCGGCTGTCGCAGACTTCATCTTGAAATTAAACACGAAAAGAAAGTTTGATCGGAGAAGAAATTTCTACAAAAGAACTTAAAGAATGTTTAGAGAAGTTAAAGAAAAAGATGAGATCACTTTAGAGTGGAAACAGTTTCGATAGAGTGGTTCACGATGAGGAAGACAAAACTCCAGACATCTCGATCTCCAGTATGGAAGACGAGGAATTGGGTAAGTTCTTTCGAATCAAGCCGACTATTTCTCTGTTGACCTCAAGTTTATCAGCAGGACGACAGCTCACCGTTTAAATCTTTATAGTATCACAAAACGCAAAGCACTGGTTTTGAATTGCATAGATTACTTTTATAGTCGTCAATAATGCTTAAAATGATCAGGGAAAAGACAAAGAGTAGTACACCAGTTTTGATTGCTACATTGCAACTTTTCTATTTTGCCTAGCAACATGTAATGACACCATTTTACTGTGACCAAGACAGAATTTCTCCTTACAACATCAATACAAAATCAAACAGATAAGTAATGAGAATAAAGAAAAATATCAATTTGGAAATAATTAGTTGATCCAGTACAAAATTCTCTGAAATAACATTATAAGAATTGTATGGTTGACAGTGAGGGGAATTACAAATTTGGTCTGGGAGTTGAGGGGTTAACAAATAGATTCCACACTGCTGTGGGCCTGTGCTGTAATAGATCACAGACGACGTCAAAATGTGGTACACAGGGCAGAGCCAAGTGCATTACTGCTGTTCTTACCACATTTTGATGTGTTTGCTTTTCTATTGAGTGAAAGAAAATAAATTTCTCTCTCCAATTTTGGATCTGTAGGGCTGGGGGATCATGTGTACTATAGGTGGCCTCGGTCGACTATCGGTCGACTATTGGTCGATTATCGGTTTATCGGTCGACAGTCGGTCGACAGTCGACCGATAGTCGACCGATAGTCGACGATAGTCGACCGATATATCGACTGATAGTCGACCAATGCATCACCCGATATGTACACATTTATCGGTCGATAGTCGACCGATAGTCGACCGATAGTCGACCGATATATCGGCCGACTGTCGGCCGATGTATCAGCCGATATGTGCACATTTATCAGTCGACTGTCGGCCGATATATCGATCCACTGTCGGCCGATATGTCGACCGAGGCCACCTACAGTACACATGATCCGGGCTGGGCTCTTGTAGCATCTGGTGACCCCCTGGATCCTTGCTTTTGCTCTTGGGCAACTAGGAGGTTTTTTGCTTTTCATTAGAAGCATATGCTGGGCACCCTGGGTTTCAAAACTTCAGAGCACTGGGCTCCCTTCAATTTTTTTGAGAGCTCTGCCTTGTGCTGTTTCAATTTGTCCTAAGTTTTCCCCCTGCAAGTTTTGTTAGTTACCCCTCTTGCAGTCACCATGGTAGAAGCCACCACAATAAAGACCATGCCATTGCAATCTCTTTTTTGTAGTCTGCATAAATTAACACCAGAAAACAATAAAAACTTCATAAAATGGCTACAAGGAACCTGGAGGGTAGAGTAGAGTGGGGGCAAGGGGGAGTAGCTGTAAACGGACAGGTACCCTATCCTATGGGCGTGGTCACTTTACACTTTTCAAACTAAGTAAATTTCACAAGAAAGATCCTTGAGCAATAGAGAAATGATAATTTTCCAGCTAATCTGCAGAATTCTCTGACTTAATTTTAATGACCTCAAATGTATTTTTATTCCGAGGTGGAGAATATTTTCCTGTCACTTTACACAACTATTCTGCTTCTTTGTTTCTTTATGAAAACCCTGCTGCCTGCAGTTGTGGTACATTTAGGTTTTTGAGTGTACACAGCAACAGGGATAATGGTTTGTCCTCTTTTGTATCATCAGGAATCATGTAAGCTCTCTCCCCCAACAATGGCCATTCCACAGATCAGCATCACTGAGCAACATACCAGATCAACCACGCATTAACTACTTGTCATTGTTAGTTGATGAAACTCTTGATGAAGTTTTCAGTTAAGTAGACTTCGAATACCTCACTAATGATCAAAGGCAGTTGAAATCAACAAATTACCAGTTGATGCAAACGCCACAGCCACTACAGAGCTGTTACTTTTCACAATGATATTTCTTGATCCCTCATGGACTATATGTGGAATAACTTATCCATGGCTACCCAGCAGTACCTAGGAAAGTACTGCCTAGCTCCTCAACATCCTACAATTTCTGAAGGTCAACATGGACCAACTATGGACAGGAAATCAAAAAGAACCTCTGCTTGTGATTCTGAACTATTCAACTCTGAAACATTCCGAGGTTGTGAAGCACCACCTCCTAATCCAGAGCCTGCCTCCGAAGATGAAAATACTTCAAATATTTTAGACATAACCAGGCTGAAAAAGCTTCCCAAGTTAATTTGATGTGCAAGATACTGACAGAGGTAGTTCTGAATCTTAAAACATAGGCCATTAATTCTGAAGAAATATTTCTAAAAGAACGGGATTGACCTAAAGTTATGGGTGGTGAGGATTGCTGTGAGTGGAGGTTAGAGGTTTGGATTAGTTTGTGAAATTGTTAATTTAGCTGGTCGGGGAAATTTTGCCTTTTTTCAGGTAACTTTCGGGGAATTTCACTGTGGCAACCATAACTAGGATATCCCCTTCCACACTAAAAGGAGTTGGGATGTGAACACATGGTTTTTCTCTTGGAATGTTACACATCTAGTAGAATCTAGAGATTTGTGAAACACTTATGATTCTCCAATTGCCATCAAGACTTCCTTTGTAACTGTGAACCTACCATCTTAAAGTGTAAATGGAGATGATTTATGTTTAATACAAGGCCATAACATTACTGATTTTAAGTAAAAAATGGCATGTTCGAGGCCAGAGGAGGTGACTAAAAGCTTGGTTTGAATATAACAAATAAAACAAAACTGTAACCAAGAACAGCATCCTGAAATTATTTATTCCACTGTCACAAATCCTACTTGTAAAAATTTCACAAAGATCTGCTAAAGGAATTTGAAGAGAAAATTGTATTGATAATATTGCTTTTTAAGCGTCAAAAAGTAAACTTAATCCCAGTCAAATGTTATAAGGTTGTCATTGAAAGTCCCTTCACAATAGTTAAGATTTTCTCTTTTTCTGACTTGGCTCAAAATTGACCACAGTATTTAAAAGCTTTTGTGCCAGCTCTCTGACTCCATTGTGTGATGTTTTTAAGACCCTCTGAACAATATCTGGGATTTCAACATCAGAAAGAAGAGGGTCATAATGTTGCACTGCAAAAAAAGATTAGATTTGTGATGAGTTGATTGTCTGTCAATTCAGCTCTTGATCATTTCATTGCCATGAGTAGGTAATCTTCATAATAGGACTGCATCACACTTACATATCTTGAAAACTTTTGCCAAAAGTTTTCAATCTTGTCTTTTGTAAGACATGTATTAACAAGGAGCATTGGTTTAAAAATTAAGAACTTCTTTTGTTGTTGATCATTTCCTTTCTTCTCATGACCTTTATGTGTGATATTGTAAGGAGAAACTGTAGGTCAAAGGGTTAAACTTTTCCATGTTCATATGAGAAAGGTGTGCAAGTTTGTGTCCCAAATTCAATAAATTGTGACAGTTGTCTACCAATTAAGCATAACAAGACCAGCTCCTAAATCTTGAGTGTAAATAAGGCAAGAATTTTAGGATGATCATAGCTAGATTTGCTTGCTATACATTACATGACCAATTGAGCAAACTTCAAGGTACCCTGCCTGACCTGCACAGAAAGGATTGCACTGGGGGGTTGGGATTTATGTCAGCACCATCAATGGGGTCAAATAGAGGTTTCTATCTAAGCTCAGCCTTACAAAAATCAAATGCATCATCCTGTCTGAGTTGTTTATTAGCCAGGGGACTGTTCAAACAATTTGAGATCAAGAGGTGCTTACTGTTAGTGGTGCAGACATTTATGATTCCCCACAAAGCCCACATCTGCACAGCAGGCATAGCGCACTGGAGGAGTGGGACAAAAGATCTGAACGACCTGACAGAAAATGGGGAAAAGGGTGACAATTTTAATATTTATTGTACACAAACTTCAACTAGTGCCTCCCACAGGAGACTGTAAGAATCAATTTTTGATCTGCTATGATATACATAAAAAAAATTATGAACATCTAATTGGCTGAAAACAGGTGCATTTTTCATGTCACATGAGTGCAAATTAAAAATAACATGTGAACTGTTGAATTCTCACCAGACTGAACCTTCTGTGATTATTTTTTCTCATACATTAATAGGTAACAACATGATTTCTCATGCAGTTTGGTTTAAATAAGCAATTGTAAATTTTTCGAAGACTACAAATTTCACTTGCCCTATGGCTTGTACAATTCTGTTGTGTTCTATTCATGAAAAGATAAAAAAATAACCAGTACTTGATAAAGATAATCTTGCAAAAAGATATACAAACTTATATCTAACAAACTGGTCTGCAGGAAATTCCCATCGGTTCACAGCTTGTTCCTGATAAAGAGAAAAACGCAACATTTTTACCTGAACACTGTTGCTGTCACAAAAGTGATTACCATCTAATTTCTCCTTACAATGTTGCCTCTCAATCGCACATTACTCACGAGAATAAAGGAACTGATCACCAATTAAAGTGGCTCTTGATTGTTAGACAAGTTCTCCTTCCAGCACCTTAAGAAATTTATGGAGAACAGTATGGAGAATATGCATAATGATGTTAGGGTGTTGAGGTTTAAGAGAGGTGAGGGGTGAGGGGTGGGGGCAAATTTTTAAACCTGAGATATTTGAGTGAAAAAAATTTTACACCTGGAGTCTTGTTTTTAGATCATGTCCCCACCCTCATCTCCCTAATTTCACTTACTCCATTCTAGTCCCTGCTCAAGAAGTGAAGTCACTTAAATGGACTCATACAATTTTAAAAATGTTTCCATGAAAAAAAAATGTACAAAATTTCCTCACTTTTCTAGATATGATATCTAGATTTACTTGTATGAGGGACTAAAGTTATAATTTTCTGATTTTCAAAGTAACTGTCAATACAAAATTTGCTCAACTTTGCCTTATATTTTGGAAAAAACTCATGAAAAAATGGCAACCCAAAGATGACTTTTTTACAGAAGGGTATTCAAAGCCTTCTATTGTTAATTTGCAACCATGCCCTGATGTAAGACTGCTAATATCTACCAGCCTATGAAGTAAATACTGTTTGCTGTGTGACATTGGCTCTCTGTCATCAGACCACTCCAGCATAACATTGGACAAAATTCCACCACAAAAATAGGATAACTGGAGAAGCCCGTCATCCAGGAGAGACCTACAGAAGACAGGAATTAAGCTTTACTTTAGATCCATGGATTAAGACTGATTTTTTTCCATTAACAAATAATAATTATCAGTTAATTGTTGGATTAATGGCAAACACATTTTCATTTGTTTCCTCAAACAACAATTTTGATTAAATGCCCTTGACTAATACTTTTCCACACATTAAAACATTTCTTGATTAAAAATGTCAATATAGCCATGTAGGCACAAGAATTTGTATTATCATTTTTTGTTAGTGTTAGTGTTTCATAGTTTCGTGTTAAGTGTTCTTGTTTTTATTAGTGTCCTTTGTCAGTTACCAGTTTTGTACTTGTTATATTTATTTGCATATTGTATATATATTGTTCGCACGTAATTTATTTGGTTAGTTGTCTAGTTTGCGAAAATTATTGTTACATAATATCTAGCTCTGGGTTTCATGTTTTCGTCTTTGGTTTGGTCACATTCGTCTTGTAAGTGTTCTTGTTTATTTCCCTTTGTCATTTTCCAGTACTTTCACTCATATGATGTAAGTTATTTTATGCTCATTCGTGTTTGTAATTTTGTTATTTTCAGTTACTGTATTCAACAATGTGTCAAGTTTGTTCTAGTAAAGTTTGAAATACGAGTGATTAGCATTTGCGGCTATAAGCCACACTACTTTAACAGCCTCCAGCTCTTAAAAACACTCAGTCTAATTTTTAATTAGCTTCATGTGCCTTTCAGTCTGAATTGTTGAATTTGATCTTGTTGCAAAGCTTTGAAAAATCACTTGATGTGTAAATTCAAAGCCACTTTAATTTGTTGCAAACAAACTCGACATTCCTAACTTGTTTTCAAACATTTGTCAAACAGAAAAAGACATTACCCCATAAGATTCATGAATTCATCTGTGACAAGTAAGTGCCTCAGACTTGGGACCTCAGCAATAATGTTCTAAAACAGAATAATGAGGATCAAAATGAATTCAATTGCTTTGGGCTATAGACTGATTCCTGTTTGTAGCTGTCAAGACATTTTCCACAATCTGGGGAAAAAAACCTCAAAGGCACATTTGATTCTCAATCTTTAAGTGAGGCCTTATTGTTATGAAAAATTGTGGCACTCCTCTAAGCTTTGACCACTTTGGAAGCCATGGCAAATGGCAAAAGCTTTTGGCAAACAAGGGTCAAAGGGTGTCAAATTGGCAGCCTGAGTTCAGTGGTCATGCTGAAAGTTGTGAGGTTTTCATTTGTGATTGCTTAGGTTCCTAAGGTAAAGTTAGATTAACAAAGGCATGAAATGTTTTTAAATGCTCTGTCATTGCCTTTTCTTTCCTGGTGCATGATATTTAGCTTCCCATTTCTACTTTTCTGTAACTGTTCATCACAGAAGACTTAAATGTTATCTCTGGAAACCATATACACAATGACTTTAGAATCAATGATAAACTCAGAGCAGGATTGTTTAGCCTTGTGGTAGACCTGTGCTTAATAGGCTTTTCTTAATGGCTTACCAGTTCTATAAGAAGATCCTTTTTGATTCCAAAATTTTTCTCTTGGCTTCCTTCTCTGAACACCTAGAGTTGATTTAATAATGCATCAGATTAAACATAAAATTGTTGACTGTAACTGCACTGTTAAGAAGTAAAACCATACTATATTTGGCAACACTATGCCTATGGTTAGCACTTGGGTAAGTGTGTGGCAGTGTCAACAAAATCTGGATTGGGCTGGACTGGGTCATGGACACAAACTTCCAGTGGGGCCTAAGCTCCATTATGTTATGCAAACTTTATTTTAGTTTGTCATGTAACATTTCTCATTTAATTACTATATTTTAGGTTTTTTGATCTCATATTTTAAGTATTATTATTTTTTAAATGATCTGATTTTTACTTTTCTAAACTTTTCTTTTTCAATCCGTGGTGCAATCCTGATGACCCCATCTGTAATCCATGACCTGATCCATGATCTGATCCTGTCTGATCCCAGTTTTGTTGATGAGGGGTGTGTGGGAGCTGTGAAAACCTTAAACATATTTACTTAAAAACACTCGAACTCTGTTGTGCTGTGTGCATGTTGCTATTTGATACTGTGTGGTGGACAATGTTGAGCTATTTCTATTGCTATTCAATAGCACTTTACAGTGACTGAAATAAAACATACAGTGCTTGAAATTCCAACTGCCAGGAGGCAGGCCAATCAGCTATTTACACAGCACAGCTGGGGAGTTCAACTTGGGGTGACTGAGAACAAATCCAATGAATGGCAGGGTAGAGGAATTGAACCCAGGATGACCAGATTACAAGTCCTGAGCACCCTTAAACCACTCAGCCACACAGCCTCCTGGCAGTTTGTTTGAATTTACTTGGCAGTTTCTAGAAAAGAATGTTCTTGTATACCTTCAGGCCTTGCACCATCAATTGAAAACCTCCTTTCTCAACAAACAGAGAACAAGTGCTCGGTGTCTCATCTGTAAATGTCAGAAAGAACTATTTTTTTATCTGGACAGCTCATGGAAAGAGCCTTTAACTCTTGGTTTGCTGAACTTGGGAAAGGGTCATTGTATTGTATTCTAGGGAAAAGCACTGAACTCTATAATAATATCATAATGCCTTGGAAAAACTCTCAGAAAAAGATGAAATGGCAGAGGTGGGTGGGGTGGGTGAGTAACTTGCAATGAGCCAACATCCTATCTACTTGGACAACCAGTCTCCTGGTCACTCCTTAGGCTGAAAACTGAGTTTAGCTCAAGTGAAGGGAGTAAGTTCTAAAGAAACTAGTAATTTACTATTCCAACAGGGTTAATAATGTTAATTGGCCACTATAAAGTGTTAGCCCTTTGTCATAGTGACATTAAAAAACATTGCATACCAGTTAATTTCTCTAGAACAGTAAATGCATTACTCAATGTGAGATCCTCCTAGAAAAAAAAAGACTGCATAAAGTAATCTAAAATATCATTAATAATTATTGATGATGAAAAGGTAGAGAACAATTTCTTAGAAGGAGATATTGGTTATAACAATCTTGGATAAAATTATTGCAAGTCAACTGAGATAAAGAAAATGAGAAAATATAATTATAATTATGAAAGCAGCTAATTTGAATTGACAGTCAGATCAAGTAACCTTAAAAAAATGTTTAACTTAATTCAAGTCTTGGCTTTCCCATGTTTTCTATTTCTAGAAAACGTGCTAGCTTTGTGTTCCTCTATTGTGATGATCATATCTCTTAAACTGAAAAAAATTCTGCTCAAAGGCATTGCAACAATATCATACAGCAATAAACCAAAATGGTGATGACCCTGAGTGCACAAGGCCTAACCTAATCTTTCTTTAATCTGCTTGCTCCATTAAAAAAAATGACATTTGTATTATGAAATTATTTCATTATAGTGTTGCAAATTCTATCTGATCCATACCTGTCTTGCACTGATCTTTTCTTGAATAATATTAAACATGGTCTGTATTTTTAAAATGAACTGCATGATTAGTAAAGACCTAGTTTATAGTTGGAAGACACATTTAATCAACCACAACTTGAGATATTTAAATAATTGATTATCATGCCAAAAAATGCTGCTTTGATATAATAACAATCGCTAAATGAATTTAAAATTGATTTTTATTGATTAATATGTTATGTCTCTTACCATAATGTTTTTCTCTGAGCCAAGAGCAAGTTTTTCTTCCTCAGTAAGCTGCACAGGTATGAATTAGAAAAGCCTTTAATTAGTATTACCCAGATACTTACTTCAAATTACAACAGGGAACCACTTAAACCAATGGTTTTAATAATTAAAATAATTGTCCAGACATGCATGTCTTCATAGACTCAAAGATCTGATTATTAATTCTCCCCTTTGGCTGCTACACTTTTCCTTGTATATTAGATGTAGGAATTTGGTGTTGGATCAAGATAAAGAACTTCTACCATGCAGATAAGTTTGAGTATTCTTGTTAACTGTTTGCTGGATTATGTAAGGATATTATAGGGAGAAGTTATATGAGAATCACTTCTGAGAATTAAAGAGTTAACTAATTTAGTGAACAAGGTAATTTAACAATTAAAAGAGAGAGGGGGGAAGGGGGTGGAAGTTTTTATTCATGCAAGAGGAGCACTTATTATTCAAGATGTTTGCAGGCACTAATTCAAGGGGAAATGCTAATGAAAGTTTGAATCAATGCCAGAATCTGAACAACTGCACACCTACACCTCCCCTCACCCAACAACAGTCAACTGATGACAAGTTAGGGGTTCATGTTGGGTTAGGGGAGGGGTAGGTGTGGAGTTGCTCAGATTCTAGCATCTATCCAAACTTTCATTAGCATTTCCCCTTTAATTAGTTCCTGCAAACATCTTGATAAAATGAGTGCTTCTCCTGCTTGTCCTATTGAGCAAAGAATCTGTCCACAAATGCAATTTTTTGGGGATTTGTTTGTACTGTACTGCAATACCTTAGCACACAGATTTGCACATAGCTGTATAGCCAGCTGACAAATATCCTGGTTACCACGGAAATTGCACAGAGCATCCATAACCAAGCATGATGCTTCAAAGTAGTTGAATGTCTGCAAAGTAAAAATCAAGTTATTTGTTTCCAACTCTAATTGATGACATACATCTCTTAACAGTTACTGCCCTAAATGTTCAGCGCATATTCTAGAGCCAATATTCCTTCAATGCACTGGAGATTAAATTTACAATATTTGAATCATTTCTACTTACTGCTTTTGTGACAACTTGTTTTAACCCCAATATTGACATACACTTCAACAAAAGCTATGGAAAGAAAGAAAAAGGGGCAGTGCTCATGACAAACACTGAGTGATTGAGTTAGTTTAGGCAGACCTTGAAAATATTGACATGAGGCTATGTAAGAACTTCCTGTCTGTTCCTTGTGCTCAGTTGATGAATACATTCATCCTGCTCTGATTATTTTCTAATGTTTCATTGTTCTGTCATTTTATCATAAGATCAAGCAGAATCAAAACACAATAGAGAGTCTTTGATGGTAGATTACTGTTGGCCTTGATTCATTTATCATAAATAATGCAAATTCTTACCAGATGCTTTTCTGGAAAGGTTTTCATTACTGATAGAACCAAAGATGCAAGTTTACTGAAAAGTCAATCAGAAGATAACTTAAGATAATCACATTGAATGTACAAACAGCATGTTAACTTAAAAAGACTCTGACTAATTGTTAACTTTTATCTAATCAAATAATAAAAGTGAAAATTAACCACCTTTCTACCTCAGGTTGTCAAGGCAGTGGTTTAACCAATGACATGTAGCAGGGGGGGCATGGAGGGTTTGCACTTCTCCCCTTCCTTTCCCACCCCTCCCTGAATGGCCAACTTTTGAGTAAGTAACCATTTAACACACTGGTATTTTTTGCGTTGTGTTGATAGGTGCGTAAAGGTGGGCTGTAGCTTGATTGCCAGGGTGACCACCTGGTTGCCAAGAGAGCTGTTGCTATGTTTTGTTGCTTAACAACACCAGCCCTCTAATACCACTTTGGAAGTATTTCAAACATACTTAATCATGTATTCAGTGAGAATTTACCTTAAGAAATAAGGATGCACTTCTGGGTCTGCTTCCTTTCCTCTTGCTATGACAATGTTACCTACACAAGTTCTGAATTCAAAAGAACATCCAAAAAATGTTAATAAATTGTAATGTTTATATACTAGGGTCAAAACTTAATGTTTTAAAAATAATTTTTGGAAAATTTGTTTTATAAAAAACAAACCTGTTTTATTTTGAATGATTATCCTAACTAAACGTCTTTAATGAATATTATCAATCTTTGTGAATATTATAACTTACATAGCTGCACTTTGAATGTTGAAATCATTTGGATGTTTTTCCATTTGAGTGAGAAGAAGCTGTGCAAATGGAATTAAAAAGAATTTGATTAGTTTAAAACCCTTAGGCTTTCAAAACATCATATAGACAAGAGTTTTCCCTTTAACGATGAAAAATGTGATTAAGAAACAACATTCTCAAATGAATTATTTTCACTTCTGCAGGGTTTTCATAAGAAATGTATTAGTAGGAATGAAAACAAAATTCCTTTGGCCTTTGAACTGTAATTTAATCAACCACAACTTGAGATATTTAAATACCTGATTATCATGCCAAAAAATGCTGCTTTGATTAATAACATCACTGATTAAATGAATTAAGAATTTAATTTTATTGATTAATATGTTACGTCTCTTCACCATAATGTTTTTCTCTGAGCCAAGAGCACGTTTTTCTTGCTGAGTCAACTGCACAGGTGTGGAATCAGAAAAGCCTTTAATTAGTAACCCTAGATACTTCAAATTACAGCAGGGAACCACTCGAGTTAATAGTTTTAGTCATTAAAATAATTGTCTAGACATGCATATCTTTGCAGACTCAAAGATCTGATTGTTAATTCTCCCCTTTGGCTGCTACACATTTCCTTGAAAATTAGATGCAGGAATTTGGTGTTAGATCAATATAAAGAACTTCTACCAGATAAGTTTGAATACTCTCGTTATCTGTTTGCTGGATAATGTATGGATATTATAGGAAGAAGTTATATGAGAATCACTTCTGAGAATGAAAGAGTTTACTAATTTGGTGAACAAGGTAACTTAACAATAAAGAGAGAGAGAGAGAGAGAGAGAGAGAGAGAGAGAGAGAGAGAGAGAGAGAGAGAGAGGAGGGGAAGGAAGAAGAAGTACATATTTATGCAGGAGAAGCACTTACTATTCAAAATATCTGCAGGTATACTAATTCAAGGGGAAATGCTAATGAAATTTTGGGTCAATGTCAGTATCTGAGCAATTACACACGTACCCCTCCCCTAACCACCAACAGCCAACTGATGACAAGTCAAGTCAATGTTGGGTTAGGGGAGGGGTAGGTGCATGTGGAGTTGTTCAGATTCTAGCATCTATCCAAACTTTCATTAACATTTCCCCTTTTATTAGTTCCTGCAAACATCTTGAATAATGGATGCTTCTCATGCTTTTCCAATATTTGAGTGTCAAATTGAGCAAAGAATCTGTCCAAAAATGCAATTTTTATGGGATTTGTTAGTTCTGTATACTGCAATACCTTAGCACACAGATTTGCACATAGCTTTATAGCCAGCTGACAAGTATCCTGGTTACCATGGAAATTGCACAGAGCATCCATAACCAAGCATGATGCTTCAAAGTAGTTGAATGTCTGGAGAGTAAAAATAAAAGTTATTGCTTCCTAACTCTATTTTGTGACATACATCTCATGACAGTTATACTGCCTAAATTTTTGGTCCATATTCTACAGCCACTATTCATTTAACATGCTGGAGATGATTTACAATAATTGAATCATTTCTACTTACTGCTTTTTCACGAATTTGTTGTGTCTGCAAAATTAACATACAGATCCGCAAAAACTAAGGAGAGAAAGGAAAAGGGGCAATGATCATGACAAACATTGAGTTATTGAGTTAGGTTATGCAGACCGGGAAAATATTGGCATGAGGCTGTATACAAATTTCCTGTCTGTTCCTTGCACTCAGTCAATGAACACATTAATTCTGCTCTGGTTATTTTCTGATATTTCATATTGTTCTTCTATCATTTTGTCATAAGATCAAGCAGAATCAAGACATAATAGAGTGTATTTGATGGTAGATTACTGTTTGTCGTGATTCATTTATCATATATAAATAAAACAAATTCTTACCTGATGCTTTTCTGGAAAGGTTCTCATTGCTGATAGAACCAAAGATGCAACTTTACTGAAAAATCCAACAGAAGATATAACTAAAAATAATCACATTGGATATCATTCTGTTGTCAGAGTAAGCAAGTTGGGGGAATAACTTGCACAAAGTGCATTTTAACTTTAAAAGATTCTGACTAATTATTCCATTTTAACAAATCAAATAATAAATTTAAAGAGAAAATTACCACCTCTCTTCCTAAGATTGATAAGGCTGTGTTTTGACAAATGAGATTCAGAAGGGAGGGGGGGCATGGAGGGTTTGCACTCCCCACCCCTCTCGCTTAACTGCCAACTTTTGAGTACTACATTAACCATTTCAAACACTGGTTTTTTTGTGTTGTGTTGACAGGCATTAAAGGAGGGCTGGGGTTTGATTGCCATGGTGACCGCCTGGTTGCCCAGAATACTATTGTTATCTTCTGTTGTACAACAACACCAGCCCCCTAATAATGTTTTGAAAGTGTTTTAACCATACCTAATCATGTATCCAGAAATAATTTTACCTTAACAAATGGGGATGCACTTCTGGCCCTGCTTCCCCTCCTTTTTCTCTGATAATTTTTAATACGCAAGTTCTGAATTCAAAAGAACATTCATTCTATGGTCAAAACTTTGATTTGAAAATAATCAAAATTTTTAGAAAATTTTTTAATTTTAATAAACAAAATTGTTTTATTTTGAATAATTATCATAACTATTCAAGAATCTTTGTGAATATTAACTTACATAGCCCCTACTTGAACATGGAGATCACCCAGATGTTTTTCCAGTGGAGTAAGAACAAGCTGTACAAATGGAATTAAGAAGAATTAAACTAATTTTAAATCCTAAGGATTTCAAAGCATCATATAGGTAAGACTTTCCCCTTTGACAAAGAAAAATATTAAGAGACAACATTCTCGAAAGAATTTTTTTCAGTTCTGCAGGGTTTTCATAGGAAATGCAGTAAGAATGAAAACAAAATTCCTTAGGCCTTTGAACTGTAGTTGGAGAATTCTGCACTGCAGGTAGTGAATTCTGCAATTTCTAAACTTAATGAAAAACCTGCTTGTGGTTGTTAAGTCAGTGGGGTTAAATACTCACATTGCTGCTGTCATAAATCAGAAAATGTAGTTCAAAATGAATATAGGTTAAAAAATTTTTTTCTGGATATGATGATCACTGTTACAGCTCAAAGGACCCTAATAAACCTTAAGTTTATTAAGTGAGCCATTTCGTTGTGTACCTTGAGAATTTGTGGTTTTCTTGCTGTCCAATGATTATTGATGCAACTCAATCTCTTCAAAGCTTCTCTCATGTAATCAGCTCTGTCTGGGTACATTTGCAATGAACAAAGGATCTGTTTCTCAGTAGCTTCACCTGTAATCTGATGAAAGTGAAGCTACATCAGTTAATTTGATTGTTGACTTTGAGATGCAAATAGTATGAGGAGAAGCTTATGAAGAGCAGTTGATCAATAAAAATATTTTAGAAAATTACACTAAATATTATGCAGCCAAGTCACATATCCCTTAAGTTAAAAGCCATATCAAGTTGTACTGCACATAAGTGTAATGTGACTTAAACTCTGATAAGGCACTTTGAAAAGAACCTGATGATTGTTGGGGGTAATCTTGTGATAGACTGGGATCCTGTCCAAGGAGGGAGTATATAAGTATCATTCTAAGTTGCTTCATGCTAAGTAAACTGGGATAAGCTGCAGCAAAATGGGCCACTGAGGTTTGAGTATAGACTTCACATCAAGTCTCTGAACAATATGGAACTCTGAAGGCATTTTATGAAAATTGCAAAATATTTCCAGTAAACTTTAAGGATTTCCACCATTCTGGTTCAAAACAACGAAATTTTTTTCACTGTTTCATATTATTAGTTCATTATATTATTATGATACTTCTACCTTAAGAAGAGGAGAAATTCTTTCCAGTTGTTCTTGTAAATTCCGTGACATCAAACAAAGGCCAAGGAACTCAAGTTTAGGATGAGAACTAAGAAATGACTGCAAAGCGTCTGCTGTTACTGCGGAAACACCTGAAATATCCAGAGAGACCAGGTTTGGCATCATACATTGGTCTGTAAGCATTTCATCAAATTTTATAGACTCTATCGTCCCATCGTGGTGCCAATCATTATCAGAGCTTCTTGAAATATCAAGCTTTTGTAATAATGTAAAGTCCTTGAACTCAGCAGGTTTTGTCCATGCTACTGGTGTGTTAAAAGCGATTAATGTTTTCAGCTGACCTCTCAGTTTCCCAAATGAAGAGACATGTCTTATCGCAGTGTTAGAGACATTAATGTGTTGTAAACGATCCATATTCTGTGCAGCAACCGACATCAAGTGGTCATTTATAGGAGTGCAATGGCTCACATCCAAATGGGTCAAACAGCTCAGTGGCTTCATGGCAGCAAAGTCTAAGACAAATGATGTGCAACTCAAATTTAACTCCCTAACTGTCGATGACATTCCATTCAGCAGTAGAAAAAATAAAGACGAGGAGAACATTTTTGTTTCAGTTAAGTCTAGTTTCTCAACTCTGTGTTTTCCAAGGAGTAGTTTCAGCACTGAAAAACTCAACTGACATTTCCTGAGATTGAAATTTCTGATTCTACATCTGCGCGGATCAACAAATAAAGATGCAGTCCTATCTGTCAGGTTTCCATCACGGGAGAGACATCTCATAATATTGTCTGCCAGGTGTTCGTGGAGAAATAACGGAGAAATGAAACTAAGTTTTTGACAAGAAACCTCGCCGTACTGGACACCTTGAACATCCTTGTGGCATAAATCTTCAATATTAGCACTGATAAAGCTCAGGCATATTTCTTCGAGAGAAGCTGGTGAAACGGTGCTCATGTTGAGACGCTCTTTTACAATGCAAGGCACTTAGAAGAAAATATAGTTGCACTAAAACACATGCAGTAAAAGCATTTTAAGTTCCTCCACTTCTTTGACGCTCCTTCCTTGCGCCTTAATCTTCAATCATGCAGCTCCATCTAGAGGAGAGATGCAAGTCCACAGAAATCGGAACAACAGTGTACGACTTTACCAAACCATTTAGTTCAAAAGATGATGAAAAAGTGATCTTCAATCATGCAGCTCCGTCGAGAGGAAAGATGCAAGTACACAGAAAATCGGAACAACAGTGTAACAACTTTGCCAAACCATTTAGTTCAAAAGTCTGCTAGTTATGACTACTTCCGCATTACGTTTGTTTTGAACTTGGTCACCACTCGTTTAATCTCTGAAGCAATCCGAGCATGCCCGAGTATATATCGACTTCATTTCGAGTTTCCGAACAGTTAACCAAGGTTTAAAAACAGTTTTCTTTGGTAGGCATCGAGCTTTTATCAAAACTTAACTGTATATTGCGTTTAGTCTTAGATCTGCAAAGATGTCTTTAAAGAAAGGAAGATGGAAGGACTCAGCTCAACAGGCAAGGCGGCTGTCGCAAACTTCATCTTGAAATTAAACACGAATAGAAAGTTTGATCGGAGAAGAAACTTCTGCAAAAGAACTTAAAGAATGTTTAGAGAAATTAAAGAAAAAGATCAGATCACTTTAGAGTGGAAACAGTTTCGATAGAGTGGTTCACGATGCGGAAGACAAAACTCCAGACATCTCGATCTCCAGTTTGGAAGACGAGGAATTGGGTAAGTTCTTTCGAATCAAGCCGACTATTTCTCTGTTGACCTCAAGTTTATCAGCAGGACGACAGCTCACCGTTTAAATCTTTATAGTATCACAAAACGTAAAGCACTGCTTTTCAATTGCATAAATTACTTTTAAAGTCGTCAATAATGCTTAAAATGATCAGGGAAAAGACAAAGAGTAGTACACCAGTTTTTATTGCTACATTGCAACTTTTCTGTGTTGTCTAGCAACATGTAATGACACCATTTTACTGTCAGTCACTCTTTAACCCTTAAACTCCCATGAGTGACCAAGACAGAATTTCTTCTTACAATATCAATACAATATTAAACAGATAAGTAATGAGAATAAAGAAAAATATCAATTTGGAAATAATTAGTTGATCCAGTACAAAATTATCGGAAATAACATTATAAGAATTGTATGGTTGACAGTGAGGGGAATTACAAATTTGGTCTGGGAGTTGAGGGGTTAACAAACAGATTCCACACTGCTGTAGGTCTGTTCAGTAATAGATCACAGACGACGTCAAAATGTGGTACACAGGGCAGAGCCAAGTGCATTACTGCTGTTCTTACCACATTTTGATGTGTTTGTTTTTCTATTGAGTGAAAGAAAATAAATTTCTTTTTCCAATTTTGGATCTGCAGGGCTGGGGGATCATGTGTACTATAGGTGGCCTCGGTCGACATATCGACCGATATATCGGTCGACTATCGGTCGACCATCGGTCGGCAATCGACCGACTATCGGTCGACAGTCGGTCGACAGTCGACCGATAGTCGACCTATAGCTATAGTCAACCGATAGTCGACCGATATATCGACCGATAGTCGACCGATATATCGACCGATAGTCGACCGAGATATCGACCGATAGTCGACCAATGCATCACCCGATATGTACACATTTATCGGTCAATAGTCGACCGATATATCGGCCGACTGTCGGCCGATGCATCAGCTGATATGTGCACATTTATCAGTCGACTATCGGCCGATATATCGGTCTACTGTCGGCCGATCTATCGGTCGACTATCGACCGATAGTCGGTCTATAGTCGACCTATAGTCGGTCCACAGTCGACCGATATATCGGCCGATATGTCGACCGAGGCCACCTACAGTACACATGATCCGGGCTGGGCTCTTGTAGCATCTGGTGACCCCCTGGATCCTTGCTTTTGCTCTTGGGCAACTAGGAGGTTTTTTTTTTTCATTAAAAGAATATGCTGGGCACCCTGGATTTCACAACTTCAGAGCACTGGGCTCCCTTCAATTTTTTTGAGAGCTCAGCCTTGTGCTGTTTCAATTTGTCCTAAGTTTTCCCCCTGCAAGTTTTGTTAGTTACCCCTCTTGCAGTCACCATGGTAGAAGCCACCACAATAAAGACCATGCCATTGCAATCTCTTTTTTGTAGTCTGCATAAATTAACACCCAAAAACAATAAAAACTTCATAAAATATATAAAAGCTACAAGAAGCTTGGAGGGTAGAGTAGAGTGGGTACAAGGGGGAGTAGCTGTAAACGGACAGGTACCCCATCCTATGGGCGTGGTCACTTTACACTTTCAAGCTAAGTAAATTTCACAAGAAAGATCATTGAGCAATAGAAAAATGATAATTTTCCAGCTAATCTGCAGAATTCTCTGACTTAATTTTGATGACCTCAAATGTATTTTTATTCAGAGGTGGAGAATATTTTCCTGTCACTTTACACAACTCTGCTTCTTTGTTTCTTTATGAAAACCCTGCTGCCTGCAGTTGTGGTACATGTAGGTTTTTGAGTGTACACAGCAACAGGGATAATGGTTTGTCCTCTTTTGTATCATCAGGAACCATGTAAGCTCTCTCTCCCCCAACAATGGCCATTCCACAGATCTGCATCACTGAGCAACATACCAGTTCAACCACGCATTAACTACTTGTCATTGTTAGTTGATGAAGCTCTTGAAGAAGTTTTCAGTTAAGCAGACTTCGAATACCTCACTGATGATCAAAGGCAGTTGAAATCAACAAATTACCAGTTGAAGCAAAAGCCACAGTCACCACAGAGCTGTTACTTTTCACAATGATATTTCTCGATCCCTCATGGACTATATGTGGAATAACTTATCCATGGCTACCCAGCAGTACCTAGGAAAGTACTGCCTAGCTCCTCAAAATCCTACAATTTCTGAAGGTCAACATGGACCAACTATGGCCAGGAAATCAAAAAGAACCTCTACTTGTGATTCTTAACTATTCAACTCTGAAACATTCTGAGGTTGTGAAGCACCACCTCCTACTCCAGAGCCTGTCTGAATCTTAAAACAGGGACCATTAATTATGAAGAAATATTTCTACAAGAATATGATTAACCTAAAGTTATGGGTGGAGAGGATTGCTGTGAGTGGAAGTTAAAGGTCAGGATTAGTTTGTGACATTGTTAATTTAGCTGGTTGGGGAAATTTTGCCTTTTTCAGGGAAATGTTGGGGAATTTCAAAATCCTATAACTGTGGCAACCATAACTAGGATATCCCCTTCTAAACTGAAAGGAGTTGGAATGTGAACACATGGTTTTTCTCTGGAATGTTACACATCTAGTAGAATCTAGAGATTTGTGAAACACTTATGATTCTCCAATTGCTGTCAAGACTTCCTTTGTGACTGTGAACCTACCATCTTAAAGTGTAAGTGGAGATTATTTATATTTAATCTAAGGCCATGAAATTACTAATTAGAAGTAAAAAAATGGCATGTCAGAGGCCAAAAGAGATCACCAAAAGCTTGGTTTGAATATAACAAATAAAACAAAACTGTAACCAAGGACAGCACCCTGAAATTATTTATTCCACATTTAGTCACAAATCCTGCCTGTAAAATTTCACAAAGACCTGCGAAAGGCATTTGAAGAGAATATTGTATTGAAAATACTGCTTTTTAAGCTTCAAAAAGTGAACTTAATCCTAGTCAAATATTATTAGGTTGTCATTGAAAGTCTCTTTAAAAGAATTAGCAGTTAATATTTTTCTAACTTGGCTAAGAATTAGCCACAGTATCTGAAAGCTTCTGTGCCAGCTCTCTGACTCCATTGTGTGATGTTGTTAATACTCTCCGAACAATATCCCGGAGACATCTATAAGCAGAGGGGCATAACGTTGCACTGCAAAAAAAGATAAGTTTTGTGGTGAGTCGCTTGTCTGTTAATTTAGCTCCTGATCATCACATTACCATGAGTAAGTAATCTTAATGATGGGACTACAACACAGCTTACAAATCTTGAAAAATTTTGCTAAAAGTTTCATGCTGGTGATCATTTCCTTTCTTCTCATGACCTTTACATGTGACTCAGGGATGATATTGTGGGGAGAAACTGCAGGTCAAAGGGTTAAACTTTTCCATGTTCATATGAGAAAGGTGTACATGTTTGAGTCCCAAATTCAATAAATAGAGACAGTTGTCTACCATAAACAAGACCAGCTCCTAAATCTTGAGTGTACATCAGGCTAGAATTTTAGGATGATCATTGCTAAATTTGCTTGCTATGTACTACAAGAGCAATTGAGCAAACTTCAAGATACCCTGCCTTCCCTGCACAGAAAGGAATGCACTGGGGGTTGGAATTTATGTCAGCAACATCAATGGGGTCAAATAGAGGTTTCTATCTAAGCTCAGCCTTACAAAAATCAAATGCATCATCCTGTATGAGTTTTTAATTAGCCAAGGCACTGTTCAAACATTTGAGATCAAGAGGTGCTTACTGTCACTGGTGAAGACATTTATGATACCCCACAAAGCCCACAGCTGCACAGCAGGCATAGCACACTGGAGGAGAGGGACAAAAGATCTGAATGACCTAACAGAAAAAAGGGAAAAGGGTTACAATTTTAATATTATTGTATACAAACTTCAACAGTGTTCGAACTAGTGCTTCACAGGAGACTGTAAGAATCAATTTTTTGATCTGCTATAAGATACATAAAAATTATGCATGTCTAATTGGCTGAAAACAGGTGCATTTTTTTCATGTCATGAGTGCAAATTAAAAATAGCATGTGCACTGTCAAATTTTCACCCAACTGGACCTTCTGTGATGCTTTTTTTTTTCTCGTAAATTATTAATAGGTAACAACAAGATTTCTCATGCAGTTTAGTTTAAATAAGCACTTGAAATTTTTTTGAAGACTACAAACTGCACTTGCCCTATGGCTTGTACAATTTTTTTTGTCTTTTTTCTATTCATGAAAAGATAAAAAAATAACCAGTACTTGATAAAGATAACTTTGCAAAAAGATATACAAACTTATAAGTAACAAACTGGTCTGCAGGAAATTCCCATCGGTTCACAGCTTGTTCCTGATAAAGAGAAAAATGCAACATTTTTACCTCAACACTGTTGCTGTCACAAGAGTGATTATCATCTAATTTCTCCTTACAATATTTCCTCCCAATCACACATTAAGGTCACAAGAATAAAGGAACTGATCACCAATTAAAGTGGCTCTTGATTATTAGACAAGTTCTCCTCCTACCACCTTAAGAAATTTATGGAGAACAGTATGGAGAATATGCATAATGATGTTAGGGTGTTGAGGGTTAAGAGAGGTGAGGGGTGGGGGCAAATTTTTAAACCTGAGATATTTGAGTGAAAAAAATTTTACACCAGGAGGTGTTGTTTTTAGATCATGTCCCCAGCCCCATTTCCCTAATTCCAATTGCTCCATTCTAGTCCCCGCTCAAGAAGTGAAGTCACTTAAATGGACTCACAATTTTAAAAATGTTTGTATCACAACAAAATGTACAAAATCTCTTCACTTTTACAGAAATGACATCCAGATTTACTTGTTCATGGGACTGATGGTATAATTTTCTGATTTTCAAAGTAACTGTCAATATAAAATTTGATCAGCTTTGCCTCATATTTAGAAAAAAAAACAATGAAAAAATGTCAACCCAAAGATGAATTTGTTACAGAAGAGTATTCAAAGCCTACTATTAATAGTTATTTGCAACCATGCCCCAAAGTAAGACGACTAATATCTACCAGCTTATCAAGTAAATACTGTTTGCTGTACGACTGTAGCTTTCTATCATCAGACCACTCCAGCATAATGTTGGACAAAATTCCACCACAAAAATAGGACAACTGGAGAAGCCCATCATCCAGGAGAGACCTACGCAAGACAAGAATTAAGCTTCACATTAGGTCCATGGCTGAAGACTGATTTTTTTATTTATTAATAATAATTATCATTTGTTGGATTAATAATAAACACATTTTTATTTGTTTCCTCAAAGAACAATTTTGATTAAATGCTCTGGACTAAATACTTTTCCACAAGTTAATTAAAACATATCTTGATTAAAAATGTTAACATAGCAGCCCTACTTTAACTGCCTCATGCTCTCAAAAACACTTATTAACTTAATTTTTAATTAGCTTCATGTGCCCTTCAGTCTCACTTGCTGAATTTGACCTTGTTGCAAAGCTTTGAAAATCACTTGATGTGTAGATTCAAAGCTGCCCAAATTTGTTGCAAACAAACTCAATATTCCTAACTAAAAAAAAAAACCTTATTTGACAAACAGAAAAAGACATTACCCAATAAGATTCATCAATTCATCTGTGATGAATAAGTGCCTCAGACTTGGAATCTCAGCTATAATGTTCTGAAACACAAAATAACAAGGATCAATATGAATTTACTTGCTTTGGGCTGTTGACTGATTTCTGCTTGTAATTGTTCAGATTTTGTAGTTATTCATTTGTTATTGCTTATAGGTTCCTAAGTTAAAGTGAGATTAACTAAGACATGAAATGTTATTAAATGCTCTGTCATTGACTTTTCTTTCCTGGTGCATGATATTGAGCTTCCCATTTCTATTTTTTTCTAACTGTCCATCACAGAAGACTTAAATCTGATCTCTGGAAACCATATACACAATGACTTTAGAGTCAATGTTGAACTTGGAGCACAGTTGTTTAGCCTTGTGGTGGACCTGTGCTTAATTAAGGCTTTTCTTGGTGGCTTACCAGTGTTAAAAGAAGCTTCATTTTGATAATGGCTTGGCTTCCTTCTCTGAACAGCTAGAGTTGATTTTATAATGTATCAGATTAAACATAAAATTGTTGACTGTAACTGCACCATTAAGAAGTAAGACCATACTATATTTGGCAACACTATATCTATGGTTAGCACCTGGGTAAGTGTGTGGTGGCATCAACAAAATCTGAATTGGAATGCATTGGATCACAGACACGAACTTCCAGTGGGACCATGCAGACTTTATTTTGGTGCTTGTCATGCAACATTTCTAATTTCAATTGACATATTTTAAGTTTTTTAATCTTATATTTTAAGTATTATTATTTTGTAAATAGTTTGATTTTTACACTTTTCAAAAATTTTCTTTTTTCAATCTGTGATGTGATCCATGACCTGATCTGGTCCATGATCTGATCCCGTCTGATCCCAGTTTCATTGACACCAGATGTGTGGGAGCTGTGAAACCTTAAACATATTTACTTAACAACACTCACTCTGTTGTGCTGTTGCTGTTTGACACCGTATGGTTGACTATATTTAGCTATTTCTATTGCTATCCAATAGCGCTTTACTATGACTGCCAGGAGGCTGACCAGTTGGCTATTTACACAGCACAGCTGAGGAGTTCAACTTGAGACCACCAGATTACAAGTCCAGCACCCTAACCACTCAGCCACACAGCCTCCTGGAAGTTTGTTTGAATTTACTTGACAGTTTCTAGAAAAGAATGTTCTTGTATACCTTCAGGCCTTGCACCATCAATTGAAAACCTCCTTTCTCAACAAACAGAGAACAAGTGCTCGGTATCTCATCTGTAAATGTCAGAAAGAACTATTTTTTTTATCTGGACAGCTCATGGAAAGAGCCTTACTCCTGGTTTGCTGAACTCGGGAAAGGGTCATTGTATTGTATTCTAGGGAAAGGCGCTGAACTCTAATATCATAATTCCTTGCAAAAACTATCAGAAAAAGATGAAATGGCAGGGGAGGGTGGGGTGGGTGGGTAACTTGCAATGAGCCAACATCCTATCTACTTGGACAACCAGTCTCCTGGTCACTCCTTGGGCTGAAAACTGAGTTTAGCTCAAGTGAAGGGAGTAAGTTCTAAAGAAACTGTAGTAATTTACTATTCCAACAGGGTTAATAATGTAAATTGGCCACTATAAAGTGTTAGCCCTTTGTCATAGTGAATGACAAAAGACTTTGCTTAAACACCCTGAGTTTAGCTCAACCAGCTACATGCAATTGCAAACTTTTTTCTTCATAAATCTCTTTTCAAAGTAAAATTTTGCAAAGATATTAAAACATTGCATACCAGTTAATATCTCTAGAACAGTAAATGCATTACTCAATGTGAGATCCTCCTAGAAAAAAAAAAAGACTGCATAAAGCAATCTAAAATATCATTAATAATTATTGATGATGAAAAGGTAGAGAACAATTTCTTAAAAGGACAATTATTGGTTATAACAATCTTGGATAAAATTATCACAAGTCAACTGAGATAAAGAAAATGAGAAAATATAATTATAATTATGAAAGCAGCTAATTTGAATTGACAGTCAGATCAAGTAACCTTAAAAAAATGTTTAACTTAATTCAAGTCTTGGCTTTCCCATGTTTTCTATTTCTAGAAAACGTGCTAGCTTTGTGTTCCTTTATTGTGATGATCATATCTCTTAAACTGAAAAAAATTCTGCTCAAAGGCATTGCAACAATATCATACAGCAATAAACCAAAATGGTGATGACCCTGAGTGCACAAGGCCTAACCTAATCTTTCTTTAATCTGCTTGCTCCATTAAAAAAAATGACATTTGTATTATGAAATCATTTCATTATAGTGTTGCAAATTCTATCTGATCCATACCTGTCTTGCACTGATCTTTTCTTGAATAATATTAAACATGGTCTGTATTTTTAAAATGAACTGCATGATTAGTAAAGACCTAGTTTATAATTGGAAGACACATTTAATCAACCACAACTTGAGATATTTAAATAATTGATTATCATGCCAAAAAATGCTGCTTTGATATAATAACAATCGCTAAATGAATTTAAAATTGATTTTTATTGATTAATATGTTATGTCTCTTACCATAATGTTTTTCTCTGAGCCAAGAGCAAGTTTTTCTTCCTCGGTAAGCTGCACAGGTATGAATTAGAAAAGCCTTCAATTAGTTTTACCCAGATACTTACTTCAAATTACAACAGGGAACCACTTAAACCAATAGTTTTAATAATTAAAATAATCGTCCAGACATGCATGTCTTCATAGACTCAAAGATCTGATTGTTAATTCTCCCCTTTGGCTGCTACACTTTTCCTTGTAAATTAGATGTAGGAATTTGGTGTTGGATCAAGATAAAGAACTTCTACCATGCAGATAAGTTTGAGTATTCTTGTTAACTGTTTGCTGGATTATGAAGCACTCATTATTCAAGATGTTTGTAGGCACTAATTCAAGGGGAAGTGCTAATGAAAGTTTGAATCAATGCCAGAATCTGGAAAAACTGCAACAGTCAACTGATGACAAGTTAGGGGTTCATGTTGAGTTAGGGGAGGGGTAGGTGTGGAGTTGCTCAGATTCTAGCATCTATCCAAACTTTCATTAGCATTTCCCTTTAATTAGTTCCTGCAAACATCTTGAATAATGGGTGCTTCTCCTGCTTTTCCAATATTTGAGTGTCCAATTGAGCAAAGAATCTGTCCAAAAAATGCATTTTTTGGGGGATTTGTTTGTACTGTCCTGCAATACCTTAGCACACAGACTTGCACATAGCTCTATAGCCCGCTGACAAATATCCTGGTTACCATGGAAATTGCACAGAGCATCTATAGCCAAACATGATGCTTCAAAGTATTTGAATGTCTGCAAAGTAAAAATCAAGTTATTGGTTTCTTACTCTATTTGGCGACATACATCTCTTGACAATTACTGCCCTAAATTTTCAGCCCATATTCTAGAGCCACTATTCATTCAATGCACTGGAGATAATATACAATATTTGAATCATTTCTACTTACTGCTTTTGTGACAACTTGTTTTGACCCCAAAATTAACATACAGTCCGCCATAAGGAAAAAAATGGAGAAAAAAGGGCAGTGCTCATGACAAACACTGAGTGATTGAGTTAGATTAGGCAAACCTGGAAAATATTGGCATCGAGGCTATGTAAGAATTTCCTGTCTGTTCCTTGTGCTCAGTCGATGAATACATTAATTCTACTCTGATTACTTTCTGATGTTTCATTGTTCTTCTGTCATTTTGTCATAAGATCAAGCAGAATCAAAACATAATAGAGAGTCTTTGATGGTAGATTACTGTTTGTCTTGATTCATTTATCAAAAATAAAGCAAATTCTTACACAATACTCCTCTGGAAAAGTTGTCATTGCTGATAGAACCAAAGGTGCAACTTCACTGAAAAATCCAACAGAAGATAACTTGCACAAAGAGCATGTTAACTTTAAGATTCTGATGAATTATTAACTTTTAACTAATCAAATAATAAAAATGAAAATTAACCACCTTTCTACCTCAGGTTGTTAAGGCAGTGGTTTAACCAATGAGATGTAGCAGGGGGGCATGGAAGGTTTACACTTCTCCCCCCCCCCACTCCCAACTGCCAACTTTTTAATAAGTAACCATTTAACACACAGGTATTTTTTTGTGTTGTGTTGATAGGTGCGTAAAGGTGGGCTGTGGCTTGATTGCCAAGGTGACCACCTGGTTGCCAAGAAAACTATTGCTATGTTTTGTTGCTTGACAACACAAGCCCTCTAATACCACTTTTGGAGTGTTTTAAACACATTTAATCATGTATTCAGTAATAATTTTACCTTAAGAAATGAGGATGCACTTCTGGGTTTGCTTCCCCTCCTCTTACCATGATGTTGTTAAATACACAAGCTCTGAATTCAAAAGAACATCCCAAAGATGTTTGTAACTTGTAACGTTTATATAATAGGGTCAAAACTTTGTTTTAAAAATAATAATCAAAATGTTTTTAAAATTTGTTTTCATAAAAAACAAAATTGTTTTATTTTCAATGATTATCTTAATTATACATCTTATTGAATATTATCAATCTTCATAAATGTTATAACTTACATAGCTGCTACTTGAATGATGAAATTATCTGGATGTTTTTCCATTTGAGTGAGAACAAGCTGTGCAAATGGAATTAAAAAGAATTAGATTAATTTAAAACCCTAAGGCTTTCAGAACATCATGTAGGCAAGAGTTTTCTCTTTGACAAGGAAAAATTCAATTAAGAAACAACATTTTCAAATGAACTTTTTTCACTTCTGCAGGGTTTTCATAAGAAATGTATTAGTATAGGAATGAAAACAAAATTCCTTCGGCCTTTGAACTGTAATTTAATCAACCACAACTTGAGATATTTAAGTACCTGCATGATTATTACGTCAAAAAATGCTGCTTTGATTAATAACAATCACTAATTAAATGAATTTAGAATTTATTTTTAGCGGAGCTCACAAAGTGTAGCCCCATAATTATGCAAAATAGTAGTAACCCATCAAGCCGAAAAAATTTGGATGTACGACTGTACAAGGTGCTACTTTTAACATGTGTGGTCAACTGTACTGCGGGAATGTCAATGCCACGGCTTTGTCCAGTAGTCCAATGGTCTGTGCACTGGGCTCCGAGTTGGACAACATGGGTTCTAGTCCTGGCCAGGGCAAGGTGTTGTGCCCTTGAGACATGCGGGAAAAAAAATGCGAGCTCCGCTTTTATAGGCTTAGCTAAATCTATATATTATTGATTAATATGTTACGCCTCTTACCATAATGTTTTTCTCTGAGCCAAAAGCAATTTTTTTTTCTTGCTCAGTCAGCTGCACAGGTATGGAATTAGAAAAGCTTTTAATTAGTAACCCAGATACTTCAAATTACAGCAGGAAACCACTCAAGTTAACAGTTTTAGTAATTAAAATAATTGTCTAAACATGCATGTCTTTGCAGACTCAAAAATCTGATTATTAATTCTCCCCTTTGGCTGTTACACATTTCCTTGAAAATTAGATACAGGAATTTGGTGTTAGATCAATATAAATAACTTCTACCAGATAAGTTTGAGTACTCTTGTTATCTGTTTGCTGGATAATGAATTGATATTATAAGAAGTTACATGATAATAACTTCTGAGAATGAAAGAGTTTACTAATTCAGTGAACAAGGTAACTTAATTAAAAGAAAAGAGAGAGAGAGAGGGGGTGGGGAAAAGGAAGAAGTGCATATTAAAGCAGGAGAAGCACCTATTATTCAAAATGTCTGCAGGTACTAATTCAAGGGGAAATGCTAATGAAATTTTGGGTCAATGCCAGTATCTGAGCAATTACACACCTACCCCTCCCCTAACCACCAACAGCCAACTGATGACAAGTCAAGTTAATGTTGGGTTAGAGGAGGGGTAGTTGTGTAATTGCTCAGATACTGGCATTTATCCAAACTTTTATTAGCATTTCCCCCTGAATTAGTAACTGCAGACACTTTGAATAATGAGTGCTTCTCCTGCTTTTCCAATATTTGAGTGCCAAATTGGACAAAGAATTTCTCTAAAAGTGCAACTTTTTTAGGATTTGTGTGTAATTTACCATGATACCTTAAGACACAGTTTTGCACATAGCTGTATGGCCAGCCGACAAATATCCTGGTTACCATGGAAATTGCACAGAGCATCCATAGCCAAGCATGATGCTTCAAAATAGTTGAATGCCTGCAAAGTAAAAATCAAGTTATTGGCTTCCAACTCTATTTGGTGACATACATCTCTTAACGGTTTCTAGTGGCCCTAAATTTTCAGCCCATATTCTAGAGCCACTATTCCTTCAATGCACTGGAGATAATATACAATATTTGAATCATTTCTACTTACTGCTTTTGTGACAACTTTGTTTGACTCCAAAATTGACATACAATTCTGCAAAAGCTATGGAAAGAAAGAAAAAGGGGCAGTGCTCATGACAAACACTGAGTGATTGAGTTAGATTAGGCAGACCTGGAAAATATTAGCATGAGGCTATGTAAGAATTTCCTGTCTGTTCCTTGTGCTCAGTCGATGAATACATTAATTCTGCTCTGGTTATTTTCTGATGTTTCATTGTTCTGTCATTTTATCATAAGATCAAGCAGAATCAAAACATAATAGAGAGTCTTTGATGGTAGATTACTGTTTTCCTTGATTCATTTATCATGAATAATGCAAATTCTTACCAGATGCTTTTTTGGAAAGGTTTTCATTGCTGATAGAACCAAAGATGCAAGTTTACTGAAAAGTCAATCAGAAGATATCTAAAGATAATCACATTGAATCATTCTGTCATCAGAGTAAGCAAGTTAGGGGCATAACTTGCACAAACAGCATGTTAACTTCAAAAGATTCTGACTAATTGTTAACTTTTAACTACTCAAATAATAAAAGTGAAAATTAACCACTTTTCTACCTCAGGTTGTCAAGGCAGTGGTTTAACCAATGACATGTAGCAGCGGGGCATGGAAGGTTTGCACTTCTCCCCTTCCTTTCCCACCCCTCCCAACGGCCAACTTTTGAGTAAGTAACCATTTAACACACTGGTATTTTTTGTGTTGTGTTGATAGGTGCGTAAAGGTGGGCTGTAGCTTGATTGCCAGGGTGACCACCTGGTAGCCAAGACACTGCTGTTGCTATGTTTTGTTGCTTGACAACACCAGCCCTCTAATACCACTTTGGAAGTATTTCAAACATACTTAATCATGTATTCAGTGAGAATTTACCTTAAGAAATGAGGATGCACTTCTGGGTCTGCTTCTCCTCCTCTTGCCATGACAATGTTACCTACAAAAAATCTGAATTCGAAAGAACATCCATGTTTATATAATAGGGTCAAAACTTTGTTTTAAAAATAATAATCAAAATGTTTTTAAAATTTGTTTTTTATAAAAAACAAAATTGTTTTATTTTGAATAATAATCCTAACTATACATGTTGATGAATATTATCAATCTTCATGGATATTATAACTTACATAGCTGCTCTTTGAATGTTGAAATCATTCGGATGTTTTTCCATTTGAGTGAGAACAAGCTGTGCAAATGGAATTAAAAAGAATTAGATTGGTTTAAAACCCTAAGGCTTTCAAAACATCATATAGGCAAGAGTTTTCCCTTTGACAAGGAAAAATATTATTAAGAAACAACATTTTCAAATGAACTTTTTTCATTTCTGCATGGTTTTCATAAGAAATGTATTAGTAGGAATGAAAACAAAATTCCTTTGGCCTTCGAACTGTAATCTAATCAACCACAACTTGAGATATTTAAATACCTGATTATCATGCCAAAAAATGCTGCTTTGATTAATAACAATTGCTGATTATATGAATTTAGAATTTATTTTTATTAATTAATATATTACATCTCTTACCATAATGTTTTTCTCTGAGCCAAGAGCACATTTTTCTTGCTGAGTCAGCTGCACAGGTGTGGAATCAGAAAAGCCTTTAATTAGTAACCCTAGATACTTCAAATTACAGCAGGGAACCACTTGAGTTAATAGTTTTCGTCATTAAAATAATTGTCTAGTCATGCATATCTTTGCAGACTCAAAGATCTGATTGTTAATTCTCCCCTTTGGCTCCTACACATTTCCTTGAAAATTAGATGCAGGAATTTGGTGTTAGATCAATATAAATAACTTCTACCAGATAAGTTTGAGCACTCTCGTCATCTGTTTGCTGGGTAATGTATGGATATTATAGGAAGAAGTTATATGAGAATCACTTCTGAGAATGAAAGAGTTTACTAATTCAGCGAACAAGGTAACTTAACAATAAGAGAGAGAGTGAGGGGGCCCCCAGGTAAAATGTCAGGCAGGATATAGGCAGGATCCCGGCAATCCCACCCAGGATCCCAGGTGGGAATGGCGGGATCCCGCCTTAGGTGGTGGGATCCCACCTTTCCCACCTGGGATGAAAATTTGATCCCACCTGGGATCCCACATTTAATGCAGGATTAAAAGGTCTACGTGATCATGCCCGTGATCGGAAACAAAGAAAACTCCATTTGGCGCTCATCTTTGAATGTACTTTTCATCGGTTAACCGCTCTTGCTTCAAGTTGTTTCTTTTCCCAACTGTTTTGCTTAATATAGCACTTCTAAAGATTGGTTTTATTGCGGTTTAATGGGAAAACGAGAACAGCGTGAGTGTTTTAAATGAAAAGAAAGTCGTTGGCGCCGTGAACTTAAAAAAAGGGACAATTAACAGTTGACATATCGACTGGTTCAAACAACGATCGAGTGGCCATTTAAAGCTAGGATTTTTAGAAGTTTGTGGTGAGTACAAATTGCCATATTCGTTACGTGATCAAAATCTTATCAAGGAATAGAAATAACGGCTTGAATTAAGCTTACCTAACGCTCAGCGCAACTGAAACTCAAATAATTCTGAGAATCGAATTGGTCACTTGCATGCTGCGGTTTCCTAAGCTTACACTTTACAATGAAATAAATCTATGAGTAAGGTTTCAAGATTACTTTAGTCACATTTGGGAACATTCTGACCTTGCTTTGCTTTGAAAAATTCGACTGAAGAGAGAGCAGACTTTCAATCAGTACCTTTGTCAAAATTTTGATGACATGAATTATAGGGGTTTTGTCTTTCTTTTATTCTTTGATACACAACAGCCAATTTTTTTAAACGTTGAGCCTTATTACACTGTAGATGGTCTGCTTAAATGATGAAGATTAAATGATTGTGCTGTTATTCTTTAAGAATGTTCGGTTAAGAAATTTGTTAATGAAACAAGTCAAACACATGCTGGTTCATTGCAAATAAATTATGAGATCTTTATCACATATAGTCTGTGTATTCATGTACTGTTTGAATCATTTATGATCAACAGTTTGGTAAGACAATGGGATCCCATTGGAGGTGTCAGTATGTTCTATAGCTAGTTGAAAAGTTTTGGACCCTCAGTGGATTGATGGGGTCTATAGCTCACCTAGAAAATTTTATCCTTTTAATTTTAAGATATCCTATCTGGTACATTTCATAAATCTGTGGTCTCCAGTGATAAACAGGATCCCTTAAAGGATTTTCTGAAAGTGGGAAGCCATCTGTAATTTTATGCAGGGTCTAAACTGGGATTGGCAGGATCCCAGATGCAATCCCGCCTGGGATATGATTTCCCAGGTGGGAAACTATCTGAAATTTGAGGCAGGATCCCAAGAGGGATTGGTGGGATTCTAGGTTTATCCCACCCGGGATGTGCTTTCCCAGGTGGGATGCTATTAGGAATTTAAGGCAGGATCCCAACTTCAATTGGCGGGATCCCATGTGGGATCCCATGCAGGATGTTCCATAATCCCAGGTGGGATCCCATGTGGGATGTTCCATAATCCCAGGTGGGATCCCATGCGGGATGTTCCATAATCCCAGATGGGATCCCATGCGGGATGTTCCATAATCCCAAGTGGGATCCCATGCAGGGTGTTCCATAATCCCAGGTGGGATCCCATGCGGGATGTTCCATAATCCCAGGTGGGATCCCATGCGGGATGTTCCATAATCCCAGGTGGGATCCCATGCGGGATGTTTCATAAGGGACTTGTCAGAAATTAGCAGGGGGGGAGGGGGGGTGGAAACAGAGGGGGGGTCACAACTTCAGAAAAGGGAGGGGTCATGAAAAATGGGCAGTTAAAAGGGGGAGGGTCATGCAAATATGTGCCCATGTTATGTAGAGGTTCACCCACAGAAGAAAAAGGAAGTTCTTTATTTGGCAAAAAAAAGAGAAAAATACAATGGTTTATGGAACGTTATGGATATAAACTGTGAAGTACTATAGCAAGAATTTAACAAACATGTACTTTTCATTTATAACAATGCTATATAGTCTTATTGAAATTATGAATAATGTTGTTATTAATAATGTTAGTAGAGTTCTGGCTATCCTATTCATCACTCTCTTCAGCATCACCATCAATGCTGCTGTGAGAATCTTGATCATCAGATTTTATCATTTATACAAGAGGGGGAGGGTCATGATATTTTAGGCCAAGCTCAAGGGGAGGGTTAGCAAATTTCACTCCCATTGCAGGGATGGGTCACCTAATTTCCGAACCCAAATTTAAAATTCCCACCCCCCCTCCCCCCCTGCTAATTTCTGACAAGTCCCTAATCCCACCCGGGATCCCACCTGAAAAAGGCGGGATCCCACCTGGGACACACCTGAGATCCCAGGTGGGATTGGCAGGATCCCACCTTATATTTTTACCTGGGGGTGGGGGAAGGGGGAAGTGCATATTCAAGCAGGAGGAGCAATTATTATTCAAAATGTCTGCAGGTACAAATTCAAGGGGAAATGCTAATGAAATTTTGGGTCAATGTCAATATCTGAGCAATTACACACCTATCCCTCCCCTAACCACCAACAGCCAACTGATGACAAGTCAAGTTAATGTTGGGTTAGAGGAGGGTTTAGTTGTGTAATTGCTCAGATTCTGACATGATCCAAACTTTTATTAGCATTTCCCCTTGAATTAGTAACTGCAGACATTATGAATAATGAGTGCTTCTCCTGCTTTTCCAATATTTGAGTGTCAAATTGAGCCAAGAATCTATCTAAAAGTGCAATTTTTTTAGTATTTGTCTACTATACCATGATACCTTGAGACACAGTTTGGCACATAGCTCTATAGTCCGCTGACAAACATCCTGGTTACTGTGGAAATTGCACAGAGCATCCATAGCCAAGCATGATGCTTCAAAATAGTTGAATGCCTGCAAATTAAAATCAAGTTATTTGTTTCCAATTCTATTTTGTGACATACATCTCTTACAGTGACATACTGCGCCAAATTTTCAGCCCATATTCTAGAGCCACTATTCCTTCAATGCACTGGAGATAATTTACAATATTTGAATCATTTCTACTTACTGCTTTTGTGAAAACTTGGTTTGACCCCAAAATTGGAATACACCAAAAAAGCTATGGAAATAAAGAAAAAGGGGCGGTGATCATGACAAACACTGAGTGATTGAGTAAGATTAGGCAGACCTGGAAAATATTAGCATGAGGCTATGTAAGAATTTCCTGTCTGTTCCTTGTGCTCAGTCAATGATTACATTAATCCTGCTCTGATTATTTTCTAATGTTTCATTGTTCTGTCATTTTATCATAAGATATCAATTCAAGCAGAATCAAAACACAATAGAGAGTCTATGATGGTAGATTACTGTTTTCCTTGATTCATTTATCACGAATAATGCAAATTCTTACCAGATGCTTTTCTGGAAAGGTTTTTATTGCTGATAGAACCAAAGATGCAAGTTTTCTGAAAAGGCAATCAGAAGATAACTAAAGATAATCACATTGAATCATTCTGTCATCAGAGTAAGCAAGTTAGGGGCATAACTTGCACAAACAGCAGGTTAACTTAAAAAGATTCTGACTAAATATTAACTTTTAACTACTCAAATAAAATAAGTGAAAATTAACCACTTTTCTACCTCAGGTTGTCAAGGCAGTGGTTTAACCAATGAGATGTAGCAGGGGGGCATGGAAGGTTTGCACTTCTCCCCTTCCTTTCCCACCCCCACCCAACTGCCAACTTTTGAGTAAGTAACCATTTAACACACTGGTATTTTTTGTGTTGTGTTGATAGGTGCGTAAAGGTGGGCTGTAGCTTGATTGCCAGGGTGACCACCTGGTAGCAAGGACAGCTGTTGCTATGTTTTGTTGCTTGACAACACCAGCCCTCCAATACCACTTTGGAAGTATTTCAAACATACTTAATCATGTATTCAGTGAGAATTTACCTTAAGAAAAGAGGATGCACTTCTAGGTCTGCTTCTCCTCCTCTTGCCATAATAATGTTACCTACACAAAATCTGAATTCGAAAGAACATCCAAAACATGTTAATAAACTGTAATGTTTATATAATAGGGTCAAAACTTTGTTTTAAAAATAATAATCAAAATGTTTTTAAATTTGTTTTTATAAAAAACAATATTGTTTTATTTTGAATAATTATCCTAACTATAAACGTTAATGAATATTATCAATCTTCATGGATATTATAACTTACATAGCTGCTCTTTGAATGTTGAAATCATTCGGATGTTTTTCCATTTGAGTGAGAACAAGCTGTGCAAATGGAATTAAAAAGAATTAGATTAGTTTAAAACCCTAAGGCTTTCAAAACATCATATAGACAAATGTTTTTCCTTTGACAAGGAAAAATATTATTTAGAAACAACAATTTCAAATGAACTTTTTTCACTTCTGCAGGGTTTTCATAAGAATAGGAATGAAAACAAAATTCTTTTGGCCTTTGAACTGTAATTTAATCAACCACAACTTGAGATATTTAAATACCTTATTATCATGCCAAAAATGCTGCTTTGATTAATAACAATCACTAACTAAATGAATTTAGAATTGATTTTTATTGATTAATATGTTATGTCTCTTACCCTAATGTTTTTCCTTGAGCCAAAAGCAAGTTTTTCTCGCTCAGTCAGCTGCACAGGTGTGGAATTAGAAAAGCTTTTAATTACTAACAAAGATGCCTACTTCAAATTATAGCTGAGAACCACTCAAGTTAATATATAGCTTTAGTAATTAAAAAAATTGTCTAGACATGCATGTCTTTGCAGACTCAAAGATGTGATTGTTAATTCTCCCCTTTGGCTGCTTCCCCTTTTTCTTGTTAATTAGATGCAGGAATTTGGTGCTAGATCAATATAAATAACTTCTACCAGATACGTTTGAGTGCTCTCGTTATCTGTTTGCTGGATAATGAATGGATATTATGGGAAGAAGTTAATCACTTCTAAGAATGAAAGAGTTAACTGATTGAGAGAACAGGGAAACTTAACAATAAAAAGAAAGAAAGAGAGAGAGGGGGGGTGGAAAGGAGGAAGTGCAGGAGAAGCACTCATTATTCAAAATGTTTGCAGTTACTATAATTCAAGGGGAAATGCTAATGAAATTTTGGGTCAATGTCAGTATCTAAGCAATTACACACCTACCCCTCCCCTAACCACCAACAGCCAACTGATGACAAGTCAAGTTAATGTTGGGTTAGAGGAGGGGTAGTTGTGTAATTGCTCAGATTCTGGCATTGATCCAAACTTTTATTGGCATTTCCCCTTGAATTAGTAACTGCAGACATTATGAATAATGAGTGCTTCTCCTGCTTTTCCAATATTTGAGTGTCAAATTGAGCCAAGAATCTATCTAAAAGTGCAATTTTTTTAGTATTTGTCTACTATACCATGATACCTTGAGACACAGTTTGGCACATAGCTCTATAGCCTGCTGACAAACATCCTGGTTATGGCGGAAATTGCTCAGAGCATTCATAGCCAAGCATGATGCTTCAAAATAGTTGAATGTCTGCAAAGTAAAATCAAGTTATTTGTTTCCAACTCTATTTGACAACATACATCTCTTGACAGTTATACTGCCCCAAATTTTCAGCCCATATTCTAGAGCCACTATTCCTTCAATGCACTGGAGATAATTTACAATATTTGAATCATTTCTACTTACTGCTTTTGTGACAACTTGTTTTGACCCCAAAATTGACATACAATTCCACATAAGCTATGGAAAGAAAGAAAAAGGGGCAGTGCTTTTGACAAACACTGAGTGATTGAATCAGATTAGGCAAACCTGGAAAATATTGGCATGAGGCTGTGTAAGAATTTCCTGTCTGTTCCTTGTGCTCAGTCGATGAATACATTAATTCTGCCCTGGTTATTTTCTGATGTTTCATTGTTCCTCTGTCCTTTTTTTATAACATCAAGCAGAATCAAAACATAATAGAGAGTCTTTGATGATAGATTACATAACTGTTTGTCTTGATTCATTTATCATAAATAAAATGAATTCTTACCTCATGCTTTTTTCGAAAGATTCTCATTTCTGACAGAACCAAAGATGCAACTTTACTGAAAAATCAAACAGAAGACAACTAAAGATAATCACACTGAATAATTCTGTCACCTGAGTAAGGGAGTTAGAGGCATAACTTGCACAAAGTGCATGTTAACTTGAAAGGATTCTGACTATAATTGTTCACTTTTAACATATCAAGTAACATATTTAAAGTGAAAATTACCACCTCTCTACCTTAGATGAATAAGACAGTGGTTTAACAAACATGTTGGAGGGAGGGGGACATGGAGGGTTTGCACTCCCCACCCCACCTTAACTTCCACATTTTTAGTTTCCAACCATTTCACATACTGGGTTTTTTTGTGTTGTGTTGACAGGTGACAGGTGCTTAAAGGAGGGCTGTGGCTTGATTGCCATGGCGACCACCTGGTTGCACAGAATACTACTGCTATCTTCTGTTTACACAACAACACCAGCCATCTAATACTATTTCGGAAGTGTGTTAACCATATTTAATCATGTATCCAGTAATAAGTTTTATTACCTTAAGAAACTAGGATGCACTTCTGGGTCTGCTTCTCCTCCTCTTTCTTTGATAATGTTACCTACACAAGCCCTGAATTCAAAAGATCATTCACTCTATAATCAAACCTTTGATTTGAAAATAATCAAATTTTTTAGAAAATTTTTTCATTTTAATAAACAAAATTGTTTCAATTTGAATGATTATCATAACTTTTCAAGAATCTTTGAATCTTTTATTAACTTACGTAGCTGCTATTTGAACATTGAGATCACCTGGATGTTTTTCCATTGGAGTAAGAACAAGCTGTACAAATGGAATTAACAAATTAAACTAATTTTAAATCCTAAGGTTTTCAAAGCATCATATAGGTAAGAGTTTCCCCTTTTATAAAGAAAATTGTTAAGAGACAACATTGTTGAATGAATTTTTTTCACTTCTGCAGGGTTTTCATGAGAATTAAATGCAGTAGTAGGAAATGAAAACAAAATTCCCTAGGCCTTTGAACTGTAGTTGGAGAATTCTGCACTGCAGGTTACGCAAATTTTGTAATTTCTAAACTTAATGAAAAACCTGCTTGTGGTTGTTAAGTCAGTCAGGTTAAATATTCACATTGCTGCCATCATAAATCACAAAACCATGGTTCAAAATAATAATTATAGGTTCAAAATTTTTTTCTGTATACAATGATCACTCTTGGAGCTCAAAGGACCCTAGTGAACCTTAAGTTAATTGACTGAGCCATTTCATTGTCTACCTCGAGAACTTGTGGTTTTCTTGCTGTCCAATCGTTACTGATGCGAAACAGTCCACTCAAAGCTTCTCTCATGTAATTAGCTCTGTCTGGGTACATTTGCAATGAACAAAGGATCTGTTTCTCAGTAGTTTCACCTGTAATCTGATGAAAGATAAGCCACATTTAATTTGATTTTTGACTTTTATAATGTAGTTGATGGATGAAAAGATTTCAGAAAATTACACTAAGTATCACGTAGCCAAGTCACATATCCCTTATGTTAGCAGCAATATCAGTTCTTACTGCATATAAGTGTAATGTAACTAACTCTGGTACAACACTTTTTGAAGAAACTGATGATTATTGGGGGTAATCTTGTGATAGACTGGGATCCTATCCAGAGAGGGAGTAGAGCAACCCTCTGAGTCACTTAATGCTAAATAAACAGGGGTGTGAGCTGCAGCAAGATGGGCCACTAGGTTTGAGTATAGACTTTACATTTGAGTCTCTCAACAATATGGAACTCTGAAGGCATATTTTTAAGAAAATTGCAAAATATCTCCAACAAACTTTAAAGATTCTCACCATTCTGGTTCAAAACAATGAAATTTTTTCACTGTTTCATATCATTAGTTTATTATATTATAATGATACTTCTACCTTAATAAGAGGAGAAAATCTTTCCAGTTGTTCTTGTAAATTCCGTGACATCAAGCAAAGACCGAGGAACTGAAGGTTAGGATGAGAACTAAGAAATGACTGCATAGCACCTGCTGTTATTGTGGAAACACCTGAAACATCCAGAGAGACCAGGTTTGGCATCATGCATTGGTCTGTAAGCATTTCATCAAATTTCACAGACTCGTTTGTCCCATCGTGGTGAAAATCATTATCAGAACTTCTTGAAATATCAAGCTTCTGTAATGATGTAAAGTCCTTAAACTCAGCAGGTCTTGTCCATGCTACTGGTGTGTTAAAAGCGATTAATGTTTTCAGTCGACCTCTTAGATTCCCAAATGAAGAGACGTGTCTTATCGCAGTGTTCGAGATATTAATGTGTTGTAAACAATCCATATTCTGAGCAGCAACCGACATCACGTGGTCGTCTATAGTAGTGCAATGGCTCACATCCAAATGGGTCAAACGATTCAGTGGCTTCATGGCAGCAAAGTCCAAGGCAAATGGTGTGCAACTCAAATTTAACTCCCTTACTGTCGATGACATTCCATTCAACAGTTTATAAAATAAAGACGAGGAGAACGTTTTTGTTCCAGATAAGTCTAGTTTCTCGACAGTGTGTTTTCCAAGGAGTAGTTTCAGCATTGAAAAACTCAGCTGACATTTCCTGAGATAGAAATGTCTGATTCTACATCTCCGCGGATCAACAAATAAAGATGCAGTCCTATCTGTCAGGTTTCCATCACACGAGAGACATCTCATAATATTGTCTGCCAGTTGTTCGTGGAGAAATAACGGAGAAATGAAACTAAGTTTTTGAAAAGAAACCTCGCCATACTGGACATCTTCAACATCTCTGTGGCATAAATCTTCAATGTTAGCACTGATAAAGCTCAGGCATATTTCTTCGAGATAAGCTGGTGAAACTGTGCTCATGTTGAGACGCTGTATTACAATGCAAGAAATTTACAAGAAAATATAGCTGCCCTAAAACACACGCAGTAAAAGCAGTTTAAGTTCCTCCATTTCTTTGACGCTCCTTCCTTGCGCCTTGATCTTCAATCATGTAGCTCCTTCGAGAGAAAAGATGTAAGTACACAGAAAATCAGAACAGTAGTGTAATCACAACTTCCGCGTTTATATTATATTGAACTTGGTAGCCACTCGTTTAATCTCCGAAGCAATCCGAGCACCTCCGAATATATATCGACTTTATTTCGAATTTCCGAACCGTTAACCGAGGGTTCCAAAACAGTTTTATTTGGTGGGCATCGAACTTTCAACAAAACTTAACTATATATTGCGTTTAAGTCTTAGATCTACAAAGATGTCCTCAAAGAGAGGAAAATGGAAGGATTCAGCTTAACAGGCAAGGCGGCTGTCACAGACTTCATCTTCAAATTTAACACGAAAAGAAAGTTTGATCGGAGAAGAAACTTCGGCAAAAGAACTTGAGAAATCTTTAGAGACATTAAAGAAAAATCTGGAATCAGATCTCTTTGGAGAGGAAACAGTTTCGATAGAGTGGTCCGCGATGAGGAAGACAAAACTCCAGACATCTCGATCTCCAGTATGGAAGACGAGGAATTGGGTAAGTTCTTTCGAATCAAGCCGACTATTTTTCTGGTGACCTCAAGTTTATCAGCAGGACGACAGCTCATCGTTTAAATATTTATAGTATCACAGAACGTAAAGAACTGCTTTTAAATGTCATAGATTACTTTTAAAGTCGTCAAGAATGCTTAAAATTATCAGGGAAAAGAAACAAAGAATAGTACAACAGTTTTGATTGTTACATTGCAATTTTTCTGTGTTGCTTAGCAACATGTAATGACACCATTTTACTGTCAGTCACTCTTTAACCCTTAAACTCTCATGAGTGACCAAGAGAGAATTTCTCCTTACAATATCAATACAATATCAAACAGATAAGTAATGAGAATAAAGAAAAATATCAATTTGGAAATAATTAGTTGATCCAGTACAAAATAAGAATTGTATAGTTGACAGTGAGGGGAATTACAAATTTGGTCTGGGAGTTGAGGGGTTAACAAATAGATTCCACACTGCTGTGGGTTTGTTCAGTAATAGATCACAGATGACATCAAAATGTAGTACACAGGGCAGAGCGGAGTGCATTACTGCTGTTCTTACCATATTTTGATGTGTTTGTTTTCCTATTGAGTGAGAGAAGAAAAATTCCTTTTTCTAATTTTGGAGCTGCAGGGCTGTGCTCTTGTAGCATCTGGTGACCCCCTGGCACCTTGCTTTTGCTCTTGGGCAACTAGGAGGTTTTTTTTTTCATATAGAAGCATATGCTGGGCTCCCTGGATTTCACAATTTCAGAGCACTGGGCTCCCTTCAATGTTTTTGAGAGCTCAGCCATGTGCTGTTTCAGTTTGTCCTAAGTTTTCCCCCTTGCAAGTTTTGTTAGTTGCCCCTCTTGCAGTCATCATGGTAGAAGTCACCACAATAAAGACCATGCCATTGCAATCTCTCTTTTGTAGTCTGCATAAATTAACACCAGAAAACAATAAAAACTTCATAAAATGGCTACAAGAAGCCTGGAGGGTAGAGTAGAGTGGGGACAAGGGGGAGTAGCTGTAAACGGACAGGTACCCCATCCTATGGGCGTGGTCACTTTACACTTTTCAAACTGAGTAAATTTCACCAGAAAGATCATTGAGCAATAGAGAAATGATAATTTTCCAGCTAATCTCAGAAGAATTCTCTGACTTAATTTTAATGACCTCAAATGCATTTTTATTCAGAGGTGGAGAATATTTTCCTGTAACTTTACACAACTATTCTGCTTCTTTGTTTCTTTATGAAAACCCTGCTGCCTGCAGTTGTGGTACATGTAGGTTTTTGAGTGTACACAGCAACAGGGATAATGGTTTGTCCTCTTTTGTATCATCAGGAACCATGTAAGCTCTCTCTCCCCCAACAATAGCCATTCCACAGATCTGCATCACTGAGCAACATACCAGTTCAACCACGCATTAACTACTTGTCATTGTTAGTTGATGAAGCTCTTGAAGAAGTTTTCAGTTAAGCAGACTTCGAATACCTCACTGATGATCAAAGGCAGTTGAAATCAACAAATTACCAGTTGAAGCAAAAGCCACAGTCACCACAGAGCTGTTACTTTTCACAATGATATTTCTCGATCCCTCATGGACTATATGTGGAATAACTTATCCATGGCTACCCAGCAGTACCTAGGAAAGTACTGCCTAGCTCCTCAAAATCCTACAATTTCTGAAGGTCAACATGGACCAACTATGGCCAGGAAATCAAAAAGAACCTCTACTTGTGATTCTTAACTATTCAACTCTGAAACATTCCGAGGTTGTGAAGCACCACCTCCTACTCCAGAGCCTGTCTGAATCTTAAAACGGGCCATTAATTCTGAAGAAATATTTCTACAAGAATATGATTGACCTAAAGTTATGGGTGGAGAGGATTGCAGTGAGTGGAAGTTAAAGGTCAGGATTAGTTTGTGAAATTGTTAATTTAGCTGGTTGGGGAAATTTTGCCTTTTTCAGGGAAATGTCGGGGAATTTCAAAATCCTATGACTGTGGCAACCATAACTAGGATATCCCCTTCCAAACTGAAAGGAGTTGGAATGTGAACACATGGTTTTTCTCTGGAATGTAACACATCTAGTAGAATCTAGAGATTTGTGAAACACTTATGATTCTCCAATTGCCGTCAAGACTTCCTTTGTGACTGTGAACCTACCATCTTCAAGTGTAAGTGGAGATTATTTATATTTAATCTAAGGCCATGAAATTACTAATTAGAAGTAAAAAAATGGCATGTCAGAGGCCAAAAGAGATCACCAAAAGCTTGGTTTGAATATAACAAATAAAACAAAACTGTAACCAAGGTCAGCACCCTGAAATTATTTATTCCACATTAGTCACAAATCCTACCTGTAAAATATTACAAAGACCTGCTGAAGGCATTTGAAAAGAATATTGTATTGACAATACTGCTTTTTAAGCTTCAAAAAGTAAACTTAATCCTAGTCAAATATTATTAGGTTGTCATTGAAAGTCTCTTCAAAAGAGTTTGGAGTTAATATTTTTCTAACTTGGCTAAAAATTAGCCACAGTATCTGAAAGCTTCTCTGCCAGCTTTCTGACTCCATTGTGTGATGTTGTTAATACTCTTCGAACAATATCCCGGATCCCAACATCTATAAGCAGAGGGGCATAACGTTGCTCTGCAAAAAAAGATTAGTTTTGTGGTGAGTCGCTTGTCTGTTAATTTAGCTCCTGATCATCACATTACCATGAGTAAATAATCTTCATAATGGGACTACAACAGCTTACAAACCTTGAAAAATTTTGCTAAAAGTTTTCAAGTTTGTCTTTTGCAAGACATGTAACCAAAGGTGCTGACAAGGAGAATTGGTTTAAAAATCAAGAGCTTCCTTTGTTGTTGATCATTTCCTTTCTTCTCATGACCTTTATGTGTGACTCAGGGGTGATATTGTAAGGAGAAATTGCAGGTCAGAGGGTTAAACTTTTCCATGTTTATATGGGACAGGTGTGCATGTTTGAGTCCAAAATTCAATAAATAGAGACAGTTGTCTACTATAAGCATAACAAGACCAGCTGAGTGTACAATTCAGGTGAGAATTTTACAACAATCATAGCTCAATTTGTTTGCTATGTATTACAAGACCAATTGAGCAAACTTCAAGGTACCCTGTCTCAGACCTGCATCGAAAGGGGGGGTTAGGAATTTATGTGAGCATACTCAGTGGGGTCAAATAGAGGTTGCCCTGTATGCTCAACCTTTCAAAAATCAAATGCACCTGCCCATCCTGACTGAGTTGTTAAGTTGTTTGCCAGGGCACTGTTCAAAGAATTTTAGATCAAGAGGTGCTTACCGTTACTGGTGTAGATATGTATGATTGCCCATGAGGCCCACATCTGTACAGCAGGCATAGCGCACAGGAGGAGTGGGACAAAAGATCTGAACGACCTAACAGAAAATGGGAAAAGGATAACAATTGTAATATTTACTGTACAAAAATGTCAACAGTGTTTGAGCTAGCACCTCTCAGAGGAGACTGTAAGGATAAATTTTTGATCAGTAATAATGTACATACAATTACTCAAATCTCATTAGCTGAAAACAGGAGTATTTTTCTGGTAACATGAATGCAAAGTAAAAATAGCATGTGCATTGTCAAATTTTTCACCTGACTGGACCTTCTGTGATGCTTTTTTCTTGTAAATTACAAACAGGTAAAAACATAATTTTTCATGCAGTTTGGTTTAAATAAGCACTTGTAAATTTTTCGAAGACTGCAAATTGCACTTGCCCTATGGCTTGTGCAATTTTGTTGTGTTTGTACTATTTATGAAAAGATAAAAAACACCAGTACTTCATAAAGAAAACCTTGCAAAAAGATATTTAATATACGAACTTATAGGTGACAAACTCGTCTCCAGGAAATTCCCAACTTTTCACAGCTTGTTCCTAATAAAGAGGAAAACGCAACAATTTTACCTCGACACAATTGCTGTCACAAGAGTGATTATCATCTAATTTCTCCTCACAACATTACCTCAGAATCCCACATTAAGGTCACAAGAATAAAGGAACTGATGACCAATTAAAGAGGCTCTTGATTGTTAAACAAGTTCTCCTTCTAGCACCTTAAGAAATTTAGTGAGAACAGTATGGAGAATATGCATAATGATGTTAGGATGTTGAGGGTTAAGAGAGGTGAGGGGTGGAGGCAAATTTTTAAACCTGAGATTTTTGAGTGCAAAAAATTTTACACCTGGAGGTCTTGATTTTAGATCATTTCCCCACCCTCCTCTCCCTAATTTTTCTTCAATTGCTCCATTCTAGTTCTTCTCAAGAAGTGAGGTCACTTAAATGGACTCGCACAATTTGAAAAATGTTCACATGAAGACAAAATTTCCTCACTTTTCTAGAAACGACATTGAGATTTACTTGTACATGAGCCTGAAGTAATAATTTTCTTATTTTCAAAGTGACTGTTGATATAAAATTTACTCAGCCTTTCCTTATATTTTGAAAAAACCCATGATAAAAAGGTCAACCCAAGGATGATTTTGTTACAGAAGGGTACTCGAAGCCTACTATTGTTAACTTGCAACTGTGCCCCAATATAAGACTGACAATACCTACCAAACGGTGAAGCATGTACTGTTTGCTGTGTGACAGAAGCTCTCTATCATCAGACCACTCCAGCATAACATTGGACAAAATTGCACCACAAAAATAGGACAACTGGAGAAGCCCATTGTCCAGAAAAGACCTACACAAGACAAGAATTAAGTGTTATCATGGCAACACAACTTTAACAGCCTGTTGTTCTTAAAAACACTTGTTAGCTTAATTTTTAATTAGCTCCATGTACCTGTCAGTCTCACATGTTGCATTTGATCTTGTTGCAAAGCTTTGAAAGATCACTTGACATGTAGATTCAAAGCCACCTTAATTTGTTGCAAATAAACTCAATATTCCTGTTACTTATTTTCAAACACCATTTGTCAACCAAAAAAAAACATTACCCTAAAAGATTCATGAATTCATCTGTGATGAGTAAATGCCTCAGACTTGGAGTCTCAGCTATATTGTTCTAAAACACAAAATAATGGGGATCAAAATGAATTTAATCTCATTGCTTTGGGCCATTGACTGATTCCTCTTTGTAGTTGTTGAGACATTCCAGCAATCTGGGGAAAAAACCTCAAAGGCAAATGTGATTCTCAATTTGTAAGAGAGGCCTTATAATTGTTATGAAAAATTGTAGCACTACTCTAAGCTGCAACCACTTTGGAAGCAATGGCAAGAGGCAAAAATTTTTGGCAAAGGGTCAAAGGTTGTCAAATTGGCAGCCTAAGTTTAGTGGTCATGCAGAAAGTTGTGAGTTTTTTAATTCCTTATTGCTTAGCTTTCTACTTTAAAGTGAGATTAACTAAGATATGAAATGCTATAAATTGCTCTGTCATTGCCTTTTCTTTCCTGGTACATGATATTAAGCTTCCCATTTCTATCTTTTTCTAACTGTTCATCACAGAAGACTTAAATCGTATCTCTGGAAACCATATACACAATGACTTTAGGATCAATGTTGAACTTGGAGCATGATTGTTAAGCCTTGTGGTAGACCTATGTATAATAGGCTCTTCTTATTGGCTCACCAGAGTTATAAGAAGCTTTTTGATAATGAAATTTTTCTCTTGGCTTCCTTCTCTGAACACCTATAGTTGATTTTATAATGCATCAGATTAAACATACAATTGTTGACTGTAACTACACCATTAAGAGGTAAGACTATACTATGCCTATAGTTAGCACCTGGGTAGGAGTGTGGTGGCATCAACAAAATCTTGGTTGGATTGGATCGGATCACAGACATGAACTTCCAGTGGGGCCTATGCTCCATTATGTCATGCAGACTTTATTCTGGCTTGTCAAGCACCATTTTGAATTTCAATACACCTGTTTTAGGTTTTTTTACTCTCATTTTTTAAGTATTATTATTTTATAAATGATTTAATTTTTTTACTTTTCAAAACTTTTTTTTGGTCCATGATCCAATCCGTGACCAGATCTGTGATCCGGTTTGTGATTCGATCCAGTCCAATCCTGTCTGATCCCAGTTTTGTTGATGCAGGGTGTGTGGGAGCTGTGAAACATAAAACATAGTTACTTAACAACACTCTAACTCTGCTGTGCTGTTTTAGCCCCCTGATCCATGACATCATTTACTAGAAAACAATACCCAAACACTGTGATTGGTGCAAGATATTCAAATGCTGTTACTTGATTGGTGCAAGATACATACCCTTATGTGGCAATCTAATTGGTGCAAGGTACACACCCTAATGTAGCAATCTGATTGGTATGAGATAATGCAGCAATCTGATTGGTGCAATACAAACCTTAATGCAGCCATCTGATTGGTGCAACAACATACCACTCTATACCCTATCCAATAGTGCTTGATAATGACCGATTAAGATAAACCATACAGCCTGTATGAGTGCTTGAAAATCCCAACTGCCAGGAAGCAGACCAGTTGGATATTTACACAGTGCACTCTTGGGGTGACCAAGAACAAATCCAATGAAAGGCAGGGTGGAGAACTTGAACCTGAGACCACCAGATTGCAAGTCCAGCACCCTAGCCACTGAGCCACACCACCTCCTTGCAGTTATTTGAGTTTATTTGACAGTCTCTAGAGAAGATTGTTCTTGTATACCTTCAGGCCTTGCACTATCAATTGTAAACCTCCTTTCTCAACAAACAGAGAACAAGTGCTCGGTGTCTCATCTGTGAATGACAAAGAACCACTTATTTTTATCTGGACAGCTCACGTAAATAGTCTTACTCCTTGTTTGTTGAACCCTAGTAAGGGTCATTGTATTGTATTGTATTATTGGGAAAAAAACTTAACTCTCGTATGATAATGCCTTGGGAAACTGTCAGGAAAAGCTGATGAAATGGTATGGGTGTGTGGGTAACTTACAACAAGCTTACATCCTATCTACTTGGACAACCAGTCTCCTGATCACTCCTTGGACTGGAAACTGAGTTTAGCTCAAGTTAAGTGGGTAAGTTTTTAAACAAACTCTGTCAATTTATTATTCCATCAGGGTTGATAATGTAAATTGACCACCATGGGACAAATATTTCAGATATCAAAATTTCCCAACACACTTTTGTTTTTCATTATTCCTGGAATGTTTTGACAAAATTTGATGGAAATTGGTCAAATCCATGTACCCTATAAATTTGCTCAAAAGTGGTTTTAGTCCTTCCAAACTGAAATGCGAGATTTTAGCTCATAAAGGTTTGCAACCTTTCTTTTTTATCTCCATAGCTCAGCAGAGCTTTGAGGAGGACAACACAATAATGAACAAATTTGGCAAAAGCAAAGGCAAACCCGCGGAAAAAATGAAAAAAAATGCAAAATGAGCTGAGGAGCAAGACAATGAATCAACAGACACCTTTTAAAATTATGATTTGTGGTGATTGTAAAAAGCACGATGTAAACAAAATATGGAAATAAAATGAAAAATGAGCCCCAACACAAGCATTCCCCCAGGGAATTCCCCCAGGTACAAGATTATGACACCTTCCTGGTTTATTACCTTGTTTTGAAAATACATTTTCCTAAATAACTTGGGTGCCTTTAAAGATTTCAGAATTTTTTTATGGAAATGTTAGGTTGAATGTTTGAATTCAGTCAAATAAAAGAAAAATAGATTTTTTTGGCCTCTGAAGGTGGGAAGTAACCTTTAATGCAAACTTTTTTCCACCTAAATCTCTTTTCAAATTTAAAGTACAAATTTGCAAACTTATTAAAACATTGCGTACCAGTTAAGTACAATAGTACACCAAGTGCTAAATTCAATGTGAGATCCTCCTAGAAAAAAAGGGACTGCATCAAACAATTTAAAATATCATAGATAATAACTTATGATGAGAAAGTTGAGAACAGTTCCATAACCCTTTAACTCCCAAGATCTCATTAGTAATTCTCCTTAATGTCTGCCAAACAATTTTCATTATGTCAGTTTGGAGAATTTGGTATCGGATCAATTAGTAATCCCATAATATTGATATTTCTCTTAATACTCATCACTTAATTGTGTGCATGATATTGTATAGAGATAGGAAGGAGAAATTCTGTCTGGGTCACTCATGGGAGTTAAAGTGTTAAAAGGACATGGTTATAAAAATCTTGGGTAAAATTATCAGAAGCCAACTAAGATAAAGAAATTGAGAAAGTATGGCATGTTACAAGTGGACACAAGTAGAAATTAATCATGGTGAAAGCAGCTAGTTTGAATTGAAAGTCAGACCAACCTTAAAAAAATGTTAGTCTTGGCTTTCCCACGTTTTCTATTTGCAGAAAATGTGCTAGCTTTGTATTCCTTTATTGTAATGATCCTATCTCTAATACTGAACAATAATTCTGCTCTTCAAAATGGAAGCTTAGAACCCAAAGGCAACCCAACAATATCATGCAGCTTTATATAAACCATTATGGTGATGACCCATCCAACCTAGCCTTTCTTCACTCTACTTGTTCCATTATAAAAAATGACTTTTGTTGTATGAAATTGTTTCTCATTAGTGTAAATCTATCTGATCCATACCTGACTTGCACTTATCTTTTCTTGAATAAAATTGAACATGGCCTGTAATTTTAAAATGATTTGATTAGTAAAGGCAAAGTTTATATATTGGAAGACTCACTTAATCAACCACAATTTGAGATATTCAAATAACTGTTTACGGTGCCAAAAAGTGCTGCTTGATCCACAACAGTTGCTAAGTTACTAATTAAATGAATTTAAAGTTGATTTTTATTAATTAATTTGTTACATCTCTTACCATAACGTTTTTCTCTGAGCCAAGAGCATGTGTTTGTTGCATGGTCAGCTGCACAGGTGTGGAATTAGAAAAGCCTTTAATTAGTAAATTATCCAGATACTTACTTCAAATTACAGCAGCGAACCACAGACTTAAATTTAATAGTTTTAGTGGTTAAAATAATTTTCCAGACATGCATGCATGTCTTTGCAGACTCAAAGATCTGATTGTCAATTCTCCCCTCTAGCTGCTACACATTTCCTTGAAAATTAGATACAGGAATTTAGTGTAAGATCAAGATAAAGAAGTTCTACTGGATAAGTTTGAGTATTCTTGTTACCTGTTAGCTGGATAATGTATGAATATTATGGGGAGAAGTTAAATGATAATCACTTTTGAGGATTAAAGAGTGAACTAATTCAGTGAACAAGGTAACTTAATGATTAAAAGAAAGAAAGAGAGAGAGAGAGAGGAGGGGGGGAAGTTTATATTCATGCAGGAGAAGCACTTATTATTCAAGATGTTTACAGGCACATATTAAAGGGGAAATGCTAATGAAAGTTTGGGGTCAATGCCAGAATCTGAACAACTGCACACCTACCCCTCCCCTAACCTAACGACAGTCAACTGATGACAGGTTACAAAGTTAATGTTGGGTTAGGGGAGGGGTAGGTGTGCAGTTTCTCAGATTCTGCCATTGATCCAAACTTTTATTAGCATTTCCCCTTTAATTAGTTCCTGCCAACATCTTGAATAATGGATGATTCTCATGCTTTTCCAATATTTGAGTGTCAAATTGAGCAAAGAATTTGTTCAAAAATGCAATTTTTTGGGGATTTGTTTGTACTGTACTGCAATACCTCAGCACACAGATTTGCACATAGCTCTATAGCCAGCTGGCAAATATCCTGGTTACCATGAAAATTGCACAGAGTATCCATTGCCAAGCATGATGCTTCAAAATAGTTGAATGTCTGCAAAGTAAAAATCAAGTTATTTGTTTCCAACTCTAATTGGTGACATACATCTCTTAACAGTTACTGCCCTAAATTTTCAGCGCATATTCTAGAGCCACTATTCCTTCGATGCACTGGAGATAATTTACAATATTTGAATCATTTCTACTTACTGCTTTTGTGACAACTTGTTTTAACCCCAAAATTGACATACACTTCAACAAAAGCTATGGAAAGAAAGAAAAAGGGGCAGTGCTCATGACAAACATTGAGTGATTGAGTTAGTTTAGGCAGACCTTGAAATTATTGACATGAGGCTATGTAAGAATTTCCTGTCTGTTCCTTGTGCTCAGTTGATGAATACATTAATCCTGCGCTGATTATTTTTTAATGCTTCATTATATTGTTCTGTCATTTTATCATTAGATCAAGCAGAATCAAAACACAATAGAGAGTCTTTGATGGTAGATTACTGTTTGCCTTGATTCATTTATCATAAATATATAATGCAAATTCTTACCAGATGCTTTTCTGGAAAGGTTCTCATTGCTGATAGAACCAAAGATGCAAGTTTACTGAAAAGTCAATCAGAAGATAACTAAAGATAATCACATTATTGAATCATTCTGTCATCAGAGTAAGCAAGTTAGGGGCATAATTTGCACAAACAGCATGTTAACTTATAAAAAGATTCTGACTAAATATTAACTTTTAACTAATCAAATAATAAAAGTGAAAATTAACCACCTTTCTACCTCAGGTTGTCAAGGCAGTGGTTTAACCGATGAAATGTAGCAGGGGGACATGGAAGGTTTGCACTTCTCCCCTTCCTCTCCCCCCCCCCCACCCCTCCCAACTGCCAACTTTTGAGTAAGTAACCATTTAACACACTGGTATTTTTTGTGTTGTGTTGATAGGTCTGTAAAGGTGGGCTGTAGCTTGATTGCCAGGGTGACCACCTGGTTGCCAAGACAGCTGTTGCTATGTTTTGTTGCTTGACAACACCAGCCCTCCAATACCACTTTGGAAGTATTTTAAACATAATTAATCAAGTATTCAGTGAGAATTTACCTTAAGAAATGAGGATGCACTTCTGGGTCTGCTTCCTCTCCTCTTGCTATGACAATGCTACCTACACAAGTTCTGAATTCAAAAGAACATCCAAAAAATGTTAATAAATTGTAATGTTTATATACAAGGGTCAAAACTTTGTTTTAAAAATAATAATAAAAATTTTTGGAAAATTTGTTTTTTAAAAAACAATGAATATTAATAAATATTATCAATCTTTGTGAATATTATAACTTACATAGCTGCTATTTGAATGGTGAGATCATTCGGATGTTTTTCCATTTGAGTGAGAAGAAGCTGTGCAAATGGAATTAAAAAGAATTTGATTAGTTTAAAACCCTAAGGCTTTCAAAACATCATATAGACAAGAGTTTTCCCTTTGACAAGGAAAAATATGATTAAGAAACAACATTCTCAAATGAATTTTTTTCACTTCTGCAGGGTTTTCATAAGAAATATATTAGTAGGAATGAAAACAAAATTCATTTGGCCTTTGAACTGTAATTTAATCAACCACAACTTGAGATATTTAAATACCTAATTATCATGCCAAAAAATGCTACTTTGATTAATAAGAATTGCTAATTAAATGAATTTAGAATTTATTATTATTGATTAATATGTTACGTCTCTTACCATAATGTTTTTCTCTGAGCCAAGAGCACATTTTTCTTGCTGAGTCAGCTGCACAGGTGTGGAATCAGAAAAGCCTTTAATTAGTAACCCTAGATACTTCAAATTACAGCAGGGAACCACTCAAGTTAATAGCTTTAGTCATTAATAAAAATAATTGTCTAGACATGCATGTCTTTGCAGACTCAAAGATCTGATTGTTAATTCTCCCCTTTGGCTCCTACACATTTCCTTGAAAATTAGATGCAGGAATTTGGTGTTAGATCAATATAAAGAGCTTCTACCAGATAAGTTTGAATACTCTTGTTATCTGTTTGCTGGATAATGTATGAATATTATAGGAAGAAGTTATATGAGAATCACTTCTGAGAATGAAAGAGTTTACTAATTTGGTGAACAAGGTAACTTAACAATAAAGAGAGAGAGAGAGAGAGAGAGAGAGAGAGAGAGAGAGTGAGTGAGGGGGGGGAAGGGGAAGTGCATATTCAAGCAGGAGAAGCAATTATTATTCAAAATGTCTGCAGGTGCCAATTCAAGGGAAATGGTAATGAAAGTTTGGGTCAATCTCAGTATCTGAGCAATTACACACCTACCCCTCCCCTAACCACCAACAGCCAACATTTTGAATAATTTCATAATAGTGCTTCTCCTGCTTTTCCAATATTTGAGTGTCAAGTTGAGCAAAGATTTATTTTTAGATCTATCTAAAAGTGTAATTTTTTAAATTAGTATTTGTCTACTATACCATGATACCTTGCAACACAGTCTGGCACATAGCTCTATAGCCAGCCAAGAAATATCTCGGTTACCATGAAAATTGCTCAGAGTATCCATAGCCAAGCATGATGCTTCAAAGTAGTTGAATGTCTGCAAAGTAAAAATCAAGTTATTTGTTTCCAACTCTATTTGGTGACATACATCTCTTGACAGTTACTGCCCTAAATTTTCAGCCCATATTCTAGAGCCACTATTCCTTCGATGCACTGGAGATAATTTACAATATTTGAATCATTTCTACTTACTGCTTTTGTGACAACTTGTTTTGACCCCAAAATTGACATACAATTCCACAAAAGCTATGGAAAGAAAGAAAAAAGGGGCAGTGCTCATGACAAACACTGAGTGATTGAGTTAGATTGGGCAGACCTGGAAAATATTGGCATGAGGCTATGTAAGAATTTCCTGTCTGTTCTTTGTGCTTAGTTGATGAATACATTAATTCTGCTCTGATTATTTTCTGATGTTTCATTTTTCTTCTGATACTTTGTCATAATATCAATCAGAATCAAAACATAATAGAGAGTCTTTGATGATAGATTACATAACTATTTGTCTTGATTCATTTATAATAAATAAAATGAATTCTTACCTGATGCTCTTCTGGAAAGGTTCTCATTGCTGATAGAAACAAAGATGCAACTTTACTGAAAAATCCAACAAAAGATAACTAAAAATAATCACATTGAATCATTCTGTTGTCAGAGTAAGCAAGTTAAGGGGCACAACTTGCACAAAGAACATGTTAACTTTAAAAGATTCTGACTAATTGTTAACTTTTAACTAATCAAATAATAAAAGTGGAAATTAACCACTTTTTTACCTCAGGCTGTCAAGGCAGTGGTTTAACCAATGAGATGTGGCAGGGGGGCATGGAAGGTTTGCACTTCCCCCCCCCCCCCACCCCCCCCCCACTCCTAACTGCCAACTTTTGAGTAAGTAACCATTTAACACACTGGTATTTTTTTATGTTGTGTTGATAAGTGTGTAAAGGTGGACTGTGGCTTGATTGCCAGGCTGACAACCTGGTGGCCAAGATGACTACTGCTATGTTTTGTTGCTTGCAGACAACACCAGCCCTCTAATACCACTTTGGAAGTGTTTTAAACATATTTAATCATGTATTCAGTAATAATTTTACCTTAACAAATGAGGATGCAGTTCTGGGACTGCTTCCCCTGCTCTTGCTATGAGAATGTTATATACACAAGCTCTGAATTCAAAAGAACATCCAAAAAATGTTAATAAATTGTAATGTTTATATACCAGAGTCAAAACATTGTTTTAAAAATAATAATCAAAATTTTTAGAAAATTTGTTCTTTTAAAAAACAAAATTGTTTTATTTTGAATGTTTATCCTAACTATACATCTTAATGAATATTATCAATCTTCATGGATATTATAACTTACATAGCTGTCATTTGAATGGTGAAATCATGCAGATATTTTTCCATTTGAGTGAGAAGAAGCTGCGCAAATGGAATTAAAAAGAATTTGATTAATTTAAAACCCAAAGGCTTTCAAAACATAATATAGGTAAGAGTTTTCTCTTTGACAAGGAAAAATACGAATGAATTTTTTCACTTCTGCAGGGTTTTCATAACAAATGTATTAGTAGGAATGAAAACAAAATTCCTTTTGCCTTTGAACTGTAATTTAATCAACCACAACTTGAGATATTTAAATACCTAATTATCATGCCAAAAAATGCTGCTTTGATTAATAACAACTGCAAATTAAATGAATTTAGAATTGATTTTTACTGATTAACATGTTACATCTCTTACCATAATGTTTTTCTCTGAGCCAAGAGCAAGTTTCTCTTGCTTGGTCAGCTGCACAGGTGTGGAATTAGAAAAGCTTTTTATTAGTAACCCAGATACTTACTTCAAATTACAGCAGGGAACCATTCAGACAAGTTAATAGTTTTAGTAATTAAAATAATTGTCTAGACATGCATGTCTTTGCAGACTCAAAGATCTGATTGTTAATTCCCCTCTTTGGCTGCTACACATCTCCTTGTAAATTAGATGCAGGAATTAATTTGGTGTTAGATCAATATAAAGAGCTTCTACCAGATAAGTTTGAATACTCTTGTTATCTGTTTGCTGGATAATGTAAGGATATTATAGGAAGAAGTTATATGATGATCACTTCTGAGAATGAAAGAGTTACTAATTTGGTGAACAAGGTAACTTAACAATAAGAGAGAGAGAGAGAGAGAGAGAGAGAGAGAGAGAGAGAGAGAGAGAGAGGGGGGGAGAGGAGGAAGTGCATATTCAAGCAGGAGAAGCAATTATTATTCAAAATGTCAGCAGGTTTTAATTCAAGGGGAAATGCTAATTAAATTTTGGGTCAATCTCAGTATCTGAGCAATTACACACCTACCCCTAATCACCAACAGCCAACTGATAAAAAGTCAAGTTAATGTTGGGTTAGAGGAGGGGTAGTTGAATGTGTAATTGCTCAGATTCTGGCATTGATTCAAACTTTTATTAACATATCCCCTTGAATTAATAATTAACTTCAGACTTTTTGAATAATGAGTGCTTCTCCTGCTTTTCCAATATTTGAGTGTCAAATTGAGCAAAGAATCAAAAGTGCAATTTTTTTAGTATTTGTCTACTATACTATGATACCTTACAACACAGTCTGGCACATAGCGCTAAAGCCAGCCGAGAAATATCTTGGTTACCATGAAAATTGCACAGAGTATCCATAGCCAAGCATGATGCTTCAAAATAGTTGAATGTCTGCAAAGTAAAAATCAAGTTATTTGTTTCCAACTCTAATTGGTGACATACATCTCTTGACAGTTACTGCACTAAATTTTCAGCCCATATTCTAGAGCCACTATTCCTTCGATGCACTGGAGATAATTTACAATATTTGAATCATTTCTACTTACTGCTTTTGTGACAACTTGTTTTAACCACAAAATTGACAAACAAATCCGCAAAAGCTATGGAAAGAAAGAAAAAGGGGCAGTGCTCATGACAAACACTGAGTGATTGAATCAGATTAGGCAGACCTGGAAAATATTGGCATGAGGCTATGCAAGAATTTCCTGTCTGTTCCTTGTGCTCAGTCGATGAATACATTAATTCTGCTCTGGTTATTTTCTGATGTTTCATTGTTCTGTCTTTTTGTCATAAGATCAAGCAGAATCAAAACATAATAAAGAGTCTTTGATGGTAGATTACTGTTTGTCTAGATTCATTTATCATAAATAAAGCAAATTCTTACCCGACGCTCCTCTGGAAAAGTTCTCATTGTTGATAGAACCAAAGATGCAACTTTACTGAAAAATCAAACAGATAACTAAAGATAATCACATTCAATCATTCTGTCACCATGCAGAGTAAGCAAGTTAGAGGCATAACTTGCACAGAGTGCATGTTAACTTTAAAGGATTCTGACTGTAATTATTCACTGTTAAAAGATCAAGTAATAAATTGAAAGTGAAAATTACCACCTCTCCACCTTAGATTAATAAGGCAGTGGTTTAACAAACATGTGGGAGGGAGGAGGGTGTGGAGGGGGACATGAAGGGTTTGCACTCCCCACCCCACCTTAACTTCCACATTTTGAGTATGTAACCATTTCACATACTTTTTTTTTGTGTTGTGTTGAAAGGTGCTTCAAGGAGGGCTGTGGCTTGATTGCCATGGCAACCACCTGGTTGCACAGAATATTACTGCTATCTTCTGTTACACAACAACACCAGCCCTCTAATACGGTTTGGGAAGTGTGTTCACCATATTTAATCATGTATCCAGTTATAAGTTTTATTACCTTAAGAAACAAGGATGCACTTCTGGGTCTGCTTCTCCTCCTCTTTCTTTGATAATGCTACCTATACAAGCTCTGAATTCAAAAGATCATTCACTCTATGACCAAACCTTTGATTTGAAAATAATCAAGACTTTTAGAACATTTTTTTAATTTCAGTAAACAAAATTGTTTCATTTTGAATAATTATCATAACTTTTCAAGAATCTTTGTGAATATTAACTTACGTAGCATTCATTTGAATGCGGAAATCATCTGGATGTTTTTCCATTGGAGTAAGAACAAGCTGTGCAAATGGAATTAAAAAGAATTAAACTAATTCTAAATCCTAAGATGTTCAAAGCATTATATAGCTAGGAGTTTCCCCTTTGAAAAAGAAAAATATTAAGAAACAACATTCTCAAATGAATTATTTTCACTTCTGCAGAGTTTTCATGAGAAATACAGTAGTAGGAAATGAAAACAAAATTCCTTGGGCCTTTGAACTGTAGTTGGAGAGTTCTGCTCTGCAGGTAGCAGATTTTGCAATTTCTAAATATAATGAAAAACCTGCTTGTGGTTGTTAAGTCAGTGAGGTTAAATTTCTACATTGCTGCAATCATAAATCAGAAACCGTAGCCCAAAATGAATCTAGGTTGAAAAATTTTTTTTCTGTATACGATGATCACTCTAATAAACCTTAAGTTAACTAGATGAGCCATTTCATTGTGTACCTCAAGAACTTGTGGTTTTCTTGCTGTCCAATCCATACTGATGGGATACAGTTCCCGCAAAGCTTTTCTCATGTAATCAGCTCTGTCTGGGTACATTTCCAATGAACAAAGGATCTGTTTCTCAGTAGCTTCACCTGTAATCTGATGAAAGATAAGCCACATTTAATTCGATTATTGACTTTTATGATGTAAATAGTATAAGGAGTAGCTTTAAAAGAGCAGTTGATAGATGAAAAGATTTCAGAAAATTACACTAAGTATTATGCAGCCAAGTCACATATCCCTTATGTTAGCAGCAATATCAATTTGTATTGCACATAGGTGTAATGTGACCAACTCTGATACTGCACTTTGGAAAGAACCTGATGATTGTTGGGGGTAATCTTGTGATAGACTGGGATCCTATCCAAGGAGGTAGTATAGTAAAACTCTAATTTTCTTTTCAGTAAACCAGGATGAGGTGCAGCAAGATGGGCCACTACATTTGAGTATAGACTTCACATCAAGTCCCTCAACAATATGGAACTTGGAAGGTATATTATTAAAATTGGAAAATATCTCCAACAAACTTTGAGGTTTTCACCATTCTGGTTCAAAACAATGACATTTTTCTCTGTTACATATCATTAAGTTATTATATTATTATGACACTTCTACCTTAACATGAGGAGAACTCCTTTCCAGTTGTTCTTGTAAATTCCGTGACATCAAGAAAAGGCCAAGGAACTCAAGGTTAGGATGAGAACTAAGAAATGACTGCAAAGCACCTGCTGTTATTGTGGAAACACCTGAAACATCCAGAGAGATCAGGTTTGGCATCATACATTGGTCTGTAAGCATTTCATCAAATTTCACAGACTCATTTGTCCCATCGTGGAGAAAATCATTATCAGAACTTCTTGAAATATCAAGCTTCTGTAATGATGTAAAGTCCTTAAACTCAGCAGGTTTTGTCCATGCTACTGGTGTGTTAAAAGCGACTAATGTTTTCAGTCGACCTCTTAGATTCCCAAATGAAGAGACATGTCTTATCGCAGTGTTAGAGATATTAATGTGTTGTAAACAATCCATATTCTGAGCAGCAACCGACATCAACTGGTCATCTATAGCAGTACAATGGCTCACATCCAAATGAGTCAAACAGTTCAGTGGCTTCATGTCAGCAAAGTCCAAGACAAATGATGTGCAACTCAAATTTAACTCCCTTACTGTCAATGACATTTCATTCAGCAGTTGAAAAAATAAAGACGAGGAGAACGTTTTTGTTCCAGATAAGTCTAGTTTCTCAACTTTGTGTTTTCCAAGGAGTAGTTTCAGCACTGAAAAACTCAACTGACATTTCCTGAGATTGAAACTTCTGATTCTACATCTGCGCGAATCAACAAATAAAGATGCAGTCCTATCTGTCAGGTTTCCATCACGGCAGAGACATCTCATAATATTGTCTGCCAGGTGTTTGTGGAGAAATAACGGAGAAATGAAACTAAGTTTTTGACAAGAAACCTCGCCGTACTGGACACCTTGAACATCCTTGTGGCATAAATCTTCAATATTAGCACTGATAAAGCTCAGGCATATTTCTTCGAGAGAAGCTGGTGAAACGGTGCTCATGTTGAGACGCTCTTTTACAATGCAAGGAACTTAGAAGAAAATATAGTTGCACTAAAAAACATGCAGTAAAAGTAGTTTAAGTTCCTCCACTTCTTTGACGCTCCTTCCTTGCGCCTTGATCTTCAATCATGCAGCTCCGTCTAGAGGAGAGATGCAAGTACACAGAAATCGGAACAACAGTGTAACAACTTTACCAAACCATTTAGTTCAAAAGATGGTGAAAAAGTGATCTTCAATCATGCAGCTCCGTCGAGAGGAAAGGTGCAAGTACACAGAAAATCGGAACAACAGTGTAACAACTTTACCAAACCATTTAGTTCAAAAGTCTGCTAGTTATGACTACTTCCGCATTACGTTTGTTTTGAACTTGGTCACCACTCGTTTAATCTCCGAAGCAATCCGAGCATGTCCGAGTTTATATCGACTTCATTTCGAGTTTCCGAACAGTTAAACAAGGTTTCAAAACAGTTTTCTTTGGTAGGCATCGAGCTTTTATCAAAACTTAACTGTATATGCGTTTAGTCTTAGATCTGCAAAGATGTCTTCAAAGAAAGGAAGATGGAAGGACTTAGCTCAACAGGCAAGGCGGCTGTCGCAGACTTCATCTTCAAATTAAACACGAAAAGAAAGTTTGATCGGAGAAGAAACTTCTGCAAAAGAACTTAAAGAATGTTTAGAGAAGTTAAAGAAAAAGATCAGATCACTTTAGTGTGGAAACAGTTTCGATAGAGTGGTTCACGATGAGGAAGACAAAACTCCAGACATCTCGATCTCCAGTATGGAAGACGAGGAATTGGGTAAGTTCTTTCGAATCAAGCCGACTATTTCTCTGTTGACCTCAAGTTTATCAGCAGGACGACAGCTAGCCCTAAGTAACCCTAGTGACAAAGCGGGAACAGAGATCTCCAGGCACTAGTCCATTAACACATTTCAACATGAGAATGCCATCAGTATATTTCAGCATACTACTAACAGGAAGCTAATTTAAGTCCCTCAGGACAGGTGTTGTGTGTTCAAGCTCAGCCTTGTGCTGTTTCAGTTTGTCCTAAGTTTTCCCCCTGCAAGTTTTGTTAGTTACCCCTCTTGCAGTCACCATAGTAGAAGCCACCACAATAAAGACCATGCCATTGCAATCTCTTTTTTGTAGTCTGCATAAATTAACACCAGAAAACAATAAAAACTTCATAAAATGGCTACAAGAAGCTTGGAGGGTAGAGTAGAGTGGGGGCAAGGGGGAGTAGCTGTAAACGGACAGGTACCCCATCCTATGGGTGTGGTCACTTTACACTTTTCAAACTAAGTAAATTTCACAAGAAAGATCATTGAGCAATAGAGAAATGATAATTTTCCAGCTAATCTGTAGAATTCTCTGACTTAATTTTAATGACCTCAAATGTACTTTTATTCAGAGGTGGGGAATATTTTCCTGTCACTTTACGCAACTATTCTGCTTCTTTGTTTCTTTATGAAAATCCTGCTTCCTGCAGTTGTGGTACATTTAGGTTTTTGAGTGTACACAGCAACATAGTGGAGTGATAATGGTTTGTCCTCTTTTGTACCATCAGGAACCATGTAAGCTCTCTCCCCAAACAATGGCCGACCAGATCAACCACACATTAACTACTTGTCACTGTCAGTCAACAACACTCTCATTGAAGTTTTCAGTGAAGCAGCCTTCAAATACCTTACTGATGATCAATGGCAGGAACTTCAACAAATCAACAGCCACAACTGCCACAGAGCTGTTACTTTGAAAATGATATTTCTTGATCTGCTGCAGACTATTTAGCGGAATAACTTATCCATGGCTACCCAGCAATACCAAGGAAAGTACTGCTTAGCTCCACAACATCCTGTGATTTCTGATGGTCATCATGGACCAACTATGGCCAGGAAATCAAGATAGATTTAGATAAAGATAGATAGATAGATAGTTTATTAAAAATGCATCACAGCCAAAGGCTGAATTACACAATTATTTACAAAAACTTTACAATACTTGAAAATTACAAATGAATCCTAGAAAAGAAATCAAAAACTGATTTTTTAGATAATAATAAAAAATTATATATAACATATTCATATTGAAATATGTTAAAATATAAAGCATGAATATAAGTAGGATAAAACTACAGCCTGGACTGTTTCAACATTGCATATATAAAAGTATTACTTGCTCTGTTTGTGCAAAGGTTTGGCATATTAAAGAAGTGCTGTCCTCTTAGGTTATAGTGTGAGTTGTCATGGTCTGGTGGAAGAAGCACCTTCAATTTATGGTTTGGATCACAGACAATGTTATCAAAAAGCCTACTACATATTATGTACTTATACTCCAAAATGGGTGTTAACCACCTCTAATGCCGAGTTGCACTTTCCTGAGGTTATTATTGATATTGCTCTTTTCTCAAGCCGTACCAGCTCTTTCTAGAAGTACTGGGGGAGACCGTTAAAAAAGACAGGTGCTGCATAATCAATAACATATCTCATGCACGATACATAGAACAGTGCTAGATCTTGTTCGGAACTCCCACTCTCTTTAACTGAGTTAGGAAATAGAGTCTCTTGCTAACCTTTTTGGTTATCTCAGTTACATGGTCATTCCATGTTAGATCGTTTGCTATAAATTGTAAGGCCTAGTAGCTTTGTGCTAGTGACTAACTCTACCTCCTTTCCTTCTATGATGACGGGATCAAAGACTCTTTGTTCTTTAGCAAAGGAGATCCCAAGTTCTTTGCACTTATTGGCATTTAGTTGGACCCTGTTCTCCTGAGACCACTCAATTACTCTGTTAGCTATTGCTTGCATGTGACTTTCTCTGCCCTTTATCAAAAGGAACATCAAAAGGAACTTCTGCTTGTGATCATGGACTCTTCAACTCTGAAACATCCCAAGGGTGTAAAGCACCACCTCCTATTCCAGAGCCTGCCTCCAGAGATGAAATTAATTCAAATATTTTAGACATTACCAGGCTGAAAAAGCTTCTTAAGTTAATTTGACATGCAAAATACTGACAGAAGTGGTTCTGAATCTTAACACAGAGACCTTTAATTCTGAAGGAATAATTATTTCTACAAGAGCGGGATTGACCTAAAGTTATGGGTGGAGAGGATTGCTGTGAGTGGAGGTTGGAGGTCAGGATTAGCTTGTGAAATTGTTAATTCAGCTGGTCAGGGAAATTTTGCCTTTTTCAGGGAAAAGTTAGGGAATTTCAAAATCCTATGATTGTGGCAACCATATAACCATGATATTGGAATGTGGAGAGTTTTTTTCTTGGAATGTAGAATCTAGCAATTTGTGAAACAATTATGATTCTCCTAATGCCATTGAGACATCCTTTGTAACTGTGAACTTACCATCTTAAAATATGAATACAAGTGATATAAACCAAATCTAAGGCCATTAAATTACTAATTAGAATTTAAAAAAATGGCATGTCAGAGGCCAAAAGAGATCACCAAAAGCTAGGTTTGAATACAACAAATAAAACAAAACTGTAACCAAAGTCAGCACCCTAAAATTTATTTATTCTACTGTACATAAATCCTGCCTGTAAAAATTTCACATAGACCTGCCCAAGGCAATTGAGGAAAATATTTTATTGACAATACCGCTTTTAAGCTACAAAAATAAACTTAATCTTAGTCAAATATTATAAGGTTGTCATTGAAGGTCTCTTCAAAAGAGTTAAGAGTTAATCGTTCTCTGACTTGACTCAAAATTGGCCACAGTATTTAAAAGCTTCTGTGCCAGCTCTCTGACTCCATCATGTGATGTTTTTAAGACCCTCTGAACAATATCCAGGATTTCCCCATCAAAAAGAAGAGGGGCATAACGTTTTTCTGAAAAACAAGATTAGATTTGTGATGAGTTGATTGTCTGTTGATATTGCTCTTGGGCCAAGTTTTATAAGGGGTGGACAACACTATCCAACAGCCAAGATAAATCATTATCCAGGGGATAAATGATAGCAAAACATACTGCGTTATCCACCAGATAGAGATTTCTCCAGTGGATAGAGTTATCCAAACTTCGAACAATCAGGGCCTGATTGACACATTACCATGAGTAAGTCATCTTTATAATGGGACTACATCACAGATTACAAATCTTGAAAAATGTTGCCAACAGTTTTCAAGTTTGTCTAATGCAAAACATGTAACCAAAGGTGCTGACAAGGAGAATTGGTATAAAAATCAAGAGCTTCTTTTGTTGTTGATCATTTCCTTTCTTCTCATGACCTTTATGTGTGACTCAGGGGTGACATTGTAAGGAGAAACCGCAGGTCAGAGGGTTAAACTTTCCATGTTCATATGAGAAAGGTGTGCAAGTTTGTGTCCCAAATTCAATAAATTGTGACAGTTGTCTACCATAAACATAACAAGACCAGCTTCTAAATCTTGAGTGTACATCAGGCAAGAATTTTAGGATGATCATTGCTAGATTTGCTTGCTATGTATTACAAGAGCAATTGAGCAAACTTCAAGGTACCCTGCCTGGCCTGCATAGAAAGGAATGAATGGGAAGGGGGATATGGATTTATGTCAGCACAATCAATGGGGTCATATAGAGGTTTCCATCTAAGTTCAGCCTCACAAAAATCAAATGCATCATCCTGTCTGAGTTGTTTATTAGCCAGGCCACTGTTCAAACAATTTGGGATCAAGAGCTACTTACCATTTCTGGTGCAGACATGTACGATTGCCCACAAAGCCCACATCTGTACAGCAGGCAAAGCACACTGGAGGAGTGTGACAAAAGGTTTGAATGACCTAACAGAAAATAGGAAAATGATAACAATTTTAACATTAACTGTACACAAACCTCAACAATGTTTAAACTAATGCCACAGAGGAGACTGTAAGAATCAATTTTTGATCTGTTAGTAATATACTTAAAAAAATTATGTGCATCTAATTGGCTGAAAACAGGTGCATTTTTCATGCAACATGGGTGCAAATTAAAAATAGTGTGTGCACTGTCAAAATTCACCCAACTGGACCTTCTGAAATAATTTTTTTATCGCCAATTATTAATTAGGTAACAACATGATTCCTCATGCAGTTTGGTTGAAATAAGCACTTGTAAATTTTTCAAAGACTACAAACTGCACTCGTCTTATGGCTCCTGCAATTTTGTTCTCTTTGTACTATTTGTGAAAAGATAAAAAACAACCAGTATTTGATAAAGATAACCTTGCAAAAAGATAGTCAAACAAACCTATAGGCAACAAGCTGGTCTGCAGGAAATTCCCAACTTTTCACAGCTTGTTCCTGATAAAGAGAAAAACACAAAATTTTTACCTGAACACTGTTGATGTCACAAGAGTGATTACCATCTAATTTCTCCTTACAATGTTGCCTCCCAATCACACATTATTCATGAGAATAAAGGAATTGATTGCCAATTAAAGAGGCTCCTGATTGTTAAACAAGTTCTCCTTTCAACAGCTCAGGAAATTTATGGAAATTTTACACCCGGAGGTGTTGTTTTTAGATCATGTCCCCAACCCCATCTCCCTAATTTTTCTTCAATTGTTCCTTTCTAGTCCCTCCTCAAAATGAGCAAAATGTGCAAAATTTCCTCACTTTTCTAGAAATAACATTTAGATATACTTGCACATGGGACTGAAGTAATAATTTTCTTATTTTCAAAGTAACTGTCAATATAAAATTTGCTCAGTCTTGCCTTATATTAAAAAAAACCTTAAAAAAATGTCAACCCAAAGATGAATTTGTTATATAAGGGTACTCAAAGCCTACTGTTAACTTGCAACCCTGCCCAAATGTAAGACTGCCAAATGAATACCTACCAACCGGTGAAGCATGTACTGTTTGCTGTGTGACAGATGCTCTCTATCATCAGACCACTCCAGCATAACATTGGACAGAATTCCACCACAAAAATAGGACAACTGGAGAAGCCCGTCATCCAGGAGAGACCTGCACATGATGAGAATTGAACTTCACTTAAGATCCATGGTTTAAGACTGATTCTTTTTTTCATCAACTAATAATAATTATCAGTTGCTGGATTAATAACAAACGCATTTTCATTTGTTTCCTCAAAGAACAATTTTGATTAAATGCTCTGAACTAATACTAATACTACACAAGTTAAAACATTTCTTGATTAAAAATGTTAACGTATCAGTACTACTTCAACAGCCTTGTACTCTTAAAACCACACTTTATGACTTAATTTTTAATTAGTTTCATGTGCCTTTCAGTCTCTCTTATTGAATTTGATCTTGTTGCAAAGCTTTGAGAAATCACTTGACCTGTAGATTCAGAGCCACCTTAATTTGTTGCAAACAAACTGAATATTCCTGTTACCTATTTTTAAACACCATTTGTCAACCAAAAAAAAAAAACATTACCCTAAAAGATTCATGAATTCATCTGTGATGAGTAAATGCCTCAGACTTGGAATCTCAGCTATATTGTTCTAAAACACAAAACAATGAGGATCAAAATGAATTTAATCTCAATGCTTTGGGCCATCGAATGATTGCTGTTTGTAGTTGTTAAGTAATTTTTAGCAATCTGGGAAAAAAAAACCCAAAGGCACATTTGATTCTAAATCTTTAAGTGGGGCCTCATAACTGTTATGAAAAATTGTGGCACTACTCTGAGCTGCAACCACTTTGGAAGCCATGGCAAGTGGCAAACGTTTTTGGCAAAGGGTCAAAGGTTGTCAAATTGGCAGCCTGAGTTCAGCTAGTCGTCATGCAGAAAGTTGTGGGGTTTTCGTTCCTTGTTGCTTAGGTTCCTAAGTTAAAGTGAGATTGATTAAAGCATGAAATGTTATTAAATGCTCTGTTATATTTCCTTTTCTTTCCTGGTAAATGATACCAAGCTTCCTATTTCTATTTGTTTTTTAACTGTCCATCACAGAAGACTCATCATAAATCTTATCTCTGGCAGCCATACACACCATGACTTTCAGGATCATTGCTGCCCTAGGAGCAAACTTGTTTATCCTTGAAGTAGACCTGTCCTTAAAAGGCTTGATTCTCTTTCAATTAATATGCTGTTCTCATTGGCTTACCAGTGTTCCGAGAAGCTTCTTTTTGATAATGACATTTTTCTCTTGGCTTCCTTCTCTGAACACCTAGAATTGTTTTAATAATACATCATATTAAACATAAAATTGCTAACTGTAAATGCACCATAAGAAATAAGACCATACTATATTTGGAAACACTATACATATGGTTAGCACCTGGTTAAGTGTGTGGCAGCAGTGTTGATAAAATCTGGATTGGACCAGATTGGATAACGGATTACCGACACAAACTTCCAGTAGGGCCCATGCTCCATTAGATCAAGCAGACTTTATTTTGGCTTATCAAGAAACATTTCTAATTTCAATTTACCTATTTTGGGTTTTTTCACTCTTATTTTTTAAGTATTATTATTTTATGAATGATTTTATTTTTTTACTTTTCAAAACTTTTTTTTTTGATCCATGATCCGATCTGAGGCCCAATCTGGTCTGATCCCAAGTTTATCGACGCCAGGTGTGTGGGAGCTGTGAAACGTCAAACGTATTTACTTAACAACACTGTAACTTTGTTGTGCTGTTGCTATTTGACAGTGTGTGGTTGACAATGTTGAGGTATTTTTCAAAAACTCTGTTCAATGATGTTTTAGAGGAAAGAAAGAGATAAATGATCAAGGAGCTGACTCCTATCAAAAAATTGCATACAATTTGGCATCAGTCATTGTGACTAATAATTATTGTAATCAAAAGTAACTGTTAGTATTGTTTTTCTCATGATGAAAAAGTCAAATGCTACTGATTTGGATCATGGCACATTTCACAAGCTTACACAGTCTGATGGTGCTCTTAAGATGAGGAAGTTAAAATGGCAATACTTTACATTGAGAGAGAAAAACAAATATTTCAAATAAACTTGAGTGCTTGAAAATCCCGACTGGCAGGAGGCAGACCGGTTGGCTATTTATGCAGCACAGCTGAGAAGTAGAACTCGGGGCGACAAAGAGCAAATCCAATGAATGTGGAGGACCTGAACCAGGGACCAGCAGATTACACGTCCAGCACCCTAAACCACTCTACCACCCCTAACAGTTTTTTTTTAGTTTATTTGACAGTTTCTGGAAAAGATTGTTCTTCAATTTATACCTTCAGGCCTTGTGCTATCAATTGTAAACCTCCTTTCTCAACAAACAGAAAACAAGTGCTAGGTGTCTCATCTGTGAATGATAGAAAGAAACTCATTTTTCTTTATCTGGACAGCTCATGGAAGTAGCCTTACTCCTGGTTGTGAACTCTGGCAAGGGTCATTGTATTGTATTCTAGGGAAAGACATTAAACTTGTGTAATGACTCAGGAAAACTATCAGGAAAAGCTAAAAAAATGACTGGAGAAGGTGGAGTGGTTGGGTAACTTGCAACGAGCTAACATCCTATCTACTTGGACAAGCATTTCTCCAAATCCCTCCTTAGGTCAGAAACTGAATTTAGTGCAAATGAAGGGGGTAAGTTTCTTATTAAAAGAAAATGTAGGAATTTACTATTTCAACTGAGTTGTTAACCTAAATTGGCCACTATAAAGAGTTTCAAAGCTGACATTTCAAGCATTAGCCCTTTGTCAGAGTGAATGACGAAATACTTTCATTTCCAAATTACCCTGGGTTCAGCTTTACCAGCTATGTGCATCATTCAAAGACCTGAACAGGTTGTGTCATTCCTGTCATACCACATTGAAAGTCATTTAAATGCAAACTTTTTTGCACTGTAAATCATTCTCTTTCCAAAGTACAATTTTGCAAACTTATTAAAACATTGCATACCAGTTAAGTTCCATAGAACAGTAAGTGCCAAACTCAATGTGAAATCCTCCTTAAAAAAAAGGACCCCATCAAACAATTAAAAATATCATTAATAATTATTGATGATGAAAAAATTGAGAACAGTTTCTTAAAGGGACATGTTAATAAAAATCTTGGGTAAAATTATCGCAAGCCAACTGAGATAAAGAAAACAAGGAAATATGACATGTTACGAAGGGCAGTAGGTAGAAATTAATTATAATGAAAGCAGCTAATTTGAATTCACAGTCAGAGTAACCTTAACCTTAGTCTTTGCTTTCCCATGTTTTCTATTTGTAGAAAATGCACTAGCTTTGTATTATATTCCTTTATTGTAATGATCAAATCTTTTATACTGAAAAAAAATTCACAATATCATGCAGCTATAAACTGTAAAAGTAATGACCCAGCTTTAACTCCCAAGATCAGATTGTTAATTCTCCCCTCTAGCTGCTACACATTTCCTTGTAAACAAGTTATAAGAATTTAATGTTAGATCAAGGTGACAGCTTATACCTGATATTAGTTTGAGTATTCTTATTACCCTACTAGCTGGATAGTGTATGGATATTGTAGGGAGAAGTTACATTTTAATCACTTTTGGGAGTTTAAGGGTTAATCTGCTTGCTCCATTAAAAAAAAAATAACATTTGTAGAATGAAATCATTCCATTAGTGTTGTAAATTCTATCTGATCCATACCTGACTTGCACTGATCTTTTCTTGAACAATATTAAACATGGTCTATAATTTTAAAATGAATTGATCAGTAAAGATACAGTTTATATTTTGGGAGAACATTTAATTAATCACAACTTGAGATATTTAAATAACTGGTTACCATGGCAAAAAGATGCTGCTTTGATTAATAATAATTGCTAATTAAATGAATTTAAAATTGATTTAGATAAATGTATAGATTAATATGTTATGTCTCTTACCATAATGTTTTTCTCCGAGCCAAGAGCAAGTGTTTCTTGTGTGGTCAGCTGCACAGGTGTGGAATTAGCAAAGCCTTTAATTAGTAACCCAGATACTTACTTCAAATTAGAGCAGGGAATCTGATGAAGTTTAGTCAATATTTAAAGGATTTTCTTCCTTAACTGTGAACAGATATAATGCCAATAGTATGACATTTGTCCAAAAACTGACTTGAAGTATTAACATTCAAAGCTGATCCAGGAGTTTTAATACAGACCCAATTAATAGTTTTAGTAATTAAAATAATTTTCCAGAAATGCATGTCTTCACAGACTCAAAGAACTGATTGTTTTTATTCTCTCCTCTATCTGCTTCCCATTTCCTTGTAAATTAGATACAGGAATTTGGTGTAAGATCAAGATAAAGAACTTCTACCTGATAAGTTTGAGTATTCTCATTACCTGTTAGCTGGACAATGTATAGATATTATAGGGAGGAGTTACATGATAATCACCTCTGGGAATTAAAGAGTTAACTAGTTCAGTGAACAAGGTAACTTATCAATTAAAAGAGGGAGAGAGAGAGAGAGAGACAGAGGGGAAGGAAGTGTATATTCAAGCAGGAGAAGCCCTCATTATTCAAAATGTTTACAGGCACTAATTGAAAGAAAGAGCTTTTTCAAGGGGAAATGCTACTGAAAGTTTGGATCAATGTCAGTACCTTAGCAACTGTGCACCTACCCCTCCCCCCCCCATAACCCAACAACAGTCAACTGATGACAAGCTTCAATTAATGTTGGATTAGGGGAGGGGTAGGTGTGCAGATGTTCAGATAATGATAATGATTTGTAAGTTTTGTGGTATTTTTTCATTTTCTTAAATATTTGAGTGTCCAATTGAGGAAAGAATCTAAGTAAGAGGATTTATGAGTATGGTGATACCTTAGCAGACAGAATTGCACATAGCTTTGTAGCAAGCTGAGAAATATCCTGGTCACCAGGGAAGTCGCACAGAGAGTCCATAGCTAAGAGTGATGCTTCAAAATAGTTGAATGTCTGCAACGCAAAAATCAAGTTATTGCTTCCTAACTCTACTTTGTGACACATCTCATGACAGTTACTGCCCTAGATTTTCAGAGCCAGTATTCCTTCAATGCGCTGAACCTGTTTTACCCTTTACACCCTAAAATCAGTATGCATATTCTCTATACTGCTCCTTATACATTTCCTAAGGTGCTGACAAGGAGAATTTGTTTACCAATCAAAAGCTTCTTATGCTGATGATCATTTCCCTTATTCTCATGACCTTAATGTGTGATTCAGGGATGATATTGTGGGGAGAAATTTAATGCTAATCACTCTTAGGGTTTAAAGAGTTAATTATAGATTATTTACCATATTTGAATCATTTCTACTTACTGCTTTTTTTAGAACTTGCCGTGACTCCAAAATTAACAGACAGTTCCTCAAAAGCTAAGGGAAGAACAAAAAAGAGGTAGTGCTCTTGACAAACACTGAGTGATTGTATGTGTTGGGCTATAGGTAGACCTGGAAAATATTGGCATAGGGCTGTGTAAGAATTCCCTTTCTGTTCCTTCTGCTCAGTCAATGAATACATTAATTAATTATACTCTTGTTATTTTCTGATGTTTCATTATCCTTCTATCGTTTTGACATAAGATCAAGCAGAATCAGAACATATAATAGAGAGACTTGGTGGTAGACTACTGTTTGTCTTGATTCATTTATGATAAATAAAGAAAATTCTTACCTGATGCTTGACTAAGAAGGTTCTCATTGTTAATAGAACCAAAGATGCAACTTTACTGAAAAAACAAATAGAGATTATTGAAAGATAATAATGCACTGAATCATTCTGTCATCAGAGTGAGCATGTTTAGGGGCATAACTTGCATAAAGTGCATATTAACTTTTAATAAAAAGATTCTGACTAATTGATAACTTTTAAGTAATCAAATAATAAAAGTGAAAATTAACCACCTTTCTACCTCAGGTTGTTAAGGCAGTAGTTTAACCAATGACATGTAGCAGGGGGGGCATGGAGGGTTTGCACTTCTCCCCTTCCCCCCCCCCCTTCCCTTCTCTCACCTCTGCCAACTTTTAAGTAAGTAACCATTCCATACACTGGTTTTTTGGCGTTGTGTTGATAGGTACATAAAGGAGGGCTGTGGCTTGATTGCCATGGTAACCACCTGGTTGCCCAGATGACTACTGCTATATTTTGTTTTTTGACAACACCTACCCTCTATTACTGTTTCAGAAGTGTTTTAACTACATTGAATCATGTATCCAGTAATAATTTTACCTTAAGAAACGAGGATGCACTTGTGGGTCTGCTTCTCTTCCTCTTTCTCTGATAATGTTAAATACACAAGCTCTGAATCGAAAAGAAAATTCAAAATGTTACTTAATAGTCACATTTATATACTAGGGTCAAAACTTTGATTTGAAAATAATAATCAAATTTTTGGGGGAATTTGTTTTTTTTAATAAAATTGTTTTATTTTGAATGATTGTCAAAACTATACAAGAATCTTAGTGAATATTAACTTACGTAGCTGCCATTTGAATGTTAAGATCATCCGGATGTTTTTCCATTGGAGTAAGAACAAGCTGTGTAAATGAAATTTAAAAAAATTAAATATATTTAACCCTTTAACTCTCAGAGGTGATTACAGTGTACCTTCTCCCTATAGTATTCATACACTACACAGCAAACAAGTAGTGAGAATACTCAAACTCATCAGGTACAGTTTATTACCTCAATTGAACACCAAATTCTCATAATCAATTTACTAGGAAATGTGTAGTAACTGGAAGGGAGAATTGACAAACAGATCTTGGGAGTTAAAGGGTTAAATCCCCAAGGCTTTTAAAGCATCATAGAAGTCAGAGTGTCCCCCCTTTGACAAAGAAAAATATTAAGAAACAACATTCTCAAATGAATTTTTTTCACTTCTGCAGGGTTTTCATCAGAGATATAGCAATAGGAATGAAAAGAAAATTCCTGAAGCCTTTGAACTGTAGTTAGCAAATTCTGGGCTGTTTGTGGTTATTAAGTCAGTGAGGTTAAATATCTACATTGCTATGATCATAAATCATGAAACTATAGTTTAAAATGAATATAGGTGTAGAACCTTTTTTCTTAAATTTATAAGATGATCACTCTTAGAGCTGAAAGGAATCAAATAAACCTTAAGTTAATTAACTGAGCCATTTCATTGTGTACCTCTAGAACTTGCGGTTTTCTTGCTGTCCAATCATTACTGATTCGAAACAATCCACGCAGAGCTTCTCTCATGTAATCAGCTCTGTCTGAGTACATTTGTAATGAAGAAAGGATCTGTTTCTCTGTAGCTTCACCCGTGATCTGATGAAAGATAAGCCACATTTAATTCAATTGTTGACTTTTATGATGCAAATAGTATAAGAAGAAGCTCATATAAAGAGCAGTTGATGGATGAAAAGATTTCATAAATTACGCTAAATATTATGCAACCAAGTCACATATCTGGTATGTCTGGTATGACACTTTGGAAAGAACCTGATTATTGTTGTAAGTAATCTTGTGATAGACTGGGATCTATACTAGCTCCTATCCAAGGAGGGAGTATAATAACCCTCTAAGTTGCTTCATGCTGAGTAAATGGGGGTGAACTGCAGCAAGATGGGCCACTCAGTTTGAGTATGGACTTCACATCAAGTCCCTTAACAATATGAAACTCTGAAGGCATTTTATGAAAATTGCCAAATATCTCCTGCAAGCTTTAAGGATTTCCACCACTCTGGTTCATAACAATGAAATATTTTCACTGTTACATATCATTAGTTTATTATATTATTATCGTGATATTTCTACCTTAATAGAAGGAGAAATTCTTTCCAGATGTTCTTGTAATTTCAGTGATGTAAAACAAAGGCCAAGGAACTGGAGTTTAGGATGAGAAAAAAGAAATGACTGCAAAGCATCTGCTGTTACTGTGGAAACACCTGAAACATCCAAAGAGACCAGGTTTGGCATCATACATTGGTCTGTAAGCATTTCATCAATTGTCCCATCGTAGCGCAAATTACTATGAAAACTTCTTGAAATATCAAGCTTCTGTAATAATGCAAAGTCCTTAAACTCCGCAGGTTTTGTTCGTGCTATTGATGTGTTAAAAGCGATTAATGTCTTCAGTTGACCTCTTAGTTTCCCGAATGAAGAGACGTGTCTTATCGCAGTGTTCGAGATATTAATGTGTTGTAAACAATCCAAATTCTGTGCAGCAACTGTCATCAAGTGGTCGTTTATAAGAGTGCAATGGCTCACATCCAAATGGGTTAAACAGTTTAGTGGCTTCATGGCAGCAAAGTCCAAGACAAATGATGTGCAGCTCAAATTTAACTCCCTCACTGTCGATGACATTCCATTCAGCAGTTGATAAAATAAAGACGGCGAGGGGCACGTTTTTGTTCCAGTTAAGTCTAGTTTCACAACTTTATGTTTTCCAAGGAGTAGTTTCAGCATTGAAAAACTCAGCTGACATTTCCTGAGGTAGAACTTTCTGATTCTACAACTCCTCGGATCAACAAATAGAGATGCTGTCCTATCTGTCAGTATTCCATCACATGAGAGACATCTCACAATATTGTCTGCCAGTTGTTCGGGGAGAAATAACGGAGAAATGAAACTAAGTTTTTGAAAAGAAACCTCGCCGAACTGGACACCTTTAACATCTTTGTGGCATAAATCTTCAATGTTAGCACTGATAAAACTCAGGCATATTTCTTCAAGAGAAGCTGGTGAAACCGTGCTCATGTCAAGACGTTGTTTTACAATTCAAGGAACTCAGACGAAAGTTGCACTTAATCTCTATTACACGTGCAGTAAAAGCAGTTTAAGTTCCCCCATTTCTTTGACGCTCCTTCCTTGCATCTTGATCTTCAATCATGCCGCTCCGTCGAGAAAAGATGTAAGTACACAGAAAATCGAAACAATAGTGTAACAACTTTGCCAAACCATTTTAGTCAAAAGTAATATATTTTACTCAAAACACTACTTTCGTTTTGTTTTTAACTTGGTAACCACTCAAGTTAATCTCCGAAGTAATCCGATCAAGTCCGAGTGTGTATCGACTTTAATTCGAATTTCCGAACCGTTAACGGAAGGTTTCAAAACAGTTTTCTTTAGCAGGCATCGAGTTTTTATCAAAACTTTAGTGTATCTTGCGTTTAGTCTTAGATCTGAAAAGATGTCTTCAAAGAAAGGAAAATGGAAGGATTCAGCTCAACAGGCAAGGCGGCTGTCACAGACTTCGTCTTCAAATTTAACAAGAAAAGGAAGCTTGATCGAAGAAGAAACTTCTGCAAAAGAACTTGAAGAATATTTAGAGACATTAAAAAAAAAATCTGGAATCAGATCTCTTTGGAGAGGAAACAGTTTCGATAGAGTGGTCCGCGATGATGAAGACAAAACTCCAGACATCTCGATCTCCAGTATGGAAGACGAGGAATTGGGTAAGTTCTTTCGAATCAAGCCGACTATTTTTCTGGTGACCTCAAGTTTATTAGCAGGACGATAGCTCGCCGGGTCACATCACGTCGTATCACAGTACTTAAAGCACTGCCTTTCAATGTCATAGATTACTTCTGAAGCATCTATATTCGAAGTTGTCGCTAATGCTTAAAATGATCAGGGAAAAGAAACAAGGAATTTCAACAGTTTTGATTGCTACATTGCAACTTTTCTCTGTGTTGCTTGGCAACATGTAATGACGCCATGTTGCAGTGTATCTGTTAGTAATAGATCACAGATGACGTGAAAATGAGGTACACAAGGCAGAGCCAAGTGTATTACTGCAGCTGCAAGTGTGTTCAACTGCTGTTCTTACTACATTTTGAAGTTTTTGTTTTTCTGTTGAGTGAGAGAAAATAAATTTCTTTTGTCAGTTTTGTAGCACACATACAAGACCAACTTATGTATTATAATCGTATTTGTAGATGAAAGACTTCCATCAGAAAAGGCAGATGATGATGACGATGATGATGATTTTAAAGTTAATGTTCAGATGTTCTCACAATCTCCGTCACCAACAAATCCAGACACATCTGATGGCTCCATAAACCCTATGAAAGGATTACAAATGGCAGAATTTGCCTTCAGTGATGATGGGCAATCACAAAAACTACAAGCAAACAACAAACTGGAAGACAAGATAAAAAGTTTAAGTGTCTCTGGCAAAGACATACGATCTGTTGTTAATGATCTTTCTGAACCAGCTGAAGTTTTGACTGAAGATGAAGTTGAAGAAGAAATAGAGGAAGATGTGGTTGATGTTGTCGATAGAAAAAATGATAAAATCACAGACAGGCAAGAAAGTTCTCTTCCTAGAACTTTGAGCGATGTTGAAAATCAAACGACAAGAAAAAGAGAAAAGACGAGGACAAAATCGCAAAATTCATATACAAGTGATTTTTCATCTCTAAGTGAGATAGAGACACACAATGAGCGTTCACATTCACGAACTCAAAATGATTCAAAGGGCTCAAGGTCATCAAGAAGGTCAAGGTCATTTCAAAGTTCAAGGTCATCAGAAAAATCAAGGTCATCACACAGTTCCAGGTCCTCGCAAAGTGCAAGGTCATCAAGGAGTTCAAGGTCAACAAAACACTCAAGGTCAAGTGACAATTCAAGGTCAAAACAAAGTATTTCAGAATACAGCAAGAGCAAGGTAAAGTATGAAACAGACAAGTAATCATTGGTCACCAAAATGAAGCTGGAATAGCACTCTGATTTTCTTGTAACTTTGAAATTTTGTCAGGTTAATATTTTTATTTTTATAGTTGTTCTCATCATGATTTTCTTGATCTTAGGGAAAGGACAGCCGCAACAGATACAGGTGTGATGTGGGAGTTCAAACATTACCTCTAAAAGAACAGTTTACTGTACCACCAGGTATATATAACAATAACTTTAAAGTGCTCTGTCTTGGTTTGGGAATCTTGAAAATTTCAGTGTAAGTTCTCCATGTCGGCCACTTATGATCAGTTTTAATTTTCTTCGTCCAAAGCCATACTTAATTCCTCTTAGTTTAGTATTCCTTCCTTTTTTTTCATTTGTCATGAGTGTGAGTGGATTGACTGACTGCTATTGATCAATTGATGTTCTCGGTAACTAACTGGATGAAGTTAGCGACTGATGACTGACTGACTGAAGACTGTCTGAATGATTCATTAGTGACTGTTTGAATTTTCAACTGAGACTGACTGAGTTGATGACTGACTGACAGACAAGCCAACTGAGCGACTATGGGGGTGAGAGACTAGCTAATGGTCTGATTGACTAACTGACTAACTGGTTGACTGACTGATGACCATCCAAATGATTCTCTAGTGACTGAATATTTTACTGATGACATGCTGAATTAGTGATCGACCAACTGACTGACTGACTGACTTTGTGGGTGAGTGACCAACTGAGACTGACTGAGTTGATGACTGACTGACAGACAAGCCAACTGAGCGACTATGGGGGTGAGAGACTAGCTAATGGTCTGATTGACTGACTGACTGACTGGATGACTGTCTAAATTACTTACAGACGTACATGTAATAAATGACTTACTAACTGACTGACAGGCTGATTAACTGAGTGGCTGATGGAGCGAGTGACTCCCTAACTGTTGGACTGACAAACTGACTGCTTATTGGCTGAATGGCATTAATCAACTGCTCATTTTCATCAGCTCTTGGTGTTGGCATGGCAACAAGTGGCCCACGGCTTGGAATGCAATATGTGGACCCCACACCTATAGCAACTCATACAGTATCACCAGAAGCCATGGAAGGTATGAATCAGATCAGGTTGTTTTCACTGATCTTTGTTCTAACAGAAAACAGCCAAAAAAAATTATTTAACCTTTAACCCCTGAGAGTGATTAGCATCTAATTTCTCCCATCAGCATCACCGCTGACACAAACATTGAGGTCATGAGAAGAAAGGAAATGATCACTAACTGAAGAAGCTCTCGATTTTTAACCAAATTCTCCTTATCAGTACATGGGAAATTTGTAGAGAACAGTATGGAGAATATGCATACTGATGTTGGGCTGTAAAGGCTTTAAAAAAAAAAAAGAGCCTAACAGTGAATTTAGGCTTACTTATTTAAATAGAATCAAAACTAACCCTAACTGAGCCACTTCTAAAATTCTTTGCCATGGTTTTTTATCAAGAACCTATTTTAGTAACCTGGCAGAGGGTACAGGTGGGGGTGATAGGAGTAGGTTGGGGGGTTAGTCTCACCATTCCAGTGGCCACTGGCTGACTAATCAAGTGACTTACTGATTCACTAGTGAGCGACGGTTGGTTGACTCTCAAACCAATGGACCGACAGACTGACTGATTATCAGCCCCCCCCTCACTTCTTACTAAGGCCCCCCCCCTCTCCTCCCACCTCAGAGGCCTAACAAGCCTTTTTTCAGGAATGAGTATTTCACCCTCCTCCTTGAATGGAGTGGTCGTCTCTTTCTTGTAAGCCTCAACATTTTATCAAGTTTCTGCAACCGTTCAACAGTACCCATTTATACTCCTGGATGGAGGAAGGTGCTTTGAGAGACACTTGTCTTTACCTAAGAACACAACAAAATGACTCGATCAAATCCAAGCTCAGTTATCTGGATTCTGGACCCCACCACCTGAATCCGCACGCCACCTTTTACCAATAAGTACATGTAATTGTAATAAGATATACCTATAGCATTTACTCTACATTTACTCTAATCATCTACAGTTGTATTTCTCTCGTCTCTTTCAGCCATGACTGCTTATAACCCGGCCATTGTGGCGTTAAATAACATGCTGCGAGAGCAAATCCGTCTGGTGGAGCAGTTTGTGGAGATAAATCAGAGAATGTACGAGTCTTATTCTACGGGGGTCAATAGCAACTACCGATACACCACGCTCGAGGACACGCAACAGGTTAGATGGATACGCGAGCTCATCGATGCACTTTTGCGCGCGTTACGACTTTAACACTCGCGCGCTTACGCACGCAACTCGTTTTTCATTAAAATCACGGAAGGACTGCCCTGGAGATCACGCAGAAGATGAGCCTAACTCAATCGCTCATGCATTCTTAAGAGTGTTACGGCGTGAACACTCGCGTATATCATGCCCCAAAGCACAAATCTCGCAACATGCTAAAAACACCCACCTACGTGCGCATCGCGCTACACGCTGAGGCAAATACATGCGCTACCTAAGATATATGTCACATATTCCAAATTTTTCTCTCCACAGTTTATAAGAAAGAACCGACCGAAAGTTGTGTCCTACGAAGAGGCATTGAAACAAGTAAAAGAAGAAGAGAGATATTGACAATACTCCTCTAAAAAACAAAACTAATGGCAATTTAATTACCTTTCCCACCTTCCTATTCGAGAGAGTGAGCCCTCATCCCCCTCCCCCAGGGAGGAAAGCCCGTGTTTCATTTTATTCCATCTTTCTTTCCTTCGCATCGTGATTGGCTCAGAAATACTCGTGCCAACACTGGCAACCAATCAGATTCAAAGTTAACACCAATTGCAACATGGTTACACGCGTTTCTTCGCGCTTGAGACATTTTGTCTGTCTTAACTTTGAGTTTTTATTGTCTCCTCTTAACATTTTCCTTTCGTTTGATCAGTCGTTGTGATCACTTTGGTTTTTATTTGCGACATTCAATCGAAAGATGCTCACAATAATTCCTCGAAATATGTAGACTAGATTTTCAAGGGGCGTGAAACCCCAAGCATCTTCATCTCGACGATGCTTTCTTATGGTGCAAGGCACCCTGTGACACGACTGTACAGCAATAAAAAAAATTAATTTTCCATCCATTTGGTACATAATTTGCCAATTTTTGCTTGGAAGCAAGGGGTGAGGAAGGTTTTAAAGCGAAATCGCGTTATTATGAAGGAAAGCGTTTTAACATATTCCTTTCCGTGTCTTTTTCCCCACAATAATTTTTTTACCATTAAGTCGGTGTTTAGAGATAAAGTTTTGAAATGAAAATAAAGCATGTTTCGGGAGCGGAAAGCTGCGACCACTCGCGCAATGGCTGTGAGCCTACCCGCTGAAATTTTTTTAAACTATAGACCCGTAAGATGCAGTACCATGCAACACCAAGGGCCTCGAGGTCGAGGCAATACACTGCATTACCGCACCCAGCAGCTGCGGGGTCATATTAAGATACCCGCAAAAAAACCCCGAGTTGCCACAGAAAAATCAGAAAGGATCCTACTAAAAGACTAAAAAAAAGCATGAAAACTAATTTTCTGTGAGTTTTTTCCGGAAGAAAAATTTCAAATAAAGGGAGAATGTTGAGCGCAAACGGGAGGCGTAATACAGTACCTGAAAATGGGTGGTTTCAGCCTGCGAGAGGCCCTCATAGTTAGCGCTACAGGACGCGTGTTTTTCCGCCCGCGGGAAGACTTGAGACGAGTCGGGAAGAGGTCAACTGGGGGTCTGGCACTAACAGTGCAAGACCTCCGTGGACCGCAGTGCTTCAGGCCTCCTACTTGTGAGCGAAGGAACGCTGGTGCCGTGATGCTGATAATGAGAGCCTGCATGCAGGCCAGCGGAGGTTTGGAATCTATGTTGCATTCGATCTTCGATTAATTGACTAATCAAAATGATAAAATTTACGGATTTTTTGCAAGTTTCATTAACGATGCATGTCGATTCCTTTCTTTAGGGCCGTGGATCTCTCTCCTCTAAAACTTTGATTTTAAAAGAATGAAACGACGGCTAAGTTCAAGGTCCTATTCCTGTTTCTTGGTTACAAAAAATTTGATTAGCCAATATTCTTCGAGGTTTATTGATGAACAGAACGATTTTTTTTTATTGTAGGAATTAGGGAGTACCCACCCCCCCCCCCCCTCTATAGAGGCACGGGGTCGAATCTCGTCAAAGCCTCAATTTTTTTCAGGCTTTTTCCTGAAGTTGGTTAAACTCACCGCAGATCAAATGAGTCAGAGGAGTTTCGGATTAATTTATACTGTGCTTTCCAGACGCGTTAAGAAACAGCAACAAAAACATGTACAAATATTTAATCGATCACAAAGCTTGTGTTTAACCCGCATGTACAACAAAGGTTTTGTCAACGTATTAGAGGTTCTCGGCCCCAGAGCCACGTCTAAATTTGCCTCCCGTAACTAGTCTAAGAATCAGTGCATCCTGTTTTTACCTCTTACTTACGATCAATGTAGGATCGAAACTACTTTTAGAATCAGCCTGAGTGGAACCTAAGATCTTGCTCCAATAACGTTATTCACAAGTACTTGTGAGCCAAATAAACTTATTAGAATTACAAAAGTTCGATGGAATGTTACTAGGTAATCAAATAAAACATGTAGAGGTGAATTATATTAAAAATTTAGTAGAAACAATCGGTCTAAAGATACGTAAATGCTACAATTTATATTATCTTAAAACGCTTTTAAATCTAATTTTTACGCCGCTCTTTTTGGTCGTTGAGACACGCTACAGAGCTCATCACAAACATGGTTTTATGAACATAAAATGGTCTGCAATTATTTCCCTGCGTTAAATTAATCAGTGCACTATTCAAAATAAACGCCATAAACCGTAGCGGTTGCAAAGAGCGACCCGTTTGTGAATTCAAACGAAGCAAATGTGTCGTAGTTTGTATCCCAAAGACACCTACTTCCGATGCGCATTGCTTGATTCCCCAGCTGTCCAATGTGCACAAGACAAATAATCTTGTAACGCTGAATGTTTAAATCCTTCACGCGGTTTTTCACCGTGTCAGAAATTGTTTTGGAAAGCTGCCTGCACTGATCCGCATCGTACTTTGCTTCCGCCAGCCTCTCCGTTAGAATTTCCTTGAGTATGGAGCGAACGTCGCCCTCGGGAAATTTCCGATCTGGTGTCATTTTAAATGTGTTCTCCATGGCAATTTCGGGCACGCGTCGGCCGTCTTGTCTTGAAAACGACGTAGCCATCGATTGAGTAACAGAGACGGTGCTTGGAGGACGAGTTTTACTTGACGTGCCAGGCGTCAGCTCTTTCCCTTTCGTCGGTTTTAAGTTTTTAGCCGCTTTATCCGCTTTCGTATCTTTTGGAGTGTCAACGTCCGCTTTAACAACATCTGAACTCATTTTTGCTGTTTGTCCTTCGTTGTAAACCTCGATAATCCTCGACGAATGATTAGATATACATACGCACCGATATACAACGGTGAAAAATTGTTCTCGGTTATTTGTTTTGATGAGCGAATCAAAGACCCTAAGTTATTTAAATTATCTCCTGCAGTTTGAATCTAAATTCTCTCTTTTAAGAGGTCTGTTATCAAGTTTGTTTTCAATAGTTGTTATAGCGACCCGAAAAAATAATTACTCATTGGTAAAAGTGCTAATAAGTTTCCGCCGTACCCTTCGTATTGTTAAAAAACATTGAATTGTCTATGCTACCGCAGTTTACTTTATTTCAGTTGTCCAGAGGGATTTCATGCTTTAAACGAAAACAAAAGGACATGATACTTTAGGGAACAAAGGTGTCTTGCGTTTATGCAAAATAATTTTCACTAAGACGAAACGTATGGTACCCTGCTTTTGTCTTAAGAATTAACTTATGTGTGTATTAGGAGTTTGCATCTTAGAATAAATTTATCTAAACCGGTTTACCATGACAGAGTTGCGTGGTTAATCCAAATAAAACTTCAAACCGGCTAATTCTTACCTTATTCAAGATCAAACAAAATACATTCTCATTTTCTACAAATTTTTTTGATGTGTCAATAGATTAACAGAAACTTCCACTTGAAGGTTTTAATAAACCGCTTTTTCTTGTTAGAGTATTAAATCTGAATTCAAAGACGTCTCTATAATGTAAGATAGAATATATATTTTAACTGTTATATTTATTTCTGTCTTTAATCTTTTACACCCCAGCATCAGTATCCATACTCTACTCAATCTGTTTCTTTTGGTACTGACAAGGAGGATTCATTTGAGGATCAAAGCTTCTTAGGTTGGCGATCTTTTCCGTTATGCTCATGACCCTAGTCAATGTTTCAGCAGTATTACTCTGAGGAGAAATTAGATGCTAGTCACTCTTAGGGTTTAAAGGATAAAATTATTTTACAAATTCACTACTTGCTGCAGTTTAAGATTCTAGGGTGTGAGATCGTCATCAAATTTTCTTCAAATTTATCGAAAATTTTACTAAAGACCATTTTGAAAACCAATCCAATTAACTGGCTGCACACGCAAAACCCCAACGCGCAATTTATAATTTCAAACAGCTGCTTTCTGGTTATCGCTAAATTCATTGTTGAAGCATGGAATCAGGATCGCTAATTACCCTGATGCGCTTCTGTAATAATAAATTATTGTTTACTCCTGTTTAACAGATCGCCAAAAATTGACAAATTCACAAAATCTTGTTTTAAAGGTACATGGCCAAGCCGCTAAGTATCAAAGACGGCGGCGTACATAGTCGAATTACTGGGGACCTTAAGCAGTCAGGACGGCAACACCAAGGAAGACTTCGATTGAAAAATGAATTTCTGCCCTCAATTAGAATTTCAAAAATGGCTGCGTGTGTTTACCGTCTCATATGGCGCCACGCCTCAACTTCAGCATAACGTATAAAAGAAGCGTTGAGTTCCAAATGAAAATTAAAATAATTTGCCGTCGCGGTTTCGGTTCGTAGGCGACGCAAATTGCGGTGATTTCACGTTGTTTTTTTGCATAAGACGGCTAAGAAATGTACAAAGTTTTAAAACGCACGTGCTGAGATATTGTTCTGCCAATTAGATCTTTTATTTTTCCATGTCCTCGTTGCCGTCGCCGTCGTGGTTTGCTTAAGGTCCCTATTAACACCTCTAAAGACGATTCCGAGAGGTTTGGTAACTCTTTCTTTGAAAGTCGTTCAACGTCTATGTGTCATCATGTACGTTTTCTTGGATGAGATAAAATCAAATTATATTAAAGAATTCTTCTCTCTGAAGTAGTTTTAGAGCTGTAGATGTGCTTGTTAACGACAAACTAAAAAATATGAGTTTCTCCGAACAAACAAAAATTGCAAATGATTTTGGTAAACATGATATGCTGTCAACTTATAACTGTGCAGTCTTGACTAGTTAGGAAAAGTTGGTGCTCCTTGTGAATTACTGCCAAAAATTTAGCCCGTAGGAAACAAAGTGCAATTAATTTTCAATTAATTAAATATGACTCGTATAAATATTTTAGCGGAGCCTAAGAGCTGAGCTCAAATTAGTTCATATTTAATGCGCTTTCTTTACTCTGATTTCTTTTCTTTGTTTTTATAAGTTTCAGTATTTACTAACCACAAGAGCTGCCTCACGTTGAGCCCACAATGCAGTCTATCGCGTAGACAAAATACGGTTTCGCATGCAGACACACCCGCACGTGGCTGGCTTCCGCCCATCAAAATATCTCGACCTAAAGGATTTTCGTATTCTCTTCGTTACTGGGCTCCGCTTTCGTGCTCCGCACAGAAGCTTCACTGCTAAGAATACTCTACACGCTGCTTACGAGAACATCACAAAGGGATACAAATGGGCAGTCTAAGCCTGCATGTAGCATTGAAAATAACTAGAGGTTGTCTAATGACGCTAGAAGGTAGTACTGCAAAATATTTGTATTTACTTGCAAAACAGAAAACCAGCTGCACCCCACACATTTATGAGTGCCCTGTTCCACAAGGGAAAGATGATTCAAGTATGTAGTGACTACTCTGTATTCCACCAAAGATTATATAGTGAAAAATAATCATAATAACAAAACTAATAATAATAATAATAATAATAACAACAGTAGAAATGCTAATTTACGTTTTCTACATAGGGCCTAGCTCAAGAATCTAACTGTTCCTTTATCCGTTAGTCTCCAATAACGGTTTTACTCTGCTGATTCAAACGGTAAAAATCTTTCCACGAAGTTTTAAAGATGCCCCGATCAGATCTTTTAAGATTTTTCTGCGAGGAAATTTTGGATTTTGGACACTTGTGGGCGATTTTGAATTTTGGACAGTAGTGAGCGATTTTGGATTTTGGATCCTAGTGGCCGATTTTGGATTTTAGAACCTTATGGCCAATTTTGAATTTTGGACATTAGTGGCCGATTATGGATTTTGGTCCCTAGTGGCCGATTTTGAATTTAGGACATTAGCGGCCGACTTTGGATTTTGGACATTAGTGGCCGATTTTGGATTTTGGACACTTGTGGGCGATTTTGAATTTTGGACACTAGTGGGCGATTTTGGATTTTGGACCCTTGTGGCCGATTTTGGATTTTAGACTCTAGTGGCCGATTTTGGATTTTAGACCCTAGTGGCCGATTTTGGATTTTGGACACTAATGGCTGATTCTGGACTTTGGACATTAGTGGCCGATTTTGGAATTTGGACAGTAGTGGCTGATCTTAACTTTTGGACACTAGCGGCTGATTTGGAATTTTGGACACTAGTGATCGGTCATGCATTTTGGACACTAGTGGCCGATTTTGGTCACTAGTGGTCGTTTTTGGATTTTGGACCCTAGTGGCCCATTTTGAAGTTTGGATACTAGTGGCCGATTTTCGATTTTGGACCCTAGTGGCCTATATTGGATTTTGAATACCAGTGGCCTCTTTGGATCTTGGACCCTAATGGCGAATTCTGAAATTTGAACCCTAGTGGCCGATTGTTCATTTTGGACACTAGTGGCCGATTGTTCATTTTGGATGCTAGTGGCCGATTTTTAATTTTAAACACTAGTGGTCGATTTTTGATTTTGATCGCTAGTGGCCGATTTTGGATTCTGAACCCTAGCGGCCGATTTTGGATTTTAGTTATTAGTGGCCGATTTTTGATTTGGACATTAGTGGCCGATTTTGGAATTTGGACAGTAGTAGCTGCTTTAATTTTTGGACAGTAGTTGCCGATTTTGAATTTTGGACAGTAGTTGCCGATTTTGAATTTTGGCACTAGTGGCCGATTTTGAATCTTAGACACTAGTGGCCGATTTTGAATCTTAGACACTAGTGGCCGATTGTGGATTTTGGTCACTTCTGGCCGATTGTGGATTTTGGTCACTTCTGGCCGATTTTGGATTTTGAACACTTGTGGCTGATTTTTTAATTTTGGATACCAGTGGCAAATTTTGGATTTGGGCCCTAATAGGCGACTTTGAATTCTGGTTTCTGTTTCTGAAATTTATGTTCTTTCCTTTGGTGATTTTAGACCTAAAGTTCTAGATTGTTATTTTTTCAGTTTGCCCTGACATTTACATCCCTAAATACTTATACATTGACATCACTAACGCGTAATTTAAATCAAAACTTCTCTTGCAGAAATATTTCAATAGGTGTGATCTGCATATTATGGAAATTTTGAGGAAAATTATTTTATCTTTGAAAAGAGAGAATTTTACCGTTTGAAATAACGATTTATTGCCAAGTGGGTCTTTAAATTTGCGAAGCGAACGAGATGCCAAATACGATCCCTTCAGCACTATTACATGGAATGATAGCACGGAGGAACGGTGGAATATCCTAAAACACCGAATGTGTTGTAGTATGACAGAAAAGTCTTACAAAAATGGAATTGAAACAAAACAAAAAAATTTGTTAAAACAAGCAAAATTTAGAGAAGTATAGGGAGGTACAGCCCTTTTAAATTATTATTATTATATTGTTATTGTTATCATAATGACTGTTGTAAATATGATGATTTGATTAATGGTTGAATGTCAGTTAGTCACGATAGTCTTCAATCATCTCTCTTTGGTGGATTAGGGTACTAGTAAACTGTGGGATGGGTGTTTTCTGTTTTGCATGCGAATATAAATCTCTCCAAAAACTATCTACTAGCGCCATTATACAACTTAATAATGCTATATCAGTGGCCACATGCAGCCTTTGACTGCCTTTTTTTCTTATTTCTAGCTTTACATTTCCTTTTGCTAAAAAAAAATTTACAATACAGGTCAAAGACTGTGTCATTTGTCGTTTTATATTCCCAAATTATTCGCAGCGGGAGGGGAATAACCACCTCTTACCAACTGAGTTCGAGGTCCGTACCGTAAGTTATAGAGCAAGCGGGAAAAAACCAGGTTCGTAAACTATTGTACGCACCGAGAAACCGAGCTAGTAAGATGTTAATTTTATCTCCGGACACAGGTTCAAATACAAAGGGATTCCAAGTCAAACAAACTCTTTAATTAAGCTAGAGTGATCGTTTTACCTCCGAACTCAAATACGTTTCCCAGTTGGAGGAAAACTTATCAAAAGTCATTAACCTCTGCGGAAACAATAACTCCAACTTTCAACTCGCCCTTGATCTTGATCAAATTTGAGCGCGCGTTAAGAAAATAATTGTAGAAACGATTCTGAAAATAATGCGTGCTACTTTTGAGTGGGGAAGTGTAAAAAAAAAAACTGGAAGTTTGTTCCTCCACGAATCTCAACGTTGTTACATTAGGAGTCTCAGGAAACGAAGCCCACTGTTTCCAATCGGGTCAGTCATTTAGTGCTTTTTAATCAAAGGTGTAATTCAAGAACACAGGATTAATTCAGGAAACCAAAGCTAAGCCATGGGACTGATGAAAGGCGCAACGTTACATACTGGTTATGTACCGCAACCTCAGGCGTTACGAGACAAAAGAAAATCAAAGACAACTCGTGAATCACAAGAGGGTTATAATATAATTCTTTCCTTTAATTTTGTTTAAAATCTCAGTTTTCATAATTAAAAAGTTGTCCCTGGAATAATTAAATTCAATCGCAATGCCCTCAGTTTCAACGACTTCGTTAAAAATCATCTGCTTACAGAAAAGCATTTATTTTTTTCAACATTTCGTGAAAATCTTTTGGTTGTATTTATTTCTGCGTAGATTTCTTACTCGAGCAATTACAGGGTTTGTCAATCTATACTCATGAGTGGAGAGAAGCGCTGACAGAGTTCAGTGTCTTTCTCTTCAATATAACATAGTGAACTGGCCAGTGCTTTACCCAGATCTCTATTTATCTCGCGGTCAGTTCCCTCTTACGTTTCTCCCATCTCGTTCCCAAGGCGTTTTTGGTCAGTTTTCAAGTTGGCAGCGGATTGAAAGGATTTCTTTAGACCGGCCACCATCTTGGAAAAACCTGACCGAGAAACCCTGAGGACGTAGTTGGTGTCTTTTAGCAGTACATAAGGCCCCGCCCCCCCCCCCTCCCCTGAAAGAAATATCTCTTGGGGGAAGTGTTGCTCGATATCCTAAAGAACGACTGCGTGGCACACTACCCTTTGTATTGATAGAAAATATGCCCCCTCCCCTCCCTTGTACCTCCCTCTAGCACACCCGGCGCACTGGAATTAAAATTCTATCCTTTGCCTCAAATCACACCCGGCGAGGAAGTATTTTCCAAATCAGAAAGGCCTTTCCTTGGGCGCGGGTAGGTTCCGCCAAGTAAACAGCGCTTGCGCAGATAAAAATGCCACAAGGCTGTGACACATATCACTATGAGCAGCGTGACAAAAGAGCCGAGGAAAAAACCACCAGTTCCCGAAAGTCTGGGTTCCTTAGTTTCCAAAGTAGGACAAACGGTCTGCTGTTGCGTTACTTGGCAGCGTGACAACTGGGTGTTGCCACATGCATGACACCACGAGGTAACGTCACGAACTTGGAGAGATTTCACAAGTTTTACAAACTCGTCCAGTTCGCACGTGTCCTTGCACTCGGGAATGCTGTATTTTATCAATGGCCCCTGAGGAGAAAAAAATTCCATTCTAAAACCTTATAATTACCACTTTTCGCGGTCACAAAGTTTTGCGAAAACTCACGGCAAGAAACCAAGCACTTGACTTAGCGCAATTTTTAACGTTTGTGAGACAACTTTTTGACGTAAGCGTGCTGATGCAATATGGTCATGCCTCAGCCTCACAATTTCCCAGTTATGTTCTTTTTCTTCCCACCGGATGACAAGCTCGCGATTATTTTGACATCAGGAAAATCCCGAGTGCCACAAAAATACTTGACAGTGTGGCGCACTTTTTGCTTTGTGTGACAACCGAAAAAACGTCATCTAGAGATCGCTCGATATAAAATGCGAAAACAGAATAACCTACGGAAAATATTTTCAGCAAGACTACAGCCACTCCATGTTGTAAGACACTAGCAACATACAACAGAGAGCATTTCACACCACTTTGCCCTATTTTGGAAATTAGCACAAAAAAATATTGTGCAAGAGGATCAATATCAGTATCTGGGCAACTGCCCACCTACCCCTCCCCTTACCCAACATTAACCTTAACTTGTTGTCAATTGACTGTTGTTGAGTTGGGGGGAGGGGTAGGTGGGTAGTTGCCCAGATACTGATATTGATCCTGATTTTCACTAGCTAGGCAAGCACAAGCGCAAGCACAAACGCAAAGATAACAGCTGTTATTTCACCGTGAACACGGCTAAGACGCAAGCGCAAGTACAAGGATGAGAATTCTTCCTTTGTTTTGTGCCAGCACTTGTGCTTGCGTCGAGGCGGTCATCTCTGTGAAGTAGGACATTTTATACTTGGCTTTGCGCTTGCGTCGCAAGTGAAGACCACGCTTTATGAATAATTTCACATTATTCTTTTTTCTTGGGTTCCTCAGCCCTTACGTGAAGGAAAAAACAGGGCGTACGAGCAGTTGTTAAACTTCAACGAGCCTTCTGGAAAATGCTGATTTCCTAAACCAATATTAAGAATTTAAAAAGTCACAAAAATCTTACCTCCAAACCATTCTTGAAAGAAAACTGAACGATCATCTTACCAGTTGCCTTATCATGTAGCAGCTCAATAAATATCAAGGAAGCATAATATGGAATTTTTCTCAAGGCACTTTTAGCCGCTTTATTTAAACCAAGCGAGGAAAACAGAGAAAACATCGTTGGATAATGTGCAGAATAATACAGCAGCTGAAAAATAAGATACATAACTGGTGAAGTCAAAGCTGACGTTTCGAGCGATAGCGCCTCGTCAGAGCGAATGACGTAAGACCAACGCTCGAAATATAGCTTAGAAACTCTTTACGGTGGCCAATTTACACTATCAAATAATACTAAATTACCTTGTTATACTCTTCCACCGACGCAGCACCACAGTTTCTTTAGAAACCTACCCCCTTTATCCTTTTAAGCTCTCTACCTGAACGATTACAAGGCCCCTGATTTTAACAAATGCATGTCACTTATTTGTTATCTCCTTACTAATTGCGTCACCTACACATTTTTGGTGTTATCAAGGATATCAATTCCACCAACTCCACGAACTCCAGTAGCAAAAGACATATTTTGTTCTGTCCACATACATAGAAAACGAACAGTCCCTCATTCTCAGTAAAGTCCGGCGCGCGATTCCAAAAAATCAGCGAAAAAAAACCAATAGATGTTAGCGTGCGCATAACCCTGGAAGTAAGGCGCACGAAAATGAGTCTCACTCCCAGAGTTCCGCGCGGTGTGCCGAGCTGCAGACTACAGACCAGGTCTCGGACCCGGACATCTCCACCAAGAGTACAACATTCTCCCTTAGTTGGGGTCCTCATGTCTTTCACACAGTAATGCCTCTTAAACTCAATAGGAGGCATTGAGGAGGTCAAAAACATCTTAAGCTATCAACAGCATATTTGCTATTAAGAGACAAACCTTTGTCTTGGTCTTTTTAGCTGCAAAGTCACTGAAGCTCTCTGCAATCTCATTAGCTAACAGCCCTCCACCTATATCACCAATCATTTCCTTGCTGTATTTTTGATACTCAACCCAGTCAGCCAGATGCACAACTTGTTTCCACTGCTCGGTAGAAATATTCAGATAGGTGTGGTTATACAGTTGATGAAGATGAATATAATCATACCTGCCAGAAAATAACAATATTACAGCACTGTTTGGTGGACACACTCCTCCATGTAAGGGAGAGTAGCAAAAAGGGGGTCCTGACCCCCCATTATTAAAAAATTTTAAGAAAAAAATTATGAGCCACGTATACTATACTCCCATAAATGTTAAAGGGCGCTATATAAGTAAATAAATTATTAAATTATTATTACTTTAAATGCCATTTCATGCATCACAAATTTAAAAGAGAAAACTTCAAATCTCTCTTCTTGTGTGCAAGGTTTTAGGGAGATATTGAGGTTTTCCCAAAAAAAAAATTTACAGGTCACATATATTTCAGGAAGTAGATCAAACCTTACAGCATTTCATAAATTCACACATCACATTTGCCTTCTTGTTCAATTCACCTGTCAGATATTAGTTGCAGCCTTATTCACATTTCAAGCATACACTGCAGACCCTTTGCCATCCTTTTTTATAAAGCAATCTAAAATTATCTTCTAATAACCTCACTTACACATTGTAGAAGTCTTTAAGGTCAATCTTCTTAACACCCAGAATATTTTCAAGCTGTTTTCGTAGTTCTGCGCTCTCACTTTCCTTTTTCTTAAACTCTGAGCTTGTGTAAAACTCTGCGAGTTTTTTCTGAAGCTCAGGGCAAGCCAGCCATGCTCTAAGCACCTGATCATTTTCTGCTGCAACTGTGTGTATTGGAACCTGTCAAAAAATAAATAAATAAGAAGATAGAAATACAAATAATAAGTGAATGAGTAAATAATATCCAACAATTTAACCCCTAAGGGTTAAAAGCATACAACCTCTCCTCACAAAATCACTTACGGCATTGAACACTAAGGTCATGTACGTAAAGAATATTATCACCAAATAAAGAAGTTCTTGATTGTTCAACAAATTCTCCTTGTGAGCACTGTGGGAAAAGTATCAACAATAGACTTTACAAGATTACCACTCACAGCTGTCATCAGTATATCTTCATCATCATCATTATTGCCACAATCCTATCTCATAGTGAGGGCCAATAAGACTGGAAAAAGGTGTGGGAATGGTGAGGAGGAGGGAGGGGGGGGGTGTGACGTGCAGCTGCCTGACTGTAGATAAACAATAGCTTGATGGTGATAGGTCTGAGTGGAGTCAAATTCAGTCTGTAATGAGGTCGTCTGACTTAGTAAGTGAATTAGTGGAAAGTACCATTTTTTTCAAAACTGGAAGGTGTGGAACAGATTAGAGGGGGTGTAATGTCATGCAGCTGCCAGACCTCAGATGAACAGGTTAGAGCAGGTGTATGTCATGTAGCTGCCAACCTCAGATGACAGGTTAGAGGGGGTGTATGTCATGCAGCTGCCAGACCTTAGATGAACAGGTTAGAGGGGGTGTATATCGTGCAGCTGCCAGACCTCAGATGACAGGTTAGAGGGGGTGTATGTCATGCAGCTGCCAGACCTTATATGACAGGTTAGAGGGGGTGTATGTCATGCAGCTGCCAGACCTCAGATGAATCACAGCCTGATATCAATCATAAATTAAAAAAAAAAAGACAAACCTGTTGTATGTTGTAAGGTGCATAGAAAACTTGCCCAGCATAGGAAACATTTAGGGACTGATTTCTTGGTGGATAAAGTCCAAGGAGAAAGCTCAATGCACTAAAAGATAAAACATGGATATTAACCTTTTTATCCCTAAGAGTGACAAGCATCTAATTTCTCCTTACAATATCACCCCTTAATCACACATTAAGGTCATGAGAATAAAGGAAATGATCACCAACTAACAAAGCTCCTGATTGTTAAACAGATTCTCCTTGTCAGCATCTTAAGAAATGAATGGGGATCAGTAAGGAGAATGTGTATACTGATGTTATGGTGTGAAGAGTTTAGAAATGTAATTGTAGCACACTATTACTCTTTTTGTGAAGTATTTGTGAGCATTTAAGTTCTACCTCCTCAACTGTCAGACTAATGTCTTGTTTAATAAACCATGCATATTGTTAGATGATGATTTAACATGTGTATCTACGAGACAATGACATGCCCTGTATGTGTGTGCTTTAATCCAGATTGATGTCGGTTTGTTTGATAAATGCACTGTATTTTGCATATGGCTGCAACAGTTTGTCCTGTTTTCTACAGGATGAAGCAGGATTGAAAGCTTCTCCTTCCTAGATGGGATTTTGGTGAATTACAGGTTACCCCCCTCTGTATTTCATCTGCTTTCCCTGACTGTTTATTGTGGTTGATGCTAAAACCAGGGTTTTTGGACCAGGAGTCCAGCATACTAAGGATGATACCACAACATCTACTCTTTGGCTTCAAGAAATACTGTAACACAATGACCAGGAACTCTTAAGAAACTGTCTTCTGTTATACAATTTACCTGTTAAGTGTTCTGGAATAGTCACTAGACCTCACATACACATCCTGAGGAGAATACACATCAGACAAGAAGCCAGCTTTTTGATAATGTTCTCTAACAAACTCTCCAGCTTGGAACATTTGATTCATTCCTCTTATCGTCAGCTGACTGTCACTTCCTTCCTCAAAGGTGCTGTGATCTTTGGTAAGAAGTATACGGCTTCCATGACGTGATATCACAACTGCTTGCTGAATGTCGAATTCTTGAACGAGAAAACAAATTAAATTTTAATAATTAATTCTTTGACTCGTTAGGGTGACTAGCATCGAATTCCTCACCGCTGAATCAAACATTAAGGTTGATAAGGTTGACAAGAGAAATGATTACCAACCACAGAAGCCCTTGATTGTTAATCAATTTCTCATTGTCGGTTTCTTGAGAAATATATAAAAACAGTATGGAGAATATGCATACTGATGTTAGGGTGTAAAGGGCATGCAAACGTGGCATATCCTTTTTTCTGTTATATGGAGCAACCAAGAGTGTATGTACCCTCCTAAGATGCGATGCTAGTCCACTCAAGGTTCTCCACCTTCACCTCTCTCCATAAAACAAAAGTTTGAGATTTTATAATCGCCACAAACAGAAAATCAATGCCTCAACCCCGCGTACCTGCACGGACGCTGTATATCAGCTGAACTGCTAGAAGTAAATTGCACAGCTCCATTGCACTCAAAGTTCCTCACGGCGACAGTTATGGCCAAAGAAAAAGAAACACAGTTAGGAGCCACTGAAGAACACAAAGCTACCCAATTAAATATTTTCAAAGAAAAAAAATCACCTGAGCTAAGAGTGCATGGTGTGAACCACAAGATTATCACGAATTTAGTTTGGAACAGCGTGACTAGGATTGCACAACTAGCTGTCACGCGTCTCGCTCTCAGCACGCGAAAGGGACGCGGGAGGCTGGTTCGAGTAGTTAACAACATGGCGGACTAGGCTTGCGACTTTTCTTGAATGTCGATCGGTCGGTTAAAATTATATTCAGAGGAACCTTGATAGCCTGTGATGGCGTTCCAGCCCCTAGGAGGGCAAGGTAAGTATTCCTGTCCGTAATAAAGCGATAACCAGTGACCGGATGTGGGAAGTGTCTGTGACTATCAGAAAACCCCGAGCGGTACTTATTCTTCGCTTCGAAACTCGCGGTCCTGTTTGATGCATAATTTATTGATAAGTACCCAAGTTGCTTTTCATTATTTGGCGAATCGATAAATAATTATTGATTTTCGCAAAGGCAGTTGTATGGCGAATTAGGCGTCAAAATTAAGAATTAAATGAAAGCATCAAAGGAGTAAATTTATTTAACAAAAACTTCAGATTCCAAGAAAAAATTTCATCTTTATTATATTCACTCGTTTCGGGTGAAAATAAATCTCGCTTTGATCTTTCGCGTTCTGTAATGGCAGAATCACAAAACCGGCAGATTCTTCAAGATCTTCAGCAAAAACGACAGATGCTTTTGAATCAAGGGCAAGGTGTTATAGGGTAAGTGTGGAAAAAAAAAGTTTTTTTTTAGTACTAGTATTCTTCTGGTTAAAATTTTATAGTTTTTATAGCATAGGGAGCAAAGATAAAATGCAAATTACGTTGTTGAAATTCTGTGATGTCATCTTTTTTCCTCTCTAAGGCTGTTCACTGTTTCATTGTCAGTAATGAAAGATCAAAAGTTTAGAACATTTTAAGAAATATTTGAAATGATATCTGATAACTGATGGTTAACGTTTTCCTAAGAAATATCGATTTGTTTCCTCTGCCACTCCTGAAAGGGAAACTAGCACATGATAGGTAAATAAAAGACACTTTCAATTACCTTAGTGCAAAGAAAATTTTACATGCTAGAGGAACATTGGCCTCCAGTCCTGCTTCATTTTTCCTCTTTATTTATTTTTTGTAGGCTAGGTTGATATAAAGGGCAATTTATTGGTTGATATATTGGCTGAAAAGCAATCAGTTATTTGTTCAGAGCTTGTCAAATGTCAGGTGTTAGTGGGCCAGTAATAATGGAATGATAAACTCTTTACTGTAGAACAACACTTAACACTTAACCTACAGTTAATAATGGTGATAGGACTGAGGGAGTTCAATTTGGTCTGCGATCATACAAGTGATAATTAAAACAAAATTGGATGACTACAAAGCAGGAGTCCAATTTGTTAATCACGAGTATGATTACAGACAGAATTATATGACATGAAGTCCTGTTACCAATTAATCAAAACTATGACAAAATTTGAGGAAGAAACTAGACATTGGTTATATGTTTTCAGAAGAAAAAAAACAAGAGTTAACCCTGCAAAATGGTAGACAACACTGCATGCTTAAAGGGCTAACCAATGATGGGTTAATAGTCAATAAATAGGACAGACTCAGCTATATTGGCAAACTGTTAACCAAATATTGGCCACCACATCAATATGACAATCAACTGGCATATTTAGGGCGTGAAATCCCTACCTGCTGAAAATTGAGTTTTGGAGATCAGAATTTTAATGCTATAAACCAGCACATGTGGAGCCTTGAAAACATTTGGACAATCTTCTGTACACTCTGCTGGTGTTTTATCTTGAGTAGTGTTAGTTTCTATCAAATATGGCCAACAAATGATAATGACTGAAGACAATCCTACCCCTGAAGGATTCAGTGCCACCTAGAGATTATTTTATTTTAAAATTTATTTTTTTCAATTCCAGGTCAAATCTCCCCTCGAACCGCTCAATAGGACCAGAAACTTCCACTGCTCCAGTTGTAAAACTACATGACACCCCAGTAAGTGCTCTGCCCAATGCCATTAATTTTCAAATGTAAATTAAATAATGAACTCTATGCTTTCATTGACAGGTCATTCGCAACCCAGCTGACATGTCATTGAGTCAGCGGCAGGCTCTTGAGGTAGGTATATACCTTTGCAAAGAAAAAATAATATGATTATTTTCAGGGGGAGTGAGTCTCTCAATGTTAATATTTTAAGCAAATATTACTGAGTGATATCAAGCACAATATTAATAAAATTAATTGTTCTGAATTCTTTTTTGCACATAACTGGATGTAAGTCCATTATTAATAATATTTTTCCAAACTGAAGTCAAGTGTTAAGACCTTGTATAGGCCTGTGTGGGGTCTTTGGCTGTGAAGTGAGTTGATGCAAAGTGGGATTATGGTGAGGCAAAGACTGCCTTTTTTTTCAGCTGCTTTTTCACTTGTCTTCACTGACTGATTGCAACAACCTGGAATTGGCTAACTCTGCCTTCAAAAGTAATGAAGACAATGGAATCACAACTTAGACCGCAATATAATTAAGTTATTCTTAATCATGAATTCAAGACACAACAGTGCCTTTCTCTCATGCAGACAACTACAAATTCTTCATTTTTTCAGTAAAAAATTTTTCACATTCAAGTTCTTGATTGAGACATTAGTAATAGCATTTTCTATGTTAAATGTCCTTCTCCAGACCCTCCATTTTGACAAAACCAAACTTTCTTTTCTTTCCTCCAGCATGCTAATGCAACATCATCTGGATATTTCATATCTCAAGACTCAGCCCATGGAAATCTTATTTTACCTGTTTTACCAAGATTTGAGAGCGACCAATGATGAGAACATGAAACTTTGGCAAAACGCATGGAACTCAGTTGAAGTATTGATCTTAAGTGACTGACTTTCGATGTAAAGTAGACACCAAGCTCTTTGTGGCAAGCTGGTGAATGGGAAAACTTTAGAGTTTGTTGAAGAGAAAGATCTTTCTGATTAGCTCTGAAATGTGCTCCAATATACTCTGCCTCCATCCCTGTGCATTTGCTTATTTGGTTTCAGAGATGAGATGGCCTACAGTAGTCATTCAGGATATATGTACTTAAACAGTTCATCAGTCCCTATTACTCTAAATAAATTTTCAAAAATAATTGTGACAGTGATATTGTATTTGTTACCACCACAATCTCTCTCTGCATTTTTGATTCCATTTTAATCCCAGCTATTCCTTTCTTCTGACCCTTTCATCCTTTACACCCTAACATCAGAATGCATATTCTCCACACTGTTTCCTATACATTTGCTAAGATGCTGACAAGGAGAATTTGTTTATCAATCAAGAGCTTTTTTAGTTGCTGATCATTTCCTTTATTCTCCTGGCCTTAATGTGTGGTTCAGGGGTGATATTGTGAGGAGAAATTAGATACTAGTCACTCTTGGGGATGAACAGATTAACTCCCTACATCAGAACCCAGTTGTTCAAGGACCAATTAGCTCTAATCTAGGGTTAAATTTTAATCCGGGTTTCTCTATTCTCTTTTTCAAAGGCATTTTTCAGATAATTCCTTCAATTTTTTTAGAACATTGAGGCATCAAATAGTAGACAAAAAAAATTATATTGAATAGTTTTTTAATGCTTTCAGATCTGTGGTTAGATTTCACACTAACTCTGGGTTACCTTAGCCAAGCTTTGAACAACTCAGCCCTGATCTCTAAAAATTCTCCCTTCTAATTGTTATAAGTATATTTCTTTGAAAATCTGTTATGAGAACTTGGTGCTGTATCAATGTAATGCATTTGTTAACTCTCGTTGCCTGCTTGCAGAATGATGTACTAATATTGCTTGAGAAGTTACGTGTTTTCCGCCTCAGGGATTTAAAAGGTTGGGAATCATTCCACCTCAAAAAGGATTAAATTTGCAAATTTTTGGTCAACCAAACGATCACAGTAAAATAGGTCCAAGAGTAATGAAAATAAAGCATTTTGTGTAATAAAAGTGCTTTGTTTGAGTATCTGAATACTGCTCTTAGGTGTCAAAGAAATCTGAACTTCCACACTTCAGAAAAATAGTAATTATATTTATTATCAACACAAAAACGAATGACCGGCTGCATCTATTAAATTAATAACAAATATCCATTAACCACATCTTGTCAACTGTATATTACTTTTAATAAGCCCTCGCAACTCAAAAAATATCCTTCTTTTTATGATTAAATATAAATATCTAATGGTACACTTAAACCAGATTTTAAATAACAATCAAACATTAAATAGTTACACAAACCAGCAAAAAGGTATGATTCCTACAACAGCATAAAATAATGATAGATTATGCTGTATGTATGAAATAAAATGTGCATGTTAACTTTACTACAAAGAGGTCAAAGACAGCAATTACATAAAAGTAAACTGACTGATGGTGCAGTCAACTTGAAAATCTGTTGCTGACTAACAGCATAAATAACATAACATTAACTTCTTTTCTTAAATATATTTTTTAAATGTTCAAACAGCACTTTGCTAAAACCTTGATACTTCACAAAGCTTTGGAGAATTCAGAAGGTTTTTTGTAAAGTGGATTTAAATAGTGGAGCAAGTGAAAATATTGACCACTTAAAATTCTTTGCATAAAAAAAGCCTTAGTCTGTCCTTTCCAATCATTATTTGCTCTATCAATATGATGCATTAGTACAAGTATTTTTTTTCTCATAAATCACCGCAGAAGCAGTAAAGGTAAGGATGGGAACAGATGCATTTGGTCAGTGGCTCATGATCATGTCATGAATTTTACATAGTCCCCTTAAACTTCAAAATTTAAGGTATATTGTTTGAGAAAAATTTAAATGATATAGAAGGAAATTTAATGAAGCATAAGCACACATGTGGTCATGTGACTGTAACCTTCCATTATCTCCTTCTTATGACAACCTGTATGAGAGAAGAGAAAGTTACCAATTAATAATAAGCTATTGATTTTAAGTGAGATGTTGTAGTAAAACATTATGTCAATATGATGATATCACCATAAAGTTTGATGTAGAACTGTATGTTAACACGGAAAATAACTGATGAAAGTAACTTCAAATCAACTTCCACTAATATGTAATTTTATGCCTGAAAACAACAAAAAGTGCAGCACAGCCTTTACCCCATAATAGCAAGAAGCCTTTTCTAACCAAAATTTAGTAGTAGTCTATCAAAGGAGAGGTCTTGAGTGGAAATGCCAATGCCTTAGATTCTTATGACACCATAGAGGTGGCATACTGTGATGCAATCTGTTCACTTTGAATTGTCTGCCACAGTCAAATTAACACTATTGCATTAGGTTAAAAATTCAAAACTAGAAAAAGCAGGTCAAAAGGAACAACTTAAAATGAATATCTATTTTTAAGGAGTGTAAACTTTATCTTTTACATACCCGAGTAGGTTGAAACTGATACTGTACATGAGAAGATCCTCTCATTATGAACTGTCCACTTTGTCCTAGAGGTCGCCCTGCATCATAAAATAATTTTAATTTTTTTTTCACCTAAATACCTCTTCCTGACCAAGTTTTAAGTGCGTACCATAAGTTACAAATCAAGTTTTTACCTCTCGATTAAGGGCCCAAGGGCAATGGTTAAAAAAAAAAAAGGTTTAACTACTTACAGTACCAACCAAGAAACTGTGGTTAGCAAGATATTTATCATATGTTTGGGTTCAACTGGGGCAGAAATATTTCAACTCAGACAAACTTGTAAATTTATTGGGCCATACAGAGAAATACTGTCTGCTAAATTGACAAATCATAGCAGATGTACTATGAGTAGGCCAGTTATTGAAAACAAGGGCCACTTCACGTCACTCCCATTTTCATTCATTTATTCATTTCATTTTTACTTAATCAAGGGAAGCCTAACATTGGTACAACCACATAACAAACCAGGTTTCCTTCTCACAGTAAATGGTTCAACACATCAAATTCAGCTGAAATTCTGTTAAGTTATTTGTACCTGTAGTGGGTCTAGACACTCTTGTCCGAGAGGTAATTGGACTTGAGGTTTGCCTACTAGAAAAACAATCACAACCAAAAAAATTATCCATTACAATTTTTAAATTCAAATACTCTATAACCATATACCTTACAGAAACTCTTAAATGAGAGACAGATTAGGGGTACAAGCCTTTCCAAAAGTCTGGGTTGAAGTTTTTGTAGTCCAACAGATTCAAGAAACAGTGAGGTTCTTGGTAACAGTTGATGCTATATCCCCTGAAGTTTGGTACTAGATCATAGCAACATTTTTACAAAAAATTTATAAAATTGGCTCATAAAAAAATATTTCAATGCATGAATTTCAGCTATTAAAGGGATTTCTGTAATTCAGAATATCTGAGCTAGGACTCTGAAAAAGATGAGAGAAAAGAGAGACAACCAAAGTTACTGGTACCACAGCTAATTGAAACAATGATAGGAGTGATTCAGAAAGGAAACACTTGGGAATAATTTCAAGATAAAATTACTTGGCTCCAGTTTATAGCATTTGCCATATCAATAATATTTATATGTAAATTAAAGGAAATTACCTAGGACCTCTCATGGCTGGAGAAGACTTGGGTCTTCTTTCTTCCAATCCTTCCATCCATCCAGGCAGAAGAACAGATGCACGCTTGACAGATGTGCTACTCACATCCCGACCCCCTGCCAACCATCTGTTGGCCTGTATAAATGGAACAACACCTGGCTGGGTCGGTGATGAGGGTCGCTGTGGGGGAGGGTGGGCTGCTGAAATGGAATTCACTCTTGTTGTAGCACTTCCCACCCTGGAAGGTACTCCTTTCTCAGCAGCCTTTTTAATCACTTCAGGTGTCTTCCATGCATTTATTCTGGCGTGTTCTGTGTACGAGACCATTTCCTCCATTCCTTCAGAATCAACAGGAAAGTACTGTGCACTTTCTGAGCCAAGATCGTCCAAAGCGATGTCATCACCTTCATCCTCCATAAGAAGAAAATTGTCTTCAATTTCTTTGCTAAAGAACGATAGAGAACTCATCAGATCCTGGTTTCCATAGTGTGAAGCAACTACAAGTAATACTAACTCCCCCCTGGATGGGATGCCAGTCTATCCCAAGGTTGCCCCCCCTTCCCCAAGCATTTCATCAGGCTTCCCTAACAATTTGCTGAAATCCATTACACTCCTAAGTAGAGAGAAGCCATATGTGTGACTGAAGTGTTTTGCCTAAAAACACAACACAATGACCCAAACAGATCTTGAACCTGGCCCTCTTGACCCAGAGTCCAGCATCATTATGCCATTGTGTCTACCTGGCTGTAAAAGAGTTACTCTTGATTCTTTTGCAGTTTTCTTAGTAGGTGTAATGATGAAAATAAGAGATATTCTATTGTAAGTGTGGGTTTACCATGGAGCAGATTGGTTGAATTAATAGCTGTATGATAAAGGGGGTTAATTTAGTTTCTTATAATAAGAAACTGTGGTGCTGCATCAGTGAGGGAGTACGACAGGGTAATTTTGTATTATAAACTGAGTTGACAATGTAAATTGGCCACTGCAAAGAGTTTCAAAGCTGACATTTTGAGAATTAGCCCTTTGTCAGATTGAATGACTTAGGACTAACACTCAAAGCATCAGCTTTGAAACTCTTTATGGTGGCCAATTTACGTTATGAACTCAGCTGATGATACTAAATTACCCAACTATACAACAGGGTTTGATTCCCCTCTTACCTGTTCACCTCAGTATCTTCCTCTAACACCTCACAATCTGTTGAGAAGAAGTCATATCATTTAAGCACGACTTTTCCACATAGATGGCTTGGCAACAATTTTTCAATGCTCCAATAAACCAACACAAACTGATTGTTGTTGGTGCAAACTAAGACCAGCCATGTTGAATGTGTCAGAGGTAAATTTTCTTCTTCTTAAGTATTTGATGGTTTTTTTGACACCACAATTCACACTGTAAACTGTGAGTGATAATGAGTAACAAAACACTATTTTCTCAAATCTCACTGCAGTCAAAGAGTAACTGTGAAAGTGGAAGTAATCTTGACATAAAAAAGGAAATCTGTTTGCACTTGTCTCTCAATCTAGAAGGCTACACTGTAAGAGATGTTAATTGCAAAAGTAAATATGTATCCATCCAATCTGAAATAATTCTTTGACTAGTGATTGAGTATCAATTAAGCAGATTACCTTTCATGTTAAGTTAACCCTTTAACTCCCAGATCAAATTTGTGATTCTCCTTACTGTCAACCATACAATTCTTATAATGTTAGTTCAGAGAATTTGGTACTGGATCAACTAATCAACCCCAAATTGATATTTTTCTTTATTCTCGTCACTTATCTGGTTGATATTGTATTGATATTGTAAGGAGAAATTCTGTCTTGTTCACTCTCAGGGATTAAAGGGTTAACATATTTTCTTGTTGCAAACTTCACCTTTGTAGGATTCTGAATCAGCATTAGCTGTCACCTCTGATACAACAACAGGGGTGGACTGAAAAATGAAAAATGAAAAATTGGTCAGAATTAAAATTCTTTTTTTGTCTGCCTGTGCCTTTGCAAGCTCAAATCCCTTTTGAGCCTGCAAAAAAATTGCGAAGGATACTGGTCCAAAGACTCTTAGACTTAAGCTTCCTGAGGGTAAAATCCAAATGGTAAACTGACACATTTCCACATCAAGGATGGTTTACACCCTGGGGTAACAGTGTGGTCTAATTGTACCTGAGGGAGTGGTCTTGAAAATGACACTTTTCATTTGTAATAGTTGTAGTGACTGACATTGTGACCACCTGAGTAAAACACATCTTCAGAGTCAAGCGTTGGTTGTCACACTTTTCTGGAAAACTTTGTCCCTCAGAGAATTATATTACACAATTAACATTTCCCAGAAAGTAAGAAGTTAGGGCTGTTTTGGATCCTAGTAAAACATAAGCAACAGTAGTTGCAAAATCATAATCATTTGGGGTGCTTCATCTTTCATAAGATTTTATAAGTTAAAGATGTTTCTATATTTTAAATTCATTATACCAAGTTGTCAGCCTTCTCTGGCACAGGCTGCTCAACATCATCATTATCTGTTGGATCATGCAAGTGGTTGCCATTAATATCAGGTTCATAAGAGCTTGTCCATTTTACATCTGCTTCTTGCAGGCACTCTCGTACAATTGATCTCACATGATCTGTTATTACAGTCTCTCCTGAAAAAAGGTAAAACAAATCATACAAAATAAGCAAACACTTTCTGAGTCCTTTGTTATGGTAACATCCATTATCTTAGACTTTGTACATAGTTTCTTAGACTTGCATACCACCATGACAGCTATTAACTTTGAATCTTGATAAACCTGACACACTGCTCAATTTGCCTCATTTACCTGTTGCTACAGGTTCCCCAATTGCTGATGTGGCATCAGTATTGTAGGCTGCCGGCAGATCAACTCTGAGTTGGAGATTTTGCCTAATGGCATCTGATAGAAATTGAGCAACCTCTTCCTAGAGAAAAATACTGATTTTAAAAAAATAATCATCACCATTATCACAGATTTAAGCGTTGTTATAGGTGAACCATTCTCCAAGACACAATAAAACAGCTACAGTCATATTTATTAGTACGTTGATCAAATGCTCAACCAATCTGCCAATCAATCAGTCACTCAGTCAATTAATAAATCTGTCAATCATTTATAGTGGAATGATTTCAATACATTAACGAACATATTAATAACAGAGTTAATTACTAATAATAAAAAATATCAACTGAGTCTATAAGCAAAATCATAGTAAACTTTCATTGAGCCATACCCTGTTATCATAGCTTGTGTTGAGTGTTTTACTCCTTGATCCTAAAATGAAGCAGAGTTTGTTCACATTTGACGACATAAATTACAGTTGCTGTTACTAGTAACTGCCACTAACTAAGGATCCAATAGCTACCCTTCAGCAGGTGTTGATGTTAAGAGTGACTCAATTAATTTATGTACCAAACAAATTAACTCATACTAACCTTTTTGACTGTGACTTTCCACGAATTCTCTGAATATAAAGGAAATTGTTTTATTATCCCTAACTAGTAGAGAGTCTGATTTTATTGACAAATTGCTACAAGCAGGAAAGACCCCTGTACTGCTTCTCAATCAACACAGTGAGTCACTTACCTTTGAACTGTTTTTGCAATGCCAACCATTTAATTTTGGAAAGATTGTGCCCAATATTTAGCAAATTGAAGCAAATTTCATGGCTATGTGCGATGCTAGTCTATATCAGGGTTCTAGCTGAGAATTTAGATGTATCTGGCCAGAAATGTCCACTTTACTTTAATACTCACTTTGAATAAGATGGTCTCCATGTCTCTGATGCACAATCCCAGTTGATATCAGCAAAGTCAACATACAGGAACTGCTGGTCCAGGTAATTGATGGGAAAGTCTGCCTGCTGGAACTTGGGAGCTGAGGAAAGGTTTTTATCATTAACTTATCCACTGATTAATTCAAATTGTAAATTAACCTCACCGGATTTGTTTTTCAGAATAATATATGTACCTGCTACAGTCTCCAGCTGAACTAAGCCCATGTCCAACTCTGGAAGAGCTACGAGGCGTCCATACGTCTAGGAAAATCAAACAACTTCATGTTTCAAAATTAACTGATCAAATATGTTAAAAGCAGTTACCACCTTCTCTCTTTAATGACAGAGGACATTTTTCAAAAAATGAACTCAGACAAGAAAAATTTTTTTTCAGAAATCATTAGCTTCATTAGCATTATGTTCATGTGCATTCTTTAACAAAAGATCAAATAGAGTAGAGTATTTTTCCAAAAAGCAAGATAGAGAGTTGCTCTAAAACAAAATGAGTTGTACCTGATGGCCAACCTCTACTCTGTCACCAAGCACTAAAATAGAAAAAACAGTTCACATTATCCAGGTGCCTAATGAAATAAATCAGTACAAGTAATATGGAAATTTGGCATTATATCAACTACGTTGACAATGTAAATTGGCCACCATAAAGAGTTTCAAAGCTGATGCTTCAAGCATTAGCCCTTTGTTAGGGCCAAAGCTCTGACAAAGGGCTAATGCTTGAAATGTTAGCTTTGAAACTCTTTATGGTGGCCAATTTACATTATCAATTGAGTCGATGATACCAAATACCTCATCATACTTTCCCACTGATGCAGCACCACAGTTTCTTCAGAAACATTTACCCCCTTTATTCATGAGTGAGTACTGGCTTTACCTATGGTCTGACAATGGCATCCAATGCACTATAAAATATTGTTACTCTACAGTCACAAAGTTATGATTCAAAGCCAATCCCTTGAGTAGGATGATGATTGTTAAGGGTTTGGCCCACAACTTAAAATACCTGGATCAAGCTACTTTTGATAACAGCCTATAATTTAAGATTCTGCTAGCTTACAATGACCTCATTTCAAATTTATTTAAAAAAAAAAAATGCCTTTTGACTTCTCTCACTTTTGTCAAGATTAAACTTTGTTTTCTATATTACCAGTATTTCCAGGTCTTGAAATTTGGTTTGGAATTTTTGTGTTTTTGCAAAATTTCAAGATGCTGTAAATATTAAATAAATACTGGGCTGGTTCAGTAAGTGTCAACTAAACAAACTGTAACACAGACTGCAGAATTTCTCTCAACCCTGTTCTTGAAACAAAGTGGTACTTATTAGTTATTTTACAATTCTTACACAAGGAATAGATTTGCCTTTTAAGATACTCATAGGTAATCCCAATTTTCATCATTTTCATTGTCTACTTACAGTTATTTAATAGTTAATGAATAAAATGGAAGGAGAATTAAAACTTTGTTGGCATTTTACCAGGTTTCCTCCTAACTAACTTGATCCTTTTTCTCTGTAATGCTTTTTGGTTCGTTTTTGCACCAACAGCAGACATGACTCTTGCAGAAGCTCTGCTTTTAAATCCATTAGGTAAGTCATCCCTTAAAAATACATCAAACATTTTTACATGAAGCTGATTGAGAATTCCAAGCTTTGCATAACTTTTTACAAAAATAAATTTCATTTGACCTGTGTAAGCATATAAAGTAAATGAATGATCCTCACAGATTACCCAAGACTTGGGCAACTGCATGTGGAGAAAATTAGCAAAACTTTCAAGGTTTTAACAGAATTCAAACATGTGCCTCCCAGATACTTGTTGGGGGCTTAGAAAGCCACACATGCAGAACAAGGCACATTCTAGAGGGTTCTCCATTCCTGTAGAAGAAATCTGGTCATTTCCAGTTCTGTTCTTGACAATAAAAAATTTGAGGTGATACCTTTTTGGTGGGGTCAAGTTAACCTTCTGCCGTGCCAAGATCTTCGTCATCGAAAAATTTAATTGAAAAGTTCTGATGTTTTTATGGTCACACACTTTTGGGACAAGGATCTCCCCCCACCTTCACCACACAAAAAGAGTGCCCTTCCAAGATAAAATTCCAATAAAACTAAACCAACCTCTGTAGTTTTGACCAGACAGATCCTTTACAAGAGTGAGGCCTCTCATGGCTTGCCTTCAACAACCTTTTTGACTGAAAAACAAAACATGGAAATCACTTTCTAGAGTTAGAGCACTTTTTAATTGAGCATCAAAAGTAATCTGAGATTGCTTTGCTTTTACTTCACTTCACTCTATGATTGGTCCAAAAAACTCACACCACTCTCTCAGTCAATGAGATGCAAAATTAAAGAAATGAATATGGAAGTGCTTGCTCTGTGATTGGTCCAGAAAACATGCACCACCCTCTTAACCAATCAGATGCAAAATTAAAACCAAACACAACTAAGTAGACAGCATTTTCCTGCATTTTAGGCAGCCTGGTCAGTTTTAGTTTGAGTTCTTATTAGCTCTTGATTTATAGCATTTTTTTTCTTGTGATGACTTTCATTGGTTTTGGTTCTGAGACTCTCGATTGAAAAGTGCTCTAACGTTGAACTTTTGAACAATGTTAGATTCAATTTCAGTTGCAAGCAGAGACCATAACAGGTGTAAGATAACGCCCTATAGCTGACTAGTTTGTCTACTCTTATCACCTTTCTGCTAGATGATGTGATGAAAATATAGGGAGAAGTTATGCACTGATGTTTATCATTTTGGGAGTTAAAGGGTTATTAAATAATATGCAAAGATGCAGGTGACATTTAAAGAAATGTAAAACAAGAAAACTTAGCTTCTACACAGAGAAAAAACAGTTGTTTGTTGCAAACTTACAGTTATAACATAACTTGGCTCTACACTGCTAACTTGTTTCTCAGCTTCCAAGAGCTTTCCATGGTCTGTGCCCTTTTTTCCTAGTATGAAATGAAAAAGCTTTCAATTAAAAGAGCTTCAAATATTCCAAGGGTCTAGAAACTGTTGCAGCAGTAGCTTCCTTTATGTTTTGAGATTGTCTTCAAATTTACTGAAAAATAAAATAAAACAATTTGCTACATTTTGAGATTTCTGAGAAATGTAGTAACTTTACATCAAAACCAACAGCAAAAAATTTACAGATTTTCTTAAATTTAGATCCCCCATGTGATAGCTGCCCAATGACTCTGTTCTAAATCTAGATCAGTTGGCAGTCTGTTTGAAAATAAGGAGCTGCACAGAAAGGCACTCTTGAGTGGTCAAATTGTTTTTAGGAATCTTGAAATTTTTTGGGGAAATACTTGACATTCTTTAATACATGTCACATTGTACAGAAACCAAAAATTGTTAAAAGAGACAAAATTGTGTTTAAAATGAAATGAGAACTGCTGTAGAACCTGACATGGCTGCATTAGCCTGTTTCACACATTCCAGAAGATACTCTGCAATTTCTCTGGACACTTTGTTCATTCCTCCCTAATCCAAACACAATAATAACACATGATCAATTCAACTATTTCCTCCCAAAATTAGTTTCTAATCTCCCTCTTTCTGCACAACACTTACCTCAACCATGAAAACTCACTTAACCAAAAAATATCAGGGGAAAAATATTTTCCTCAGTTCATTTCAGCACTCCATTCATGAAATTAACCCTGGAGTGACTAGCATCTGACTTATCCCAACAGTATAACCTCTGCATCACACCGTAAGGTCATGAGAATATAGGAAATGATCACCAACTAAATATTTTCTTGATTGATAAACAAATTCTCCTTGTCAACACCTTACCAAATGTAAAGAAAACAGTATGGAGAATATGCATACTGATGTTAGGGTGTAAAGGTACCTCTAATCTCAACCTTTCTATCCACTAGCATGTCACACAACATCACTTTGCAGAGTAACTAAGACAGGCTTCAAGTACTGAAATTTGCTAATTACTCTGAGCAAAAAAAAAAAAAAACCCTACAACTGATAGAAATGGAAAAGCGGTCTTTCCTTTCCACAATACTGCTCTAGAATTCAATGACTACCTATAGTGAAGTTATAACATTCCATGTGAGTGTTCACAGTAACATGTACAGACCACTGCACAGGATTACCAGTTACACTTTCAGCCATTAAATCCATTTTACTTATCATGCATCAAACAGAATTTTAAAGACTTCATCATAATTTGCTATCAGTATCCTTGTTTTGTTCTTACCTACTTCATCTCTATTAATCCTATTAGAAGATTTCATCCCAGTTAATAACAACTATCAACATTTACCCTCACATAGAATCCAACATGCTATCAGACCAACATCTTTTAAACTATCTGTACTCTAAAATCCTAAATTAAAGTACTGTCACTCTCACCCCTTCAGACTGAATTTTCCAACTCAGTGACTTGATCTTCTCACCAATCATCTCATCTTTAGTGGCAACAATTATTAAGTCCAAAACACCTAAAAAAGAGAAAGATTTGTTCACTTTGTTATTTCCCTGATGGTTTTTCCATGTCATTAAGTCATATTAATTGTGACAAATTTATCCTTAATCTTACTTACCAGGATCTTTTCCAATGAAGTCAAAGAAGACAGGTACAATACAGAGAAGCTGAACCACTTCTGATGCCAACAAGCATCTGTACCCAGCTTTCCTACAACAGGAATGTTATAAATACAACTAGTACATCATTCAATTGTTATGATTTTTATCAAAAATGAAAAAAACAAACAAAACAAAACAAAAATGAGAGAATAAAAGAAAAACAATCATTGTTTATCCTCAATACAATTCCTTGGTTCTTGCTGTATTCATGTTTGAAATATAAAATTATAGTGGGGCTTTAAGAGAGATGTTCATCAATTTAGCAACAAACAGAAAACATTGATTTTGCTAAATGTTCCTTCTCCAATCTTAGAAAAACCACATTGACTGTAAATAGCAAAACAATGATCAAGTTTCAGGATATAACCAGCAAGAAATTCAGGTTTTACAGTTTGCAGAATACATATAAATCATAAGGGATAAAATGCAGTACCCCAGGAGAACAATACCATGGGTCCAGTCTACAGTTCAGTAAAAAGTTCAGTCAGGGATTCAGCCTTAAACAATTAATTTGATTGCAATATTTTAAACACTCAAGTCCAAGTATATAGGTTTCCTACTTAGCAAAATGTTTATGGTGGTGATGGCTAAGATTAACCGCAAAAAAGAAAAAAAAAATGAGAAGTTACAGTTCATGGTTATAACCCTTTAACACTGAAGTGTTTAACATGTAACTTCTCCCTATAATATCCACACATTATCCAGCAAAAAGGTAATGAGAATACTCAAACTTATCAGGTAGAAGTGGTTATGAAAGTCTAACACCAAATTCTCCTTTATATAAAAGGAAATGAGGAACAGCTGATTAGGAGAATTAACAATCAGATCTTAGGAGTTGAACAGTTAAATATATAATATCATGATTTCAATTTTGGGAACAAACCTTGAATCCAGCCTTTTTCGTGTTGCTTGATATCTACAAGTGAAAGTCACCACACCATGTTGTCAATAATAAAACATTAACTAAGTCATCATGCTATGATCATGATTTGAACAAATACTAAACCAAAATTTCTAGATTTAATTCGTACTTAGCTACACTGTCTCCATTGGCAAGTCTAACCAGATCAGCAACAAGATCATAAAGACACAGGTACAGTCTGTTGTACAATCCACCATCCTAGCAAAAGACAACAAAAATAAAGAACACCTCCATTATAAATAAACTGAAAATAAAAAAATTCAAGTCAATTTTTGCTCATCATTGCTTGTGCTTGAAAACTTCTTACTCAAGACTAAGTGTACTATTCTTAACAATTGCTCAATGACCAGACATCTTCATAATGCACAAAAGTTTTTCAGACTACTCTTTTTGCAAAGGTCAACAAAAAAGTTACACTTACAATGTGTTGATCACGCTCAATTTTCACAGCCCCCAAAAGCAAAGAAATCAATCGGCATCTGACATCCCGAGGGAGCATGAATACATCCATGGTGTCAACATTTCTGAAAAACAAAATTGAAAACAGACAATGAATACTTACAGCTAGGTCACCAAAAACTAAAAAACAGCACTTGCTATTTTTTTAAACCAATGAATTCCAAAAGGATGTAGATCATTACACTTCTTTTAACTCAATGTCAAGTAATGAAGTAACGAGAATTCAGAAAATCATGGAATATGGAACCAATGCAAAATCAAATCCTCACAACTATAATAACACTTGCAATTTTAAACCATTTGACCTCTATTTATCCTCCAAAACAAATTTAGTTTGATGCCATGTAAACTGGTTACAACAATTAAGACACTCAATATCAAGAAATTTAATTATGAAAAACCTTGATATAACACCAAACCAGTCTACAAATATATGAAGCCTCTTCTGTTTGTAAATTTAGCTTTGAGATGTCAATGGTACGACTCAATCATGAGAGAAAATAAATTTTGATTTAAATTAATTACCTTATTTTTCGCAGTCTTGCAATATCAAGGGTTTGCTGAACAAGCAGTGAAGGAATTGCAAATTCCAGGGATGCCTAAATAGAATAATACATCCGCATAAATATAATGATCGTAAATTACAATGTATATTAATTAAACAGTTATTCCACTCACACTTGTTGGATATGAAATGATGGATAGCTAGGAACGGTTGTAGGGCCAAGTTGGCTATAATCATCTCATATCCAACCAGCACGAGTGGATTAATTTTTTGAATTAAAAACACCCCAAAATATTGATTAATAAATGAGTTTTTTAGCTCCACTTAAATTTTGAGCTGACGTATACACTTACTATATCTGTAGAGCATGGTATGACTCATAACCCAGGGTGACTAAGTCAATAAAAACCATTGATGCAATGATCAAGTTTTTAATAACTTTAATATAATTTATTTATCAATTTTCAAGTAATGGGTGAACATTCTCCAAGTCCGGGGAAAAAAAGCTGAGACGTGTCACTAGTAAAATTTAGCTCTCCAGTCTCTAAAGTTTAAAGAATGCCCTGCTATTTCCCCAAGCAAAGTGACAACAAGTAATTGTTAATAAAAAGATAATCAATCTGTTAAATTAATGGAGCCATTCCAAACGTTAAAGCAGTGAATACTGACAGAAACTGGCAACCCCTTCCTTGGAATAAAAAAAATAGAAATTACATACAATGAACTCACCACTAGCATTAGCAATAGCATGTTACATCTTTCCATGTCTTCATTTCTGTAGTTTATTAAATTTTCTATCAGCAGTGATGGTTTCACCTTCCCCCTGAAACAAGATTATTATATACAAAATTGATTCCAAGCCATAACTATAAGTAATTGTACAGCTTTTCCTCAAAGTGTGTAATAAGGTTATTTATTTTGTACATACTGAGATTATAACACTGTGAAGTACTATCATTCATGTCTCTGATTGGATGAACAATGTATTTTCATAGTCATTCTCCTTCAATCTTTGAATTGAAATGTGAAAAAATCACAGAATGTATAAAATGAAAACATCAAACCATGGAAAGTACTTCAATGATTTTTATTGACTTGTTGCTGCACTCGCAAGTTTGTTTTTTTGAATGCAACTTGTGATCAAAAATTGTTCCTGCGCACTTTCCATGGAATAATCTCAATTAACCCTCTTGCTCCCAGATCTCATTGGTAATTAATTCTCCTTACTGTCTGTCATATTATTCTCATGATTTTTATAGTCCACAGAATTTGGTATTGGATGAACTTTTAAACTGATAATTTGACATTTTTCTTTATTCTCATCACCTGTCTGCTTGATATTGTATTGAAATTATAGGGAGAAGTTCTGTCTTGGTCATTCATGGGAGCTCAAAGGGCCAAGTGTACACAGATCTTTGTGCCAACTGGTCAAAAGGCTTTTGATTACAACAAGTATTGTGAAAACAGAATGAAAAATAATTGCATGTCAATCCCAAGATTAAACATCACCAATAGTAAACTCAACTTACTTCATATTGCTTTTCATGTAAAGGTTCACTTCTTGCTGGAGGCCATAAGCAAGGTACAAAAGTCGTCGCTTATCGAGATCTTAATAAAACAAATTTACAAGTACTTTATTAGTGAAACTTAAACTTCACATTTGTCTTTGAAGCTGATATATATCTTAAAAGCATTAAAACTTCATAAAATAAAAAAAGAAAATAGTTAATTTTCTGTATATCACTGACTGATGAGCATCAGGTCTCATGTCACCAACTCCATCCTGTTAGAATTCTGTTTCTCTTGACCAAGAGAAAATTTCTCCTAACAATGTCAATACAATATCAAGCACAGAAGTGATGAAAATAAAGTAAAATATCAATTAGGGGATTATTAGTTGATCCAGTACCAAATTCTCCAAATTGACATCATAAGAATTGTATGTCAGACGGTAAAGAAAATTACTGATGGGATCTTAGGAGTTAAAAGGTAAAAAACTGATGAAGAATGTCAACTGATAGATTGAGCTACAATGTGAAGTCTATGATTGAATTCTGCTTATTTTCTTGTAACTTACCAACATTCAGTTTTTCTTTTATAGGGAACCTTCTCATCAAGTGTTCTCTCTACAAAAGACAAGCCACAGACAAAGGAAAATGGTCATTCTTTGGCCCACTTGTAAAGGTTATTAATGATATGTGGACACATAATGCAATATATCTTATCACCTCTCCTGGTATGAAATATAAAATTACCCTAAAATTTTCCAAAGTACACTCAAAAACATTTTTCCTGGTGGATATGCTACGTATGGGAACAACTAATATGGGGATTTGATAATTAGCATGGCCTTCAGAATTTGGGAAGAGCATGCACTTTATCAAATAAATAACTATTAACTGGTAACTGGGTTACATTTGGCACCAAACTGGCTTCAAGAATGTTGTGTGAATTTTAATGAGCAAAACCAGTGAGCTTGTTTACACTCAACTGAAAACTGCTTCAAGTGTCCAAATAAATAAAAAATTAGAAGTAATCAGATTCACTGATTGAGGTATAATAATTGTAACTTAACTTTTGCCAACACATACCTTTTGTCCAAAAACACCTGTTAGTGAGATGTTTTTTAATGATGATGGAACAAAGTGGTTCTTGGGAAGCTTGTGTCTCTGGAATAAATAGGATCAGGCAAACTAATTAAATGTTATTTTGCACAACAAAAATTTTATAATTTATATTCAGAAGCCTTGTTGATCACAGGTTCACCAACTTTCTGAGAATCATCTACTATACCTACCACAGGTCTATCAGAAAGTGCAGAATCCTTAAAGAACTGTTCCACCTGAGCACGTTCTGCAGCTGTAGCAAAAACAAATTAAACATCAAAAAGTGCATCATTAAAAGTGCATGATATATGTACACCAAAATAACTTGGTCAATAATTTTTTTTCGATTCTTAGCAATTTCATAATCTTCTTTCAAAACAGTGAACAGCCAGCAGTATCTAACACTCCAAGCTAAGATTATTTGTAGTTCCAATGGCCAATACAAAAAAAAATTATGAAACCTTGGATTAAATATGAGCTGTATACTGTAATATTATAAAAGTCAGTGTTAGTAATGTTAAGAGTTTTAAAATGTAAAGCTTACAAGTTATAATGCGCCCATCAAGCATCCAAACCAGGGGAAGACTGTCAATAACATGCATCCTATCTGCAGCAACAAAGAAAGAACAAAGAATCTGAAATATGAAGTATAAGTGTCCAAACAACACTCATTATCTATCATTGCTCAAACATTAAAGGCTAATGCTTGAAATGTCAGCTTTGAAACTGCTTACGGTGGCCAATTTATGCTATCATGTTATGGGTGATAAAACCAAATTACTCTGTTATACTCTCCTGCCAACACAGTACCACAGTTTCTTTAGAAAGTTACCCTTTTATACATTTAACATTTACCACTCCCCCTTTTATAAGTGGGTGAGCTTGATTCCTTTTTGCAATGTCCCACAACCTTCACAAGGATCCTTAGAGACAGAAGTAACCTTAGAAACTTCAACCTTAACCCCTAAATTCTTACAGCTGTTCAACAAGTAATTTTTCCTTGTGCTTCCAATATTTGTCTTTCAAATATGTTACCAGAACAAACAGGCCTGTTGATGTCATTTAGAGTATCATCTTGATGAAAAATTTAATTCCCCAGTCTAAGTTACAAGGAAGTGTGTAGGAGAAAGTAAGGAGAATTACTATTTGAATCTGAAGGTTACAGGTTTAGACTGTTAGTTACATTAAAACACTCACAATAAGCATCCATCTCCAGTTTGTGGTTTCCATGGAGACTGAGATCAAGTATATGAACATGCCGTATTTTTTGCAACTCATTCCAGTCAAGGTCATTATTAGCTAGGACCAGTGTTCCAAAGGCAGCAACCGAAAACAAACCTTCCAAACTTTTCACCTATCACAGAAATAAAATATTATAAATATCAACATTCCTAATCAAGTAATTTACTACAAGGAATTTGCCTTTATTCTAAACTCAAGACTACATATGCTAGGATCCCTTGAAAAAATTTATTTCAAAACTCTGTTTTGTTTATCTGCATTCAAAGGTGTTATCAACATAATTTCCAAGCTTGCTAACAATTGATTGACAAAGGTGCCAGTCTTCTGTTCCAGACAAAAATATGAGAATGAAATTGCCCTTCATGCAATAGGAATTTGCACAGCTTGAAAAGGCCAATAAATTAAGTCTTTACAGCCGACATTAAATTTTCTAATACTTCTTTACAATCTTCTCCACAATCCGCTCAACTTCTCAAATTTTATCATTGCTCCTACAGCAAATTTAGTTTTATTTTAAAGCCTAAAGCGCGCAAGTATAAAATTTGCCAACTGAGCAATGTTTTGAATTCAACTCACAGACTACTACGATCATAGACGACACAATGTAAAGTTTAAGCTTTACATTCAAATCATGTCACACTCGAGTTGACAAAGACAATTAGTTTCAATTAGTTCGAGCCATACTATGAAGATTAATTTAATGCAGCCATTATGTTTGTCGAGTTACCAGTAACCACAAACAAAACACTAAGTAAACAGATTCTCATGAATAAAGATTGTTAACGCGAAACACAACCTCGTTAAAATTGAGCCTTAGTTAGCATGGACTACTCGTTTGGAGCTTATAAGAACTATACATCACGAGTGAAAGAAATCATTCATTTGTGAAATGACTAGAGGGTTAAATTTTCGGGCGCAAGTGTATATCCTTTTTTGATGCTTCATCCCATTTTACAAATTCTGATCGATATCCATGTCAAGTGTGAGTAGTCTGTTGTAAGCTTTGAGTTTTAAGCTACTTTTCACGCAACAATCTCCAGCAAAAAGGGATAGCTTTAAAGCAAAATATGATTTTCGTATAGAGAGGACATAAAAGAAGGTGAAGCCCACCTCAATGATACCCTCGGGCAAAAAATATTTACCACATTGTTAGCGAGGTCAATTTTCCACAGCTGGGAATAGCATCTCATATCGGGTAAAGCTTCAATTCGATTTCCACGGACGATCAAGGTCTGAACCTTTGGGCATAGTTCGAGTCTTTCCAGAGATACTGTAAAATAAAGCAGATTCCATCATTTTCCATCAACATAACAAATCAAACAACACTTACTGAAAGCGTACCTAGTCCAAGATTAGATAGATCCAAGTATTCAACGAGCTGTAGCGGTTGAGATGTCCTTGACCTCAGTAGCTTTTGTACAAAGAAAGAGAGCAAAAAAATGATTAATTAATAGTAATTTCTGATGGGCATACCACGAATATATCTCTCACCTGACTAGAGATCCTCATCATATTCTACATGACTGCAAAAGTTGTTAAAGTGCAGACAGCTGATCCGCTCAATACACACGGGTTTCCTTGCTTTGATTTATTTGTATAATGCGCGCAAACAGCGCACGATTTCCCCAGTGGGGTACGGTGAGGAGTGGTGCTCATTGCGAGAATTCAAAAATCCCGCAGTGAAAATATCTGGCTTGTTCGTCATTAGCAAGAGGGAGATGTTATCCTGACTCGGTAAATAAGCATTTTATCACACGAACACTGCTTTTCCGCTTTCTTCCTGTCTTCTTTTAGCTCGCATCTCGCCAAGCCGGTGAGCGTTTTCCGGCCTTGCTGCTCCCGCTTCTGCCTACGGCCCACATACGAGGCTTTTGTCTCATATGTTTCAATCAAAACACTCGCGGGTCAGTCTTTTTTGCAGCCATTGTTTGGTTATCTTTCCCCCCAGTATTTACGAGGCTTAAATATAAAACAGCACTGTGTTTCACCAACGTACCGACCTCCCCAAATTCCATAATCCATTCCAGATTCCAAGACGTTGTCTCCTGAGGCCTGGATACTCAGGGATTACAAGTCTCAAAAATTCACAACACTTAACATCCACGTGCATTTGATCACTGGTCGATATTTCATCGAAAGTCAGGGAGATTATGTCAAAGTTAGAGGAAAAAGGCTAGATTTTAAGAAAGGAGATTCATCATCATGCTAAGTCTACTAAGTGGCTGTGGTGATGGAGGGAAAGGTTTGGATTTTAGCAGGTACAAATAAATTACATCTAATGGGAACTCAAAGGCCAGCTCATAATGCAATTTAAAGCATTTAGGATGCCTGTGACACTTGCCACGATTATAAAAATCTAGAAAACATAGACCTGGAACGTCAATAAAGGTGGAAATGACTAACCGAGCACATATTACATGTGATGCTGGAGCTTTCGATGATTAAAACCTTACAATGATCTTAAAAGAAAGGAAAAGGCAAAACAGAACAAAAAATTCCTTTCAAATTATTTATTTGCCAACATTTTTGCCAATTTTTGCTAACGTTTTGTATTTTGTGGAAGAAAGCTGGCTTGAAACCATTTTCTTGACACTGTTTACCTAAAATATTGATTATTTGGGGTTTTTTGATTGCCCCCAATTTTACAAATTACATTCTACTATACACACGTCAGCAAATTTGGCACAAACTTATTGCATATGACATTATACAAATCTAATGAGCATAATTCTATTCCACTTAAAATAAATGGATTTATGGCTAGTAAAAACTTGTTTAATTTTAATGTCTTTTGTTACCATGTAGATACATGAGAGTTAATTCCAGTTTAATTGGATAAACTGTATTGTGTGCTTTGAATTTGAAGGGGCCAAAGATAGCTTAGAAGGTGTTATCTTGATCCAACACCAAATTCTCATAACTGACACTGTAAAAACCCACATTAAACAACATGTGGATTGAGAACACTCAGGCTTAAATTTGGTCAAAAAAGTATCATATACTTAAGAACATATTCAACCTGAAAAATTGTTCTGATATAAAAAAAAATTGGCTGCCAGTTAGATTAGAACAACCTACTAGGGTGCAGTACTAGAGTACAGTACTGGAAAATCAGGGAGGAGTAGCTGGTGCATTTTGTATTTGCTTGACTTTGGCTGAGTTTCAAGTTGTTTACCACCAGAACTGCTACACCTCTCCCAATGTAAAGTTATTGTCTTGATTAATGCAGTCGAGATTAGTTCCATCCATCCATTAATTAAAATATTGTGCTTGCACATTGATTGCATCTGCTGGTAGTCTATGCAGTATTTAATTTTCAGAAACAATTTTAAGAACACCTTAAGAACATTTTCAAGCTGATTTTACAGAAAAAACCAGCCTGAGCCCCTGGAGCACATTTTTTTTATGTGGGTTTTTACTGCATACTATAAATCTAGTCATGGTTTTTATAAAAAAAAATAGAAAGGTTAACTTGAAAAATGCACATGACAAGAACTGTCCAATCACACTGTCCTATCACAATTTCCAATTACAAGCACTACATGTACACTGTTCTATTAGTGCTCAAGTCAGGCTGGTGTTAACCAATCACATTCAAGAATTTTGTTACAGTTTTGATTACATATGCAATACCACAAGCTCTTATGATTGAGGAACAAAAAATAACTCTTAACCCTTAAACTCCCATGAGTGACCAAGATTGAATTTCTCCTTACAATATCAATACAATATCAAGCAGACAAGTGATGAGAATAAAGAAAAATATCAATTTGAGGATAATTAGTTGATCCAATACTAAATTCTCTGAACTGACATTATAAGAATTGTATGATCGACAGTAAGGAGAGTAACAAATTTGATCTGAGAGTTAAAGGGTTAAATTAATTGTTCCAGTATCTTGAACCCAATTAGAAGTTAAACTGAAAAGCACAAGTTTCTCATCGCTTTTGAGCCAGAGGTTGACTTACTTAACCCTTTGACTCCCAGATCGAATTTGTAATTCTCCTTACTGTCAACCATACAATTCTTATATTGTTAGTTCAGAGAATTTAGTATTGGATCAAACAATAATTATTATCCCCAAAGTTCTATTTTTCTGTCTTCTCATCACTTATCTGATTGATGTTGTATTGATATTTTAAGGAGAAATTCTGTCTTGGTCACTCATGGCAGTTAAAGGGTTAAAAATGACAGAGGAAAGTTTCAGAATGGTTTTGTAATAGTTAGTATCTTCTATTAAACAGTAATGCTGCTGTTAAACAAATGAAGTTTCAAATATTTAAGTGATTTCATTTGCAACACCACATCAAGTTACTCCTGTAACTGGCACAAAAAAGGGATAATTAACTCTTAATTTACTCTCTGAACCTTGACCCTGCTTAGCAGTTAAACTGAAAAATCCAAAATTTTTTCATCACTTTTGTACAAGGAGTTGACTTATTTACGAATAACTGAAGAAAGTCATAACATTTTCCCCTCTTCTACCAAATTGTCATTTGACTTGTAAACAAAAACAAGAAGCTGAGAACTTTAACACATCAATGCACTCAAGTTCAGTATGTTGTCTATAAAAACCAAGCATTAGAGTAATTTTTTATCCAACCTCATTCTTTGTTGGAGAAAACATTCCTTAAACATTTTTCCTGATGAAATTTGTGTTTGCAGCCTTTATGAACATTAGTGTCCTCCACCATTGCTCCTCGATCTTGTCACGCAACGCATTACGTGACAGCACAGAAACAGGGCTTCAAAGGAGTAACTTTAACTTGCCATGAACACTCTTACTTAATTTTCTTTCATGCAGTGAAATAACCTTCTAATACCTCATTGTGCTCCATATTACACTGGTAACTGCTTAAAAGTTGAATGGCTTTACTTCTGTGCTTGATGTGAAAGGAAAATATTTCACGACAACAAACAACATTCAAAAGAGGTTTTCTTCATTAGCTTCATGTTTACAGCTTCAGTGGCAGATTCAGGGACTTGGTAGAGAAGGGAAGGGGGATCTAAAGTTTGATTCAGGAGATAAATTTCTTTCTTGTCTTTACTTGAGAGCCTTGACATGCCAAGAATTTATATATTTCAAGATGAGTGAGTTTAGAACACCTCCAATTTAGCAGTTATATAAATCCTGTTGCCAACAGAATTTTGATTTCAGGCAAATAGTAAAAATATTGACAGGTCTAATAATGGGGGGGGGGTGCCTTCTCCTGAACCTGCCACAGAGCCTGAATATATATCAATCTCCTCCACAGTCATCGTCTTTCTTGTCAAAACAACACCTCTGTTGGAGAATGATACACAGTTACACATACTAACATGACTTTAAGATATGAAATTAACTTACAATTTGACATCGTCTACAAGGACAAGCTTATGGAAGTCCTCCAAAGGGCTTTACTGAATTTCTCTGGCAGCTCTCATTCTTTTTCGTCACAGTCAAGATTTTCTTTCCTAAAGCAATGAGTAAAACAAGTAAAAGGTATGGATATAAAAATAATATTGCTACCATCATCGTGATTATCCTAGCATTAAACCTGCTTTCTGCCAATGGAGAAATTTATATCCTCTTCAAACAAGTAACGTTGACCTTACGGGTAATTTACCAAGACGATACTGTTCGTTTACCTAGAAATCTCTCGCGTCTTCCTTCCTATGTATACCAAATCACTTGAAAACTCCACATCTGTTTAGGCTATACCTAACCCTTACACAGGAACTCTAAACATTTTGATCATGGTCACTGAAGCAAATAACTAACCTTTCTTTCTTAAAGTCAAATGTGACATTATCTCCAATCAGCATGAATGGAGCCCACTGGGAGACTTTGGTAAAGCCGGTGTTCCTCAGCCATTTCATGGCCTGGTGGAGACATTCACTGGCACTAAATCCGTCAACAAGGTGTCTGTAGAAACGGCTCATGAACTGCCATGTTGCTTCGTCCTCTATGGCCCACAGTGTCACCAGCACTGATCGTGCACCGGATGCCAAGAATGCTCGAGCGATTCCAAGAACTCCCTCGGCTTTGATCTCTCCACGCCCACTGTGGCAACAGCTGAGTACTACCAGTTTAGCTCGCAGTTGAACTTGTGAAATATCAGAGATCCTCAAGAGGTAGTCTTCTTCTTCTGGAATACTTTTAGCAGTAGGACGAGGGGAAAGGGCGATCTCTCCAGTATCAGCGTTACCATGTGCCGCAATATGAATCAGACTCACTGAGTTGATCGCTTGAAGTACCGCCTCTCTGGTCGCACACTCTCCTAATAAAGGCTGGACACCCAGTAGTCGTCCGATCATCTCTGCTTCCTTTCTTGCACCAGGTAAATCAACAAGGGTCTGGGTTTTTCCCTTGTAATGCACCTTTCCTGCCTTAGGATTACCCACAACTAGAGCACCAGTCTGACAATGGTAGTCCGCTGGGCAGTCCTGAATGAGCTTCAGAGTCGTCAAAGAAGGGACGATGCGGATTCTGAAAGTCTCCGATAAATACTTTCCGCCTGGCTGTTGACGTAGGGCTGCAAATGGAACTCGGTACAAGCTACGCTCCGGAACAATGATGATTTCTGGGTCGCTGATGATTTCTGGGTCGCTGAGTAAATCAGCTACTGGAGCAATGATCAGTTTGGAATAAAGATTAAGTCTTCTTTCAGTTTCTGGAGTTTCTTCGCCTCGCAGATTTGCTTCGCTTTCATCATCAGGTGATATCAGCATGGTTTCACTCAAAGAACGATCTTCGCATTTCTGTCTTGGTAAAATGCCAAAGCCACGAAGACCTTTGTTGAAAAAACTGTTCAAATCAAAGGCTTTCTCTGCAATAAGGGTTTTGTCATCGATCCATTGGGAACATCGAAACAAAGTGTCTCCGTTTGGCTTCAGAACCCAAATATGAACTGTTCGTGCATAATACGAAACGTACAGGAAAGTAGAGTGACGTTCTTTGTTTGAAATCTTATCAACCTTGGACCATGATCTTGGTACCGCTGAGATGTGATATTCAACGGAAAATTTGGCTGCCATCTGCTCCCCCAGGCATCGAGCGCGTCCCAGCTCTTCAATATATAGTGCATCTCGAGGATTTCCTGTCCTAAAACAAACTAGTGCACTGAGTGTTTTGTAGAGATACGTACCCGTTTTTTCTAAAAAAGATACTTGCAACTGCTCTTTTCCGTGTAGAGAATTTCGCAATTTCTCATATTTCTGAATAGCTTCCTGGAGATGCGAATGCGCTTCTTGAAACTTGGATTGCTGTGACTTCAAGTTTGAAAGCAAGAACAGAGTTGAAAGCTGCAGCAAATTGTCACCAACATTACAGCTAATAGAGCGGGATCTTTCGAAGTATTCTTCTGCCTTGCCGTATTCGCCAAGCTCTAGAAATATTGATCCGATGTTTGCATAAACTTGTGCTTCGCCTACTTTATCGCCCGTCTTAATACTGAGAGCAAGCGCTTTCTCGTAATATTCTTTGGCGCTCTGACGATCAGTGATTGCACAAAACACTTGTCCAAGTGCCTCGTAAGCACGGCCCTCTATTTGTTTGTAACCAATTTCTCTGGAGATGGCCATTGCTTTCTCTATATTTTCTTTAGCCTGTTTGTATTTTCCAAACGAAGAAAACAGTGTTCCTAGGTTTCCATAGACTTTTGCTTCTCCTTCCCTAACACCAATTTCCTTCATGATGAGGAGTGCTTTCTCATGATATTCTTTAGCCCCAAGATATTCACCAAGAGACCGTAACAAAGTTCCTAGGCCGTCGTAAACTACTGCTTCTCCTCTTCTGTCACCCACTTCGATCATGATGGAGAGTGCTTTCTCACGATATTCTTTAGACTTCTGAAATTCGCCAAGTAACTGGAACAAAGTTCCTAGGTTTCCATAAACTTTTGCTTCTCCTTTCCGGTCACCAATTTCAGTCATGATGTCGAATGCTTTCTCATGATATTCTTTAGCCTTCTGATATTCACCAAGTGACAGTAACAAAGTTCCTAGGTTGTCGCAAGCTATTGCTTCTCCTTGTCTGTCATCAATTTCGATCATGATGGAGAATGCTTTCTCATGATATTCTTTAGCCTTCTGACATTCACCAAGTGAATTTAACAAAATTCCTAGGTTTCCGTAAGTTTTTGCTTCCCTTTGTCTGTCACCAATTTCGATCATGATAGGGAGTGCTTTCTCATGACATTCTTTAGCCTTCTGAAATTCGCCAAGTAACTTTAACAAAACTCCTAGGTTTCCGTAAGCTATTGCTTCTCCTTGTCTGTCACCAATTTCGATCATGATAGGGAGTGCTTTCTCATGACATTCTTTAGCCTTCTGAAATTCGCCAAGTGACTGGAACAAAGTTCCTAGGTTGTCGTAAATTACTGCCTCTCCTCGTTTGTCACCAATTTCGATCACGATGGGGAGTGCTTTCTCATAGTATTCTTTAGCCTTCTGACATTCACCAAGTGAATGTAACAAAGTTCCTAGGTTGCTGCAAGCTATTGCTTCTCCTTGTCTGTCATCAATTTCGATCGTGATGGAGAATGCTTTCTCATGATATTCTTTAGCCTTCTGAAATTCGCCAAGTGACTGGAACAAAGTTCCTAGGTTGTCGTAAATTACTGCCTCTCCTCGTTTGTCACCAATTTCGATCCTGATAGGGAGTGCTTTCTCATGACATTCTTTAGCCTTCTGAAATTCGCCAAGTGACTGGAACAAAGTTCCTAGGTCGGAGTAAGTTACTGCCTCTCCTCGTTTGTCACCAATTTCGATCATGATAGGGAGTGCTTTCTCATGACATTCTTTAGCCTTCTGAAATTCGCCAAGTGACTGGAACAAAGTTCCTAGGTCGGAGTAAGTTACTGCCTCTCCTCGTTTGTCACCAATTTCGATCATGATAGGGAGTGCTTTCTCATAGTATTCTTTAGCCTTCTGAAATTCGCCAAGTGACTTGAACAAAGTTCCTAGGTTGGCGTAAATTACTGCCTCTTCTCGTTTGTCACCAATTTCGATCACGATAAGGAGTGCTTTCTCATAGTATTCTTTAGCCTTCTGACATTCACCAAGTGACTTAAACAAAGTTCCAAAGTTTCCGTAAGTTTGTGCTTCTCCTTGTCTGTCACCAATTTTGATCCTGATAGGGAGTGCTTTCTCATGACATTCTTTAGCCTTCTGAAATTCGCCAAGTGACTGGAACAAAGTTCCTAGGTTGTCGTAAATTGCTGCCTCTCCTCGTTTGTCACCAATTTCGATCACGATAGGGAGTGCTTTCTCATAGTATTCTTTAACCTTCTGATATTCACCAAATTTCTGTGAAATAAATCCTAGGTTGTTGTAAGTTACTGCCTCTCTTTGTCTGTGACCAATTTCGATCACGATGGGGAGTGATTTCTCATAATATTCTTTAGCCTTCTGAAATTCACCAAGTGACGTAAACAAAGTTCCTAGATTACTGCAAGCTATTGCTTCTTCTTCTCTGTCACTAATTTCAATCGTTATAGCGAGTGCGTCCCTTAAATATCCTTTAGCCTTCTTAAATTCACCAATTGAAAGTAGGAAACATCCCAGTTTTTTGCAAGCCTTGGCTTCCCATTTTCTATTTCCAAGTGCCTTCGTGATTTCAAGTGCACTCTGAAAAACTTCTTTTACTTCTGCAAACCTACCTTGTCTTGCATATATGTTTGCCACGTCTTCCAACATGATAAGAAGTTTTCTGGCGCAACTTTCCGCGTTTACGTTATCAGAGATGTCGCAATATGCCCGAAACATCACCACATAGATATGGTAATATAACTTAGCGAAGTGGTCCTCTACAGCCAGCGTTAGGTTGTCAAGTAAAACTAAACATTCCTTGCATAATGCAATTGCTTGTTGATTACGTTTAGTGTTGTGAAGGAAATTGGCAACAACAAAACCTGTATGGATGGCGTGTTTGACCTCTGCTATGTTGTTCATTACGGCTCCTTCCTTTATGCTGAAGAAAATGGCCCTGACATAAACAGAAAGGAAAATACATCAAGTAAATGATTTTTACTCCTTTTCCCTTTTGATTGCTTAGTTAAATGTCATCATCTTGTGTATCTGGTTATTTAAATTTCTTTCAAGGAATCAAAATTTCCTTCTTATGAGATTTAACTTTAAAAAATTGTTGCACCTAAGATAAAGAAAACAGGAAATCAATTGAATTTCATTAGTTTTCCTTTTAAAAACTGGTAAAGTCCTATCAGCCGAAACCCTATAAGAGAAAGATTATCTTGATTTTGTTCTTTCACTCAAGTCAGAAAAACCTACACTTAAGCTACTAGGGAAAATATTTTATTATCACGCAATGTACCAGTGGCGGTTTGTGTGAATTTTTTAAACTGAAAGATTCTATCCTATACGACGTCTTTCAGGTCTAAATTTTCTCGCGTTCCATCTACTTCTGAGAAACCTTGATCTACAATTGTCAGTACAGTTAAAGGCTTTCTGTTCAGCTTTTTAGTTCAGTTCAATTTATCAACTCATCAGGTTTAGCAGTTCATCGCTTTGGTCCGTTTTTAGCATTGTCTTTGAAAGTAAATTGAAAGTAAATGAGAAACGAAATCGCATTAGAGCTAAAAAAAAAAAGCGCTGTTAAGATACTGCGCCTCGTGATTCCACAACAAATTTTAACATTTGTGATGACAAATATCGTTTTCGATAACAGTGCAGACCACGCTAAACCACTGTCGATTTTCTTTTTACCACAATATCGACTTCAATTAAAACCGTTCTTTCTGTTCGTGACCAGCGCGTGACCATTGCGTGACACGTCAACGCTAGCGGCGTTAATATTAACAACGGCAAATTGGCCAACTGAATTACGACATCACTGCCAATTGTGGTAAAAATCATATACCTCGTATTATACATGTTGGTTAAAATTTTAGCATCATGAAAAATTTTGATCTAAGAATTACATAAAATTGATCTGGGTATGGAAGTCCAGTTTTTTGGTAAACTCTAACGCCCATATTGATTTTTTAGTTTAATTTGATTCATGATAAGATTCATATAAAAGTTTTAAATCAATTCATAAAAAGAGCGTTTTGACGAACTTTGTGTACAATAAGGAATTTTGTTCCTTTGACATCTCATTAAGGTATAATATTTACATAAACGTTGTTTTCAACACTCTTGGAAAAGTAGTCAACTTTGTACATCAGTCGATGCAATTTTTCAGAGGAATCTGGAAAATTATGGGACGATTTATCGACTCTTGACAAAGTCAATCAGCTGTTTTGCTCACTCTCAAATTCTCAAATTCCTTTAAAAAAGAGCAAACGATGCATTTATTTGCACGCTAAAAATCTTGTGCGTCAGGCCAATTTAGCTTCCGTTCTTCGTAATTCAACTCCCCTGAGACAAAGTTGTGTGACACTTTCCTGCAAGACATGTCACCGATTATGAATTTATCTCTCAAATGAATCTGAATTCAGGCGACTTACAAACAACTTCTATTTGACTTTCATTAATCCGGTTGAAAATTTTTCGCCTGTCTTGCTCCTAACTCTCAAACCAGATTTATTAAACTCGGTAAGTTTATTCCCAAGGACAGAGATGTGCCGTGTTTAGTGTTTTGATCTCTTGAAACAGGAAACTGAAGTGGTTCTTTGCTCGCATAACGCCGAAACTAAAACAAGTCAGATATATATTTTCATTCTAATTTCTCGCCGAGACGGTTAAAGTTTTGAACATTTCATAATAACGATTCTTTACCGTATTTACCTTACGAACATAATCTCTTACTTTAACTCAGAGATTTTCAACTAAAACCAAAAAAAGAAAATAAACGTAATGTTTTTGGTTAAAAAGTTGATTAGATGTTGGGGAAAAGTTTAGAAATTATTTTGTGAAAAGAGAACGCGGGCTGAGTTAAAAACACCTCCGAATATTTTTAGCTGTGTTTTCAAAATCCTGCCTCTATCCTAAGCGCAGAATTTGCGTTGGCCTTTTTTTGGTAAACTATTTTGCGGCATTGCCTTCATTATACAACATGTTCACATTCAGTTTCATTTACTATAAAACTACTACTACAATGTACAAGTCTCTGAAGAAAAAGCAGCTCGGAAGGAATGTAAATACATTTTGTAAAATTCAAAACGCAATGCAGGATAGGATAGTTCTGCAAGATACCTATCATCGATATAATTATCGTGCTTACCTTCAAAGTTAGGAAATCTGTGAATAAATCAGATCTTATTGCCTGGAAAATGAAAACAAGAGCAAATCAACCATGCTGAATCATCAGGCTGGCATAGTTTATATCTTTGGTGTCATGAAAATGCCACTTGTTAGTGTTTTGATATTATGACTGATGAAACCAAAAGCTAGAAATTAAAATAACGAGTTTTCCTTCGAAGGAAAAATTGTGCGATTATTTTATTTTTTTTTTGCTTAACCTGTTGAATTTTAGTTTCCGTTACTGCTCTCTCGGTTGCTCCGCTATTGCGTTACTGTTTTACCGGTTACTCTGTTTAGAATCACCCTTTCAACTAGCTTTGGGGATTTGTCATAATAAAGCAAAACTCGCAAAAGTAGTCAGAAATGATATCCTCCCTCCGGCACTAATACAAATGCAAACAGCTCATGTGAATTGCATTGTTCAAAAGAGACTTAACATTCATTTTGTGGAAGTGTCATTTTAAATCACTTTCTGTCGTAATATTGTTTAATGAAAGAAAAAACTTTGCCTTCTTGATTTTTATATGAACCACGATACGAAGGTTGGTTGCCCTAAGTTTTATATCTGCGTTTAATGAACTGATTTCTTTGCACATCCGTTTGGATTTTTATTTGTCAAAAATGCTCGCGTGTTAAGCCAATGTTTGTTTACATCTACAGCACGGGAAGCATCTAGACTTGAATTTGAGTCCCAATAAGTATAAAGTGTCTGTTAACTAATGCCCCATTCACACCAAAGCTTAAACATGTTTAAAAGTTGTTTTGTTAAACACAGTTTAATTTTTTTTTTCTTCATAGAAACTATTTAACCGAATATTTTTGACTTGAATGTAGCACATTGGAAATGCAAGTTAGCAAGTACTTGAATCCAATGGAAAATCAAGTTTTTCGGTTCTCTGTTTATAATTTTCATTCAATGAAAACCAGTTTAACAAAACATGTTTTGCTGGTGTGAATGGGGTATAAGATTTAGATCTGATTTGTAACTTCTGACAGCCACACATTTCTTTCTAGAACAGCCATAATAACTTTGCATTACATCAGAATAACATTGTAGTGGATAGTTTTTCTATTTCCATATTATATTAATCACATTTTAATCACAGCTGTGAATGAAGGATTTCATCACTTTATGTTTTTACTAGCTCTATGGACTCGCCTGAATACTGCACTTCAAGCAAAACTAGCCGGAGGGAAAATAGAAGATTATTATATACATACCGAGATTTACGCGCCAAAAAGCATCGAGATAAAAATAGTCTCTTCGCGCTGGAGAAGCCAGCTGATTGGTCATACGATTTTTTTCTTCAGTGAAAAACAACGTATCGACGCTCTGATTGGCTATATCATTATTTTCACTAGTGAACAAAACCGTGTCGCTCGCTCGCCGCTCCTCTTGACTGACAAATAGCACATTTTTAAGAGCTTAGGCGCATTTTTCTTCAAGAAAGATGGCTTCAAATCAGACTAACCGTTTTCAGAGCCTAAATTCATCAGTAGAAGAGTTCATAGATGGACAGGAAAATGAAAACATGAAGAAAAAGACCAAACATGATGTTGCTTTGCTCCACGAATTTCTTGTTTTGAAAGGCGAGACGAGACAAAAAATAAGCAACCAATAAAGTCTCGGGTTTTCTCTTCTGTATTTCAAATTTTGAACTTCCGTAGAATTATTTCGACATATTTTCGGGATGTCTTATTTTATCCTAACTAATTTTGCCTTTTAACGGCATTTTTGCTTGATAATGAAGAAATGTAAAATTGTTTCCGTGTTTACATAGCCTGATGTAAACACGCGGGAGGTTGGGAGAACACGAGATAAGCGTAGGAAACCACGACTCGAAGCGGAGTGGTTTCCAGCTTATCGAGTGTTCTCCCAACCTCCCAAGTGTTTACATCAGGCTATGTAAACACGGAAACCATTTTACATTTCTTTTATAATATAACTAATGAAAGAGGAACGAAAACCGTGTTTACATACGCTCATGTAAAATGATTTTATGGCCAATCAGAGCGCGCGTGCTATTTGAATTATTTTATAATTTAAAATGTAAATTATTTTACAAGGAAGCCATTTCAGTGCAACTCTCGAACTGTGAGGCGGCTTGACCGCGCGTTGTTTTCCTTTGAAAGGAAATAAAGATATGTTTATCTTTGAGTTCTGTTCGCTTATGAATCTCGGTATGTATATAATAAATAAGTTATTTCACGGTTAGTTCTCTTGTACGACTTTTATTCACTCGTTGCGAATAAAAATCGTACACGTTCACCAACCGTAAAATAACCTTTAATTATGGAATCTGGATAGACGGTGGATGGAACTGATTTTGTATGATGTGTCATGAACCGTATATAGTGCTTACCGTCCAACTCCTTTGCAACTAGCTTCCCTCAAGTGAATGAATCAAATCGCAATCACTGAAAAGTTAAAACAAAGTAAACTTAAGCTATACAGACCAATCTGATACGAAAAGTTTTACATCTTTGGAGACATGCACATACCGTTTTTAGTGAAACCAAAGCAAGAAACTGAAAGAACATCTTCCCCAAAAGAAAAGATTTTGAGGATAGCCACGTTGACAATAACATGATCATTAAAATCAGAAACATCAAAATTTTTTAAGGTTAGAAAAATCGAGGTTCATTGTATCACTCTGATCATCCAAATAAAACTAACGTTCATGTTATTACGGTGTTCTGTTTGTTCAAATCACTCCCGATTTAAATTTATTTCTGGGGGAAAAAAATTCGCCCTCGCGCTCTCCATATAGCGGTTTGGTCTCGTTACATTTGTTTTTTTAACTTGCATCTTTTGGTCTGGATTTGATATTTTCTTAAGGAAAATTCATATTTACACGAGGTCTAACCCACACCGCGGTAAATAAATATCATTTTACTATTAGCTTTCGGATCTCTTGACATTGTTCACAAGAATAAATGCTCAGACAAATGGTTCGGCAAAACTGAGGATGGCATAGAACGCGGCTTTGTCAATCAACGGCTAAAATTTGTAAATAACCGGCCCATACACTCTAAGCCTCTATGAAGTCAAGACAAGAATTTAGTGTGACATCAACACCCTGTACAGCTGACAGGCCTCTACTCTCATCGACTCTTTGCTGGATAATGTGTTGACATTGTAAAGAGAGGTTACATGTCGAAATGTCTAATACTTCGAGGGAGGTGTAGAGGGTTCAGAATTCTATAGCATTTGGTGGCAAAATTTTAAAAATTTTTAACCCCCGAAAAGGACAAGAGAAATCTAATTTATCATTACTATACACCAAAACATATCTAGAATAAAAAATATGTATCTACTGCAAAACTGTAATGAACCGGGACAGAAGATGCAACATATTTCATTGATCGTAAAATGCTTACCGTTTAATTCCGAAACTTTTCTCGCTCGAATGAATCAAAACACACCACTGGAAAATTAAAACAGCGTGAGCAATAGGTGCGTAAAATCATTATTTACAGACAGTGAAAACTACGGGGGGTGATCACGCTGTTTTTATGGTTTTGATGTCATGACTGTCGAAACCAAAAGTAAGAAACTGAAATGGTATTTTTCCTCCCAAGTCATAGAGTATGCAAATAAACTGTGTATATATAGCCTTAGTTTGCATAACTTTGTACTGATGAAGCCCTAACCGGCGAAACGTTTACTACCAAAGTATATAACATTTGTGCCTTTCGAAGTCTTTGGGTTTTTTTTTCTCACATACATAGATACATATATATATTTACACATTTATATTTACACCCGTTTCCAAAAACGTTACAATTAATTTGAAAATGTACAAATACGATTTATCCTCTTTTTAAATATCTTTGAGCACGTGAGTGTACTGTAATGTCTCTCGTGAACTATTTTAAGCAGGAACAGAAAGCGTTTTAAAGAATTGCATGATGACAGCATTTTTTTCAAATTTTATCATTTCAGGTGAAGAAACGTGTCTCCATGAGAAAGCTGTTAGAGAGCTTTTCGAATGAGCGTCATAAAACCAAAAGCAGGCTTAGGTAACCACAACAGCGAATCATGAGAAATCTTACAGAACGATAAATCCTCTCATCTCTAATACAAACCATAATTGTGCAGATACGCTTTTAAAAGCAGCATTACTTGCAAAACTCGATCGAAAAATGTCTAATTCCAAGCGCAGGAAAATGCCTGTCTCATTGTCTGCTTCACTGCTTGTCTCACTTCACAAATATTCCAGCAATAAAGAAACGGGTTTAACGTCAAGTTAAAGTAAACTAAGGAATAAGCTATTTCAAAACTGATGGAAGATTGAGATGGATATATCTTATTGTAAACAATCTTAATTTGCATCACAATATACGGTAGGTAACACAATACTAAAGTTAACTGCACCCACAGTGCACTGTACACTGCCTTTCTGTATCGCGCCATGTTTAATGCATTTGGTGTGCTCGGCTGAATAGGATCTTGTACTTTTGCCTGAAGACAACGAAGAGTGCGAAAAATCTTTATGTATGAGGCGACCGAGATCATTAGGCAAGGGGGTGGAACTATATAGCTACACCAAAAGGATATCTGGGGATCTAGAACGTAGCAAAAAGCAGAAATACTGGATACAATCCAAAACGTAGCGAGAATGATATGCGTGCGCTTCAAAGTAACAACTTGTTTGTATCTCAGCCCCAACTGCAGAGCGAGGAGTCGGTCCACACTGATAGCAGTAACCGTTAACAAAGATGCTCCACATAATGCATAGCCTGTGATGAAAGCGGCGTCAACTGCGTGACGACAAAGATCCCAGTCTTCGTAAACTAATGAAATATAATAAGTGGCATAGAGAGGCTGGCCTGCAAGTCCAATCAACAGATCAGTTGTTGCCAGGCAACGATACAAGAGTTTGGACGGCGGATGAAGTGTAGATTCTTTGTGAAGGGCGGCAAGGATAAGAGAATTTCCAAGAAGTGCTATGATAGAGAAGAGGATGTTTACTGCTGAAAAAATTATTGACTGTTGTTGTGATCCACCTGCCGAAGAGGGGTAGCATCGCAGTTCTTCGAATGTTTTCGCTTGTGTTCCACGTTCTGTAAAATTTGTCCTGGCCATCATTATTCTGTTGTCATTTACCACAACAGTTTACTGATTTTTTAACATAACATTTGAGTGAAGTTGAGATTTGAATTATCTCAGGTTCGGCGAAGGATGAACTTGAATTTGTAACAATCTGCGAATGAAACTAATGAGGTTTTTCATAATAATTGAGCACAGCTTTTTAATTAAAAAAGTATTTCCGCATATAAGTGCCTTTCCGCATCCATTTTAAACTGGAAACAAAGCAGTGTCAGGGCACGCTATTATGCAACCAATTATTATTATTATTTTTCCTCAGTTGTACATGCTCTCTTCCTTATAGAAAATTCATGATGCATTTCGAAATTTTTTTTCTCGTATGTTGGACAAACGTAAGCAATTATTTGGTAACGCGCAATTCTGTGATATTCCATTCATGCTGTATATCCATGAGTGTCCTATGATTGAAACTGGAATCTATAACTAAACAATAGTGTGCGACACAACTTCAAGTTTGCCTACTTGGTTAAGTTGAATTCAGACGTGAATTCGCATTATGAGCAAAGCATAAGACAATCGTGACATAATTACTATTTTATTATATGAGATGAAATTCAATTTTCTTCGGCAAAACTATTGTGACCATGAAGGGGAGGTGATTGATTGTTTCACTTAAATTCAGAAAAATTATCAATGTTTAAAGGACTTTTCAATCTCATTGAAAACCTGAGTTTTTCAATTGTACTCTATACCCTTACAGAAATATTTTTGCTATGTAACAAAAAAAAAACATGCATTCTCGCACATTATTAGCTTTCCGGAGAATTTCCTTAGTATGAAAACGAGTCTGTAAATGATTTTGTGACGGGCTGTGATGATAGATTTTTCGCGCTAACTGGAATTTTGCAGGGAACACAACGATAAGGGGGAAAGTGGCTCGGTAGAGACCACTTGACTGCGGGAACGGAAATTCGTCACGCTTTCCTGGTACACGGGACCTGCTTCTGTGGACTCATTACGGACTAGATGGCGTTTAGTTCCACAGTAACTTTATTCTAGTTTATGCTTGTGAGCGACATGAACAGTAGCGTACTCAAAAGCGTAATCGAAAAAGCTACGCAATATAATTGCGCGAGGTTCTATTATTACACAAATTGCAATATTTGAATAAGGTCGCGAAAGAGCGAGAAATGTATTTCGTGGTTAAGTGATTTCATTCAAATATTCCATCTGTTCAGAAAGAATTTAAAAACTAAGGAAGCGGATACAATAGACTCTAAGCCATTAAAAAGAGCAAACTTAATTCAAATTCATAGCTCTGATATCAAAAACAACTCTCTTGATTTCGGTAGAGTAGCTGAGTAAATGAAAGTGAGAAGTAGTAATGATTTCTGCTTATTTATACGATGTTGGTGTTAAGTTCGGAAAAGCGACAACGCGAGAAAAGTGTGCGTACGAGCACAAACTCAGCTGTCAACTTCCATAAGAACCAACTTTCCAGAAAGATCATAAACACTTATATTTATATTTCAATAGGAGAAAGCACTGACACTTCTATTTACATGCAATGTCAACAGTAATGGTCATCAAAGCTTCGACATACAGGTGTACGATGAAAGGCAAAGTAACAACCAAATGTATTAGTTGGCAATTCAAAAGTTGCTGTGGTTTTTTTCTATATATTTTTTAAATACTGGGGCGAAAGAACTCGGATAAATAAAAAATGGTTAAACGAAAAAATTTTATGCGTAAATATGTTACAAACAAACACATGGAAAACTCATCAAATTTTCCCGTAACAGCGCTCGTGTGGGAAACATGGCGCCAAAGTCAAGCGCCTTATATATGAACACACGTTTTAAATGATTTGAAAATATACTGTTTTACCGCTAGAAAAAATAAATGACTTTAATAGTTCTCCTTCTGGCACCACCCTTTTGAAATTTCTACTCCATAATTGCATTTTTCTAAGAAGGTTTAACGAATAAAACAAGCTTTCTTAAGATAAAGTTGGTTTTTTGATTTCATGTCTTTCTGATCACGATTATACCGCGAGGAAGATCTCTAACTCCATATCAACGACAAAGTGAGTATGTCTGATTGTCTGCTTCACTGCTTGTCGTACTCCACGAATCTTTCAGCAGTAAAGAAACAGGTTCAAAGTGGTGTGAAAATAAATGAAGAGACCTTTTAATGAATCGTCTTGTAACAATTCACTTTTAGTAATCGCAGTTTCCACTATACCGTATGGTAGTTAACAAACCACCAATGCTAACTGCAACCCTAGTGTACCATTTACTGCTTTTCTGCATCGCGCCATGTTCAGTGCAGTTGGTTGGTCCGGTTCTCTTGAACATGATCTTGTACATGAGTCTGATGATAACGCTGAATGTCTTTCTCTCTCCTGGTACACAGTAAATACCGTTGCACTAAATATAAAAATATAGTTTTCTTAAGGTATCGTCAATGCCTCGACTCTTTGCCCTTAAGTTGTTCACATAAATTACAAAATACCAACAAATGCTCGAGCTACAATCTTTTCAAGCTTCGTATCTATTACTATCCAGCTCAAGGAGAATCTAAATCCATGGACAACACATTACTTGTCTGATTGTCTGCTTTACAGCTCGTCTAACTTCATGGATCTTCCAGCAGTAAAGAAACGGGTTCAAAGTGGAACTAAAGTAAGAAAAAGTAATTGCTATTTCTCTAGTAACCATTAGAAGTGGTGAATATGTCTTTGTGCGAGCCATTACCGTCAAAACTATACTTACTGGTACAAAACAGACAACTAGTGCTGACTGCACCCACAGTGCACTGTACACTGCCTTTTTGTATCGCGCCATGTTCAGTACACTTGGTTGGCTCGGCTGTTGTTGAGCCTGATGACGACTGAGAGTACGGAAAATCTTAATATACGAAGCAACTGAGATTACTAAGCAAGATGGTATCATGACACGACCCAAACATGGAGTTATAGGAGAAACAAACACAAAGTATAGAGTGTCGACAATGGGGACCACCCAAAATAGCGCTAGAGCGATATAAACGCGTTTTAAATTCACAGTTTGTTTGTATCTCAGCCCTAACAACAAGGCGAGAAGTCTGTCCACGCTTATGGCCATCGTCGTCATCAAAGACACTGAAGATAATACATAAGACGTTACGAGGCTTGCATCAAGTACGAATCGACAAATACTCCAGTGTTCATGAACCACGGATATCCAGAGAGAAGCAACAAGAGGATGCGCAAGGAGGCCTGCTAAAAGATCAGTTGTAACAAGACAACGGTATAAGAGTTTGGACGGTGGATGAAGGGAAGATTCCTTGTGAAGGGCAACAAGGACGAGAGAATTGCCAAGAAATGCAGTCATGGAGAGAAGAATGTTGACTGCTGTGAAAAACATTGCTTGTTGTTTTAGTGCACCTCCCAAAGCGGGGGAGCATAGCAGTTCTTGAAATGTTTTTGCCTGTGTTTCATTTCCTGTTAAATTTGTTGTCTCCATCACACTGCAGTCGTTCCGTTTTTTCTCGAAATTTACCACCTATTATGGCAAGAAATATTTCGCCTTAGTAAGCATTCGAAAAGTTAGGATCGCTTCAACCTTGCCTTCATAACAGCAATTACACTAAGACTTCCTTATCAATGTATATTCATTTGAATGCGCAAACAAAGTGTCTGTGCTGTCAAAAAAATTTCCTTTTCTTTTCACTTTTGATTTTCCCACGTATGAATCGGCAATAGGACGGAAGCATTAAGACATCTGTATGACAAACAATCCCTCTTCAACCAGATGAGTATTCATTACTGGAGAGTATTTTTGAAAATGTTATCTGTGTGCTATTGAACATTGTATCATTCTCAGCTATGACAAACTAAAAAGCAAAAACTTGAAGTTGGCGATGTCAGTTTATAAAACAATTGGTTCATACGTCATCTGTATGAACCAATTGTGTTATAACATTTTTAACCCGATGGAAGATTTTTTTTCCGGACGGATTTGTTTGCTGAAGTCATGAGCGTGCACAATAGGAATATGAAGCACGCTCGCGCAATTGAATTTGGTTAGACAAATTTACTAACTATGTTACGTGAATAATTGAATCCCCGACTGTTTCCGAAAAATAAAACATGAATATTTGGTCATAAATGCAAACTCTCCTTAAAATATTTGACTTTTTTTTTATTAAAAAGCTATTTCCGCGTTCATTGTTTTTTTTTTAACATCCGACTTGAACTTGAGACGAGTAATAGCAGATGCACGATATTACGCAGCCAAACCCCTTTAATTTAACTGGTATAAAAACAAGCAAAATTAGAAAATCTTTTGAGAACTGTGATTTAATTTCCCCATTTACCAAACCGTAAAGCTTAGGATAATTACAAGCCATAGAGTTAATTTGCGTGTTAAAAATAGACACGGATTGAATTTGTTCTAATTTTACAATACGATAACAAAATTATTTTTGATCATGTTTTCGCTGCCGATAAAGAAGCAGTTTATGTAAATAATCTGTCCTTTTTGAGCACTGATAATTAAATATTTATCTTCTCTCTTTGTGTTGGGAAATTCTGGACTTCAATAAAACCTCGAGAAATGACTGAAACGAGAAAAGTGAAAGTTTTACTAAAGTTGGTTGGTTGATTGGAATCCGGCGAAGACTGAGAACCAATTCCCTTACCCTAGATTTTACGTCAATATATTTGATCTCTCGGTTTATTCAGAGTAGCGACTGCAGCTCAGTTAGCAAACATTAATGTCATTAATATGTGAATGTAAAGTTAAGGATAATTAGAAAATAACAATAGAATTAATTAACATGGTAAACATTTATAGACATTGATTATATTCTTATTTGACAATAAGAAGAGGAAACTTTTTAAATCCGGTTTTTAAATGATAACCTGTCTTTTATGAGCGCTAATAATTAAGTTTTCACCTTTTTCTCTGTGTGTGGGAAAGTCTAAAACTGAAACTGAGATGCAGCGTAAGGCAGTTTGCGGCCTTCCCCTACATCTAGGCGGTTCGGAAAGCCGTAAAACTATAAAACAAAAATTTATCTTTCAAATCGGAACTCTTAAACCCCACAGTTTCAACGAGCGCTTTCATTCACTTTTGACATTGTAAACTTTTTGATTGGTTTCTGCCTCAGCGTATAGGATGTGCGCGAGCGTTTAAGATGTGTAAGACTTGCTGTACGCCTAGCCGAGAGTAACTATAGGTTCCTGAGTTATAAAACATAGAAGAAAACAAATTGTCAATCGAGTGTTAATAGTTTTTCTGATATCCATCCCTTTATCTTCGATCTCGATTTATGAATGAGTTTGTTCACATCATTATTCGAGTGCAACTTTAATTGTGATCAGAGGATAATCGTTGATGACAAACGAGAGTCGCTGCAAGAAGAAGTCAAATCACCTGCTTTATACTCGAAAGCTTGCTTGATGGGAGAAGAAATTGGATCTAGCTATGCTTGATTAGCTGACTTTTGTTTGTTATTATCCAGGAAAATTTGCAAGGAAAAGGAAGAGAGAAATTTAAGAGTGAAAAATAAATTGCATAAGATGATTATTTTGTTGGCGGTATATCTTGTTTCGTGTCCAATTCCAGTCCGAGACGAAACTGAGAAAAAATAGCTATAACTTTTTTCTTTTTAATTATAATGTTCAACTGAATTATTTTAAAATAAAGGGGTTCGTTTCTTAAGCAATTGTGGTGCTGCGACGGTGGGGGAGAATAACAACTAAGAGTGCCGATTTGAAAGATAAATTTTTTGTTCTAGAGCTTCGCAGCCGCTGTTTGGAAAACAGCTTTCCGAAGAGGTAATCCCCACCGAGTCAAAGAACGCATTTCATTCAACTCATTGATTCTAACTAATTTGTTCTAAACAAACAAGACGGCCCGGTTTACAAGATCCCATGTGAATGCAGCAAAGTGTATATCGGTGAAACAGGGCGATCGATGCGAGAAAGGATACAAGAACATGACAGAGACATACGGTTTGCTCGAACTCAAACCTCTGCGGTTTCGGAGCGCCCTAACGAAACGGGGCATATTCCTATTTGGAGCAAGGTTAAGTTTATTGATCGTGACCCCCACTGGTACACGCGTAGGGTCAAAGAGACTATCCATATAAGACTTCACCCCAGCAACATCAATAAAGATAGTGGTATCAAAAAAAAGTCCTCTGACATGTGCGGATCAACAACTCCGCTGACATATGCGCGGGCCTAAACTACACAGGAAGCCCAGTAATTAAAGATTAAATCGTCACAGTGTCACTATACCTAGGATGTCATTAATGTTTAGATTCCTCGACTTTTGGTTTTTCTTGGGCAATATAAGAATAATATTATCAAAACAGTTTGTGACGCGACTTAATGATTAATGTAATTAAGCTCCTTATTTCTTCCTTTTGAATAATTTATCAGACAAGCGATATCCAATAACAACCAGCTTTGATACGACTAATAAGATCTTAACGGAAGATCTTATTAACTCCATAAACAGCAAAGTGCTTGTCTGATTGTCAGCTTCACAGCTTGTCTCACTTCACTAATCTTCCAGCAGTATAGGGACGGGTTTAACGTCGAGTTGAAATAAACTAGGGCGTTTACTATTCCCAGGGCGACGACTAAATGAGATAAATTTGCTTGTCTATGAGCCAACACAACTCCCACCGCACTAAGTAGTACATAACAAGCAAGTAACACTAACTATACTCACAGTGGAGTGTACACTGCCTTTTTGTATCGCACCATGTTCAGTGCCTTTGGTTGGGCCGGCTGTTGCTGAACATGATCTTGTACATGAGTCTGATGATAACGCTGTATGTCTTTCTCTTTCTTTTCTTTTTTTTTTCTTGGTACACGGTAAATGTTGTTGCAGGAAATATATAAATATAATTTTCTTAAGGTATCGTCAGTGCCTCGACTCCTTGCCCTTAAGTTGTTTACGTAAATCATAAAATACCAACAAACGCTCGAGCGACGATCTTTTCAAGCTTCATATCTATTACTATCTAGGGACGTATTCGAGAAGCATTGACTTGGAGCAGCCATAACTCTATAAGTTTGTTTTGAATTGAAATGTACGAGCACAGCTCAAAGAGAATCTAAATCCATGGACAGCACATCACTTGTCTGATTATCTGCTTTACAGCTCGTCTCACTTCATGGATCTTCCAGCAGTAAAGGAACGGGTTCAAAGTGGAATTTAAGTAAGCAAAAGTAATTGCTATTTCTCTAATAACCATTAAAAGTGGTGAGTATGTCTTAGTATGAGTTATTACCAGCAAAACTATACTAAATGGTACACAACAGACAACTAATGCTAACTGCACCCACAGTGCACTGTACATTGCCTTTTTGCATCGTGCCATGTTCAGTGCGTTTGGTTGGCTCGACTGTTGTTGAACATGCTCTTGTACTTGAGCCCGTTGACGACTGAGAGTGCGGAAAATCTTAATATACGAAGCGACTGAGATTACTAAGCAAGACGGTATGATGATAGGACCCAACCAAGGGGGTATAGTGGGAACAAACACAAAGAATAGGGTGTTGATACCGGGGACAACCCAAAAAAGCGCTAGAGCCACATAAATGCGCTTTAAATTCACAATTTGTTTGTATCTCAGCCCTAACAACAAGGCGAGAAGTCTGTCCACGCTTATGGCCGTCGTCGTCATTAAAGACACTGAATATAATACATAAGATGTTACGAAGCTTGCACCGAGTATGAATCGACAAATACTCCAGTGTTCATGAACCACGAATATCCAGAGAGAAGCAACAAGAGGATGCGCAAGGAGGCCTGCTAAAAGATCAGTTGTAGCAAGACAACGGTATAAGAGTTTGGACGGTGGATGAAGGGAAGATTCCTTGTGAAGGGCAACAAGGATGAGAGAATTGCCAAGAAATGCTGTGATGGAGAGGAGAATGTTGACTGCTGAGGAAAATATTGCTAGTTGTTTTAATGCACCTCCCAAAGCGGGGGAGCATAGCAGTTCTTGAAATGTTTTTGCCTGTGTTTCATTTCCTGTTAAATTTGTTGTCTCCATCATACTGTAGTCGTTCCGGTTTTTTTTTTTCGCAACTTGCCACTGATTATGGCCAGAAATATTTCGTCTTAATGAGCATCCGAAAAGTTAAGATCACTTGGACCTTGCCTTCATAAGAGCACTTACACTAAGACTTCCTTATCAGTGTATATTCATTTACATGCACAAGCAAAGTCTGTGCTGCCAAAAAAGTTTTTCATTCCTTTGATTTTCCCATGTATGAATCAGCAATAGGACGGAAGCATTAAGACATCTGTATAAAAAGAGCTTTATTCCGCGACAAATAATCCCTTTTCAACCAGATGAGCATTCATTGTTAGAGAGTGTTTTTGAAAATATTATCTGTGTGCTGTTAAGCATTGTATCATTCTCAGCTATGACAAACTAAAAAGCAAAAATTTGAACTTGGCGGTGTCAATTTGTCCAAGAATAATTGAATTCCCGACTGTTTCCGAAAACATAAAACATGAATATTTGGTCACAAATGCAAACTCTTTTCAAAATATTTGACTTTTTTTTTTTATTAAAAAGTCATTTCCGCGTTTATTGTTTTTTTTAGCATCCGACTTGAATTTGAGACGAATAATAGCAGATACACGATATTACGCCGCCAAACACCTTTAATTTAACAGATATAAAAACAAGCAAATTAAAAAATCTTTTGAAAACTGTGATCCAATTTCACCATTTACCAAACCGTAAAGCTTAGGATAATAACAAATTATCCATAGAGTTAATTTGCGTGTTAAAAATAGAAACGGATTGAATTTGTTCTAATTTGACAATACCATAACAAAATTATTTTTAATCATGTTTTCGATGCCGATAAATAAGCAGTTTATGTAAATAACCTGTCATTTTTGAGCACTGATAATTAAATATTTATCTTCTCCCTCTGTGTTGGGAAATTCTGGACTTCAGTGAAACCTCGGGAAATGACTGAAACGAGAAAAGTGAAAGTTTTACTAAAGTTGATTGGTTGGTTGGAATCTGGCGAAGACTGAGAACCAATTCCCTTACCCTAGATTTTACGTCAATATATTTGATGTCTCGGTTTATTCAGAGTAGCGACTGCAGCTCAGTTAACAAACATTAATGCCATTAATATGTTTGCGCCTGCCAACTGTAAAATAAAAGTTAATTAAAATACGGAGTTAATGAACATGGTAAACATTTATGGATATCGATTATATTTCATCTGACAATAAGATGAGAAAACTTTTTAAATCAGTTCTTAAACAACCTGTCTTTTTATGAGCGCTAATAATTAAGTTTTCACCTTTTTCTCTGCGTGTGGGAAATTCTGAAACCGAGACTGAGAAGCAGCGTATGGCAGTTTGCGGCCTTCCCCTTCATCTAGGCGGTTCGGAAAGCCGCAAAACTCTAGAACAAAAATTTATCTTTCAAATCGGCACTCTTAGTCCCTACGTTATCAACGAGCGCTTTTCATTCACTTTTGACAGTGTAAACTTTAAGATTGGTTCCTGCCTCAGCGTGCCGTCGTGAAGACATGAAGCAAGCTAAAGGTTTAGGGAACATAAAAGATGTGTAAGACTTGCTCTACGCTTAGCCGAGAGTAACTATAGGTTCCCGAGTAAAAAAACATAGAATAAAACAGATTTCCAATCGAGTGTTAATGGTTTTTTTTCAGTATTCATCCCTTTATCTCCGATCTCGATTTAGGAATCAGTTTGTTCACTTCATTATTCGAGTGCAACTTTAATTGTGATCAGAGGATAATCGTTGATGACAAACGAGAGTCGCTGCAAGAAGAAGTCAAATCACCTGCTTTATACTCGAAAGCTTGCTTGATAGGAGAAGAAATTGGATCTAGCTATGCTTGATTAGCTGACTTTTGCTTGTTATTATCCAGGAAAATTTGCAAGGGAAAGGAAGAGAGAAATTTAAGAGTGAAAAATAACTTGCATGAGATGATTTTTTTATTGGCGGTGTATCTTGTTTCGTGTCCAATTCCAGTCCGAGACGAAACTGAGAAAAAATAGCTGTAACTTTTTTCTTTTTAATTATAATGTTCAACTTAATTATTTTAAAATAAAGGGGTTCGTTTCTTAAGCAATTGTGGTGCTGCGACGGAGGGGGAGAATAACAACTAAGAGTGCCGATTTGAAAGATAAATTTTTGTTCTAGAGTTTCGCAGCCGCTGTTTGGGAAACAGCTTTCCGAAGAGGTAATCCCCACCGAGTCAAAGAACGCTTTTCATTCAACTAATTGATTCTAACTAATTTGTTCTAAAGAAACAAGACGGCCCGGTTTACAAGATCCCATGTGAATGCAGCAAAGTGTATATCGGTGAAACAGGGAGATCGATGCGAAAAGGATACAAGAACATGACAGAGAGATACGGTTTGCTCGTACTCAAACCTCTGCGGTTTCGGAGCGCCCTAAAGAAACGGGGCATATTACTATTTGGAGCAAGGTTAAGTTTATTGATCGTGACCCCCACTGGTACACGCGAAGGGTCAAAGAGACTATCCATATAAGACTTCACCCCAGCAACATCAATAAAGATAGTAGTATCAAAAAAAAGTCCTCTGACATGTGCGGATCAAAAACTCCGCTGACATGTGCGCGGGCCTAAACTACACAGGAAGCCCAGTAATTAAAGATTAAATCGTCACAGTGTCACTATACTTAGGATGTCATCAATGTTTAGATTCCTCGACTTTTGGTTTTTCTTGGGCAATATAAGAATAATATTATCAAAACAGTTTGTGACGCGACTTAATGATTAATGTAATTAAGCTCCTTATTTCTTCCTTTTGAATAATTTGATAAGACTAATAAGAGCTTAACGGAAGATCTTATTAACTCCATAAACAGCAAATTGCTTGCCTGATTGTCAGCTTCACAGCTTGTCTCACTTCACTAATCTTCCAGCAATATAGGAACGGGTTTAACGTCGAGTTGAAATAAACTAGGGCGTTTACTATTCCTAGGGCGGCAACTAAATGAGATAAATTTGCTTGTCTATGAGCCAACACATCTCCCACCGCACTAAGTGGTACATAACAAGCAAGTAACACTAACTATACTCACAGTGGAGTGTACACTGCCTTTTTGTATCGCACCATGTTCAGTGCCTGTGGTTGGGCCGGCTGTTGCTGAACATGATCTTATACATGAGTCTGATGATAACGCTGTATGTCTTTCTCTTTCTTTTCTTTTTTTTTTCTTGGTACACGGTAAATGTTGTTGCAGGAAATATATAAATATAATTTTATTAAGGTATCGTCAGTGCCTCGACTCCTTGCCCTTAAGTTGTTTACGTAAATCATAAAATACCAACAAACGCTCGAGCGACGATGTTTTCAAGCTTCATATCTATTACTATCTAGGGACGTATTCGAGAAGCATTGACTTGGAGCAGCCATAACTCTATAAGTTTGTTTTGGATTGAAATGTACGAGCACAGCTCAAAGAGAATCTAAATCCATGGACAACACATCACTTGTCTGATTATCTGCTTTACAGCTCGTCTCACTTCATGGATCTTCCAGCAGTAAAGGAACGGGTTCAAAGTGGAATTTAAGTAAGCAAAAGTAATTGCTATTTCTCTAATAACCATTAAAAGTGGTGAGTATGTCTTAGTATTAGTTATTACCAGCACAACTATACTCAATGGTACACAACAGACAACTAATGCTAACTGCACCCACAGTGCACTGTACATTGCCTTTTTGCATCGTGCCATGTTCAGTGCGTTTGGTTGGCTCGGCTGTTGTTGAACATGCTTTTGTACTTGAGCCCGGTGACGACTGAGAGTGCGGAAAATCTTAATATACGAAGCGACTGAGATTACTAAGCAAGACGGTATGATGATAGGACCCAACCAAGGGGGTATAGTGGGAACAAACACAAAGAATAGGGTGTCGATACCGGGGACAACCCAAAAAAGCGCTAGAGCCACATAAATGCGCTTTAAATTCACAATTTGTTTGTATCTCAGCCCTAACAACAAGGCGAGAAGTCTGTCCACGCTTATGGCCGTCGTCGTCATTAAAGACACTGAATATAATACATAAGATGTTATGAAGCTTGCACCGAGTATGAATCGACAAATACTCCAGTGTTCATGAACCACGGATATCCAGAGAGAAGCAACAAGAGGATGCGCAAGGAGGCCTGCTAAAAGATCAGTTGTAACAAGACAACGGTATAAGAGTTTGGACGGTGGATGAAGGGAAGATTCCTTGTGAAGGGCAACAAGGATGAGAGAATTGCCAAAAAATGCTGTGATGGAGAGGAGAATGTTGACTGCTGAGGAAAATATTGCTAGTTGTTTTAATGCACCTCCCAAAGCGGGGGAGCATAGCAGTTCTTGAAATGTTTTTGCCTGTGTTTCATTTCCTGTTAAATTTGTTGTCTCCATCATACTGTAGTCGTTCCGGTTTTTTTTTTTGCAACTTACCACTGATTATGGCCAGAAATATTTCGTCTTAATGCATCCGAAAAGTTAAGATCACTTGGACCTTGCCTTCATAAGAGCACTTACACTAAGACTTCCTTATCAGTGTATATTCATTTACATGCACAAGCAAAGTCTGTGCTGCCAAAAAAGTTTTTCATTCATTTGATTTTTCCATGTATGAATCAGCAATAGGACGGAAGCATTAAGACATCTGTATAAAAAGAGCTTTATTCCGTGACAAATAATCCCTTTTCAACCAGATGAGCATTCATTGTTAGAGAGTGTTTTTGAAAATATTATCTGTTTGCTGTTAAGCATTGTATCATTCTCAGCTATGACAAACTAAAAAGCAAAAATTTGAACTTGGCGGTGTCAATTTGTCCAAGAATAATTGAATTCCCGACTGTTTCCGAAAACATAAAACATGAATACTTGGTCACAAATGCAAACTCTTTTCAAAATATTTGACTTTTTTTTTTATTAAAAAGTCATTTCCGCGTTTATTGTTTTTTTTAGCATCCGACTTGAATTTGAGACGAATAATAGCAGATACACGATATTACGCCGCCAAACACCTTTAATTTAACAGATATAAAAACAAGCAAATTAAAAAATCTTTTGAAAACTGTGATCCAATTTCACCATTTACCAAACCGTAAAGCTTAGGATAATAACAAATTATCCATAGAGTTAATTTGCGTGTTAAAAATAGAAACGGATTGAATTTGTTCTAATTTGACAATACCATAACAAAATTATTTTTAATCATGTTTTCGATGCCGATAAATAAGCAGTTTATGTAAATAACCTGTCATTTTTGAGCACTGATAATTAAATATTTATCTTCTCCCTCTGTGTTGGGAAATTCTGGACTTCAGTGAAACCTCGGGAAATGACTGAAACGAGAAAAGTGAAAGTTTTACTAAAGTTGATTGGTTGGTTGGAATCTGGCGAAGACTGAGAACCAATTCCCTTACCCTAGATTTTACGTCAATATATTTGATGTCTCGGTTTATTCAGAGTAGCGACTGCAGCTCAGTTAACAAACATTAATGCCATTAATATGTTTGCGCCTGCCAACTGTAAAATAAAAGTTAATTAAAATACGGAGTTAATGAACATGGTAAACATTAATGGATATCGATTATATTTTATCTGACAATAAGACGAGAAAACTTTTTAAATCAGTTCTTAAACAACCTGTCTTTTTATGAGCGCTAATAATTAAGTTTTCACCTTTTTCTCCGTGTGTGGGAAATTCTGAAACCGAGACTGAGAAGCAGCGTATGGCAGTTTGTGGCCTTTCACTTCATCTAGGTGGTTCAGAAAGCCGCAAAACTCTAGAACAAAAATTTATCTTTCAAATCGGCACTCTTAATCCCCACGGTATCAACGAGCGCTTTCCACTCACTTTTGACAGAGTAAACTTTAAGATTGGTTCCTGCCTCAGCGTGCGGTCGTAGAGACATGAAGCACGCGAGCGTATAAGATGTGTAAGACTTGCTCTACGCTTAGCCGAGAGTAACTATAGGTTCCTTAATTATAAAACATAGAAGAGAACAAATTTTCCATCGAGTGTTAATAGTTTTTCTGATATCCATCCCTTCATCTCCGATCTCGACTTATGAATGAGTTTGTTTATTTCATTATTCGAGTGCAACTTTAATTGTGATCAGAGGATAATCGTTGATGGCAAACGAGAATCGCTTTAGGAAAGATGTCAAATCACCTGCTTTATACTCGAAAGCTTACTTGATAGGAGAAGAAACTGGATCTAGCCATGCTTGATTACCCAGATGTTGTTTGTTATTATCCAGTATAACTTCCATGAATTTGCAAATGAAAGGAAAAGAGAAATTTAAGAGTGAAAAATAAATTGCATGAGATGATTATTTTGTTGATGGTATATCTTGTTTCGTCTCCAATTCCAGTCCGAGACGAAACTGAGAAAAATTAGCTGTAACTTTTTTCTTTTTAATTATAATGTTAAACTGAATTATTTTAAAATAAGGCGGTACGTTTCTTTAGCAATTGTGGTGCTGCGTCGATGAGGGAGTATCCGCTTAAGAGTGCCGATTTGAAAGATAAATTTTTGTTCTAGAGTTTCGCAGCCGCTGTGTGGAAAGCAGCCTTCTGAACAGATAATCCCCACCGACTCAAAGAACGCTTTTCAATCAACTTATTATTCTAAAGAAACAAGACGGCCGTTTACAAGATCCCATGTGAATGCAGCAAAGTGTATATCGGTGAAACAGGGAGATCAGTGCGAGAAAAGATAAAAGAACATGACAGACATATGGTTTGCTCGTACTCAAACCTCTGCGGTTTCGGAGCACGCTAACGAATCGGGGTATATTCCTATTTGGAGCAAGGTTAAGTTTGTTGACAGTGATCCCCAATTGTACACGCGTAGGGTCAAAGAGGATATCCATGTAAGACTTCATCCCAACAACATGAATAGAGATAGTGGAATCGAAATTCCCGAAACCTGGATACCCTCGATTAAACAACACAACAGCCGGTCGATAAGGACCTATGAGGGAACACCACCTTTAATAAGCGAAGTAATAATGGGGACCGAAATGCACCAATAGCAGCGAACCAACGTGCTACAAATAGCGACAAGTAAACAATCGACCTCATCGCCTAATGAAGACTAACATTGTTGCAGTCGAAACGTCGCGATCAACATCCAAAGTGACTCCATCGTGAGACAATCGAATAAAGTTCATCTCCTATCTTACACCATGATGAACGATAACCACATGTTTTATTACATGAAACATCCTCTTTTAAATTCTTATTATAATGAAAGTGAAGATCGACCCTTGCACAATTGAGGCTTTATTCGACAAGACCTGGTGCCTACATACTGAACAACATAAACATGGCGGCCTAGCAAAAACAAATCCGCTGACACGTGCGGATCAACAACTCCACTGACATGTGCGCGGGCACTAAACTACACAGGAAGCCCAGTAATTAAAGATTAAATCCTCATACTGTCACTACACTTATGACGTCGTTAATGTTTAGATTCCTCGACTTTTGGTTTTTCTTGGGCAATATAAGAATAATATTATCAAAACAGTTTTGTGACGCGACTAAATGATTAATATAATTAAGCTCCTTATTTCTTCCTATTCAATGATTTATCCGACAAGCGATATCCAATAACAATCAACTTTGATAAGACTAATAAGAGCTTAACGGAAGATCTAACTAACTCCATAAACAGCAAAGTGCTTACCGGATTGTCTGCTTCACTGCTTGTCTCACTTCACTATTCTTCCAGCAGAACAGGAACGGGTTTAATGCCGAGTTTAAATAAACTAGGGTGTTTGCTATTCCCAGGGCGACAACTAAATGTGATAAATTTGCTTGTCTATGAGCCATCTGTATCGAAGTCTCCAGAAATGAATAGAACATTGATTTAACACAACGCTATTGCATAAGCTGAACTAGAAACTTCTCCATACTCCAGAACGTTCTATTGAGTTATTTTGAGGATATGTCATCATTAGCGTCTAGAAAGTTCCTGCTGCTAAAAATAGTATTTCAGAAAATAAGTATGATGTAGTCGGCTACTATAAATAAGGCTCGAGATCATAAGGTTTTCTGAAGTTTAAGATAAATAATAAAGTGTTTAAAAAGGAGAACAAGAATCGTCTCCTGGCTTCGTGACACCATCACAATTTTCACCACACTAACTGGTACATAACAAGGAAGTAACACTAACTGCACCCACAATGCATTACACTGCCTTTCTGCATCGCACCATGCTCAGTGCAATTTTGTTGGGCCGGCTGTTGTTGAACATGATCTCGCACATGAGTCTGATGATAACGCTGTATGTCTTTCTCTTTCTTTTTCTTTTTTTTTTCTTGGTACACGGTAAATTCCGTTGCAGGAAATCTAAAAATATAGTTTTCTTAAGGTATCGTCAATGCCTCGATTCCTTGCCCTTAAGTTATTTACGTAAATCATAAAATACCAACAAACGCTCGAGCGACGATCTTTTCAAGCTTCATATCTATTACTCTCCAGGGACGTATTCGAGAAGCATTACTTGGAGCAGCCATAACTCTATAAGTTTGTTTTGGATTAAAATGTACGAGCACAGCTCAAGGAGAATCTAAATCCACGGCCAACATATCACTTGTCTGATTATCTGCTTTACAGCTCGTCTCACTTCATTGATCTTCCAGCAGTAAAGGAACGGGTTCAAAGTGGAATTTAAGTAAGCAAAAGTAATTGCTATTTCTCTAATAACCATTAAAAGTGGTGAGTATGTCTTAGTATTAGTTATTACCAGCACAACTATACTTAATGGTACATAACAGACAACTAATGCTAACTGCACCCACAGTGCACTGTACATTGCCTTTTTGCATCGTGCCATGTTCAGTGCGTTTGGTTGGCTCGACTGTTGTTGAACATGCTCCTGTACTTGAGCCTGGTGACGACTGAGAGTGCGGAAAATCTTAATATACGAAGCGACTGAGATTACTAAGCAAGACGGTATGATGATAGGACCCGACCAAGGGGGTATAGGGGGAACAAACAGAAAGAATAGGGTGTCGATACAGGGGACAACCTTAAAAAGCGCTAGAGCCACATAAATGCGCTTTAAATTAACATTTTGTTTGTAGCTCAGCCCTAACAACAAGGCGAGAAGTCTGTCCACGCTTATGGCCATCGTCGTCATTAAAGACACTGAATGTAATACATAAGACGTTGCGAGGCTTGCATCAAGTACGAATCGACAAATACTCCAGTGTTCATGAACCACGGATATCCAGAGAGAAGCAACAAGAGGATGCACAAGGAGGCCTGCTAAAAGATCAGTTGTAGCAAGACAACGGTATAAGAGTTTGGACGGTGGATGAAGGGAAGATTCCTTGTGAAGGGCAACAAGGATGATAGAATTGCCAAAAAATGCTGTCATGGAAAGGAGAATGTTGACTGCTGAGGAAAATATTGCTAGTTGTTTATGCACCTCCCAAAGCGGGGGAGCATAGCAGTTCTTGAAATGTTTTTGCCTGTGTTTCATTTCCTGTTAAATTTGTTGTCTCCATCATACTGTAGTCGTTCCGGTTTTTTTTTGCAACTTACCACTGATTATGGCCAGAAATATTTCGTCTTAATGAGCATCCGAAAAGTTAAGATCACTTGGACCTTGCCTTCATAAGAGCACTTACACTAAGACTTCCTTATCAGTGTATATTCATTTACATGCAAAAGCAAAGTGTCTGTGCTGCCAAAAAAGTTTTTCACCTTTAACTTTTGATTTGCCCACGTATGAATCAGCAATAGGACGGAAGCATTAAGACATCTGTATGACAAACAATCCCTTTTCAACCAGATGAGCATTCATTGTTAGAGAGTATTTTTGAAAATATTATCTGTGTGCTGTTAAGCATTGTATCATTCTCAGCTATGACAAACTAAAAAGCAAAAATTTGAACTTGGCGGTGTCAATTTGTCCAAGAATAATTGAATTCCCGACTGTTTCCGAAAACATAAAACATGAATATTTGGTCACAAATGCAAACTCTTTTCAAAATATTTGACTTTTTTTTATTAAAAAGTCATTTCCGCGTTCATTGTTTTTTTTAGCATCCGACTTCAAATTGAGACGAATAATAGCAGATGCACGATATTACGCAGCCAAACCCTTTAATTTAACAGATATAAAAACAAGCAAATTAAAAAATCTTTTGAAAACTGTGATCCAATTTCACCATTTACCAAACCGTAAAGCTTGCGATAATAACAAATTATTCATAGAGTTAATTTGCGTGTTAAAAATAGACACGGATTGAATTTGTTCTAATTTGACAATACGATAACAAAATTATTTTTAATCATGTTTTCGATGCCGATAAATAAGCAGTTTATATAAATAATCTGTCATTTTTGAGCACTGATAATTAAATATTTATCTTCTCTCTCTGTGTTGGGAAATTCTGGACTTCAGTGAAACCTCGAGAAATGACTGAAACGAGAAAAGTGAAAGTTTTAGTAAAGTTGGTTGGTTGGTTGGAATCTGGCGAAGACTGAGAACCAATTCCCTTACCCTAGATTTGAAGTCAATATATTTGATGTCTCGGCTTATTCAGAGTAGCGACTGCAGCTCAGTTAACAAACATTAATGTCATTAATAGGTTTGCGCCTGCCAACTGTAAAATAAAAGTTAATCAAAATGGAGAGTTAATGAACATGGTAAACATTTATGGATATCGATTATATTTTATCTGACAATAAGATGAGAAAACTTTTTAAATCAGTTCTTAAACAACCTGTCTTTTTATGAGCGCTAATAATTAAGTTTTCCCCTTTTTTTCTCTGTGTGTGGGAAATTCTGAAACCGAGACTGAGAAGCAGCGTATGGCAGTTTGCGGCCATCCACTTCATCTAGGCGGTTCGGAAAGCCGCAAAACTCTAGAACAAAAATTTATCTTTCAAATCGGCACTCTTAGTCCCTACGTTATCAACGAGCGCTTTTCGTTCACTTTTGACAGTGTAAACTTTAAGATTGGTTCCTACCTCAGCGTGCGGTCGTGAAGACATGAAGCACGCTAAAGGTTTAGGGAACATAAAAGATGTGTAAGACTTGCTCTACGCTTAGCCGAGAGTAACTATAGGTTCCCGAGTAAAAAAACATAGAATAAAACAGATTTCCAATCGAGTGTTAATGGTTTTTTTTCAGTATTCATCCCTTTATCTCCGATCCCGATTTAGGAATCAGTTTGTTCACTTCATTATTCGAGTGCAACTTTAATTGTGATCAGAGGATAATCGTTGATGACAAACGAGAGTCGCTGCAAGAAGAAGTCAAATCACCTGCTTTATACTCGAAAGCTTGCTTGATAGGAGAAGAAATTGGATCTAGCTATGCTTGATTAGCTGACTTTTGTTTGTTGTTATCCAGGAAAATTTGCAAGGGAAAGGAAGAGAGAAATTTAAGAGTGAAAAATAAATTGCATAAGATGATTTTTTTATTGGCGGTGTATCTTGTTTCGTGTCCAATTCCAGTCCGAGACGAAACTGAGAAAAAATAGCTGTAACTTTTTTCTTTTTAACTATAATGTTCAACTGAATTATTTTAAAATAAAGGGGTTCGTTTCTTAAGCAATTGTGGTGCTGCGACGGTGGGGGAGAATTACAACTAAGAGTGCCGATTTGAAAGATAAATTTTTGTTCTAGAGTTTCGCAGCCGCTGTTTGGGAAACAGCTTTGCGAAGAGGTAATCCCCACCGAGTCAAAGAACGCTTTTCATTCAACTAATTGATTCTAACTAATTTGTTCTAAAGAAACAAGACGGCCCGGTTTACAAGATCCCATGTGAATGCAGCAAAGTGTATATCGGTGAAACAGGGAGATCGATGCGAGAAAGGATACAAGAACATGACAGAGAGATACGGTTTGCTCGAAATCAAACCTCTGCGGTTTCGGAGCGCCCTAAAGAAACGGGGTATATTCCTATTTGGAGCAAGGTTAAGTTTATTGATCGTGACACCCACTGGTACACGCGTGGGGTCAAAGAGACTCTCCATATAAGACTTCACCCCAGCAACATCAATAAAGATAGTGGTATCAAAAAAAAGTCCTCTGACATGTGCGGATCAACAACTCCGCTGACATGTACGCGGGCCTAAACTACACAGGAAGCCCAGTAATTAAAGATTAAATCGTCACAGCGTCACTACACTTAGGATGTCATTAATGTTTAGATTCCTCGACTTTTGGTTTTTCTTGGGCAATATAAGAATAATATTATCAAAACAGTTTGTGACGCGACTTAATGATTAATGTAATTAAGCTCCTTATTTTCTCCTTTTGAATAATTTATCAGACAAGCGATATCCAATAACAACCAGCTTTGATACGACTAACAAGTACTTAACGGAAGATCTTATTAACTCCATAAACAGCAAATTGCTTGTCTGATTGTCAGCTTCACAGCTTGTCTCACTTCACTAATCTTCCAGCAGTATAGGGACGGGTTTAACGTCGAGTTGAAATAAACTAGGGCGTTTACTATTCCCAGGGCGACGACTAAATGAGATAAATTTGCTTGTCTATGAGCCAACACAATTCCCACCGCACTAAGTGGTACATAACAAGCAAGTAACACTCACTATACTCACAGTGGAGTGTACACTGCCTTTTTGTATCGCACCATGTTCAGTGCCTTTGGTTGGGCCGGCTGTTGCTGAACATGATCTTGTACATGAGTCTGATGATAACGCTGTATGTCTTTCTCTTTCTTTTCTTTTTTTTTCTTGGTACACGGTAAATGTTGTTGCAGGAAATATATAAATATAATTTTCTTAAGGCATCGTCAGAGCCTCGATTCCTTGCCCTTAAGTTGTTTACGTAAATCATAAAATACCAACAAATGCTCGAGCGACGATCTTTTCAAGCTTCATATCTATTACTATCTAGGGACGTATTCGAGAAGCATTGACTTGGAGCAGCCATAACTCTATAAGTTTGTTTTGGATTGAAATGTACGAGCACAGCTCAAAGAGAATCTAAATCCATGGAAAACACATCACTTGTCTGATTATCTGCTTTACAGCTCGTCTCACTTCATTGATCTTCCAGCAGTAAAGGAACGGGTTCAAAGTGGAATTTAAGTAAGCAAAAGTAATTGCTATTTCTCTAATAACCATTAAAAGTGGTGAGTATGTCTCAGTATGAGTTATTACCAGCAAAACTATACTCAATGGTACATAACAGACAACTAATGCTAACTGCACCCACAGTGCACTGTACATTGCCTTTTTGCATCGTGCCATGTTCAGTGCGTTTGGTTGGCTCGACTGTTGTTGAACATGCTCTTGTACTTGAGCCTGGTGACGACTGAGAGTGCGGAAAATCTTAATATACGAAGCGACTGAGATTACTAAGCAAGACGGTATCAGGATAGGACCCAACGAAGGGGGTATATGGAGAACAAACAGAAAGAATAGGGTGTCGATACAGGGGACAACCCAAAAAAGCACTAGAGCCATATAAATGCGCTTTAAATTCATAATTTGTTTGTATCTCAGCCCTAACAACCAGGCGAGAAGTCTGTCCACGCTTATGGCCGTCGTCGTCATTAAAGACACTGAATGTAATACAAAAGACGTTGCGAGGCTTGCATCAAGTACGAATCGACAAATACTCCAGTGTTCATGAACCACGGATATCCAGAGAGAAGCAACAAGAGGATGCGCAAGGAGGCCTGCTAAAAGATCAGTTGTAGCAAGACAACGGTATAAGAGTTTGGACGGTGGATGAAGGGAAGATTCCTTGTGAAGGGCAACAAGGATGAGAGAATTGCCAAAAAATGCTGTCATGGAGAGGAGAATGTTGACTGCTGAGGAAAATATTGCCAGTTGTTTTAATGCACCTCCCAAAGCGGGGGAGCATAGCAGTTCTTGAAATGTTTTTGCATGTGTTTCATTTCCTGTTAAATTTGTTGTCTCCATCATACTGTAGTCGTTCCGGTTTTTTTTTTTGGCAACTTACCACTGATTATGGCCAGAAATATTTCGTCTTAATGAGCATCCGAAAAGTTAAGATCACTTGGACCTTGCCTTCATAAGAGCACTTACACTAAGACTTCCTTATCAGTGTATATTCATTTACATGCACAAGCAAAGTGTCTGTGCTGCCAAAAAAGGTTTTTTCCTTTAACTTTTAATTTGCCCACGTATGAATCAGCAATAGGACGGAAGCATTAAGACATCTGTATGACAAACAATCCCTCTTCAACCAGATGAGCATTCATTGTTAGAGAGTATTTTTGAAAATATTATCTGTGTGCTGTTCAGCATTGTATCATTCTCAGCTATGACAAACTAAAAAGCAAAAGTCTGAACTTGGCGGTGTCAATTTGTCCAAGAATAATTGAATTCCCGACTGTTTCCGAAAACATAAAACATGAATACTTGGTCACAAATGCAAACTCTTTTCAAAATATTTGACTTTTTTTTATTAAAAAGTCATTTCCGCGTTCATTGTTTTTTTTAGCATCCGACTTGAATTTGAGACGAATAATAGGAGATGCACGATATTACGCAGCCAAACCCCTTTAATTTAACAGATATAAAAACAAGCAAATTAAAAAATCTTTTGAAAACTGTGATCCAATTTCACCATTTACCAAACCGTAAAGCTTAGGATAATTACAAATTATCCATAGAGTTAATTTGCGTGTTAAAAATAGAAACGGATTGAATTTGTTCTATTTTACAATACCATAACAAAATTATTTTTAATCATGTTTTCGATGCCGATAAATAAGCAGTTCATATAAATAATCTGTCATTTTTGAGCACTGATAATTAAATATTTATCTTCTCTCTCTGTGTTGGGAAATTCTGGACTTCAGTGAAACCTCGAGAAATGACTGAAACGAGAAAAGTGAAAGTTTTAGTAAAGTTGGTTGGTTGGTTGGAATCTGGCGAAGACTGAGAACCAATTCCCTTACCCTAGATTTGAAGTCAATATATTTGATGTCTCGGCTTATTCAGAGTAGCGACTGCAGCTCAGTTAACAAACATTAATGTCATTAATAGGTTTGCGCCTGCCAACTGTAAAATAAAAGTTAATCAAAATGGAGAGTTAATGAACATGGTAAACATTTATGGATATCGATTATATTTTATCTGACAATAAGATGAGAAAACTTTTTAAATCAGTTCTTAAACAACCTGTCTTTTTATGGGCGCTAATAATTAAGTTTTCCCCTTTTTTTCTCTGTGTGTGGGAAATTCTGAAACCGAGACTGAGAAGCAGCGTATGGCAGTTTGCGGCCATCCACTTCATCTAGGCGGTTCGGAAAGGCGCAAAACTCTAGAACAAAAATTTATCTTTCAAATCGGCACTCTTAGTCCCTACGTTATCAACGAGCGCTTTTCATTCACTTTTGACAGTGTAAACTTTAAGATTGGTTCCTGCCTCAGCGTGCGGTCGTGAAGACATGAAGCACGCCAAAGGTTTAGGAAGCATAAAAGATGTGTAAGACTTACTCTACGCTTAGCCGAGAGTAACTATAGGTTCCCGAGTAAAAAAAAAATAGAATAAAACAGATTTCCAATCGAGTGTTAATGTTTTTTTTTCACTATTCATCCCTTCATCTCCGAACTCGATTTAGGAATGAGTTTGTTCACATCATTATTCGAGTGCAACTTTAATTGTGATCAGAGGATAATCGTTGATGACAAACGAGAATCGCTGCAAGAAGGAGTCAAATCACCTGCTTTATACTCGAAAGCTTGCTTGATAGGAGAAGAAATTGGATATAGCTATGCTTGATTAGCTGACTTTTGTTTGTTATTATCCAGGAAAATTTGCAAGGGAAAGGAAGAGCGAATATTATTACTTGAATATTAATTAATTATCAACACAGAAACTGACACAACAAATGGAGGGAACATATTTAACGTTCTTTCAACAAATTTCACTCAGTAAATTTACTTTTGCACCAAATTAATAGTACAGTTGTGAAATACACATCTGGAAAAATTCTCTATTCCATTAGTACAGTAATCTGGGAAAGGCATATTAGACAATACATCATCTGAAACTTCGAATTCAAGATCAGTTGGCAGAAGTGACTCCAACTCGTTTTCGCTAACCTCTGCGTTTGACCTTTTGCCAGTAATCCCTAATGTTTTTCTCGTATGCTAATTTCTAACGTTCACAAAAGCATAATTGTTATGAACTCTCTTGACACACGCTTTTCCAAGAATGTTTTTGAAGCCGTTCAAAAAACTCGCAGCACGTGTTTTATCGGGTCAAAAACCACTCGGCTACGCCTGGTGGTTTTAAACCCGATAAAACACTCCTGCTCGTTTTTTAAACATTACATGAACAGCAAAGTGCTTTTCGGATTGTCTGCTTCATTGCTTGTCTCACTTCACTAATCTTCCAGCAATACAGGAACGGGTTTAACGTCGAGTTTAAATAAACTAGGGTGTTGGCTACTCCCAGGGCGACGACAAAATGTGATAAATTTGCTTGTCTAGGACCTATCACAGTTGCCACTACACTAACTGGTAAGTAACAGGCAAGTAACACTAACTGCACCCACAGTGCACTGTACACTGCCTTTCTGTATCGTGCCATGTTCAGTGCATTTGGTTGGCTTGGCTGTTGTTGAACATGATCTTGTATTTGAGCCTGATGACGGCGAAGAGCGAGGAAAATCTTAGCATATGAAGCAATCGAGATTAATAGACAAGATGGGATGATAATGCGACCAAACCAACGCGCTATACGAGGAAGTAACGCGTGGCATAGAGTAGCGACAACGGTTATAATCCAAAGAGTAACGACAATGACATATGTACGCTTCAGAGTTACAATTTGTTTGTATCTCAGCCTCAACAACAAGGCCAGAAGTCTGTCCACGCTCATGGCTGCCACTGTCATTAAAGACATTAAAGATAATCCATACCCTGAAATGGAGGCTGCTTCCCAAGCGAATCGACAAAGTCTCCACTGTTCATGAACAACCGACATCCAAAGAGTAGCAGTGAGAGGCTGGCCTACCAGACCAATCAACAGATCAGTTGTTGCCAGACAACAATACAAGAGTTTGGATGGCGGATGGAGGGAAGATATCTTGTGAAGTGCAACGAAGATCAGAGAATTCCCAAGAAATGCTGTAAGGGAAAAAAAAATGTTGACTGCTGACAAAAGTAAGGAGTATTGTTGCAATTCGCCCGCCAAAGAAGAGGAGCATACAAGTTCTTCAAACGTTTTCGTTTGCGTTTCATCTCCAGTGGACTTTGTTGCCGCCATCCTCTACAACCGTTTTACCTTTTTTCATTTAGGTTATTCGTAATTGTAACGAGAGATTCTTTGTCTTGAAAGCACCTGTCCAACTCCGATCACTTTCTTTCTTTCACCACCGTCTGTGGTGCCAAAAAAGGGGAAATTTGGTCCATGAATTCTCCCTATGCCTCAGGTATCAAAGACCATAAAGACATCTGTTACCACCATATTTTATAGCTGTCTGAAACGATAAAATTAACCTATATCTTATTCAAAAGCGTCGTAAGCGCTTCCTTATTTTCCTTTCCATATTTTCGATTCCCCCTTAGGCTCGTTTCTAGGTTAATTTCATGTCGAATTCCCGACAAGGAAAACAATTCTTCATTTCAATTTAGCACGTCCAACACCTCTTTCATTCAAGATGAATATAAAAGTAAACGACTGACACTTCATCCTTCGCACTGAATTTATAATCAGGTTATACATAGCTTGTTGTGTAGTCAACGTCTCTATCTTATCCGCAAAGACTTACGAGTTCTTAAACTAATGTCATGGAGTAGGCAGCAAAGAGAGGCTGGCTAACAAGACCAACCAACAGATCAGATGTTGCTAGAAAACGGTACAAGAGTTTGGACGGCGAATTAAGGAAAGATTTCTTATAAAAGGCAACAAGGATAAAAGAATTCCCATGAAATTTTGATAAAGAGAGGAAAATGGTGACTACTGACAATTAGAATGAGTGTTTTTGTAACTTAGTTACAAATCTTGGGAAACATATCAATATTTCAAACGGTTTCGTCTCTATTCTTTCGTTTAGAAAGCTCCCACCCCGTTGTAATCACTTACACCTTAATTTTGTAATAGGATTCACATGACCTGATATACTTAATAACGTTTACTATTCTGAAAATCGAGCACAAGCCCTATATTTTGTGAAAAAAATAATCTCATTCTCGAATTTTGTGGCAGCTGTTCCTTGCAGTTATCATCAGCCATGAAAGCACCCAATTTCTAAGTGATCAGCAATTCTTTAGCCTTTTGTTTTGGCTATATGGAGCGAAATTCCCTTAATTGTTGTAACCTGTTAGCATTTATTTTACTCTAATGAAATAATTAGTGATCTCAAATTAATGACCGTTAGCCTTCTGAAATGTTCTTTTCTTTTTTTGAAAAGAGTATAATCACCCTCTAGGCCAGAAATTAAATATTTCTTTCAGCAAATTAATAGCCTGTTACACAGATGAAAACAGGAAGTTTATCAGAATTTATTTGCCCTCCTCGGATAAATTTGATTCTAGCAAACATTTGAGTGTTAAAAGAGAAACACTGATATTTACCTTTTTGTGAAAAGTTGATTCAGTGTAGAAATGTTATCCAGGAGAGACATGTTTCTTTAAACAGAGCTCGAGAGACAATCGGTATAAATGCCAGGAAATATTCTTCGTCATTTCGCAACTCAGAAAACAGGAATTTCGATTTTTCATGCATGGTTTTCGTAACTATATGTAACGAGAGATATTTTTTTTTATGACAGCACCAGCCTTGCCAAGACGACTTTAAACTTACTATCTGTGATAAAATTTTCACATAAACTTTCACAGTATGGCCTAGCTATTCAAAATGCAAATGAAAACTGCCTATTCAGTCAAAAAATATAGCAATTTTCCCAGCAGGTGCTCTGGAGTGTAATAGGCTTAGATCATCACTCTTTATCAATTTCGAAGGAACAGATGATTCTTTGAAACTGTTAGAGAATCATCTAAAATTATTATTTAATCGAGATGGTTTCACCTCTGTATTCTAAGAGGTACTTGAATACCGCTGAAGTTAATTTAACATTATTTACGACACAATATTCCCTTTCCCGGGGAAAATTTTTGACTGCTAATTATTTCTGGTAGTTCGGCGAGACAGGAGTTTTTTCACTGAATTAGCTGTGCGTAAGGCCATGTATTTGGGTAAAGTTTCATTTAATAAATGAATTGGCATTGACACGTAAAATGATAGAGGTTTTGATTTAAGTATAATATCACAATGGAAAAAAAAAGCTGCCCCAAATATGGAATTCCTGGCTTTAAAATAATAAAAGTTCAAGTGTAAATATGATTTTTGACACAAGACCTCCAGGTTTATCATCAGCCTTGGGAAACTGCTTTGTTTAAAGTGAATCGCTAATCTTATTAGTCTGGAAACAATTTGATTACAAACTGTAAACTATTCAGATCAAAGGTGTAGGCAGAGGTGCCAAGTGATTTAATAACAATGTTTTAGTTTCACTGAAAGACCCTGATATTTTCAAGACGCTTCGCTTCCGACTAAGATTGAATGCGAGGAAATTACTCGATAGACACAAAATATAACGCCACCAACAGTGTTATGTGAAATACCATTGATCCATCTTGCAGTTTGTGAATACTTAGAATGAAAAACAAAGCCAGTCAGAAGGTTAGCTTGGATGGCATTCCGCGTAAAAAGCAACCTCAAATATATATTCATCTCTTTACCTGAGAAGGACTCCCAAGAGATCTCAAAGGTTTATTCTAACGCACATTGGTGTTATAAATATTTCTTTTCGCGGAAAAAAATGCTTTCTACATTGTTTCTGACTATTTACATGGGCAGGGGTTTTTATTTCAAAACCACACAAACGAGTTTATCTGATTGATTAAGCTTAAGTTACCCACAAGTTCTTCGTAAACATAATGGGGAGTTCCCTATATTTCTTTTCGCGGAAAAAAATGCTTTCTACATTGTTTCTGACTATTTACATGGGCAGGGGTTTTTATTTCAAAACCCCACAAACGAGTTTATCTGATTGATTAAGCTTAAGTTACCCACAAGTTCTTCGTAAACATAATGGAGAGTTCCCTATCATGACAAAAATCCACAATCCCGTGCAGAACGTCTCTTACTGTAAGTCAATGCAAAATGTTTTGTATCTCAGCCGCAATAGCAGAGCGATAAGTCTGTCCACGCTAATGGCCGTCATTGTCAATAAAGAAACTACGCATAATGTATAGCTTGCTATTACGACTACTTTAGATACGTATCGAGAAAGATTCCACTGTTGGTGAACCAAGGGCATCCAATAAGTAGCGGTGAGACGCTGGCTAACAAGACCAACCAATAGATCAGTTGTTGCCAGACAACGATACAAGAGTTTGGACGGCGGATGAAGGGAAGATTCCTTATGAAGAGCAGCAAGAATAGTCCCTCAATTGGTTTGCTGCGCTCCACCTCGTGTTATATTTGTGGTCTTCATTTTACAACGCAGTTTAATGAACAGTGGTCCACTTTCCTGGCTTTACTGCAGCAAGACATGTTTGTCCTATCAGCACCTGCTAAGCTTTACTTACCTAAAAAGATTGACATAACGAACTCTCAGTAGCATTTATTATTCCAACAATGCTTGTACAGCTGTTAATCGTGTCGTAGAGGTGTCAAAAAATGTTCGCAGTGGATTTAGCTGGTGTATCGTTTCTCAATCAGACGAACCAAACCAAAAGGGGAAACGATTGTTTTAAAAACTGGCAATTGTATGCAGTTCTTCACTTTCTGCCAACAAAACACAAGAAGAAATTAATAACTGAAGACGAAGACCCCTAGAAGTCTGGCACTTAACGTTCATTTTAGCCGGAACACATTTTTTTTGGCTGGTTCAGTTCACTATCTCTTAAAACTTTCTTTCCTATTCTTATCCCAAAAAGAAATCCTTAGTGGCATTTATCGTTTACAATGCGTGGGCAAAGTACACGTGTGTCGCGTAAATTCGGAACAAACAAAAAGACTTGTCTTTAAAATTTTTCGGCATTATTTGCCTTAGGTATGATTTTGCTGTAAGTGACAAGTAAAGAGACATCTGTAAAATGCTTATTTTATAGCGCTGCTAAAAAAAACCCTTTCCTCTCTATCATGCAATAGAACGTCTATTTTTGTTTGTGAGATCTTTAGTACGTCTTGAGGCTTCTTCAAGCCAAGATCAAGCCAAGACGTAAATCGTTCGAGGAGAAAGTTGAAACGGTGGCAGTCTATAGATAGAAATACATATGCATTCATATATACAAAATTAAATTTAAGTTTTGATTTGCATTTGGAGAAAAACGTTGAAAGACTTCTGCAACATTATCATTTTGCAGTATGACCCAGCTAAACCTCACTCTGGTAAATTAGAAAGATATTCAAACACCGTAAATACCGTGACCGAATTTTTAAGATACTTTTTAGGAACCTCCCAGCATTTTTTCTCCATGATTTCCATCGAACCACAATTCAGATGTAAAAAAAAAAAAAAAAAAAAAAAAAAATGAAGGTTAAAAAAAAAAGAAGCGATATACCAACCAAACCACCTTTATAAAATCTCACAATTTCTTCGTTAAATCTTTAATATCATTTTTGATAAGGCAAAAAACGATCCATCTTAACTCAGGAAAACGTTCGCTGATAAGTTAATGATTAAGTGTCACTTTCAACTCTCTGAATTTACCCCGACAAACTCAAAATTTAAAGTTCAATTCCGTGGTGTGCTTGATCCGAAAAAAATAACAATAATAAATAAATTAGTCACGACCTCCCAATACATAAATCTATTCAAACTCAATATTTTGTCGTGGATGTCAACTTATTTCAAAATAAGATATTTTGGTTTTATCAACTGAGTTAATAATGTAAATTGGCCACCGTAAAGAGTTTCTACGCTGATGTTTGAGCGTTAGCCCTGGTCAGAGCGAATGGTGGAATTATGGGTCGTGCGTGTGTTTAAATGCAGAAAATGGATTACGCTATTGGTGGGAATATGGTAACGAGAAAAACAAGAATGAATTAGTTGAACGAAAAGCGTTTGTTGGTACCGTGGGGATTACCTGCTCGGATAGCTGCTTTCCAAACAACGTCTGCAAAATTCTATGCCAAAAATTCATCTTTTAAATCGGCACTTTTAATTGTTATGTTCCCCCACTGACGCAGCACAAAGGTTGCTTTAGAAGCGTACCCCCTTCATTTTGAAATTATTCAGTTTAACATTATAATGAAAAAAAGGTCACAGCTATCTTTTCTCAGTTTCGTCTCCAAATGGAATTAGAGACGAAACAAGATATACCGCTAACAAATCATCTTCTGTAATTTATTTTTCGCTCTTAACTTTCTCTCTTCCTTTCGCTTGCAAATTCATGGAAATTGTCCTGGATAATAACAAACCAAAGTCGGCCTGTTAACCCTAAATCCAACTTCTTTTCGTAGCAAGCAAGCTTTCAGGTATACAGCAGGTGATTTGACTTCTTCTCGCAGCGATTATTGTTTGCGATCAACGATTATCCTTTGATCACAGTTAAAGTTGCACTCGAGTAATAAAGTAAACAAACTCATTCATAAATCGAGATCGGAGATGAAGGGATGGATAGTGAAAAAAAAAAAAAAAAAAATCATTAACGCTCGATTTACAATTTGTTCTCTTTGTTTCATTATTCGGGAACCTATAGTTACTCTCGGCTAGGGGTAAAGCAAGTCTTCTGCTTCCTAAATCTCTCGCATACTTCATATCTTAACGACCACACGCTGAGGCAGGAACCAATAAAAAAACTTACACTTTCAAAAATGAAGACAAATCAGCTCGACTAGACAATATCGGCTTCGTTTTTAGTCTGGGATGTTATCAAAAACTTAATTATTCATTTCATTTTCGCAACATGTCACCTCTAAATCTTTCATTTCAATCCATCATTTTTCTTTCACAGACAAAGATGCATCATCCCTTCGCTTCTTGTAATAGGATTCTTCTCCGGAAATTTAATTTCTGATCCTTTTTTATGATAATTTTTATGCACAAAGACTGCAGCTTTGGAGCTAACAGTAGCATATTAGTCGTAGTCAGCTATTTATTCCTGTACATAAAATTTAATCTAACTTTAATGAAAATTTTTTTCTTTGGCAAACAAAGACGACATTGGTCATATTATTGTTTGATGATACAACAAGGAAACCCCCTTTATTAATTTATTGAAATGAAGAAGAAAAGGAATATATTTAAACATGCTTTCATTTTCTACTGAGGGCTGACAATTATGTGGAAATACACGCCCTGTATTGCGATCAACTCTAAACTCTTGTTTTAAATCAAAACGACTCAAAAGAGAGAGCAAATCAAATTTAGGGATGGTAAATCGCTCGGCAATGGTAGACGTAGAATCAAGACAACTTGACGAAAAATCAAAGATGAACCAGTAAAGAACATGAAAAATAAAAGATGGAGAATAAACATTATGACTCGTTGTATTTATGATAGAGTGTGATAAAGTTGGTTTTTCCATTTCCTTTCCTTCAGTTTTCCACGTGCAAAAAAAGCCGACTTCGTACAAACCTTGAGGCAACAATTTTATTGTGCTTTTTATTTTTTTCCTATCCATTCATATATCTGACAAGAGTTCTTGAGTAGTGTTTGCGACTGAATAACTATATGCTTAGAATGTATTAACACGAGCATAATTCGGGGAGGATCTCACTTTATGGACAGCCAAATCCTTGTCTGATCGTTTGCTTTACTGTTTGTCTCACTTCACTTATTTTCCAACAGTACAGAAACGGATTTAACGTTGAGTTAAAGTAAACTACTGTAGATGCTACACCCCTCATGATGACTAGGTGCGATGGATAAGTTTTTCTTTGTCTGATCAGAATTTCCAGTAAACCATACGGCAAATAACAAACAACTAATGCCAACTGAACCCACAGTGCACTGTACACTGCTTTTTTGTATTGCGTGGTATTCACTGCATTTGGTTGGCTCGGCTGCTGTTGGACATGATCTTGTATTCGTGTATGATGATGACTTAGAGCGCAAAATATTTTTGTGTGCGACACAATTGAGATAACGTAACATAATGGTATAACTATAGTACCATACCAAATGGATATGTGGTAATCAAACGTGTAACATAAAGCAGCGACACTGGATAGAACCCAAAAGGTAACTACGATGATATATGTGCGCTTCAAAGTTACAATTTGTCTGTATCTCAGCCGCAACAACAGGGCGAGAAGTCTATCCACGCTTATGGCCGCTATTGTCAACAAAGACACTCCACATAATACGTAGCTTGTGATAAAAGTCGCGGTACTTGCGTATCGACAAGGAATCCAGTGTTCGTGAGCAGCAAACATCCAGCTTGAAGCAGCGAGAGGCTGGCTAACGAGACCAACCAACAGATCAGTAGTTGCCAGACAACGATACAAGAGTTTGGACAGCGGATGAAGGGAAGATTCCTTAAAAAGGGCAACAAGGATGAGAGAATTGCCAACAAATGCTGTGATGGAGAGGAGAATGCTGACTGCTGCGAAAGTAAGTGATTCTTGTTGAAGTCTACTCATCAAAGAGGAAGAACATAGCAGTTCTTCAAATGTTTTCGTCTGTGTTCCACCTCTTGTGAAATTTGTTATCGACATTATCCCGTATTTGTTTCCTTTTTCTTATTCGATTCCAGTAAGAAATATTTTGTCTGAACAAAGTTCGCCGGACGACGATCACTGAGGCCTTAATGACTTCTTGATAATTTCCGAATAAAACTTCTCTACCAGCCTTTCTTATTTACATCGCATCAGGATATTATTTTTTATGTCAAAAAAAAAAATTTTTTTTCCTTGAACTTGTGAGGTTATCAGGTATTACTTTTTTTTAAATTTTGTAATTTAACATTGACTCTGAAAAGCCCCGTGGGAACGAGCCAATAAAGTATGTATGTTTGTATGAAGTAACATAGAGCAGCGGCACTAAATAAAACCCAAGAGGTAGCTACAATGACATAAATGCGCTTCAAAGTTACAGTTTGTTTATATCTCAGCCCCAATAACAGGGCGGGAGGTCTGTCCACGCTGATGGCCATCTTCATCAAAGACCCTCCACATAATGCATAGCTTGTTATGTAGACTGCGTCCGCTGCGTTTATCGACAAAGGCTGCAGTGTTCGTGAACAAAAGACATCCAATGAGTGCCGCATAGAGAGGCAGAGAACAAGACCACCCAAACATATTTTGTGACATTTCATTCGGGAGTCTATTGAGCGCCAAAACTATGTGAGTGTCTAATTGGTAAAGTTCAATTTGGAAATAAATTAGCATCAAGAGTCAAACGTATAGATATCTATGGTAGTATTATCATTTCACAACATATTTGAAAGACTATTTGAAACTTTTTCTTCTCAGGTAAAAATTCATTCACAGCTAAGCGAAGAGGATGTAGTGTTCAACGTAGTGCGTTCAATTCTGGAAAAACGAGAGCTTCTGATAGATCTCTATCGTCAATGTTCTTCTTTACACACACTTTCGAATGGTTCACAAGTATCATTAACATCTCAAATTTACAAACATTATGGACACTTTCTAATAACGAAACAAATTCGATTTTATAACAGGCCTTGTAACCGACTCACGCGGCAATAGGGCGTGTGGCAACTAAAGTTTACATTTGTATTTGTTGTCAAGTAAGTGCGAAATTATTTAATATTGTTTTTCTTTCACTTGAACTACTATTGTAATGTTCTGTTTCTATTTGAGTGAGGTTGTGTATGAATTACGTAACGCCGGTAGCGATTTATTTCCTGCTAGCATAGGCGTTGTTTTCGTTAGATAATTATCATTGCTAGTTGATTTCAACCAAGTCAGTCCTTTCGTTAGTTTTTGTTAGCGCCGTGTTGCTTTTGTTTAAGAGTTTTACTACCGGACCTGGTTATACTACAAATTATCAGTTTGTTTCTATTTCATGTTCCTTGTTGTTATTCTAGTTGTTGTTATATTTGTACCTAGATATTTGTATCAATGATTTATTTTCAGTCGAGTCACATCTACACTTTTTACATCTAAATATTCGTATATCTGGGGAATAGATTAAATGTGTATTCATGTTGTGGCGTTGAACTGGTAGTATTTATCTACAGGGCGTTAATGACATGCGGATTTATTCAGAAAAACAAAGAATCGATATTATTTTACTGTCAAGAGACAAATACACCCAACAGCTCTGTCACTACTCCTATAAGTTTTACTCCATACTTACATGTTACTAAGAAAGATAAGACAACATGTGTTGCCGTAAAAGTGTAAGGATAAGTGTCACTACAAAGCGTGGTTACAGAGTTTCGATTTACTGTCTTTCATGATGTGGAATTGAAAAATATCAACAACAGCTTTAGCAATGATTTAATTGATTCTCTAATAATAACCGTGACTTTGTAAATCAGTTTTGAAAGTTATACCACGAATGCCACTCATGAGGGATCTAAGTCCATGGACAGCAAAGTGCTTGTCTGATTGTCTGCTTCACTGCTTGTCTCACTTCACTAATCTTCCAGCAGTATAGGAACGGGTTTAACGTCGAGTTCAAATTCACTATGGTGTTTGCTATTCCCAGGGCGACAACTAAATGTGATAAATTTGCTTGTCTGTGAGCCATTACAATTGCCTCTACACTAACTGGTACGTAACAAGCAAGTAACGCTAACTGAACCCACAGTGCACTGTACACTGCCTTTCTGTATTGCCCCATGTTCGGTGCATTTAGTTGGCTCGGCTGGTGTTGAACATGATCTTGTATTTGAGCCTGATGACGGCGAAGAGCGCGGAAAATCTTAGCATATGATGTAATCGAGATTAATAGGCAAGATGAGATGATAATGCGACCAAACCAACGCGCTATACGAGAAAGCAACGTGCGGTATAGAGTAGTGACAACGGTTATAATCCAAAGAGTAACGACAATGACTTATGTGCGCTTCAAAGTTACAATTTGTTTGTATCTCAGCCCCAACAACAAGGCCAGAAGTCTGTCCACGCTCATGGCTGCCATTGTCAACAAAGACATTAAACATAATCCATACCCTGAAATGGAGGTTGCTTCCCATGCGAATCGACAAAGTCTCCACTGTTCATGAACAACCGACATCCAAAGAGTGGCAACGAGAGGCTGGCTTACCAGACCAACCAACAGATCAGTTGTTGCCAGACAACGATACAAGAGTTTGGACGGCGCATGGATGGAAGATATCTTGTGAAGTGCAACAAAGATCAGAGAATTCCCAAAAAATGCAGTAAGGGAAAAAAAAATGTTGACTGCTGACAAAAGCAAGGAATATTGCTACAATTCGCCCGCTAAAGAAGAGGAGCATACAAGATCTTCTAATGTTTTCATCTGCGGTCCATCCCCCGAGGACTTTGTTGCCGTCATCACTCCGCAAGCGTTTCAAATTTTGTCGTACAGGTTATCTGTAGAATAAGAGAGATGGTAAGTTTTGAGCTCGGTAAAGAAATAGAGAGAGATGCTTTTCGTCTTGTAAAGAGCGAGGGACAAAGAAAAGATTTTGAGTCCCCAAGAGGAATCCAACCTCAGATCTTCGTCTCTATTCCACCGCCTGTTAGATCAGTTATTGTCATCACCAATCTTCAGTTTGGTAAACGGTCGCTTCCTTTTTCCTGTAATTTATCTATAACTGCAACGAGATATCTTTCGTTTAGAAAGGTTCCGCCTGGCAGTTATCACTTAAACCTTAATTTTATTGTAGGATTCACACGACCTGACATACTTAATGACGCTTACTATTTTGAAAATCGAGCGCAAACTCAATATTTTGTGGAAAATAAATCATCTCATCTTGAAATTTTGTGGCAGCTGCTCCTTGCAATTATCATCAGCCATGAAAGGACCCAATTTCTAAATGATAAGCAATTCTGTAGCCTTGTGTTCTGGTTATACTGAGCTAAATTCCATTGATTATTCTAACCTATAAGTATTTATTTTATTCAGATAAAATAATTAGTGAGACGTCGGCCGTCTAAAATGTTCTTTTTTTTAAAAAGAGTAGAATCACCCTCAAGGCCAGAAATTAAATATTTCAAACTAATTGCCTGTTACACAGATAAAAACAGGAATTTTATCAGAATTTATTTGCCCTTTTCAGATGAATTTGATTCGGGCAAAAATTTGAGTATTGGAAATGAAACACTGACATTGACCTTCTTTTGAAAAGTTGATTTAGTGCGGAAATGTTATCCAGGAGAGTCGCGTTTCTTTAAATGGAGCTCGAGAGACAATCAGTATAACTGCCAGCATGCATTCTTCATCATTTAAAATTCAGCAAACGGTCATTTCGTTTTCATGGACGGTATTTGTAACTGTAAGTAACAAGATATATTTTTTTCAAGACATCACCAGCCTAGCCACGATGACTTTAAGTGGCTCACTATCTGTGATAACATTTACACAGAAACTTTCGCTGATTTCACAGTAGGGCTTACCTATTCAAAATGCAAATACAAACTGCCTATTCAGTCAAAAGATAAAGCAATTTCCCCACTGAGGGAGCTCCAGAGGATAACAGGCTTAAATTATTACTCTCTATCAATTTTGTAATAAGGGGTGATTCTTTAACACAGTTTTGTTAGTTTTTGTTAGCGCCGTGTTGCTTTTGTTTAAGATTTTTACTACCGGACCTGGTTACGCCAAAAATTCTAAGTTCGTTCCTATTTCATGTTCCTGTCGTTGTTGTTGTCGTTATATTTGTATTAAGATATTTTTATTACAGCCTTTATATTCAGTCGAATCACATCTACACATCTTTACATGTAAATATTCGTTTATCTGGCTAATAGATTAAATGTGTACTCATGTTGTGGCGTTAAGCGTGCAGTATTTATCTACAGGGCGTATGCGCATTTATACAGAAAAAAAAGAATTAATATTATTTTACCGTCAAGAGACAAATACGTCCAACAGTTCTCCGTCATTACTCCTTGAAGTTTTACCCCATACTTACATATTACTTAGAAAGACAAGACAATAAAACAAATTATGTGTTGTCGTAAAAGTGTAAGGATAAGTGCTGCTGCAGAGTGTGGTTACGGAGTTTCGATAAACTGTCTTTCATATAATGGAGGTTAAAAATATCAACAACACCTTCAGCAATGATTTAATTGATTCTCTAATAATAACCGTGACTTTGTAAATCAGTTTTGAAAGTTACACCACGATTGCCGCTCAAGAGGGATCTAAGTCCATGAACAGCAAAGTGCTTGTCTGATTGTCAGCTTCACAACTTGTCTCACTTCACTTATCTTGTAGCAGTAAAGAAACGGGTTTAACGTCGAGTTAAAGTAAAGTAAAATAACTGCTACTTTCCATGTGACCACTTAGAGGAATGAATATTTTTTAGTATAAGCGATCACAATTGTCATTGTATACATTGGTGCATAACAAACAACTAATGCCAACTGCGCCCACAGTGCACTGTGTACTGCCTTTTTGAATCGCACCATGTTCAAAGCATTTGTTTGGCTCGGGTGTTGTTGATCTCGTACTTGTGCTTGGTGATATCTGAGAGTGCGAAAAACCTTTGTGTACGATGCAAGTGATATTACCAGGCAAAATGACTAGGCAGCTGTACACCAGGCTAAACAACTAGGCAGCTGTACAAAAAGATTATACGGCGATTAAATATTGCACATAAAGAGGCGACAATAATAAAAGCCCAAAAGGTAGTTACAATAATTTATTGTTTTTTTAGAGGGCACGGTAACGAATCCTGCAATCTGATTGGTTCTTTACCCGGTCAGTATTTTCCTATCTCTGCCCACGGGCCACGGTAACGCTTTCGTGAGTCGCCGAGTACATCCCAGCTTTCGTTGTCATTTTTTCATAAATATACCTCGTTTTCCGGCTGGGCAGTATTTTAAAGCAAACAAGTCGGTCATTACCTCAAGCCGATAAATAACTTATAAATCTTCTCTTTTCTCTCTCTCAAATCACTTTGGTTGACAGAAAAATATTGGTTTCAGAATGAATTTGTATAAACAATAGTGTCATTACGTTGGTTGACAAGCGGCCTAAAAACCGTCTGCAATTAATTTTAATCATTCACAAAAAGTACCCAGAAAGTTAAAACGTGAGGTATTTGGTTACAGTTAAACTGAACGATGGAACTTTCATTAATTTAATATCTGAATTTTCTCGAGAAAATTGTTAGTAGTGAAAGAGCGAGCAAAGTTTTAATTTAAGTTCTACAACAAATATAGGCTCCCGGTGAGTCTTTCCAATTCCGTTCAATTTGGACATTTGTACCGTAACTTGCACAACAGAAACTGAAGGAATTTATAGAGAAAAGGCCGCATTTAATCCTCGTGTCTCATTGGTGTGCCATTCGAATTTAGTTTTTGTGGAGGAAAGACCAGGTTTACACACGCCATTGCAGCAAACAAACGAGCAAACTGCCACAACTTCAAAATAAAAAAAAATGAATTTACTCACAATTACTTTCCTCGCCGTTTACTTAATCAACAGAGGTAAATCTTCGTACATGAATGAATCGTCGATGAGAGTGAATAATACTTTCCGTTAGATCGTTGACTGATTTTGAAGAAAACATTGTCGTGACAGTCCTTGCCAAACTAGTTCCGTTGTTTTTCAAATGTTCTTATGATTTTTTTTTCTTACGCGCTCTCTAATTGACAGGTGTCAGATTCTGACAGATACTTGTAAAAATAATGTTTCATAGTTTGTTTGGAAGCCTTTTAAATCACCTTTATCGTTACGGAAATGAAAATGTTTCGCTGAGGAATCTCTCTTTAATTTGCATCACCTCTATTTTAACTACCATTTACTCGCTCAAAAATTGTTCAGTTTATGGAAGATCTTGCCGTATTTACAGCCCTAAATCATTCGGGTTCTTTCGGAAAGAATTTCATCAAGTTTAAAAACAATAAATATGTTATTTACCGGCTAAGGGTCGGTCCGTATGGTGAAAAACTGTGACCTCGGTCTTGAAAATGCTGCCCTCGGCCTACGGCCTCGGGCAGTATTTTCAAGACCTCGGTCACAGTTTTTCACCATACGGACCTCCCAGCCGGCAAATAACATATATATACGTGCGCTTCAAAGTTACAATTTGTTTGTATCTCAGCTCCAACATCAGGGCGAGAAATCTGTCCACGCTTATGGCCGTCATCGTCATCAAAGACACTGAATACAATACAGAGCCTGTGATGTAGGTTGCGTCCCTCGGGTATCGACAAAGGCTCCTCCAAAGGTGTCCTTGAACCACGGACATTCAACATGTACCATAGAGAGGCTGGGCAACAAGACCAACCAACAGATTAGTGGTTGCCAAACTACAATACAGGTGTTTGGACGGCGGATGTAGGGAAGATTCCTTATAAAGGGCAACAAGGATGGGAGAATTCCCAGCAAATACTGTGATGGAGAGGAGAATGTCAACTGCTGAGAAGCAAATTAATTGTTGTTGTTGAAGCCGAAGCCCACCCACCGAAGAGGGAGAGCATAGCAGTTCTTCAAATGATTTCTTGTGACTTCTACTGCTACTGAAATTTGTTGTCGACATAGTTATGTCTTCGGCGTTCCCTTTTCTTGTAGGTTTCTGTTCTTGCAACGAAAAATGGGAGCAATGATTACTGAAGCCTAACTTCCTAACTAACAATCGCATAAAGACTTACTCAATTAAAATGCATATTAGGTCAAAAAATATATATTTTTTCCCGGAAACCTTTGGGTGCCTCTGTTATGAAATAGCAATAAAAGGCAAATAACAAAGTCGCTCTTTACCAAACTCAAATTAAATTATAGTAGGATGCTAGTGGAGGGTCCATACCTTTCGTGTGAAGTTAGGACTTGAATTACTATCAGCTACGGAAAGCTAAAAATGCAGAAGCTCAAGCTGGCGACGTCAATTGTTCTGGGAGAAAAATTGAATTCGTGACAATCACCAAATGTACTACGTAGACTACACCACCATTCAAAATTAATGTACGGCAACACATACAAACTTGTTTCAAAATATTTTAAATTAGCTGTGTATCTTATTGCACTTTGTAACTTTTTTTCTCTCCGTTTCGTATCCGACGAGAACTAAAAACAAAATAGTGACAGGATCAAGTTATCACACCAGCAAACTATTTTGTGCAACTGTAAAAGAAAAGTTATTAAAATTTTTGTTCCTGTGATTCTCTTAGGCAATTAACAACTCTCCTTTGGTGATGACAATTAGTTCCCAGTAATGAAGTAAACAGGATAATATATTAATCGAAATGGAAAACGAAGAGATGGGCGCTCAAACCTTATCAATAATCGATAAAAAATTTACAATTGTTCTAAGAGAAGCTTCGTCTTTTCCAACCCTGACCCACATTTCAAACTCTCTAAAACTGCCACGTGCTACACCTGCTTGCCACGACAGATTCGGACTTGTATCAGGCTTCGTTTACATGATAATGTTTCTTTCGACGATATACATATATGTAAATACCCGTTTTGAAAACCTTTCAAATTTGAAAATATATATCAAATAAATATGTCTTTCTTTTCGCATCAAAAAGAGGCACTGTGATGAGAAAAGAAAAAAACATATATTTACATATACAGACTATTTAAAATATTTTTTCAACTAGCAACATTTTCGAAAATAAGTTTATATATATATATATTTATATATCAACTTTAGATCCATTGTTTTATTTTTGGACGGGGAAATTGCTAATGGACAAACCAACAACTCATCCAATTCTTTAATACAGAGTAGGTGTTTATCCAGAAAATTTTCAATTTATGCAGCTGATCAAAATTCTAAAGAGTTAGGGTAGGCTGCGACAAGTTTTTAATCTCAAAGAATTTCAGTTTTAGTACAAATTAGCACTAAAAGGTAATTTCGTCGACAAACAAATAGACATCGGCTATATTACTGTTTGAAAATACGATAGGAGAACCTTTTTTGTCACTTTTTTAAATGATGAAACAAGTAGTACATCAAGATAAGATGTCATATAAGTGCCCATTATTATATTGAAATATCCTCCCTTTATTGAAGACAATAGTAAACAATAACGAAGAAAAGTTAGCCTAGTGACTCTATGATCTAATTTTCTTTCTTCCATCGTCTGTTTAGTGAGATTATAAAAGTTTTTTCTGTCAAGAAAGCTCTCATGTAAATGGCAGGTAATTTTGCGATGCTCTGGAGCAATTGCCAAAATTCTCCTTTAATCACAACGGTTACATCTTAATACTGAAGTGAACAAACCAATTTATAAGTGGGTCGAAAATCAATGGACGTATGCTAAGGAATTATCAAAACCTCGCCGCACAGTGATGTAGGCTGCGTCAAATGCGTATCGACAAAGGCTCCAGTGTTCCTGAACTAAGGAAATCCAATGAGTAGGATAGAGTGGCTGGGAAACAAGACCAACCAACAGATCGGTTGTTGCCAGAGAACGATACAACAGTTTGGACGGCGGGTGGAGGGACGATTTCTTGTGAAGGGCAACAAAGATGAGAGAATTTGTAAGGAATGCTGTGATGGAGAGGAGAATGTGCACTGCTGAGAAAAAAGTAAATCTTTGATGTAATCCACCTCCAAAAGATGGGGTGCATAGCAGTTCTTCAAATGTTTTCGTCTGTGTTCCACCTCTAGTGAACTTTGTCGTCGACATTGTTCTGTGTTCGTCTCCTTTTTCTTGTACTGAGGCAACTGGTAACGAGAAATATTTCGTTTAAACAGCACAAGCTGAGCGTCGATGACTAAAACTTCCCTCAATAAACACATAAAGACTTCCTCGTTAGCGTTTGCTCATTCAAAGTGCGTAACCTACTGACAAGCCTCTTGTATGAAATAGCAGTAAGAGGCAAATAGAGAGACATCTGTGATATCATTTTTTTACAAGGCGAAAAACAATTCTTTTTTAGCGGATCGACAGTTGGAACCTGTGGGGTGGCTCACGGATAAAATAGCAATAAAAGGAAAAAATAGAGACATCTGTAATATCAGTTTTTTTTAACTAAAATACGAAAAAAAATCCCTTAGACTCAAGCTTCTTTTTAAATTAATTTGAATTAATTTACATTTTAATAGTTTGATGCATAAGGAGATGTCACGATTCCAATTTTTTCTTACATCATTCAAAGTTGCCAGCTTGATCTTCGTAATTTCAGTTTGTCGAGGCTCATAATGATTGAAGTATTGATTTCACATAGATGATATGGACACTTAATTAGCTCCCTATCTATGAAAATTCATTAAGAAAAGAGGCCAGAATAGGAACAAATTAGCTTTAAGAGTCAAACGTACAGACAGACATCTTTGATACTATTAACATTTCACAATTATTTTGAACGCCGTCTTCTCAGGTACGTAAATTCACCTTTAGCTGAGCGGAGAAGATGGAGTATAACGTTTAATCTCGGAAAGTTAAAGGTTTTGTAAAGAATTCAATAAGAAAAGGAAAGTTTTAATTTAAATCCATGCACTCAATAACATAATGTTTGTTTTATTATATCAGTATCAATGACATTTTAAAACATTCATAAGCAATATGGATATTTTTCTGATTACACAGCAAAATTAAGTTTTCAACTGTTTATAGCAAGGAGAAGCGAGGCGCCAGGAAATGCTGTGATGGAGAGCAACTCATCTACCAAAGAGGTGGATAAAGCCATTATTTCTTTCGCTTTCTTCTAATAACATTCATAAGAGTATAAGTTACGTCAAGAGATTATATATTCTCTTGTGCACGTATATCTTTCCTTCAATTAATAATTAATGCATTCAGAGTAAATTTTGGTAGCATGTGAAATACTTTTTAAAAGTTTTGGTTTATGTTTCCATTACCTTTCCTTTATTTTATTTTTCTACGTGACTAGCAAAAAATAATATCGACAGACCTTTAGCAGAAATTTAAGCGACGAGCGTTCTCTATCGGTCAGCTTTGCACTAAAAGTACTTCTGCAATCGTGTATAACTCGAGGATGGTCTAACTCCATGGACAGCAAAGTGCTTGTCTGATTGTCTGCTTCATTGCTCGTCTCATTTCACTAATCTTCCAGCAGTAAAGAAACGGGTTTAACGTCGAGTTAAAGTAAACTAAGATAACTGTCATTGCCGATGCGACGCCTAATTGTGATGAGTATGTTGTACTATAAGTGAGAACAATTCTCACAATAAGGTATGGTGTGTAACAAACAACTAATACTGACTGTACCCACAGTGCACTGTGTACTGCCTTTCTATATCGCGCCATGTTCAATACACTTGGTTGGCTCGGCTGTTGTTGAACATGATCTTGTTCTTGTGCCTGATGATTTCTAAGAGTGCGAAATATCTTTGTGTACGAGGCGAGTGAAATAAGCAGTGAAAGTGGTATCAATATGTAGGTACACAAAGCGGTTATACGCTGATCGAAAACAGTGCATAAAGAGGCGACAAGGCATAAAACCCAAAAGCTAGCTATAATGATATAAACACTCTTCAAAGTTACAATCTCTTTGTATCTCAGCCCCGACAACAGGGCGAGAAGTCTGTCCACGCTTATTGCCGCCATCGTCAACAAAGAAACTCCACATAATACTGAGCCTATGATGTAGGCTGCTTCCGCTGCGTAATGACAAAGAGTCCAATGTTCGTGAACCACGGACATCCAATAGGTAACAACGAGAGGCTGGGCAACAAGACCAACCAACAGGTGAGTTGTTGCCAGACAACGATACAAGAGTTTGGACGGCGCATGGAGGGCAGATTCCTTGTGAAGGGCAACAAGGATAAGAGAATTGCTAAGAAATGTTGTGATGGAGAGGAGAATGTTGACTGTTGCGAAAGATGCTGGTTGAAGCCCACCCACCAAAGAGGGGCTGCATATCAGTTCTTCAATTATTTTTGATAGTGTTCCACCGTTACTGAACTTTGTTGTCAACATAATTCGGCATTCGTTTCCTCTGTTCTTGCAACGAGAAATATTTCGTCTAACTGAAACCTTCCTTTAATATACACATTAAGACTTCCTCCCTCGCGTTTAATCATTTAAAATGCGTCAGAAATTTGCAGCTGTGGGATGCCTCAGGTATGAAACTGATCGTGGTTGAAGCCCAACCAACAGAGAGTAGAGCATAGTAGTTCTTCAATTGTTTTCGTCTGTGTTCCAACCCTTCTAAAATTTGTTGTAGGTTATCTAAGATTGGAACGAGTAATGTGTCGTCTAAACAGCCCACATCCAGCCACGATTAATGACATCTCATACTTCAATTAATGATATTCATATACACGTAGAGAATTCTTCATCAGCGTCAACTCATTTAAAATACGTCAGAAAATTGTCAGTTGTGTCCAAAAATTGAACCTTTGAAGTGCCTCAGGTATGAAATGGCAACAAGTAGAAAATGGAGAGACATCTGTGGTATCATTCTTTTAAAAGACCGACAAACAATCTCCTTTTACCTGGATCAACTTTCACTGATAGGGTGCTAACCTGGTGTCCATATCATTCGTGTGAAGTTCAGGCTTGTATCATTAATAGCCATGAAAAATTGGAAATAAAAATTTCAAGCTGGCGATTTTATTTGGTCTTAGAAAAGTTGGATTTGAGACAGTCTGCGGATACATCAAACATTTCAAATTTAAGTTTTGGTCACAGATGCAAACGTATTTTAAATGTTTGAATCAATTAGTAATGGTAGGTTTTTTCTTTCTGTTTTTCGTCAGCGGACTGATATTAAAAACAAAACCGTAACAAGATGTTATGCCGCGCGCCATCGATTTTTTCAAACTCGTTCTCTACAAGCTTTTTCACTTTCGTCAGGAAAGTTATGATGATTTTTTTAACAAAAACTGTTTTGCCTTTTTTTCCTATTTCGCCCCATGATGTAATTTCCTTTCTTCATCCCTTTGGTCAACAAGATAAGAGAAATGGGCGCTAACTGAAAATAGAGGAGGCGGAGAAACCATTGTTTTGTACCAGCCATGATGGCCTTACGCGCTCGGTATCTTTTAATCCCAGAGTTCCATCGGGTACCGACAAAACGAGAAACAAAACAGAAGAAAAGCAGGAAATTACTTTTTTAAACATTTTTTCGCTGTTTCTTTTACATTCTCTATTTGTTCTCCTCCTTTCGCCAAAAAATTTAAAGTGATAGTCCTGGAAAAAATTATATAACAAAGTTCGTCTAAATTTTTCTCTGCCAACGCTCCCATGTACACAGCAGTGACTGAATTCTTCATGTCGTAATTCCCCTGAGCGATTGGCCATTCTCCTCCGATAACCAGAGTTATATGATTATGCTAAATTGAACATAATAACCTATTGATCACGAAGGAAAATGAACGAATGGATACTTAAAAACTATCAACACTCGATAAAAATATTTAACAATTATTTGCCGAAGATGAAGTGAATAATATTATTATTGAATAATTCCCGTGACGATATCGAGTTAAAAACTACACCTTGTTAAACGTACATAGACGACATATATTATTTATGAACCCACGATCACTCTTGGTTGCGTGTTAAGTAACCCCCCCGCGTATCTTTCAAGCTCTCCAAACTTCCTGCGTGCATCGTATATTAATGACCGTTCACTGACGCACGAAGCAATTGTTAAAAATACCCTGTCAAAGATTAGGAAAAATTAGTTAACCACCACAGACACGCCCCCTCGTTTTAAGTTGGAAAAAATGTCGATGTTGCAAAATAATTACTCTCTATAAATTCAACATTTTATTTCGGCTTCAAATTAGACATTTCATTTACCAACAGAGGATTAGCCGAGAGAAAAATCAGACGAAAGACTTAATCGCTAAAAGATGCGTCAATCCCTCCTTTAACAATAATTCTTTCTTAAGGAATTTTCTTTCTGATCCTCCATGATAATTCAGTACCTTGATAATTAAACAGGAACATGTTCGTCGCAACCAGCTGTTGATTTCAGTTAATAACGTTTCAGTTTAAATTTAAATTGGAACTGAAAGAGAATTCCCTCGCCAAACACAAAGACATGATATTTTTTGTTTTACAATACGATATGGGACTCCCAAGTCTAAAAAGATCTATTTTATCACTTCTTTAATGGGTAAAATAAACAATGATTAGATGCTATAATATTGAAGCAAAGTCTGAGCTCATACAAAAGCTTTGAAAACGACTCAATAAAAAAATTGTAGAACTTAGCGACAGCAGTTAATCGCTCAGAAATGAAGGAAATAAAATTCGTGAGACAAACCTAAAGATACACCAGCGACAAACGGGACATATGGCGACCTCTATACAAATGATGCCAAACTTGTTTTTCGCCGTTGCCAATATAATTTCATTACATCGATCGATCTGTAAAAAAATTCTATAATGAACAGAGATGGTCAATTTTATTGCGTATACTTTCGTAACCTTCAGTTAAATATACAAGTACCGAAAACTTCTTCACATAAGCTTTACGGATAGTTTTCTGATGACAAAACAAATCGGCTTTAAAAACATCTCTTAAACTACTCTTCTGCATAACAAACAACTAATGCTAACTGCACCCACAGTGCATTGTGCACTGCCTTTCTGAATCGCGCCATGTTCAGTGCATTCGTTTGGCTCAGCTGTTGTTGATCTCCTAATTGTGCTTGGTGATATCTGAGAGTGCAAAAAATATTTGTGTACGATGAGAATGAAATTACCAGGCAAAATAATATAACTAGGGAGCTGTACAAAAAGATTATAAGGATATAAAAAATTGCACATAAAGAGGCGACAAAAGTAAAACCCAAAAAGTAGTTACAATAATATACGTGCGCTTCAAAGTTACAATTTGTTTGTATCTCAGCCCCAGCAACAGGGCAAGAAGTCTGTCCACGCATATGGCCGTCATCGTCATCAAAGACACTAAAATCAATAAATAACTTGTGACGTAGCCTGCGTCCCTTGCGTAACGACAAAGGCTCCACTGTCTTGAACCACGGACATCCAACATAGAGAATTTAGAGGCTGAGCAACAAGACCAACCAACAGATCAGTGGTTGCCAGAGAACGATACAGGAGCTTGGACGGCGGATGGAGGCAAGATTTTTTGTGAAGGGCAACAAGGATAAGAGAATTTCCTGCAAATGCTGTGATGGAGAGGGGAATATCAACCGCTAAGAAACAAATTGATAGTTGTTGTTGAAGCCCACCCATCAAAGAGGGAAAGCATAGCAGTTCTTCAAATGATTTCGTGTGACTTCTACTGCTACTGAAATTTGTTGTTGACATAATTCTGTCTTCGGCGTTTCCCTTTTCTTGTAGGTTTCTGTTCTTGCAACGAACCTTAGGCTGCGTCTGTTATGAAATATCAATTAAAGGCAAATGTAGAAACATCTTTATGTATCAGTTATTTCTTTCGCTTTCTTATAATAACATTCATGAGAGTATAATTTAAGTCAAGAGATTATAGGAGATTATATATCCTCTTGTGCACGTACATCTTTCCTTCGATGAATAATTTCTGCAATCAAAATAAAGTTTGTTGGCATGAATAATATTTTTTAAAAGCTTCAGTTTGTGTCTCTATTGCTTTCCATTTATTTGTTTTACGTGACTAGCAAAAAATATTATCGACAGAACTCGAACAAAAATTTAAGTGACAAGCGTTTTCTATCGGTCATCTTATAAAGTACCTATACGATCATGTTTAACTCGAGGATGGTCTAACTCCATGAACAGCAAAGTGCTTGTCTGATTGTCTACTTCATTCTTCGCCTCACTTCACTTATCTTCCAGCAGTAAAGAAACGGGTTTAACGTCGAATTAAAGTAAACAAGGATAGTTGTCATAAACAGGAAACGCCGAACGATGATAACTAAAATTTTTCTTTGATAAACACATTAAGACTTCCTTACTAGCGTTTAATTACTTAAAATGCGTCCAAAATTTGCAGGTGTAGGATACCTCAGGTTTGAAACTGATACTGATTAATGCTTACCCTCTATAGAGGGAGAGTATAGCAGTTCTTCAATTGTTTTCGTCTGTGTTCCACCTCTAATGAAATTTGTTGTAGTTATTACTCTGCATTCGTTCCTTTTTTCTTGTAGGTTACTTAAGATTGCAACGAGTGATCAGTAAAGCGAGTGATCGCCTAAACAGCCCACAATCATCCAAGATCAATATCACCTTGTACTTCTTTAATGATATTCACGTAGAGACTTCCTCACCAGCGTTTACTAGTTTAAAATACGTCAGAAACCTTCGAAGTGCCTCAGGTATGAAATGGAAATAAGTAGAAAATGGAGACCAGGAAATTCATAATGTGACATTTTGTTCTGGATTTATCTCCTTAAAAGCCTTAGTTTAAATGCGGGAGTCTTTAGTGCGCCACATCTGCATGTTTGTCTAATCAACAGAGTTTAATTTAAGCTTGAATTAGCATCTAGAGTCAAACGTGTAGACATCTGTGATAATATTATTATTTTATTTGAAAATCCATATTCTCAGGAAGAAATAAATTTACAGCTGAGTGAAGAGGTTAAACTGTTATTTTCAATTTCGTAAAAACGATAACACATTGTTTTTAAGTGACAACATCTCCAAAATTCAGTGATAGCAACGAGACAAATATTTCGTTTACACGCCAATTGCACAACGATGATTTCTGGAACCCTTTTTCCTACGTGACATCTCAAATAAAAACTTCCCGACTATTGTTTACACGTTTGAAATACGTCTGAAAATCGTTTGCTGTGTCCAAAAAGCCTTTGCTTTGTGTCTAACTTGTCACTTATGAACATCACGTATGAAATAAGAATAAGAGGCAAATATTTAAAGACATTTTTAAGATTATGTTTTTCATGTTGTAACAAACAATTCCTCTTTATTTAGCCTGCGAGAAGGCACTCACTATTAGGGCTTCAGTACGAATTACTTCGCCTATGAATAAGTTTGAGACTTTGAACAACACGACCCGGGGGCGAGGGAACGCCGTGCCGCAGTGCTAATAATGGAAACGATGTTTATACAACCTAGTTTAATCGAGTTGGGTGTCAATCAAATGTCCATATCATTTGCGTGAATAAGGTTGAGCCATGGCCACAGATGCAAACGTATTTCAAAATATTTGACTTAAAATGTGTCATTAGTAACATTTTGTGGCTCTTTTACCTCCGTTTCGTCTCCGACAAAACGAGAAACAAAACAGAAGGAAAGCAGGAAATTACTTTTTTGAACAATTTTTCGCTGTTTCTTTTACATTCTCTATTTGTTCTCCTCCTTTCTCGAAAAATTTTACAATGATTGTCTTGGAAAAATTATATAACAAAGTTCGCCTAAATTTTTCTCTGCCAACCCCTTCATGTACACAGCAGTGACTGAATTCTTCATGTCGTAATTTCCCTGAGCGATTTGCCATTCTCCTCCGATAACCAGAGTTATATGACTATGCTAAATTGAACATGATAATCTATTGACCGAGAAGGAAAATGAAGGAATGGATACCTAAAAACTATCAACACTGGATGAAATATTTAGCAATCATTTGCCGAAGATGAAGTGAATATTGTTGAATAATTCCCGAGACGAAGTCGAGTTTAAAACTACACCTTGTTAAACCTACATAAACAACATTTATTATTTATGAACCTACGATCATTCTTAGTTGCTTGTTAAGTAACTCCCGCGTATCATTCAAGCTCTACAAACTTCCTGTGTGCATCGTAAATTAATGACCGCTCACTGACGCACGAAACAATTGTTAAAAATACCCTGTCAAAGATTAGAAAAATTACTTAACCACCACAGACACGCCGCCTCGTTTTAGCTTGGAAGAAATTTCGTTTTTGCAAAATAATCTCTGTCTATAGATTCAACATTTTATTCCGGCTTCGAATTAGTCATTTCATTTACCAACGCAGGATTAGCTAACAGACGAAAGACTTAATCACTAAAAGATGAGTCAATCCCTCCTTCAACAAGAGTTCTTTCATGGGAAATTTTCCTTCTGATCCTCTATGGTAATTCAATACCTTGATAATTAAACAAGAACATGTTCGTCGCAACCAGCTGTTGATTTCAGTAAACAAAGTTTGAGTTTAATTTCAAATTAGCACTGAAAGGGAATTCCCTTGACAAACACAAAGACATCTGCCATATTTTTTGTTTTACAATACAAGATAGGACTCCTAAGTCTTGAAATATCTATTTTATCACTTCTTTAATGGGTGAAATAACCGTATCGTTTTTAGGGCAATAATTAGATGGTATAATATTGAAGCAAAGTCTGAGCTTATACAAAAGCTTTGAAAACGAATCAATAAAAAAAAAATTGTGGAACTTAGGGTCGGCAGTTAATCACCCAGAAATGGAGGAAATAAAATCCGTAAAACTCAGAGACAACCTAAAGGTACACCAGCGACAAACTGGAGGCGAATGATATTACCAGGCAAAATGATATAACTAGTCAGCTGTACAAAAAGGTTATAATGAGATAAAAAATTGCACTTAAAGAGGCGACAAGGTTAAAAACCCAATAGGTAGTTACAATAATATACGTGCGCTTCAAAGTTACAATTTGTTTGTATCTCAGTCCCAACAACAGGGCGAGAAGTCTGTCCACGCTTATGGCCGTCATCGTCATCAAAGACACTAAAATCAATAAATAGCTTGTGATGTAGCCTGCGTCCCTTGCGTATCGACAACGGCTCCAGTGTTCTTGAACCACGGACATCCAACATAAAGCATTGAGAGGCTGAGCAACAAGACCAACCAACAGATCAGTGGTTGCCAGACAACGATACAGGAGTTCGGACGGCGGATGCAAGGAAGATTCCTTGTGAGGGGCCACAAGGATAAGAGAATTTCCGGCAAATGCTGTGATGGAGAGAAGAATGGCAACCGCTAAGAAACAAATTGATAGTTGTTGTTGAAGCCCACCCACCGAAGAGGGAGAACATATCAGTTCTTCATATGATTTCGCGTGACTTCTACCGCTACTGAAATTTGTTGTCAACATAATTCTGTCTTCGGCGTTTCCCTTTTCTTGTAGGTTTCTGTTCTTACAACGAAAAATGGCAGTAAGGATTTCTAAAGCCTAAGCTCCCAACTAACAATCGCATGAGACTAACTTATCTAAAATGCATCAGGAAATTCTCTGTTGGGTCAAAAAAAATTTTTTTTCCCGGGAACCTTAGGGTGCGTCTATTATGAATTAGCAATTAAAGGCAAATGTAGAAACATATGTTATTTCAGTGTTTTTACAGTGCAGCAAAGAGTCCTTCTTTACCAGAATCAAATTCCATCATAATAGGATGCTAATAAAGGGTCCATATCTTTTGCGTTAAGTTAATAATGGTAATTGAACTGAGTGGAGTGCAATTTGGGCTAAAATCATACGCGTGAATTCAAAATCGAACGAGCGCAGCGCTCGTTCGATACAGGACTTGGTCAGTTCAAATATTTAATTGGTGCAGCAGTGAGCCGGTTTTTAATTAAAAAGAGGAACCGGAAACGCTTTTACAACTCATTTTGTATGCAAGACAGAAAGACTTTGACGTCATGTGTCAAAAACTCAATCAAGCGTATCAAAGGAAAGACAAGTTTCATCCATGAAATTCAAGAAGTCCTCAATAAGTCAGATAAACAGGTAAGCTTTAAAGTTCAATCCTCGTCGTCTGACTTATTATCGTAGACCCTTCGTTTCTTTTGTGGTTGGGGTGGAGAATTCTCGCTGTCTTTGGAGAAGAAATTGAAGGCGCAGCTTGTGTAATTCTGCGATGGAACAGGAGCAGCACAAATGAAGGCTTCTATGCGGTACTGAGCCTGCAATGGAAAATGTGGTGGAAATCCTGAAAATTCAGCTGGCTGAAAACCAGGATTGGAGCCCATGGCCTGTTGCATTTGGCCTTATTGTTGGACGTGATAAATAGGAACCAGAGGAATTCGTCTATGTTGGACTGCAATCTCTTGATTTGAGGCTTCATTTGCAGAGTTTTGGTGGGAGACTTCGTTTGTTTGATTTTCGTTTGACACTTCTTTATATCCACTGATAATGTGAGACAGTTTTTTTTCCTGTGATTCTCGTCTATTTTATCGTAGTCCTATAACGAAGATTAACGTGCATGGCCTGTTATTTCACAGGTGACATTGCGCGGTTGACCAGACTTCTTCAGTTTTGACACCAGGGTTTTCCTCATGCTGTGGTTGGTCAGCTTCTTCAGTCGTCCTCAGACAAGAGGCCATGGATTTCATTATATTGCTGATGGTGTTTTGCCTCATTAGAACTTTGGTGTACCAAACATCTACTGATTTAGGACGATTTATGATGCTTAGATAGAGTGGCCCTGTGTTCTTCATTCCTTCGGGTCGCTTGGACAACCAAAGCTTGAATAGCCTCACTGGATCGCCTTTTCCGCCATCGGTGCTGAACATTGCTTGTGGTGTTGTTCTTCGCCTGATGGTGAGACCACCGCTCCGTGTTTTAGTGAGACCTTCCCGGAACTCAACAACTTCAGTTCCATCTTCTCGCTGTCTTATGATTACGTCTTCCACGCATGCGTCGTAGTGTTCTTGACGACCACGAAATCCCAGATGTTCAGTCAAGTTTTTGAAGTTGATATTGGTCAAGACCTTTCCATTAAAATCACCCAACTGACCTTTTTCTCACAGGGCTGACTCTTCTTTTTGAACACAAGACAAAATCAAGAAATTACGTGTCGAAACAATTTTTGAACACATTCTGTATTTGTTCTCCTCCTTTCGCTGAAAACCTTTTAGTAATTGTCCTGGAAAAACTGTAAACCAAAGTTAGCCTATTATACCTTTGTTATGAAATTTTTTCTCTGCCTACGTCTTGTCCGCGAAAAGAGACGGCGGGTGGAGGGAAGATTCCTTGTGAAGGGCGACAAGGATGAGAGAATTCATAAAAAATGCTCTCATGGAGAGGAGAATGTGCACTGCTGAAAAAAAAAGTAAATCTTTGATGTAATCCACCTCCAAAAGATGGGGTGCATAGCAGTTCTCCAAATGTTTTAGTCTGTGCTCCACCGCTAGTGAACTTTGTTGCCGATATTGTTCTGTGTTCATTTCCTTTTTTTTTTTGCACTGAGGGAACTGGCAACGAAAGGTATTTCGTTTAAACAGCATACGCCGAGCGACGATGACTGATACCTCCTTCAATGAACACATAAATACTTCCTCATTAGCGTTTGCTCATTCAAAGTGCGTCTGCAAATTGTCTGTTGTGCCAAAAAGTTGATTTCTTTTTTCCGAAACCCGTGACGAGCCTCTTTTATGAAATAGCAGTAAGAGGCAAATAGAGAGACATCTGTGATATCATTTTTTCACAAAGCGAAAAACAATCCTTTTTTTTAGCTAATCGGCCGTTGGAACCTGTTTGATGGCTCACGGAGAAACTAGCAATAAAAGGAAGAAAATAGAGACATCTATAATATCAGTTTTTTTTAATAAAAATGCGTTAAACAATCCTTCAGATTCAAGCTTCTTTTCAATCTTTCAATTAATTTACATTTTAATAGTTTGATACATAAGGAGACGTCACGAATCCAATTTTTTCTTACATCATTCAAAGTTGCCAGCTTGATCTTCGTAATTTCAGTTTGTCGAGGCTGATAATGATTGAAGTATTAATCTCACACAGATGATATGGACACTTGATTAGCTCCCTATCGATGAAAGTTCATTCGGAAACGTGACCAAAATGGGTTAGTTAGTGATATGAGTCAAACGCACAGACATCTTTGATACTAGTGGTATTTCACAATTATTTTAAACGCCGTATTCTCAGGTACGTAGAAATTCACCTTTAGTTGAGCGGAGAAGATGGAATCTTACGTTTAATCTTGGAAAATTAGGGGTTTTGAAAAGAATTTGATAAGAGAAGGTAAGTGTTTATTTTAATCCATGCACCCACTTACACAATGTTTGTTTTATTACATCATTATAAATTTTCAAACATTCATAAGCAATATGGATATTTTTCTAATGAAAAAACAAATTCAAGTTTACAACTGTTTATAACAACGACAAGAGAGTTGCCACGAGATGGGGACAATGTACACAGCACAGAAAGAAATTGTTGGTTGATGCGACTCATCTACCAAACAGGTGGATAAAGCCATTATTTGTTTCGCTTTCTTATAATAACATTCATGAGTATAATTTACGTCAAGAGATTATAAGAGATTACATATTCTCTTGTGCACGTTCATCTTTCTTTCGATTAATAATTGATGCATTCAAAATAAAGTTTAGTCGCATGAAAAATAATTTTTAAAAGTTTTGGTTTGTGTCTCCATTGCCTTCCATTTATTTGTTTTACGTGACTAGCAAAATATATTATCGACAGACCTCGAACAAGCCCGAGAATTTAAGTGGCATACGTTCTCTATTGGTCAGCTTTGCACTAAAAGTACTTGTACGATCATGTTTAACTCGAGGATGGTCTAACTCCATGGACAGCAAAGTACTTGTCTGATTGTCAGCTTCATTCCTTGTCTCACTTCACTTATCTTCCAGCAGTAAAGAAACGGGTTTAACGTCGAGTTAAAGTAAACGAAGATGGTTGCAATTTGCAATGTGAAGAATATGTGTGATGAGTATTTTGTGCTGTAAATGAATACAGTTCCCACTAGATAGCATGGTATATAGCAAACAACTAATGCTAACTCTACCCACAGTGCACTGTGCACTGCCTTTCTGTATCGCGCCATGTTCAGTGTATTTGGTTGGCTCGGCTGTTGTTGAATATGATCTTGTACTTGTGCCTGATGATGTCTGAGAGTGCGAAAAATCTTTGTGCACGAGGCGAGTGAAATAAACAGTGAAAGTGGTATCAATATCAAGGCATACAAAGCGGTTATTCGCTGACCGAAAATGGTGCATAAAGAGGCGACAAGACATAAAACCCAAAAGATAGCTATAATGATATAAATGCGCTTCAAAGTTACCATCTCTTTGTATCTCAGCCCCAACAACAGGGCAAGAAGTCTGTCCACGCTTATTGCCGCCATCGTCAGCAAAGAAACTCCACATAATGCTGCGCCTGTGATGTAGGCTGCTTCCCCTGCGTAATGACAAAGACTCCAATGTTCGTGAACCACCGACATCCAATAAGTAACACGGAGAGGCTGAGCAACAAGACCAACCAACAGGTCAGTTGTTGCCAGACAACGATACAAGAGCTTGGACGGTGGGTGGAGGGAAGATTCTTTGTTAAGGGCAACAAGGACAAGAGAATTCCCAAGAAATGTTGTGATGGAGAGGAGAATGTCAATTGCTGCGAAAGAAACTAATGCTGATTGAAGTCCACCCACCAAAAAGGGGGAGCATAGCAGTTCTTCAGTTGCTGTCGTCTGTGTTCCACCTCTACTGAAATTTGTTGTCGACATGATTCTGCATTCGTTTCCTCTGTTCTTGCAACGAGTAATATTTTGTCCACACAGGACTCACCGAACGATGATAACTGAAACCTTCCTTTAATAAATAAGTTAAGACTTCCTCACTAGCGTTTAATTATTTAAAATGCGTCAGAAATTTGCAGCTATGGGATGCCTCAGGTTTGAAACTGATGCTGATTGATGCCCACCCTCTAAGGAGGGAGAGCATAGTAGTTCTTCAATTGTTTTCGTCTGTATTCCACCTCCACTGAAATTTGTTGTAAATATTATTCTGTATTCGTTCCTTTTTTCTTGTAGGTTATCTGAGATTGCAACTAGCAATATTTCGTCCTAACAGCCTACATCCAGTCACGATCAATAACTGCTTTAACGATATTCACGTAGGGACTTCCTCACCAGCGTCTACTCATTTAAAATACGTCAGAAACCTTCGAAGTGCCTCGGGTATGAAATGGAAATAAGTAGAAAATGGAGAGACATTTGTGGTATCATTCTTTGAAAAGAATGACGAACTGGTAGAGTGCTAACCAGGTGTCCATAATGATTTGTCTGTAGTTCACACTTATTTGATATTGTTTGATACTGTTTATTTTGGTAGGTTAAGTTGAGTTCAACTTCAAATAAACTTTAAAAGTGAATTCCTTTGGCAAGCACACAGACATCAGTAATATTTCGTTTGACGATATGATAAGGAGAGTCTCTATGTCAGTTATTGAATGACAGCATAAGAGGTTTAAGCAATAAATTTAAATATATTGTCATTATTTTGGGCCGGTAATTATCCGCTGTATTGTGGTAAATTCTGAATTCCGAAAAAGCTTCGGGAAATGCGTTCAAAGAAAAGGAGTGAAAGTTAGGAACAGTTAATCACTCGTTGACGGCAACTTAAACATAGACCAGCATTAAACTGGCTCTATTAAATATTTCAAAAGTTGACAACATTCATGTCATGACGTAATCTGTGATAGCAACTAGAAAAAGATTTCGTTTAAACGCCAATTGCACAACGACGATCACTGGAACCCTATTTCTTACATAAAATCTCAAATAAAGACTTCCTGACTATTGTTCACACATTTGAAATACGTCAGAAAATTGTCATGTACATCACGTATAAAATAGGGATATGAGGCAAATATTGAAAGACATCTTAAAAGATGATTTTTTTCATGGTGCAATAAACAATCCCGCTTTAATTAGCCTGCGAGAAGGAACTCACTATGAAGGCTTCAATACGAGTTACTTCGGCGCCTGAGTAAGTTTTAGGCTTTTAGTAACACGACTCGGGAGCGAAGGAACGCCGTGCCGCAGTGTCAATAATGGGAACCTGGAACCATCGAAGGCCGATGTTTACACGACCTAGTTTCATTGATAGGGTGTCAATCAAATGTCCACGTCATTTGTGTAAGGTTGAGCCTTGACTCATATCTGCCTCAGCAAGCTGAAAATAAGGAAAATGTGCCAAAATTAGGTTTAGTTATGAAATTTTTCTCTGCCAACTTCTTGTCCAAGACTAGAGGAAAAAAAATTAGTTGGATACCTAGCAAGCTTTCATGCATGCGGCAGGTGTCTGAATTTCTTCAGCTCATAATTCCCCCTGAGCGACTCACCATTCTCCTCTGATAACCAGAGTTATATGGCTTTGCTAAAGTGACCATGATAATCTATTGATTTAGAAGGAAAGTAAGGAATGGATGCTTAAAAACTACAAACAATCGACAAAAATATCAAACAATTATTTGCCGAAGATGAAAAGAATATTGTTGAATAATTCCCGAGACGAAGTCTAGTTAAAAACTACACCTTGTTAAACCTACATTAACAGTATTTATTATTTATGAACTTACGATCATTCTTGGTTGCGTGTTAAGCAACTCCCACGTGTCTTCCAAGCTCTCCAAACTATATTCGTATATTAATGACCTTTGAAACAATTGTTGAAAATACCCTGATAAAGATTAGTAGAAATTAGTTAACAACCACAGACACGCCGCCTCGTTTTAAGTTTGGGGTCAAATCAAATTTCTTTTTGTAGAATAATTACTCTCTATCGATTCAACATTTTATACCGGCTTCGTATCAGTCATTTCATTTACCAACGGAAGATTAGCTAACAGACAAACCAGACGAAAGATTTCATCTCTAAAAAGATGCGTCAATCCTCACTTTAACAAGAGATCTTTCCCAGGGAATTCTCTTTCTAATTTTCTTTGATAATTCAGTACAGCGACGTAGAGACATCTGTGGTATCAAATAAACAAGAACATGTTTGTCGTAATCAGCTGTTGGTTTCAGTAGATAACGTTTCAGCCGGTTTAATTTCAAATTAACACTGGAAGGAAATTCTCTTCAGAAACAGAAAGACATGGGCTATTTTTTTTTGTTTTACAATACGATATGGGATTCCTAAGTCTGAAAAGATCTATTTTATCACCTCTTTAATGGGTGAAATAACCATGTCGTTTTTAGGGCGATGATTAGATGGAATGGTATCAAAGCAAATACTGACCTTATACAAAGTCTTTAAAAAACACTCGATAAAAAAGTTTGTGGAACTTAGGGACAGCAGTTAATCGCTCGGAATTGGAAGAAATAAAATCCATAAGACTCAGAGACAACTTCAAGATTCACCAGCAACAAACTGGATATATGGTGACCTCTTTAAAAATTGATGCGAAACTCGAATTTCGCCGTCGTCAGTATAATTTCACAACATCGATCGATCTCGAAGAAAAAACAGAGGTGGTAAATTTTATTCCGTTTACTTTCGCAACCTTTAGTTGAATATACAAGTAACAAAAACTTCTTCGCATAAGCCTTTCGGATATTTTTCTGATCAGAAAACAAACAAATTGGACTGTCTCTTTTGGCAATATGGCGTCAACATCAACGTCAAGCGTTTTCTTTTAATTATAGGAAAACTTGCTGAAATAGTTTTATCGTAACACACAACATCGGCCTCAAACACATCTCTTAAACTACTCTTTGAAGTTTTATCTGATGTCTTCATATTACTAGGAGGAGAAAACTTGACAGTAAAATGTTTGCATATCTTTTATTCGATTATGACATCTTGTATTTTAGCATAGCGGCAAGAAACCTTATTTTTGAAAACACATAGCTACGGTTATCAAGTCTGTCGTTAGATTGTTCTCAGAGACATATCGACAACAGCCTGCGCGACTATTCCATTGAGCCACTTTATCCAATAACCTATCTGACGACTGCTCTCCAACAATAATCATGACTTAATAAGTCTGCTTTGAAAGTCTGAAGAACCATTAAAGGAAGACCTATTTCAGCTTCACTGCTTGTCTCACTTCACTAATCTTCCAGCAATAAAGAAAAGGGTTTAAGGTGGAGTTAAACGAAAGGAAAATAACTGCCCTTCTCCGTGCGACGATCAAGAGTAATGAATATTTTTTAGTAAGAGTGATCACAATTCCCACTGTATATACTGGTAAATAACAAACAACTAATGCTGACTGCACCCATAGTGCACTGTATACAGCCTTTCTGAATCGCGCCATGTTCAGTGCATTTATTTGGCTCGGCTGTTGTTGACTTCGTACCTGTGCTTAATGATATCTCAGAGTGCGAAAAATCTTTATGTACGATGCTGGTGATATTACCGGGCAAAATGCTGTCACTAGGTAGCCGTACAAAAAGATCATACGGTGATAACAAATTCCACATAAAGAGGTGACAGGGGTAAAAACCCTAAAGGCAGTTACAATAATATACATGCGCTTCAGTTACAATTGGTATCTCAGCCCCGACAACAAGGCGAGAAGTCTGTCCACGCTTATGGCCGTCATAGTCATCAAAGACACTAAATACAATACAGAGCCAGCGTCAAGTGCGTATTGACAAAGGCACCAGCGTTCCTGAACCAAGGAAATCCAATATGTAGCATAGAGAGGCTGGGTAACAAAACCAACCAACAGATCAGTGGTTTCGGCAGATGCAAGCAAGATTCCTTGTGAAGGGCAACAAGGATAAGAGAATTTCCAGCAAATGCCGTGATGGAGAGGAGAATGTTAACTGCCAACAAGCAAATTGATAGTTGTTGTTAAAAACCACCCGCCAAAGAGGGAGAGCATAGCAGTTCTTTAAATGATTCGGTGCAGTTCGACCGCTACTGAAGTTTGTTGTCGACATAAGTCTGTCTTCGGTGTTTCCTCTTTCTTGTAGGTCATTTCGTTTTCACGGACGATATTTGTAACTGTAAGTAACAAGAGATGTTTTTTTCAAGACATCACCAGCCTAGCCACGATGACTTTAAGTGGCTCACTATCTGTGATAACATTTACCCAGAAACTTTCGTTAATTTCGCAGTAGAATTTACCTATTCAAAATGCAAATACAAACTGCCTATTCAGTCAAAAGATAAAGCAATTTCCCCACTGAGGGAGCTCCAGAGGATAACGGGCTTAAATTATTACTCTCTATCAATTTCTTAATAAGAGGTGATTCTTTAACACAGCTAAAGAATCACCTTAAATTATTATTAATTTGAAATTATTCTACCTAAAAGGTCTTTGAATAGTACTGACACTAATTTCTCGAAAACACCATTCGTGTAAATTCGGAGCAAACAAAAAGGCTTGTCTTTTAATTTTTTGGCACCATTTGCCTTTGGTATGATATCGCTCTAAGTGGCAAGCAAAAAGACATCTGCGCTGTAAAATGCTTATTTTATAGCGCTGCCAAAAACCCTTTCCTATCTGTCATGCAATAAAACGTTTATTATGTTGATGAGATCTCTATAGGTCTTGAGTCATTTCCACCCTTGGAAAACTGAAAAATAAAAAGATCAATCCCAGACGTAAATCGTTTGAGGCGAAAGTTGAAACGGTGGCAATCTATAAATATAAAAGAAAAATATGTAAATAAATAGAAATATACAATAAAAAAAAAAAAAATAAAAGTTTTAATTTAGGTTTGCATTCGCATTTGAAGGAAAACGTTGAAAGACATCTGCAACATTTTTATTTTGGAATATGACCAAGCACAACCTCAATCGGGGAAAATTGTTAGTAAGAAATTCAAAACCTGTAAATATCGTGAACGAATTTTTAAGATAGGCAAATGAGTTTGTCAAATCAATCACTCTTATTTCATTTCTAATCTAGAAACTTCCCAGTATTTTTTCTCCATGGTTTCCATTGAACCAGAATTAGATGTGACAAAACAGAATGATATACGTCCGCTTCAAAGTTACAATTTGTTTGTATTTAAGCTGCAGCAATATGGCGAGAAGTCTGTCGACGCCTATGGCCGTCATTGTCAACAAAGACACTCCACATAATACGTAGCTTGTGATAAAAGTCGCGGTACTTGCGTATCGACAAGGAATCCAGTGTTCGTGAGCACTAAACATCTAGCTTGAAGCAGTTAGAGGCTGGCGTACGAGACCAACCAACAGATCAGTAGTTGTCAGACAGCGATACAAGAGTTTGGACGACGGATGAAGGGAAGATTCTTTGTGAAGGGCAATAAGGATGAGAGAATTTCCAACAAATGCTGTGATGGAGAGGAGAATGTTGACTGCTGCGAAAGAAAGTGATTCTTGTCGAAGTCCACCCTCCAAAGAGGGAGAGCATGTCAGTTCTTCAAATGTTTTCGCCTGTGTTCCACTTATAAAATTTGATATCAACATTATTCTGTTACTTGTTTCCTTTTTCTTACAGTTTATTTGTGATTGCAGCAAGAAATATTTTGTCTGAACAACATTCGCGGAGCGACGATTACTGAGACCTTAATGACTTCTTTGATAATTTTCAAATAAAACTTCTCTACCAGCCTTTTTTATTTACATTGCATCAAGATATATATTTTTTAATGTCAAAGAAAAGTAAATATTTTTTTCCCTAGAACCCATGAGGAACATCAGGCATTACTTTTATTTTAATTTTGCAATGTAACATTAACTCTGAAAAGCCCTGTGAGCCAATAAAGTATGTCTGTTTGTAGGAAAGAAACAAATTGATAGTTGTTGTTGAAGCCCACCCACCAAAGAGGGAGAGCATAGTAGTTCTTCAAATGATTTCGTGTGACTTCTACCGCTCCTGAAATTTGTTGTTGACATAATTCTGTCTTCGGCGTTCCCCTTTTCTTGTAGGTTTCTGTTCTTGCAACGAACCTTAGGCTGCGTCTGTTATGAAATAGCAATTAAAGGCAAATGTAGAAACATCTTTATGTATCAGTTATTTCTTTCGCTTTGTTATAATAACATTCATGAGAGTATGATTTAAGTCAAGAGATTATAGGAGATTATATATCCTCTTGTGCACGTACATCTTTCCTTCGATGAATAATTTATGCAATCAAAATAAAGTTTGTTGGCATGAAAAATATTTTTTAAAAGCTTCAGTTGGTGTCTCCATTGCTTTCTATTTATTTGTTTTACGTGACTAGCAAAAAATATTATCGACAGACCACGAACAAAAATTTAAGCGACAAGCGTTTTCTATCAGTCATCTTAATAAAGTACTTATACGATCATGTTTAACTCGAGGATGGTCTAACTGCATGGACAGCAAAGTGCTTGTCTGATTGTCTGCTTCATTCTTCGCCTCACTTCACTTATCTTCCAGCAGTAAAGAAACGGGTTTAACGTCGAGTTAAAGTAAACAAGGATAGTTGCCATTTCCCCTGTGATGACTAATTGTGATGAATATGTTGTACCATAAGTGACTACAATTGCCACTATATAGTATGGTGTATAACAAACAACTAATACTAACTGAACCCACAGTGCGCTGTGCACTGCCTTTCTGTATCGCGCCATGTTCAGTGCATTTGGTTGGCTCGGCTGTTGTTGAATATGATCTTGTACTTGTGCCTGATGATGTCCGAGAGTGCAAAAAATCTTTGTGTACGAGGCGAGTGAAATAAGCAGTAAAAGTGGTATCAATATCGAGTCACACAAAATGGTTATACGCTTATCGAAAATGATGCCTAAAGAGGCAACAGGACATAAAACCCAAAAGCTAGCTACGATGATATAAATGCGCTTCAAAGTTACAATCTCTTTGTATCTCAACCCCAACAAAAGGGCGAGAAGTCTGTCCACGCTTATTGCCGTCATCGTCAGCAAAGAAACTCCACATAATGCTGCGCCTGTGGTGTAGGCTGCTTCCCCTGCGTAATAACAAAGGCTCCAGTGTTCGTGAACGACAGACATCCAATAAGTAAAATGGAGAGGCTGAACAACAAGACCAACCAGCAGATCAGTTGTTGCCAGACAACGATACAAGAGTTTGGACGGCGGATGAAGGGATGATTCTTTATGAAGGGCAACAAGAATAAGAGAATTCCCAAGAAATGTTGTGATGGAGAGGAAAATGTTGACTGCTGCGAAAGAAACTGATTCTTGTTGTAGCCCGCCCTCTAAAGAGGGGGAACATAGCAGTTCTCCAAATGTTTTCGTCTGTGTTCCACTCCTACTTAAATTTTTTATCGACATTATTCGATATTCGTTTCCTTTTTCTTGTACTGAGGTTATCTGTTCTTGCAACGAGAAATATTTCGTCTAAACAGGAAACGCCGAACGATGATAACTAAAATTTTTCTTTGATAAACACATTAAGACTTCCTTACTAGCGTTTAATTATTTAAAACGCGTAAAAATTTGCAGCTGTGGGATGCCTCAGGTTTGAAACTGATACTGATTAATGCCCACCCTCTAAAGAGGGAGATTATAGCAGTTCTTCAATTGTTTTCGTCTGTGTTCCACCTCGAATGAAATTTGTTGTAGTTATTACTCTGCGTTCGTTCCTTTTTTCTTGTAGGTTACTTAAGAGAGGATGTCAGCATCCATCGAACAACTTTGAAATATTGTGGCAAGTCGCCCAAAATTCTTTTTCTCTCCTACTTTCATATTTTGTAGCCCAATATGTCCTAATAATTGTGGTGTAGTTTTTTTGTGAAAATATATTTTAGTTTTCGAGAAATGACTTTTTCGTTCGACCGCTCAAATATGCAAATTTTCACCGTGAATATTACCCGAGTTGTGTGACCTCATGTAACGACTGTACTGGACCTACGGTATTTCTGTGAACATAATCCTTTGTTGTATCATCTAAACTTAATCCCCTGTCGTTATTGAAGCTGGAAAAGTAATATTTATTCTTTGGTGAATATTTTTGTCCGACATACTTTTCCTATGTCGAAAAGTAGCATCAAAACAAAGACACTTTTAACAATGACCGATATGACAAAATCTACTGAGCGTCAAGCTTTTTAAAGACCAAAGGATGGTTATGAAGTTACTGTAAAAATTTCCTTGTGTATTTGTGTTGTTCCATCTTGAGACGAACTCAAAGTCCGGCAAAATTTATTTGATAGCGACTATGAAATATACATGGTGCGCCTACTTGTCGCCACCGTTAATTGGCATAAATCACTACAATTTGTAAAAAAGTCTAAGATGACACTCTTACCTTGGTTATTTATGATTTTATTAGCCGTTCCGATTATTATATTACGCCCGGGTATTACTTTTTGACAGGAGCCCAGGTTTTGCGTTGTGTTTTCTCCTCCCTCATTTATATCATAAGCTAGTCACGCAATAATTGATACCGACACAAGTGAATATTTACCATGTACAAAGATTTTTGTTTGCGTTGAATTGAAATTGATGTTTCAGCGGCAGCGAAGCAATTAAAAGCGGGTTTTTGCTTCAACGCTACTGAAATTTTTAGTATTCAGACAGGCGAGATGCGTGATGCTCTAGGAATAAAAACTTTTATGGGCTTTTTACATGATATCCGAATGAGTTTTGTACAAGAACGAGTTCAAACCGGTTGCTACATAATAACCAGCGTAAAATTTATTCGAAACGAGTCATTTCTAAGTGAGTTTATTGGGGTTTTCTTTACAGAACGAAACACTCATTCTGGACGATCTTTTCTACCTGTACAATGCAAAAAAGGTACGGCTCTCACATTTGTATGAATCCTCTGTGGGAGCGAGGGAAGCATTGAAAAAGACAGAAAAGGACATAAACACTTGTTTTTACAGGCTAATAATTTTATAGCGGTCGTTTTCGAAATTCTAGGCGCGCACCCCCGCCCTCTTATGTAAAGGGTCCCCCGGGGGTGCTTATACGTGCAGCACACTTGACATTTAGCAAGGGCAAATTCTGATGTGATTTTTGGCGAAGAGAAACAAGTTTTGTCAGCGTCTAGTTGCTAGTGCGGAAGGGCCCTTTACCACCGTGTACACAATTACGCGTCCCCCTAGACGGCGGAAAGCCAACAAAGTGTTCAGACATTAGTTCAGAAAACTCCGCCTCTGTCTGAATTTTTGGTAGCCTTTTGACCAATTCTCAATCGAAACTTAGTCTGACGTCACGCATAATTTTGCTGACGGTGGAAAGTAGCCTACTTACCGAAGCCAGATTGTACGAATTTTCCAGACATCTTGAGTACTATCTGTAATACACGCTTGCCAATTCCCCTATCAGCTTTTGGAATCGACTTAACCCTACCTTTACCATGGCCGGACATTTCTTTTGGCACCCTGGATCTGCTTTTGGAACCACGATTCCACCCAACACCGAGATTTGATCTGTGAGAAGGGCAATTTGTAAAATCATCGATATCTTTTGGCGTCTCGAAGATGCTGGCACGCGACAAAACAAGATCAACTACATTTTCTGGATCTGAAAACTTGCAACTTCACAAGTGACTTGAAATGTCTTTTTAACAATGAAGCAAGGGAACGACTTGGTCTTCTCGATAACTAAACCCACAAGTCCCACCAGCAAACAATTTAACTAAACAGCAAATCTCCATGTTAGCATGTAAGATAAGACGCTTATAAAACAAAGGTTTTTCTAGATGTCATGCAAAGTGGAAAAAAAACCCATCTCTTGGTATTTCGTAGGTTGATTCATCTATGAATTTCTGTGTCACGCTTGTCATGCAACTGATATAATAAGATAGAGAAGATATATAAACTGCAACTCAAATCTGGCTAGAATGTGGTAGAGCATAATTAACGTGATCATCGAAACAGCTAATAAAATCATAAATAAACAAGGTAAGAGTGTTGTGTTAGCTTTTTTTGCAAATTGTAGTGATTTATGCCAGTTAACGGTGCGACAAGTAGGCGCACCATGTATATTTCATAGTCGCTATCAAATAAATTTTGCCGGACTTTGAGTTCGTCTCAAGATGGAACAACACAAATACATAAGGAAATTTTTACAGTAACTTCATAACCATCCTTTTCTCTTTAAAAGGCTTGACGCTCAGTAGATTTTGTCATATCGGTCATTGTTAAAACTGTCTTTGTTTTGATGCTACTTTTCGACATAGGAAGAGTATGTCGGACGAAAATATTCACCAAAAAATAGATATTTCTTTGCCAGCTTCAATAACGACAGGGGAGTAAGTTTAGATGATAGAACAAAGGATTATGTTCACAGAAATACCGTAGGTCTAGTACATTCGTTACACGAGGTCACACAACTTGGGTAATATCCACGGTGAAAATTTGCATATGTGAGCGGTCGAACGAAAAAGTCATTTCTCGAAAACTAAAATATATTTTCACAAAAAAACTACACCACAATTATTAGAACATATTGGGCTACAAAATATGAAAGTAGGAGAGAAAAAGAATTTGGGTGACTTGCCGCTGTTTGTTTGATGCACGCTGACATTAGCTCTTAAGATTGCAACGAGTGATCAGTATTTCGCCTAAACAGCCCACATTCATCCAAGATCAATATCACCTTGTACTTCTTTAATGATATTCACGTAGAGACTTCCTCACCAGCGTTTACTAATTCAAAATACGTCAGAAACCTTCGAAGTGTCTCAGGTATGAAATGGAAATAAGTAGAAAATGGAGAGACATCTGTGGTATCGTTCTTTCAAAAGAATGACGAAAAATATCCTTTAACCTGAATCAACTTTCACTGATATGTATGTAGTTCAGACTTATATCATTATTAGCCATGAAAAATTGGAAATAAAAATTTCAAGCTGGCGATTTTACTTGGTCTTAGAAAAGTTGGATTTGAGGCAATCGTGAATACATCAAACAATTTGGTCACAGATGCAACTGTATTTTTAAATATTGGAATTAATTTGTGATGACAGTTTTGCGTTTTTTTTCCCTTCCGTTCTGCATCCCCGTTTTGACTAATGTCAAAAACAAAACCGTAACAACCTGCTACGCTGCCAGACCATTTTTTCAAATTCATTTTTTACCAGCTTTTTCACTTTCACCAGGAAATTCATAATGTGACATTTTGTTCTGGATTTATCTCCTTAAAAGCCTTAGTTTAAATGCGGGAGTCTTTAGTGCGCCACATCTGCATGTTTGTCTAATCGACAGAGTTTAATTTAAGCTTGAATTAGCATCTAGAGTCAAACGTCTAGACGTCTGTGATAATATTATCATTTTGTTTGAAAATCCATCTTCTCAGGAAGAAATAAATTTACAGCTGAGTGAAGAGGTTAAACTGTTATTTTCAATTTCGTAAAAACGATAACAAATTGTTTTTAAGTGACAACATCTCCAAAATTCAGTGATAGCAACGAGACAAATATTTCGTTTACACGCCAATTGCACAACGACGGTTTCTAGAACCCCTTTTCCTACGTTACATCTCAAATAAAAACTTCCTGACTATTGTTTACACGTTTGAGATACGTCTGAAAATTGTTTGCTGTGTCAAAAAAGACTTTGTTTTGTGTCTAACTTGTCACTGATGAACATTAAGTATGAAATAAGAATAAGAGGCAAATATTTAAAGACATTTTTAAGATTATGTTTTTCATGTTGCAACAAACAATTCCGCTTTATTTAGCCTGCGAGAAGGCACTCACTATTAGGGCTTCAGTACGAGTTACTTCTCCCATGAATAAGTTTGAACAACTCGACCCGCGGGCGAGGGAACGCCGTGCCGCAGTGCTTATAATGGAAACATGGAACCATCGAAGACGGATGTTTATACAACCTAATTTAATCGAGTTGGGTGTCAATCAAATGTCTATATCATTTGCGTGAATAAGGTTGAGCCATGGCCACAGATGCAAACTTATTTCAAAATATTTGACTTAAACTGTGTAATTAGTAACTTTTTGTGGCTCTTTTACCTCCGTTTCGTCTCCGACACTCCGCTTTATTTAGCCTGCGAGAAGGCACTCACTATTAGGGCTTCAGTACGAGTTACTTCGCCCATGAATAAGTTTGAGACTTTGAACAACACGACCCGGGGGCGAGGGAACGCCGTGCCGCAGTGCTAATAATGGGAACGATGTTTATACAACCTAGTTTAATCGAGTTGGGTGTCAATCAAATGTCCATATCATTTGCGTGAATAAGGTTGAGCCATGGCCACAGATGCAAACTTATTTCAAAATATTTGACTTAAAATGTGTCATTAGTAACATTTTGTGGCTCTTTTACCTCCGTTTCGTCTCCGACAAAACGAGAAACAAAACAGAAGGAAAGCAGGAAATTACTTTTTTGAACAATTTTTCGCTGTTTCTTTTACATTCTCTATTTGTTCTCCTCCTTTCTCGAAAAATTTTACAATGATTGTCCTGGAAAAATTATATAACAAAGTTCGCCTAAATTTTTCTCTGCCAACGCTTTCATGTATACAGCAGTGACGGAATTCTTCATGTCGTAATTCCCCTAAGCGATTTGCCATTCTCCTCCGATAACCAGAGTTATATGACTATGCTAAATTGAACATGATAATCTATTGACCGAGAAGGAAAATGAAGGAATGGATACCTAAAAACTATCAACACTCGATGAAATATTTAGCAATCATTTGCCGAAGATGAAGTGAATATTGTTGAATAATTCCCGAGACGAAGTCGAGTTTAAAACTACACCTTGTTAAACCTACATAAACAACATTTATTATTTATGAACCTACGATCATTCTTAGTTGCTTGTTAAGTAACTCCCGCGTATCATTCAAGCTCTACAAACTTCCTGTGTGCATCGTATATTAATGACCGCTCACCGACGCACGAAACAATTGTTAAAAATACCCTGTCAAAGATTAGGAAAAATTACTTAACCACCACAGACACGCCGCCTCGTTTTAGGTTGGAAGAAATTTCGTTTTTGCAAAATAATTACTCTCTATAGATTCGACATTTTATTCCGGCTTCGAATTAATCACTAAAAGATGAGTCAATCCCTCCTTCAACCACAGTTCTTTCATGGGGAATTTTCCTTCTGATCCTCTATGGTAATTCAATACCTTGATATTTAAACAAGAACATATTCGTCGCAACCAGCTGTTGATTTCAGTAAACAACGTTTGAGTTTAATTTCAAATTAGCACTGAAAGGGAATTCCCTTGACAAACACAAAGACATCTGCCATATTTTTTGTTTTACAATACGAGATAGGACTCCTAAGTCTTAAAAGATCTATTTAATCACTTCTTTAATGGGTGAAATAACCGTATCGTTTTTAGGGCAATAATTAGATGGTATAATATTGAAGCAAATTCTGAGCTTATACAAAAGCTTTGAAAACGAGTCAATAAAAAAAAAAATTGTGGAACTTAGGGACGGCAATTAATCACCCAGAAATGGAGGAAATAAAATCCTTAAAACTCAGAGACAACCTAAAGACACACCAGCGACAAACTGGAGATATGGTGACCTCTATACAAATGATGCGAAACTTGTTTTTCGCCGCTGCCAATATAATTTAAGAACATTGATCGATCTGTAATAAAATTCTGTAAGAAACAGAGATGGTCAATTTTATTTCGTATACTTTCGTAACCTTCAGTTAAATATACCAGTACCGAAAACTTCTTCACATGAGCTTTACGAATATTTTTCTGATGTCAAAACAAATTCAAGACTAAAACTGGTCCGTCTCTTTTGGCAATATGGCGTCAACATCAAAGTCGGGCGCTTTCTTTAAATTATAGGAAAACTAGTTGAAGAAGTTTTCTCGTAACACTCTACACCGGCCTTAAACACATATCTTAAACTACTCTTCTGCATAACAAACAACTAATGCCAACTGCACCCACAGTGCGCTGTACACTGCCTTTCTTAATCGCGCCATGTTCAGTGCATTTGTTTGACTCGGCTGTTGTTGATCTCGTACTTGCGCTTGGTGATATCTTAAAGTGTGCAAAAAATCTTTGTGTACGATGCGAGTGATATTACCTGGCAAGATGATATAACTAGTCAGCTGTACAAAAAGATTATAAGGAGATAAAAAATTGCACTTAAAGAGGCGACAAGAATAAAAACCCAAAAGGTAGTTACAATAATATAAGTGCGCTTCAAAGTTACAATTTGTTTATATCTCAGCCCCAACAACAGGGCGAGAAGTCTGTCCACGCTTCTGGCCGTCATCGTCATCAAAGATACTAAAGTCAATAGATTGCTTGTGATGTAGCCTGCGTTCCTTGCGTATCGACAAAGGCTCCACTGCTCTTGAACCACGGACCTCCAACACAGACCATGGAGAGGCTGAGCAACAAGACCAACCAACAGATAAGTGGTTGCCAGACAACGATACAAGAGTTTGGACGGCAGATGCAGGCAAGATTCCTTGTGAAGGGCAAAAAGGATAAGAGAATTTCCGGCAAACGCTGTGATGGAGAGGATAATGTTAACCGCTAAGAAACAAATTGATAGTTGTTGTTGAAGCCCACCCACGAAAGAGGGAGAACATAGCAGTTCTTCATATGATTTCGTGTGACTTCTACCGCTACTGAAATTTGTTGTCAACAAATTTCTTGTAGGCTTCTGTTCTTGCAACGAAATATGGCAGCAAGGATTTCTAAAGCCTAAGTTCCCAAACAACAATCCAGAAAGACTCACTTATTTAAAACACATCAGGAAATTCTCTGCTAGGTCAAAAAAATATTTTTTCCCAGGAACCTTTGAGTTCGTCTGAAAAAGCAATTAAAGGCAAATACAGACACATCTGTATGTATCAGTTATATCTTTCACTCTCTTACAATAACATTCATGAGAGTATAATTTACGTCAAGAGATTATAAGACATTATATATCCTCTTGTGCACGTTCATCTTTCCTTCAATTAATAATTGATGCATTTAAAATAAAGTTCGGTAGCATATTTGTTTTACGTGACTAACAAAAAATACTATCGACAGACCTCGAGCAAAAATTTAAGCGTTCTCTATCGGTCAGCTTTGCACTAAAAGTACTTATACGATCATGTATAACTCGAGGATGGTTTAACTCCATGGACAGCAAAGTATTTGTCTGATTATCAGCTTCATTGTTTGTCTCACTTCACTTATCTTCCAGCAGTAAAGAAACGGGTTTAACGTCGAGTTAAAGTAAACAAGGATAGCTGCCATTTTCATTGTGACGACAAAGTGTGATGAGTATGTTGTGCTATAAGTGACAACAATTCTCACTATATAGAATGGTGTGTAGCAAACAACTAATGCTAACTCTACCCAAAGTACACTGTGCACTGCCTTTCTGTATCGCGCCAGGTTCAGTGCATTTGGTTGGCTCGGCTGTTGTTGAATATGATTTTGTTCTTGTGCTTGATGATGTCTGAGAGTGCGTAAAATCTTTGTGCACGAGGCGAGTGAAATAAGCAGCGAAAGTGGTACCAATATCAAGCCATATAGAGCGGTTATTCGCTGATCGAAAATGGTGCATAAAGAGGCGACAAGACATAAAACCCAAAAGCTAGCTATAATGATATAAATGCGCTTCAAAGTTACAATCTCTTTGTATCTCAGCCCCGACAACAGGGCGATAAGTCTGTCCACGCTTATTGCCGTCATCGTCAGCAAAGAAACTCCACATAATACTACACTTGTGATGTAGGCTGCTTCACCTGCGTAATAACAAAGGCTCCAGTGTTCGTGAACGACAGACATCCAACAAGTAAAATGGAGAGGCTGAACAACAAGACCAACCAACAGGTCAGTTGTTGCCAGACAACGATACAAGAGTTTGGACGGCGGATGAAGGGAAGATTCTTTATGAAGGGCAACAAGGATAAGAGAATTCCCAAGAAATGTTGTGATGGAGAGGAGAATGTTGACTGCTGCGAAAGCAACTGATTCTTGTTGAAGCCCACCCACCAAAGAGGGGGAACATAGCAGTTCTCTAAATGTTTTCGTCTGTGTTCCACTCCTACTTAAATTTGTTATCGACATAATTCGATATTCGTTTCCTTTTTCTTGTAATGAGAAATATTTCGTCTAAACAGGACACGCCGAACGATGATAACTAAAATCTTCCTTTAATAAACACATTAAGACTTCCTTACCAGCGTTTAATTATTTAAAATGCGTCCGAAATTTGAAGCGTGGGATGCCTCAGGTTTGAAACTGATGCTGATTGATGCCCACCCTCTTAAGAGAGAGAGTATAGCAGTTCTTCAATTGTTGTCGTCTGTGCTCCACCTCTTATGAAATTTGTTGTAGATATTATTCTTTATTCGTTCCTTTTTTCTTGTGGGTTATCTAAGATTGCAACGAGTAATCAGTATTTCGTCTAAACAGCCCACAACCAGCCACGATCAATAACAACTTATACTTCTTTGATGACATTCACGTAAAGACTTCCTCACCAGCGTTAACTTATTTAAAATACGTCAGAAATCTTCGAAGTACCTCAGGTATGAAATGGAAATAAGTAGAAAATGGAGAGTCATCTGTGGTATCGTTCTTTTGAAAGAATGACGAAAAATCTCTTTTGACCTGAATCAACTTTCACTGATAGAGTGCTAACTAGGTGCCCATAATGATTTGTATGATGAAGGCACTAGACAGGAGTGTCGAAACGTTGGGTCTATGAATTGTAACTTCTCGGTTGCATTCATTAAATTTTTAAACCAAAGAAGCATCAAACCATGTCTGATTTGTATGTAGTTCAGACTTACATCATTATTAGCCGTGAAAAATTAGAAATAACAATTTCAAGCTGGCGATTTTACTTGGTCTTGGAAAAGTTGGATTTGAGATAATCGTGATACATCAAACACTTTGGTCACAGATGCAAATGTATTTTTAAATGTTGGAATTAATTTGTGATGACATTTTTCGGGTTTTTTTCCTTCCGTTTTGCATCCCCGTTTTGGCTAATGTCAAAAACAAAACCGTAACAACATGTTACGCTGCCAGACCATTTTTTCAAATTCATTTTTTACCAGCTTTTTCACTTTCACCAGGAAATTCATAATGTGACATTTTGTTCTAGATTTATCTCCTTAAAAGCCTTAGTTTAAATGCGGGAGTCTTTAGTGCGCCATATCTGCATGCTTGTCTAATCGACAGAGTTTAATTTAAGCTTGAATTAGCATCTAGAGTCAAACGTGTAGACATCTGTGATAATATTATTATTTTATTTGAAAATCCATCTTCTCAGGAAGAAATAAATTTACAGCTGAGTGAAGATGTTAAACTGTTATTTTGAATTTCGTAAAAACGATAACACACTGTTTTTAAGTGACAACATCTCCAAAATTCATAATTATGAGCATTTTCAGCTAAAAAACAAATTCAAGTTTATAACTGGCCCTGTGACTGGCTCGTATCGCAACATATTTCAAGTGCTTAAATCTAGAAGCCGGATTAAGAACTCAAAGGCTAATTACGAAAAGGGAATATCACAAAGTGGTAATAGGGACTCACAATAGAAACAAACAAACTTCATCAACCGCGGGAAACGCGCGAGAGCAAGATAATATGAACTACAAATGCGTAAATGGCGGATTTTTGGGCGCTAAGTGGAAAATAGACGAGGCGGAGAAACCATTGTTTTGCAAGAGCCATAATGGCTCTACGCGTTCTATATCGTTTTAATCCTAGAGTTCTATCGGTACCAAAATATTCACTTCTTTGATGCCAATTTTTATTCAAACTTTATATTTTTTCATTTTCGATTTAAAATGTTTCTTCCAAATACAGATATGGTTACTAGACATTTTTAAGAAGTGATTTAAACACTGAAAAATGCGATTATTACTCTTTTTTAGGAGTCTTTTTTTTTCTTTTTTTCTTTTTTTTTTTTAACGTCGAGTTAAAGTAAAGTAAAATAACTGCTACTTTCCATGTGACCACTAAGAGTAATGAATATTTTTTAGTATAAGCGATCACAATTGTCACTGTATACATTGGTGCATAACAAACAACTAATGCTAACTGCACTCAGAGTGCACTGTCTACTACCTTTCTGAATCGCGCCATGTTGAGTGCATTTGTTTGGCTCGGCTGTTGTTGGTCTCCTACTTGTGCTTGATGATATCTGAGAGTGCAAAAAAATCTTTGTGTACGATGCGACTGATATTACCGGGCAAAATGATACAACTAGGCTGCTGTACAAAAAGATTGTAAGGAGATAAAAAAATTGCACTTAAAGAGGCGACGAGAGTAACAAACCAAAAGGTAGTTATAATAATATACGTGCGCTTCAAAGTTACAATTTGTTTGTATCGCAGTCCCAACAACAGGGCGAGAAGTCTGTCCACGCTTCTGGCCGTCATCGTCATCAAAGACGCTAAAATAGATACATAGCTTGTGATGTAGCCTGCGTCCCTTGCGTATCGACAACGGCTCCAGTGTTCTTGAACCACGGACATCCAACATAAAGCATTGAGAGGCAGAGCAACAAGACCAGCCAACAGATCAGTGGTTGCCAGACAACGATACAGGAGTTTGGACGGCGGATGCAAGGAAGATACCTTGTGAAGGACAACAAGGATAAGAGAATTTCCGGCAAATGATGCGATGGAGAGAAGAATGTCAACCGCTGAGAAACAAATTGATAGTTGTTGTTGAAACCCACCCAATAAAGAGGGAAAGCATAGCAGTTCTTGAAATGATTTCGTGTGACTTCTACCGCTACTGAAATTTGTTGTCGACATATATCTGTCTTCGGCGTTTCCCTTTTCTTGTAGGCTTCTGTTCTTGCAACGAAAAATGGCAGCAAGGATTTCTAAAGCCTAAGTTCCCAACTAACAATCGCATGAAGACTTACTCACGAAATTCTCTGTTGGGTCAAAAATATATTTTTTTTCCCGGGAACCTTAGGGTGCGTCTTTTATGAAATAGCAATTAAAGGCAAATGAAGAAACATCTGTTATTTCAGTGTTTTTACAGTGCAGCAAAGAGCCGCTCTTTACCAGAATCAAATTCCGCTATAATAGATGCTTATAATAAGATGCGTTAAGTTAATAATGGTAATTGAACTGAGTGGAGTGCAATTTGGGCTAAAATCATACGCGTGATTTCAAAATCCAGGACTTGGTCAGTTCAAATATTTAATTGGTGCAGTACAGAGCCGGATTGTAATAAAAGGCGGAACCGGAAACGCTTTTACAACTCATTTTGTATGCAAGATAGAAAGACTTTGACTTCATGTGTCAAAAACTCAGTCAAGTGTATCAAAGGAAAGACAAGTTTCATCCAAGAAATTCAAGTAGTCAGATAAACAGGTTAGCTTTAAAGTTCAATCCTCGTCGTCTGACTTATTAACGTAAACCCTTCGTTTCTTCTGTGGCTGGGGTGAAGAATTCTCGCTGTCTTTGGAGAAGGAATTGAAGGTGCAGCTTGTGTAATTCTGCGATGGAACGGGAGCAGCACAAATGAAGGCCTCCATGCGCTACTGAGACTGCAATGGAAAATGTGGTGGAAATCCTGAAAATTCAGCTGGCTGAAAACCAGGAATGGAGCCCATGGCCTGTTGTATTTGGCCTTGTTGTTTGACGTGATAAATAGGAACTAGAGGAGTTCGTCTATGTTGGACTGCAATCTCTTGATTCGAGGCTTCATTTGCAGTGTTTTGGTGGGAGACTTCGTTTGTTTGATTTTCGTTTGACACTTCTTTATATCCACTGATAATGTGAGACAGTTTTTATCCTGTGATTCTCGTCTATTCCATCGTAGTCCTCTAACGAAGATTAACCTGCATGGTCTGTTATTTCACAGGTGACATTGCGCAGTTGACCAGACTTCTTCAGTTTGACACCAATGTTTTACTCATGCCGTGGTTCGTCAGCTTCATATTCGTCTTGAGACAGGAGGCCATGGATTTCATTATATTGCCGATGGTGTTTTGTCCCATTCGAACTTTGGTGTACCGAACATCTGCTGATTTACTCGAACGCTTTGGTGTGCCAAACATCTGCTGATTTAGGACGATTTATGATGCTTAGATAGAGTGGCCCTGTGTTCTTCATTCCTTCGAGTCGCTTGGACAACCAAAGCTTGAATAGCCTCACTGGATCGCTTTTTCCGCCATCGGTGTTGAACATTGCTTGTGGTGTTGTTCTTCGCCTGTTGGTGAGAACACCGTTCCGTGTTTTAGTGGGACCTTCCCGGACCTCAACAACTTTAGTTCCATCTTCTCGCTGTCTTATAATTACGTCTTCCACGTATACGTCGTAGTGTTCTTGGCGACCACGAAATCCCAGTTTTTTAGTCAAGTTTTTGAAGTTGACATTGGTCAAGATCTTTTCATTAAAATCACCCAACGGACCTTTTTCACACAGGACTGATCCTTCTTTTTGAACACAATAAAAAATCAAGAAATTACGTGTTTAAACAGTTTTCTCCTCCAAAGTTATCCTATTATACCTTTGTTATGAATTTTTTCTCTGCCAACGTCTTGTCCGCGAAAAGAGAAGAAAAATCAGTTTGATACCAAGCAAGCTTTCGTGTATACGGCAGGTGACTGAATTTCTTCATGTCGTAATTCCCCTGAGCGACTCGTCATTCTCCTCCGATAACCAGAGTTATATGAAAATGATAATCTATTGATCAAGAAGGAAATTGAAGGAATGGATACTTAAAAAGTACAAACAAGTGATAAAAATATGTAACAATTTTTGGCCGAGGAGGTAGAGCCATCATTGAACGTGAGCTAAACAAGTTTAGAATTTTATTAACTTAATGTACATTATTTAAAGCTCGTTAACTTGTACATTGTAAAATGTATCGTCAATTAATTCAGAATAATCTGTGAAAATGTTTAAATGTCAATGAAGAATCGATCAGCACCAGAGCAGCAACCCTCTGAAACCGCATCCCGTGTAGTCTTTAATAAAAACTGTGATGACCAATTTTATTTATTTCGCTTTCTTATAATAACATTCATGGGAGTATAATTTAAGTCAAGAGATTATAAGAGATTATATATCTTCTTGTGCACGTATATCTTTCCTTCGATTTATAATCGATGCATTTAAAAGTTTGGTAGCATGTAAAATACTTTTTAAAAACTTTGGTTGGTGTCTCCATTGCCTTCCACCTTCCATTTATTTGATTTACGTGACTAGCAGAAAATACTATCGACAGACCTTGAGCAAAAATGTAAGCGATAAGCATTCTCTATCAGTCAGCTTTACTCTAAAAGTACTTATAAGATCATCTATAACTCGAGGCCGGTCTAACTCCATGGACAGCAATGTGCTTGTCTGATTATCTTCTTCAATGCTTGTCTCACTTCACTAATTCGCCCCATGTAAGGTAATCCAGGACAATATTAGATTCTTGATTCCACGCTGTGGATTCCAGATTCCAGGAGCTAGATTCCAGATTTTACCTGTGCAGATTCCGGATTCCAAACACAAAAGATTCCAGATTTTAGTTGATGGTTTGCTCCTAATTTCTGCATTTCGTTTTATAGGAATGGCTTCAATGGCGGATTTCGTAATTGAAGGACATGTTGTGTGAATGCACGTTTGTCTATTTATATTTCCATAACAACATTTGATAATTACAAAATATGTATTACAGCAAATCAAGGGATAAATTTTTCTTCTAGGAATACCTATTAAGACTTTCTTACTCTTAGCTCCAATGTCCATTCATTCTACATCTTTTCAGCAATTCGGAAGAGGCCTACCATATTTCTTTCATTCAGGTTCCTTGAGGTTCTTCAAGTGATTTAGCGGTAACAATAAATCATTGCTTATCATTTTTAATTTGTAAATAACTGTTGGAATAAAAAGTTGTTTTAACACAGCATAACATTGTTCCGACTGGGAAAATGTAGCCCATTTTTGTAATCCAAAATTGACTTCATGGAGAACAGTCAACAAAACAGCTCGAAAATACTTCCCCATTATCTCAAATTACTTTTTAACTTTCCTTTTCAACAAATACCATAATATTGACGAAAAATTTTTAACTGAAATATAATTTTAATAACAACCTGTGTATCTCGCAAATGAATCGCAGACTATGACTAAGAAAAGCTTGTTTTCCTATATGTAATTGGCAATTATGTTTGACACCATGAGATTGCACATAAAACGGTGTTCAACCAACTCAACTATACTTAACCCTTGGCAAAATCGCAAAAGATCTGCATTTGCACGGTAATTTTCCAAGAGTAAAAGATTCTCTTTTCTATACTTCCTTTTTTCGTAATAAGGTTAGCCAAGTCAAGTCACATGACGTCGGCTATGAATTCTCCAGAACAATGATTCTAAAGATTTAAGTTGGCCTTCCAATATTTTCCTGTTTGACCCTTAAATCTGGTAATATCTTATTTTATTTTCCCTGAGATATGATGCCTTATGAAATCTTAAATTTTGTTATTCCGAATGCCAAATATCGAAGAAAGCGGTTTACGTTTCAATGCCGAAATTTTGACTTAGAAGTGGTTGCGTTGGTCATGATAAAACGCAGACTGTAGATCATGCAGACTGTGCAGACCGAGCAGGCTGTGTAACTTTTATGTTTCCTTTTTTTCTAAACTGTTATTTATATATGATTAAGGTGTGTACACCTTTTTCTTACTCTTTTGGTAACATTGGAACTGTTTCCAGTTTTTGGACACTACATGGCAAAATTTTATGTGGCTCTTTCGAGCTCTCGTTATCTGGCAAAACAAAATCACGGTGTCAAGTTTCTAAAGCTCATGCAGATTAGCCCCACACGGCAAGATGTAATTTGTGTGGGCCGTGACTCTGATTTAGAGGTAAGGAATGTGCTGTGTGAACGAAGCAAATGATTACCAGGATCTTCACAAGACAGCCAAAGAAATTGCCGCAAGCTAAAGTCTAACTTGATAAGGAGGTTTTTGAATCGGGGTAAATGACTGATTGGTAGTCACTGAGTAGGGAACTTCGGCCATGTCAGTATTGAAGTCTGATAGGTCATGAATGAATTTGTCAGTCGCGCAAGCTGTAGCAGTTGAAATTCTCCAGCGAACAAAGCGCGGTCTGCGTGGTCTGCAGTCTGTATTTTAGCATGACCATTGTTGCATGGATGCGCGTGAAAGCTGTTTATGCGATTTGAAATGGATTTTCAGCGAATGAATTCTGGATTTATTCTTTAGCGGGATTCTGGATTCTGGATTCTGGATTCTGGATTCCAATGCCCAGTATTCCGGATTCCACAAGCAAAAAATTCCCGGATTCCGGAATCCAGACTATCTTACATGGGGTGAACTAATCTTCGAGCAATAAAGAAAAGGGTTTAACGTCGAGTTAAAGTAAACTAAGATAGTTGTCACTGCCAATGCGACGCCTGAGTGTGATGAATATGTTGTACTATAAGTGACTACAATTCCCACAATAAGGCATGGTGTATAACAAACAACTGACTGACTGTACCCACAGTGCACTGTGCACTGCCTTTCTGTATCGCGCCTTGTTCAGTGCATTTGGTTGGCTCGGCTGTTGTTGAAAGTCACCTTGTACTTGTGCCTGATGTATAGAAGGCGAGTGAAATAAGGAGTGAAAGTGGTATCATTATCCAGTTATACAAAGCGGTTGTACGCTTATGGAAAATGGTGCATATAGAGGCGACAAGATATGAAACCCAAAAGGTACCTACAATGATACAGATGCAGTTCAAAGTTACAATCTCTCTCTACAGCCCCAACAAAAGGGCGAGAAGTCTGTCCACGCTTGTT